TTAAATCTCAACCTGCGTTGATTGACTACATATCATCAACCTAAACTTTTATATATATCCTAAAAGTCACTATTTATTTGTCTATTTACACACAACACTTGCTGTTATTGACAACTCTACGAAAAAAGTATAATTTATGTAATATATTTAAAAAATTATTAAATATGTGCGCGTCCATTTTCTTTTATTCATTTTTTTTCAAGTTTAATTAATACAAATATATTACCATTATTTTTTTATGAATTGAAAAATTTTATTATTATATATTTTTTCTTTGAAGTATATGGAAAATGTACGATAATTGTCAATTAACGTTCGAAGTGAGAGCATAAAATTAATGACAATGTTTAATTATTATTGATTAATAATTCATTATTTTTTCTGGTATGTGCGCGGAAAATTGAAAAAAAAATGTTTTCCCCAATAGATGAATTTCTTTTATCCTTTTGTTAATTTATAAATACAAATGCGGGAATTATATTCTATATAATATTGCTAGAAAAATTATTAATCGATTATTTGTTATGATTATTATTTTTTTGTATATTTTTTAAATTTTATTTTCATTCAGCGAACTTGAACTGTATTGATTTAAAGCTACAACTGTTTGAACACATTGTTCTCTAAATGTTATGCCTCATAAGCGCATTATTTCTCTCTCTCATTTCATTATTATTTTATTTTAATCAGTTATTGATTATTATTTATTCAGTTTAATTATCTTTTTGTATAATAATCAACAATGAAGTCTAAACATAATCGCATTTGTTCTCGTAACGTTTCTTTCTTTTTCTATTCGGTTTAATTATTTTTACACTTGGATTTTTTTTTCATACAATTATACAATCTCGAGATCAATAATATGAAATTTCTATGTTGCTCTTTCATTTTAACTTGAAAAGCGGGCGATATTAATGACAAAAGTGTTCCCTCAGTGAGTAGCATCAGTCTGACGATTTCTCAGGTGTCGAATTCGAAAATTCAGCGGGACGGTTCTGCATGTGAATCGATGCTCTATTTTTTTATTTTTATTTATTTTTAATTACTTATCAATTTTTTTTTCTTTTATTTTTAATAAATTAGTTTTATTATTATGTTTTTAAATTAGTTTAGACGGAGAGTAAAGAGGATCTATCAATAATTGATGATCAGAAAGAGAAAAAGAGCTTGTTCGAGATGCTAGACTGTCTGAAGAATAGATGGATGTTATAAACAAGAAGCACGTACAGATTTTAAGTGCAATTATGTTGTATATACTACGGATATTTGAATATAAATTTTTTATTTTTTTTCAAGAAAGTTTAAAAACTGTATATATTTTTTATATACATGTGAAAGCTCCTCACTTCATGAAAGATAATTGATTTATTTATCACTAATTATTACAGAGAGTGCTAAAAATAAGATATTTAATATAGATAAGAGTTAAATAGAAAATTAATTAGTGTCGATAATTTTTGCAATAATTAAGGAAATACTTTGATTAATGAATTAGCAGAAACGTAAAAACTCAATGAAGGAAATTGATTGGGTGCAAGGTAGAAGCTTAATTTAATTTAAATATTCAATAAATCTATCACTAAATATTATTGTATCAATAAATATACCATCAAATTTTCATTTTCGTATAGGTATTTTTTTGTACACACTTCTTGAGCACCTCTAGAGTAACATTAAACTTGCGACAACAGGGGTTGAGCTTTTAATGAATTTTTTATTATATATTCTTTTTAGCTGGGATAATTTTTTTTTCTTTTAAATTTATTTCTTTTCTAAACTACTTAAAGGACGAAACGTAGATATGCTCTCCTTTTTTGTAGTTCCTGTTATCGTTCCCGCGATTCTGTAATCCAGCAAATCATTCGTTACCAATTGTTTCAAAGATATTAGGTATTCAGTATTTATTGCTAAGACTATTATTCGATAAATATTTTGTTTTTGTTATTTAAAAAAGATACAAAAAAAAATCGTTGTATCAACTCGTTGTATTAGAATAATGATAAATAATTGAGAAAACAAAAGAAAAATAATAAATACACATATTGGAAAAAATTGCATGATAATATAATTAATTAAATAATCATAATCAGTCACAAAAGTTCAACAAAGTTCAAATAATATATTTATAATAATAATAATAATGATAATAATAATAAAAGCGCAGGTTTAAAAGGCAATTGCTTGTATTTATTATTTAATTGATGAAAAATTATTTATTTTGTCCATTATGAACTACCATTATTTTTTTTTACTAAAACATTTCATCAAAAAATCATTTATTCATTCGGTTTAATATTAATATAAAGATTCACTATCAGGACCTATAAAAGAATAGATATCAACTCTATATATTCTACAATATCAAATTTTATAAAATATATTTGCTTAAAAATCGTTCGATAATTAAGACAAATTAAAAATACTACAAAATTTATTAACTATCGTACAAATGTTGCTAAAAAATTTTTGTATAAATTTTATAAATTATAAACCTGCGCTGATATTTATTAATAGTACTTAATAATAAAAAATTATAATAAATTAAAATATGACTAAAAATTTTTTTATGAATTTACAAATAAATTCATTATTTGATGAATAAATAATTAATTAAATAAATATCTAAGTCTAGTAAAAATCTTCCTGTGAAGACGCTGGCCATTGTTTAAGCATAATTATCAAATTAATAAATCATACACTTTGATTTTGATTGATATAAAATCAAAGTGAATTTATATTTATCCATATTATATTGCTTATGTTTATTGCTCTATTTTAAAATTATTAAATGCTTATCATGGGTCATTTAATTATTATCGATTTCAATAATTTATTATAAATAATATAACACAAGTGCAAAATAAAATATTTGCACAATGTGTTTAATTATATAATTAGTAATAATTATACCAATTAGTTACTTTGTAATTATTAGTAATCGTTTTTTTTTTTATTCTTCTTCAATTATTGATAAATATTCACTAAATTAAAATATTGCCAATTGGTCTACTGTACATGCATTTAGATTATTTGTCATTATATTATAAATTATAAAAGACATTTACCATATTTGTAATTAGTGATTTTTCTCTTATTCATGTGTTCATTTTGTTATTTCTATTTTTGCTTTGGTTTCTATAATTGTTTGTTTTGGTATTGTTTGGTTGCTTTTTAATTACCGAGGGCGACGAAGCTTCAGCGAAGAAATATTGAAGAGTATAAATTTTAGGATTTATCATAATATTTCAGATGTATTTATTTAAAGGAAATAATAATTGTTTCTTAAAGCTTTAATTATATAGACTCATCGATACTTATGGATTGCGCATCAATTATTCATTCGATGTTGCTTCTATGTTTAATAGAATTCGTTGTTTCGAAACATTGCTTAAAGACCGTCACACTACGTGTCATCTTTGTTATATTGATTTTCTATTTAATACGTGTATAACAATATAACTTGCAAATCTCAGAATTATCAGGGCAATAATTATTGAATTAATTATATACGCGCAATTTAATATCTCTATTTATTATCAATGAATGCGGTGGTTTTATTTATTTTTTTCATTTTTTACAGCTCACATTTTGATTCTTTTCAATTCACCCCAATTGCAATCATTTAATACCAATGATTTTTGAAAAAAAAATTCTATCAAAATAAGACGACTTTTATAAAAGCTTCAATCATTTTTTTCTTTAGAAAAATTTTTTTAATAATCCATTCGTCTTCCAAGTAATTTACAACCCCTCATATCTTATAATTCATTCAATTCTTCTCAACTTTAATAAATAGATTTCATTTCAAGCTTTCAAGTGTATATTAAATTTCCTACAAAAAGTCATCTGTACTTGATATTTCCCCTTAATAAAAAAAAAATATGTCAAACTTGAAATAATATTGTAACTATTTTTAACTTGAGTCTTTTTAATTAACATATTTCTCGTGGAAATAAAGTTGAAAAATTGATTAAGGAAAAGTAGAGACAAAAAATAAGATGAAAGAAGCTACCATCGCATTCATTATAGCGTTTCGCTCAACCGATTATACCGCCGTTATTACACACAAGTGAGAGTATTTGTGAAAATACGGCAATAGCTTCGGAAATGCGAACCGAATTATGAAGAATATAATTATTTATTGTTGAATAGATTCGCGAAGTTTTGCGTCCTCGTTTACGCGCGATATTAAATTCAGGCAGCTAAGTTATACATGGTAATTGCATCTTGTTGCGCGTGACTAGAAATCTCATTAGCGCCCTAATGATAATATGCTATTTCATTCCACCATACTTTTTGTATATGTATCATGTATATATAATCATAATTTAAATATTTATATATATATATATCATTCATATATGCATATATATATAATTAATAATAATAAATAATCGCAGTAATAATAATATAAATAATAATAATAATCATCAAAATGATAATGATAATAATCGTCATCATGAATACTCGGTGTATAGGTATTAATTCATTAATTATTTAATTAATTAATTAATTGATGGATTAATCGACTAGAGTGACTAGACTGTGATGTGTGGACGTCATCACCAGTGTCTTCATTATCGTCTTTTTTTTATTTTTTTTTTGTTTTTAATTTTTTAGACTTAACAATTACTGGACGTTTTATTTATAAACTGTTAATCATTTGTTCTACTGGCACTTTTCTACTTAATCTACTTTGCAAATCGTCTCCTCGAGTATTTATTCACCACCAGATGTCAAGATCATTCCTAAGATTTACGACTAGACTTACAATACTTTTTTATGAATTTCATTTTAATTAAAAATTTCTTAAGATTGGTCGACATCTGTTTTTGACTTGAAAGAAAAATGATTTTTAATGTAAAAAAATAATTTTATTTATTTATTTATTTTTTTTTATCAAATGATTAAATAACAATTTTCATTATTTCCATTTTTAATGATATTTAATAAGGAAAAAATGAAATTATTTTCTAAAAAAATGAATGAATATTATAAAAATATATTTCAAAAAATTTTGTTCAATTTTATCGTTTTAATAAACATTTTTTCTTTTATATCAAAAATCATTTTTTTTCAATTAAAGTCAATTCGCGCGAACTCGAAGACGCTTACGCTCCGCAAACTGGCACTTTACTACTTAATCTACCTCTTAAACTTCTCGAGCAAGCGCCGTCCAGGTCTCATCAAGGCGTTCCTGAAGTCTCATAAATGTTGGCCGCTTCGTGCGCTGCAATCGGGGCGTTGTCAGCAACAAGTGACGACGCCCTGTTGCTGATCCTGATGAAGAAAAAGAAATGAAGAAAAAGAAGCCTTGAAGAGAACCATTGTGACGACACTACACGAGATGACTAGGTGCAAACCACACGGCACTTTTCTATCATCTATTATCTATCGCTTAAATTTAAGAAGTTATATCAACTTCTTGGCTTTCATAAAATCGCTAGCTGTTGTCACTTTTACTTGTTTCATGACGCTACAAGCCTCGATTCGATTGAGGAGAATGTTGTCCATTGTTATTAGCTTGATCGAGTTGAGGAGCTTGAACTTCTTCGTCCCTTAAACAAGCAGACTCAAGATGCTTATTCAGGTACGACTTGAGAGCAAAAGTCTTGTGACACCTTGAGCACTCGTAATTTTTGTCTGCCGAGTGTGTCTGCATGTGAGCACGTAGATTCGACCTGTCTGCAAATGCTTTACCACAGTGAGCACAACCATATGGTTTTTCACCAGTATGACTTCTTAAATGGCCCTGAAGTAACCATGGTCTCGAGAACATTTTACCACAAACACCACAACTATGAGTGAGCTTGTGTGTCAGCACATGCATCGCAAGAGCTGGCATGCTGACGTAGGCCTTGCCGCAGTGAATGCATTTCTTAGCAGACTGTGAGTCGAGGCTTCGATGAGTTTGTTTGTGTCGAGAAAGATTGGAAGATGTAGCATATTGTTTACCACACTCGGTACAAGTGAACTTAGGTCGATCTGCTGGTTGAGCTGGCTCTTTTTCAGGAACTGCTGCATTATTAGAACGTCTCTTGGACCTTCCGTCTGACACGAAAAAGGCCTCATAGGTATAAGCAACTGTTTTATTGCTAGTTGGTGATGTATTGGTGAGTGTCGGACTTGACTCTGAGCTTGCTGTAGATCGTGGCTCTGGATTAGACTCTTGTCTCGTGGGATTATTATGAGAAGGAACTGGTACAAGCACTGAAACTGGTATAGGTGTTGGTTGAATTGGCTGGGGAACGGTTGGGGCTGGGGGTGTTGGAGGCAGTGAGAGAGTGTGGATGAAAACGGAATGAGTTGGTGCTGCTGGTGATGCACTCAAGTCTAATATTGCTTGGGCAGCAGAGAGCTCTTCCTCCGGGGAATTCCTTAACACTTCTGACGGCTGAAGGCTATATGGTCGGTAAATGTCTTTCTTCTTTGGTGGAAGTGATAGCGCAGTACCAGTACTTGTAAAACACATTGAAAGACTTTTGTTACGTGGTTGAAATCCTTGAACATTTTGTAATACAGATGGCGCCAAGAGAGCTTGCTGTTGATCTTGCTGTTGGTCTTGTTGCTGCTGCTGCTGTTGCTGATGATGGTGTTGAGAAGGAGGTGGAGGAGACTCTGCTGTTGGCTGGGCTAACTCTGCAGCTGATCTCAGTGTTGCATATTTTGGTGGCTCTTCGTGGTTTAACCAAGACTCATGCGCATACCCTAGAAATTAAATGTTACTTTTTACTCATTTTATACAATTTAGTAAAATACTTTTCAAATCATTTTATTTAATTAAAAAGTTGAGATTAAAGCTTTGGACATTGCTTTAGTAATGGAAGCAATTTATGATTATTGGCTTTGAGAGGGAATAAATATGAAAAATAATACCAGAGTTGAAATTTAAATTGGTAGAGACAAGTGTGAAAAGTTATTTAAACATATTACAAAAAGTTTTTATTATGTAGATGCTAGTAAAATTGGTGATCTAAGGGAATCTTAAAGTTTAGTTAGCAAACTTTTTCACCAAGTAGCGACAACGGCTTTTCGAATTCAATTCTTGTCCTCTGTATAACATGAGACATTACCCAGAATTTCCGAATTGGGAGATAAATCGTGTGTCAGGAAATAAACCAAGTGATGATGCAGATCTTCCGTGGTTCATCGCGTTTCACATTAATCCCTATAATCCATTGATATCTCTCTTCCACTTCAACAGTTATATTATATGTATACTTATATATATATATATATATATATATATATATATATATATACATAGAGAAAGAGAAAGAATCGATCATCAAATTTCCGCTATCCTTGCATGGCTTCCTATTATCCTTCACATCCGTCATACAACCCTGCAGTATTCATTTCACTCGTCATTTCCGAACTTTCCCACGTTATTTACTTACTACACATAAAACAAAAGGAAAAATATTAAAGTAAAAAAATAAAATTCTAGAAATGTTTTTTTAGTAATAAAAAATTATTTGCTTTCTTTACATTACTGCAAGAAATATTATTATTATTATTATTATCAATGAATAATAAAAAAATGGAACAATAAATTTTTTGTTGCTATAAAAAAAACGACTTATTTTAATTCAAAATAAATTTTTTTTCTCTGAAAACGCTCTAAAAATTTTTATTAAAAAAATGTGTTATTTAATTTCTAGAATCTTCTGTCAGTGACAATGATTGATGATAAAATTTATTTTCATCATTTTTATGTCCAAACTTTTACAACAATTTTTTAATCCAATTTTAAATACCAAATTAAAGGTCAATGCACCTACGAATTAGTCCCGTAACGGTAGAAAATTTAAAGGGCCACGTGAATCATCCCCTCATTCATGCGGCTATTTCATTTCCTGTGACGAATGGCAGCTGCTGATGCCATGTGCTACCACTATCAACCTCTTGCATTAATATATATATATAAATAATAAGGTTTAGCAACGGTTGTGAATTATGAAGATTTAATGCATTGATATAAAGAATATAACTATTGTTCAGTATACAGAAGAAAATATTTAAAAAAAAAGGTATATCTGTTGCTCACATAAAAACTACTAGAGTGTATAAACATGCATCTGTCATTTCAGACATTTTAAACATTACATGTACACTTACGCTCACTATTTTATATAATCCCGATGGTTCACGTGATTGTTATCTGATTGTGGCGTTTGACGTTCGATCTGCCTTTTGAAAACTGGTTATCACAAATTTTATTTATACTGGCATTGCCATTTTTACATTTCGAGCAATAAAATAAATTCTTTCTATTAAAAATCAATCCCTCAAAAATTATTTTCAAACTTTAAAAAAATATTATCACAACTTTTACATTATTTTTAGTATAAAAGTTTTATATTATAAAAGAATTGCATTACAACAAATGATTAATTTAATATTTTATTTTAATAACAAAAAAAGATCGAAATATTTCATACCTTTTATTTGTATCAAAATAAACGAATGAATTTATTTGATTTTTTGCTGAGTAGCAAATGAATTAAAGTAAATTAGTGATAAATGGAAGCTTTGCGATTTAAACATTGGATTTAAACGAATAGATAAAATATGATGAGTTAACGATATTATTGACGATAGAGTTTGGGCTCACTTTAAATCCAATTTGATACGCGAATACATTTAAAACTAGCGCGTGTTGGAAAGGTAATAAATCAGAAAATTGTACTATCGATCTTGCCAGTTAGTCAGGCTATTATTGGCTAGAGAAATAAAAGGAAGTAAAGAGAGTGAGAGAGAGAATGCAAGCAGGAATCGGGGAAAAGACAGAGAAAACAAGGGTGTCTCTCTCTTTCTCTCTCTGGTCGTATCTAGACATGCATTTCATCAACAAGAGGGGAAAGGATCAATAACGTCGAATGGACGCTCGGCTGCACGCTGCCGGGCTGTTGATATTTTCCACGTACCAACCCCTGAGTAACTCTAGACTATCGAATTCGCTCGATTCTCCAACGATATTAAATCCCTCCGCGATTTTGTAGTCCATGCCGTCACATGTGACATTCAGGACAACTCGACCAACTCGAGTATTTTCTGTCTCGATAAACTCCAAACCACCTGACAATTTTACTGAATAAAATCCTCAATAAATATCAATAACTCGAGTGTACTTTGACACTTTTAATTTTTACCAAAAAATTCATCCTTCACTTCTACCAATTAACTCAACTTGTTGAATATTTTTTACATGCTCTAGATCAAATGGCTGAAAAAAATAATTACACTTCCACTACTCTAAATATTTGGAACGAGTAAAAGAAGAGAAATGATTGTTATAAATTGAAATGAAAAAGTAGACCATTGGAGGTAATTGAAATAAAAAAAATCGTTTAAAGAAAAATGGAATAGCGAAATACAATCGAAGCCGCGAGCGTTAAACTGACAGATCGATGCCAAGGAGCCCCTACAAAGGAAGCATTATGTATAGCAAGAGGTGAGAAAAACTAATACTTTCTTTTTCTTCTCTCTTCATCCCTCTATATACTCTTCATCGAATAAATCCTTTACTAAATTGAAAGAAGTCGCTCCAATCCTTTAATAATAACTGCATCATAACGCAAATCCGTTTGTTCGATGATAACCTGTCATCCTGAAATGTCGATACTGTCAAATATCTTGATGGCAATTAAGCTCTCTCCCTCAGAAGCTAATTTATTTCTTTCTATTTATTTTCTAATATATCTAATGTCTCTATTAATTTCTCTGTTATTGTAGTTTAAGGGGGAGAATGAGACTAGATATAGGTTGGATTTAGTGAGGTCGATAAGCCAAAAATTAACTTGTAATATCGAAGAAATCTTTGACATGGATAAAATCCAATAGATTAAGTATGAGGGGGAGTCTATCGAGTGGTGGAAGAAATGAAACAAATGTTTTTTCATTAAATCTGATGGGATCCATTTGGATTATGATGATAAATATTTAAGACAAATGTTGATTTATGATATTTACCCCAATTATAGGAAAAATCATAAAAATTTTTTTATATGATATTTTTCAAAACACCCTTGCTGAATATTACCACTGATTATTTGAGCGGCTGATAAATATATATATATGTGAGATTACTTGGAATATTTATGGTCATCTGATTACTTTTATTAAGAGATAAAACTTTTTATTGCTAATTAAATAGTTAATAGCTGAATGCTTTTATCAAATATTTATCCATCTTATTGATACATCCAATTTAAAGTCTTAGAAACTATTATTTAAATGGAAGGGAAAAATGAAATGATGTTTATTTAATTATTTTAATGAGAAAAAAAAAGTTTAGCAAATAAAGTAAATTCATTGAGTTTAAAAAGGAGATAATAATCTAAAGGAAGTAAAAGAGTAAATATTTTTCTATTGGATACGATGAAATTGAGTCGAGTTATATGGAAATTCACATTCATGAATGTTTTGTATCATTAGAAAAGTCGGTGGTAGCAGAAAGAAAATGAAAATGTATATACAGCATAAAATATGGGTAGGAAGCATAGAGTCATATATGTACGTATATAGATAAATACATAGATATATGGCAAGAGATAAATAAAGTCGTGTTGGACAATAAGATAGCAGAGAGTTATATAAACTCTTGTCGACGATTTTGTAGTAGTATCACGTCGAGAATGGCTTGGTTGTCAGTGGAACCCACCCTAAGTCGTAAGTGTAAGTGCCACATAGATCTTTTTCACATAGAATGTGCGCGAGGGTGGAGAACCGCCCCTTGACAAAAAGAAAAGTAGGGTGGAAAGAAGACTGCGCAACATGCAGACCTCGCCCGAGGGTGGAAGCATCATCAGCCGCAAAAAAAACGAGACATTGAAGCACCAAAAGTTTTGGCACCCCCCCGTTAACTTGGAGAATAATCCAAGAATTACGAGCTACTTTTGGCGAGCTTTCATTTGGTTATTTAGCAAGAAAAAAATAAGACCAAGCCTAGGGCGTGGTCACATTCATATTTTTAGTTTAAAAGTCTAATCTAAGTTGTAAAAAATAGCGTAATTGGAGTAACAAAAAAAAAGATATATATACCATGATAGTAGAGCGCCCCCGAGGCATTTAGTGGTGGTGGACTTGGTGCAGTTGTGCCAGCAGTAGGGCTATGAGGACCCCAGCATGTTTGCTGACTTGTCCTGTTGCCGTCGGTGGTGCTGTCGCCAACAACGTCAATCTCCTCGTCTTCAGTCTCAACAGTCATCCTCTTCTTGTCCTGGACGGTGTCAATATCACTCTTTTCCATGTTTTCCACATCATCTTCTTGTCTATCAGGCCATGGATAAGCCTTCCACTTCTTCGCCATCAGACAACGCGGCATTTTGTGATGTTACTCTTGGCAATCTTAAAGTTTCAAACTATATTTTTTTGCAGCTTACACTAACAGCTTGTTCACGTGCACCTTCACTGATAACACTGCCACTACAAGCACTTGCACAATCACCTCCTGTTGATGATGCACACCGACGGCGTCTCCTTCGTGTTCTCTTTCCACGAAATCGCAGCTTTCTCTGTTGACTCGCACTTGCCGGCTTTGGTGGCGTCAGCGAGCCACGAGACTTCGTCATCGGCTCAACAATCGGCAGTCATCAATTCCACCATGCCAATTACTCGGCGCCACTTTAATTTTTCTTTTACATTCGCGATTGTTCAAGTTTTGTGATCAGACGACTGTGTCGTCAAGCTGTTGTAGATATTTTCTGCTGCTCCTCGCCCAGTTTGGCTAACGGGGGAGGGCCTGGAATAAAGCAAGCTACAGCAGCGACTGCCAGACGTGGTGGTAAAGCACACCAGTCTTCATTCTTTTACGCAGACGCCACTTTTACCCCTCCAATCCTACTCTTACGATCCTCCCACCTTTCAATGCGGCTCACCCCAATTTCGTGCGTCGAGTGGGTCTGTGCAGGGGTGAATAGCGCCTGGCACGAGGGTGGTTTGAGAGAAATAGAAAAAGAAGGAGCACACATTGGTATTAGTAATTGATGGCTATCCTAAGCGTCAATGTAAAGGGTGCAAACTCTTATTCCAACTCTCATTTCGACAAGGGATCTGCTTGCGACACGCCAATAATTCTCGTATATAAAAAAAAGTAAATCACATTTCCACTCTTTTTTATTGTTTAAATAGCTCGTATCCACAATATGCAATACTAAAAAATATCCCAAGGGTATTATCAACAATACTAGACGAATAAATAAATAAAGTCATTTCCTCATTGCTGTCGAAAGGATACATTATGTAGGATAACAAACGAAAAATGATGTTGATAAATATGGACGAGTGAATAGAGGGGAAAAAAAACAATGAGATTTAGGAGAAGATTTAGTGACGAAGGAATAAAAAAAAATTTTTTTGTTTAAGATAGAAGGGAGAATTGAGGCCGATATTCAAAAAGAAAAAAGTATTTAAGTGTGGAGTGGTAAAAGAGGTAGCTGGCGCATGCTCGAGCGATCCGCATCGACCCGACGACTGAGGCAACACCTGGTAGCACCCCACGTGCCACGAGGGTGGCACTACCACCCCTCAATTCTCCGTATTGAATATCCCACTGGCCTTCCTGCGTTGCTGTCTACTGACCCATGCTAACGCGACTCCTCGAAACCTCTTCCTTGTCTTTTCTTCTTCATCTCCTCTTTTCTCTCTCTGAAAACCTACACCACGACTGTTACACTCTCATGAACACCTGGCTATCCAACCACCGGCCAATTTTCATCGCGTGTGCCTACTGTTAAACTGTTTTTATATTTTAAATAAAACGATACTCTTCATTTAGCTATTACGAAGAAGAATATAACATTATCATTTATTAATTCCCGCTTGGAAGACTTATATGGCTATAAATCGCGTTAAGTTGATGGTAATTTTGTTTGAGTAATGAATTTATATAACTTCATTTTTATTTATTTAATGTAAAAATGCCTCATAAGTTATTTAAATAAAAGAAAAGTCAATACTTGTTTAAACTAAATTTGGCAATTTATTTTACCAATAAAGCTGCAAATTTTTATTTATTCAGTCCTTTAAAGTTAATTGAAAAGGAAGGCAAATAATCTAAATGAAATATTGTTGACAAATAAAAAAGTTATTTATTTATGGAACACATTAAGTCATTTTATTTGTGAAGTCCTTGTTAGGAAAACTATACAAAAAGCGATATGTAGATACACTGATTATAGTTGACTTCATGAATAAATTATTTGATACAGCTATATATACACATCAAACGATAATTGTTACTCAAATAACATCGAATCAACAAGAAAAATATATTACTTTACTTTTAGACTATCTTGATCTAACATTCAAACTGATCAACATATTTTGTTCCCTGATGAATTTTAATATCAATATTGATTGATTAGAAATAATTCATCATCAATTCAAGTAAATTGTATAATATTGCCATATAAATGCAGTCGTTATTGGGCAATTGATTAATTCAAAATAATATCCGATTATTTGCGTGACAAGAAAAAGAATTGTTTTCTCTTCGGTAATTTTAATGGTGACGTAAGGGAAATGGTTCGAGGAAATATTTATAGTAAACTTAACTTTTATTCTTGGCAAGTAGTAAAACTATCCAGGGTATTATATAGTATTGCAAAAAAAATCTATTGATCGTATTCTATAGCGGAAGTTCCAACTGTTTAATAATAAGTAAAAACTATACACACAAGAACACGTACAGTAGGATACAGCTCCTCAAGTATATACATATTTTAGTTTTCCCTATATATAAGAAAATTATATTTATAGCTAGAATTTTATTTAGAGACGAATATTTTTCATTTCCACAAGAGAATTCTTGAATTGTCATTGAATTACGAGAGAAGGAAGTTTATTTATCGTCCTGGTTTTTCTTTTATTTTTGCAAGTCGGTGGAGATCCCGTAAATTCTTTACGTACCATCTAGAGGTTTTTTTTCAAAGAATAAAAATACGCAAATGTATGAGTAAAGCATACCAGCATAAATAAAAGCATAAAATAAAAAACGATATCAACTATAGAGGGTGAAAGAGAATGAGAAAAGTGGCGCGCGCGCGTTAGGGCACACCAGTTGCGAATCTTTACTCGCAGAAAACACGGGCAGCAAAGTCAACTACCTGTGGATACCACTTCATCCCTTCCTTTTGCGTTGTGTACACGCAGCCACGACTCTCTTATTTCTTCTCTCAGTTTTCGTAGTTTATATGAAATCTGCATTCATTAGTACATACATTTTCATGTTGCTCACTAAAAACCATTTTATGTCTTACCTTTCTTGTCAATTCTTTCTGTCTTTTACTGTCAACAAAATTATTATCCTCAACTTCATTTCTATTTATTATTATTTCTCTCTTTTGTGATACATTTTTTTTATTCCTTCAGCTATTGTCAACATCCTTTTAAATGAATTATTCATTTAGCCATTCTTTAAATATTACTTGACATTTTTTTTTAAGTATATTCACCAGCAAAGCAACGTATTTTCATGATAACAAGAAATTTTTCTGGATTTTTTTAAAACTTAAATTTAAGATATTATGTTTTATTATAATTTATGAAATTATTATTTTTATTATGAATCTTGAATTTTATTTACTGTTTAATTAAACTTGGGACTTTATCAAGAAATATATAATAACTATAAATTAACAGTTAAGATCAAACAACCAACAGTAAATAAAAAATTTAATTAGTTTCATGAAATAAAATCTTTGTTATGTTTGAATTGTTAAAGTTTTGAAAATAAATTAATTTTATTTAAGTTTATGTTGAATTTTACTATTTTGATTTTCTCATCCTGTTTAAATGATTCAAATTATTTAAATAATCGGAAATTCAAAAGTGGAATATTTCTCACAGATTTTTCTAATTGATAAGAAAGTATTGCGTGATGTAAACGATTTGCAAATATATACTACAAAGAAAAGAGAGGAAGCTAATTTCATCTCGTGACTGTAATCTTACTGCATCAAATCGATGCTTAAATCAACTGTCACTCGAGGGTTCTCATAAATTTCGCACTGCTATAGAGAGAATCAGCATTTGAATTATCACTGTTTCGAGGGCATAGGAGTCTCACACATGCCATTATCTCTACACCTATATGTCTATCTAGTAGCTTCTATATATCTTAGACAATTGCTCAGGTCGATTTTGCTTGATAAGAAACACTAAGAAGTCTGACTACTACCTACCAGATTAATCTAGACCATTTTACTCTTTGAATAAATGAGTAAAGTTTGCAAGAAAGTTATTTTTAATGAGAGAGAAAACTTTTCAAGTTTTGAAATAATTTAACTATTACAGTCAGTAGTTCTTTTTCACTGATAAGTCGTTTGTTTAAATGGTCCTTTGCATTATTTCCTTGAAAAAAAAAATTAAAATAATCAGAAAAGAAGATTTTGATTAATCTTTTGGAACAAAAAAAATTGATGAAAAATCCTCAGTAAATTTATTTCACTGGCTTGTTTATTGTGAGGTAATTTTCTAGAAGAAAGAAAATGATTTTAAGTACTTACCAGGATTTTTTTCTCTTGAAGAGATAAAAAAATCTAGGGAAATTGGTGAAATAAAACGAGGCAAAGTCGTAAACGTGATAGCAATAGATGAAATGACTCGATCAGGATGAAAATCCAGTTGGACATCTAACGACTGCAATGTCCCCAATCGAACGCCAACAAAATCAAGCACTGATGACAGGTCGCTGGGGTCAGTGAGGAGGGACGTTCTACTTACGTCTGCAGTCTTCGTTCATCATTATTCTAGCTGCAATCCTCTTTTCAAATCCCTAGGGTCGTCGGCCACCAGCCGTATGTGACGTTGAGCAGTCTAATAAACTTCTGTTTCCCCCTTCTTAATGTTCCAATCGAAAATGACAGCAAACGATTTCCACAAGTCATTTTCAGATATAGAATCTCATCTAAAAGATTCTCGAGTAGATAAAAAAAAATGAATTCACCATACATTTCCTTCATTGATTTTCTCCTAAATTAAGAATGCTGAAACAGAATAAAGGATTTTTTTATGCTTCTCTGAGAAATAAGGATAAAGTATTATTTTTTTTCCTGTCGAGATAAAGAATGATGGTTCCTAAAAAAAAATTGATTGATTAAATTGGAGCAAACATAGAATCAATATATGTCTTGATATTTTTTATAAATGAATAGTAATCTTACGTCCATTAGTAAAAAATTAGAATAAAATATTCTGCTCAACGATTGTAAAGAAAGTATCATTATGAAATTCATCTAAAAAATATATTCAACATTAGAAAGCAGGAAAAATGCAAGAGAATTATGAGACAAGACATTTTAAATTATAAATGTATAAATAAACTATGCAATTAGTTTTATTTATAAATCATTAAAATTCTTAAAGGGCTTTCATACCTTAACTTATCTTAATATTTATTTTTTACTCCAAAATGATAAAATATTTCCAACATATTCCTTTCTTCTTTCCAAACATCACCAATGATAACAATTACAATTTATTTAAAATGTATTAGGTAATTATTGGAAATTAGATATTACCGAATGATTTATTAGCTAATATAATATTATTTCAGCATACGAAACTTCCAATTACCTCAGGTACTTGATAAAAAAAAATTGACAACAATCTTTAATTGATGTTAATCAGTTTTCTCAGCTAACTCATGACATTTAATTACTTCTTAGTGAGTATTAGAACAACGACATTGACGTGTTGGTCGCTCAGCAACGGTTCGTGTTTCCGTGTACCTCGTATTCAATAATTCGTTGGGGGCAACTCATGAGTAAAGCTTGGGCTCTCTCACTCTCTCTAAAAGCAGACTTCTCTCACGCTCAACGTCTGCAGCGTTGCCCGGGGTTGCTTTATGCTTTATGGCTTACACCTACGTTTCCCCAACGTTTCCCTTGTCATAGTGAAATATTTTTATTGCAATAATAAAACGTTATTTAAAAAATTTCTAATAAATAAAAACATAACTACACAATCAACTTTCAAAATTGTCCCATAAGTTTGAGAGAATGGGCTTTTAGATATTTTTTTATGACTTTGATTTGTGAAAATAACGTAATGCTACTATTATTCAAGTTTTTTGAATGCATTATTTTTACTTTCTTTTTTGCTTTTCTTTATTTTTTGAAAAAAACATGCATCCAGCACTTATTCCCATAAGATCAAAGAGAACTCGCTGGGTCAAAGTGAATTTAATCGACCATACGTCCTTTCGTCCGGAAGTGTAATATAGCAACCCGTTAAAGGCACAAAAAAAACTGATGCTATAAAGATATAAACTTTATTTTCTTTGATCCTTTTTCTTTTTTTTTTTTTTATTTGTTCTTTCTCGTTACGCTACACACATAAAATCTCCAGTTATTTTTCTCCCTTACACAAGTGGACGGTGATAGAAATAAAAGCAAGAATAGGAGAAAAATGCTGCAATAGAGAAGCGAAATTTTCTCAAGGTTTAAACCGTTAGTTTTAAACTATAAATTTTGGACAAAATAATGGTGATTCTATTTGAATTTATTTTAAAGTGTTATTTTATAATGCAATATAAAGGACAATACCTAATATAATTGGATAAGTTGCGAAAAAGAAAAAAAAATATTGATGAAAAATTTTTTGATCAAATTTGCAAGCTTAAAACTTGGCAAACATTTCAGCACATGCTACACCAGTGGAGTTTGTTGTCTATGTAGAAGTTTTATTTGAATATTAAATGCCGACAAATAAATTCGTTTATCGAAAATCTCTTGGTTGTCTCATCCATCAGCATTCTGCGTGATTTCAGTTTACCCTCTTGCGAGAATAGTCTTGCTCAAACTACGAAGGGAGTCTCAAGTACACGTACATCCCTTGGTAAGGGGTGTCAGAAGGGGGGTTTTAGAGCGCGTCTGGCGTCGTTATCGATTGGTTAAGGAAGCAAGTGGCGGCGAGTGAATACGGGGAAAGCGCGTGTGCAGCACCGTACTATCTGGCGCGGTAACAGGTGTTGGTCTGGTGGCCTGAACGCTGTAAAATCGATGCACCGTGCCGCGAGTTTCGTTGTCCATCGTGCCGCCGCCACTGGGACCGTTGGTGGTCTTTTTCTCTTCTCTTTCTCTTTGGCCTCGTCTTTCGAAGCTGTTGGTGGTGGAAAAGCTTTTGGTATCAAGCACGCAAGCGCTAGGACGCGGGGGCGTCGTGAAGCGCCAGTTGCACCCCAGCCACACCCGGACGAGCCATGTAGTCGGTCTACCCTCCGCACTACGGCGGACAATTGTTGCTTCTGCGCCCACAGGTGGTATCTTCTTATACCCTTTGAATCATCCACCTGGACTAATTGTCAATCCTGAAAATCGCCTACTTCATTATCGCATAAACAAGTGTTTACAACTATTGCTTTGATATACTACAAAGCTCCAAGGAGACGTCAAGGCCTCCGCGAACGCGTAGTGGTGGGTGCTATTGGTGGTGGTGGTGACGGTGGTGGTAGTAGTTGCATGCAGCAGCGTGTGCTCGAAAGCTGCAGCAACGTCGTGTTGGTGGTGCTGCCATCAGTACTTTCCAACCATCTGAAAATAGGACAAGTTGTAACTTTGAGCTTACTCACAAGTTTGCATCAAGTTACTTGGAAGTTGGAAGATTTAACCGACAGTTTACAGTCGATAATGCTAAAGAATAGATGAAAGACTTAACCTTAGAACATTCTTAAACATAGTTCGTCTATCGACCTGCTAGACTATTAGACTGCTAGCACAAGAGAGAGCGCAGAACGAGCAACCGACCTGTTGTCCAACTTGTTGCTCGTCCTGCGGTATCCGCCTTGGTGAAACCTCCGTTGAAGCGAATATGAGAAAAGTGGAAGGGATACTCGGAGACCTAAAGAACAGTGAGCCGAGCTTTTTTAATTAAAATAGTAACAGAGCTTCTTGCTCCATTCAACATCATGTCGGAGAAATGGAAAAAATTATTATTCAACTTTTTCACTAATAATTGTCAATATCTTGCAATAATGGTGGTGTTGCATCACTAGGATTTTAGCAAATAGACATGCGTGAACGACATTTGGGATGTGAGAGATATGAGGAGAGAGAAAGAGAGACAGAGATTTATTATAATTAATATTATGATTATAATATATGTGATGAGAATATTGGAGTTATAATTAAGTAATGAAGTGACTGATATATAAAGTAAATGATAATTAATTTCCACCCACGTTAATACAACGAAAGCAATATCAAACAAGGTAAATCGAGATTTATTACACCGGAGTCAAATTTAATAAAAGTCCGAATTTAAATTTTGAATAAAAAACAAAACGAAACAAAAATAATTAATAATTATTATAAACAAAATACGGAGCTGATTAAGTGACAGACTGATGAAGCGATATTTCTTCTGTCAAGAGTCCAATACTAACTAGAATTAGCTCACTTTGCAAGAAATCGTATTTTAATAATAAAACTGTAAAAAAATAGTAATTCATGCAACGACATAATTAAATTTTAGAAAATCCGAGTTGTATGGATAAAGTCTTTTACTAATAAATAATTTATTAAGTAGACTCAATCCACAGGAGGATGATTAATACACTCGGTTTATTTATTCTCTATTCAATAAATGTGAATCCTACGTCTTGAGAAAATAATCCTAAGAAATTACAACTCCGAGTCAATGTTTACATTTTTATAATTACAACTATAGGCTGTATAGAAATTAGAACATTTAGTGCTAAACTGTGAAATAATAATTTCATATAAAACAATTGAATAATTGATTATTAAAATTCATAAATAATTATAAGTTAATTAAATAATAAATAAGCACCATGCCGCGATGCTACATGGTGAAGAAAGCTTTGTGCAACAAGTATATGAGTGTAACTAGAGGATTTGATAGTTGGAGTAGGAGTAGAGATTCTCCATCACCTACACCAAAACAACTACCTAGTGAAACTTCGCTGACACCAGTATTTCAAGGTATAATTATATTAATTACATTTAAAATTTCCTAGAAATAAAATGATAATAAATATTTTTGTTTGTTTTCAGAACGCTCAAGTACTGAAAATGATTCATCAAATAAAATATCAACAGAAAAATCATCATACTCTGATTCAACATCATCATATGTACAATTAAAAAATGAAAAAACATCCAAATCTGAAATTCAAAGTGCATCAACTAATGAATATCATGAACCGGTGAAACCATCAACGTCATCGTCGTCCACAGTAACCTCAATAAATCTAGATTCAGAATATAAAAGTCATGTGGATTTAGACGTGGAATCTCATAGTGTCATTCAAGAGCCTTTATTTAGAGACAGATCAGCCGCAGAAACTGAAGCAGCGCATGATTTATTGGAATTATCTAGGTCTTTACCACCTTTACCACCTCCTAGTATTGCAGTTGGACCTCAGAATGTGATAGAAACTCCAGGGACTGAAAATGTACAGGAAATAAGTATTTACCAACCAACAGAAACTCCTATTTATCAAGTAAATACTATTGATTTAGGAGGAACTACCACCGTTTATCAGCAACAACCGACAGGAATAATATACGAACCAACTACAATAGTTCAACAAACATCTACTGGTGTTTTTATTCCTCTATCACCAGTACAGGAAATTCTTTTTACTTATAGTACTCCTACGATTCCTTCTATTATCACAGCTCAAGCTTCACCTCTTGAAGCACCTCCGCTAACACCTCCCGCATCAGAGTGTAGTAGTGACATTGAGAACAACAACCCCAACTCTCAACCAAATCAACGAGACAAGGAAGTTCAAACTGTTACTGAACAAACTGAGGTCAAGGCTGCTTCGTATACTTATGACACACTTCTAGTTGCTGATGGAAGGTCAAAGAATAAGAAGCAAATAAATAATGTTGTTCAGTCCAGTAATCTTGTTACTGAAGCTAACTCTGAACCACCGGAGGCACCTAAAGCTGGACGTTATATCTGCTGCGAATGTGGTATGTCTTTATTTAAAATATATCTTTATGCTTTGAAAATGTTCATATTTCCTGACACCGGTTAAAAATAAATTGTTGTAATTTTTTCAGGAAAACAATACGCTACGTCTTCAAATCTTTCTAGACACAAACAAACTCATCGAAGTATTGACTCACAATCTGCTAAAAAGTGTATTCACTGCGGCAAGGCCTATGTTAGCATGCCAGCTCTTGCGATGCATGTACTAACTCACAAACTCACTCATAGCTGCGGTGTCTGTGGTAAAATGTTTTCAAGACCCTGGTTACTTCAGGGCCATTTAAGAAGTCATACTGGTGAAAAACCGTATGGTTGTGCTCACTGTGGTAAAGCATTTGCAGACAGGTCGAATCTACGTGCTCACATGCAGACACACTCAGCTGACAAGAATTATGAGTGTCCCAAGTGCCACAAGTCCTTTGCTCTCAAGTCCTATCTCAACAAGCATCTTGAATCAGCGTGTCAAAGAGAAACTAGTGATGACAATAGCAACGATGTAGATTCGCCAGGTTTTTCAGTCAATTCTACAGACTGTGAGGTAGATTATTAAATTTTTTTTTAACTTTTTTTTTTTATTTCATCACTTTTCATCACCTCAATAATTAAACCGGGAGAATAAAAGCATGATGAAAAATGGAAATTTTTTTCTGGTTTTAAACAATTCTTTTTGAAGATATTTTTTTTCAATATAATATCGAAAATAATGAAAGTAGAGAAGAATTTGACAAATAATTAATGCATCGAAAAGTTTTTAAAGAAATCTTTTAAAAATAGTTAATAAAATAATAACAGTATTTATGAAATTATCTTAAAAATAGTTAGATAAAGTGAATGTATGATTGCATAAATACACATACACGATATTGCAATTACTTTCAATTAATTGCAATAATTAACTCTTTTGTAATTTCCGTTTAATGTGATCAATGTTTACCCATCAGAATGTTCTAAGTTAACACAAAAGCCTTTCCAAATTAATTAACCTACAGTATTAATTAAGTATGAACGTGAATTTTCCTTTATTGCAATGAAAAAGTTAATAAATCTAATATTTAGTTACCAAACATAAAAAAAAAAGTATTTTCATAAAAATTATAATGTTATAAGAGAAAATATATCAGCGTAAAAATCTCGTTAAAAAATTAAATAAAAATTCCAAAGTGATGAAAATGATGGAATGAAAAAGTTGATGGTGAGGATTCTACAATTTTCGATTCAAATCGTTCTCAAAAATAAACTAAAAAAAGAATTAATATTAAAATTTGATATCAGCTCCAAAGGATTAATGTACGAAGCTCTTGAATGTTTGCTGACAAAATGGATTTGGATATGAAATTGGAAGAAATACGATATACATCCTGAATAAAATGCAGTGACCTCAATTGCCGCGATGAAGTTGGTCTCATCCGGCGACGATATCGATTCATCCCGCGGCGTGTGCCCCTGTCGAGGCTTATCCCCGAGGGCTCAACGTCGCTTCATTCTGCACACGATTTTATCGACCTTTCTCACTTCTTTTTCCTTTTCTCTATTGGTCTCGCTCACTTTGCCTGTACTCCTGCACTCGTGTATATGCATAGTTACAACACTCTAAAAAAAAGATTAAAAGAGGGAGAATAAAAACTAGAAGAAGAGAAATGTTGTACATCATATTAATTCAAAGTGACAGAAATCAAGACAAGAGTTTGTATAACAATTTTATTGATAACATCATTCTTTTAGTAGGTAAATAAATCAATTAGGTAAATTCTGATAATCAAATACTCATAACAGATTTACAACTTTAAATTGATACTTGAAAAATAATTTATATTTTTCTTATATGGTTTGAGGAAGAGATTCATTTGTAAAAAGGCTTTAACATTATCAGCATAATTAAGGCATTACAAATTTATTTCATTAACTAATCAAATAAGTATTAAGCTTAACTAGCATTAGTTCAGATCAATAATGCTTTCATATTGATGCCTAGTTTAATCCTAAATGATAACTAATGATTACTTTCCTCAAAGCATCATTATTCTAAATATATCCACACACTTAGTACGTGAAAAAAGGGAATAAGAGTTGAATGAAAATAGTTGGATTAATAATCCAATTCATAATATATGAGGCGAAAGACAGAATAAATTAAATAATAAGACTCTTGGCGATTGTCGTGCGGGGAAAATAAACATCGAAATTCTATTTCTATTGCTCTATTATTGATCGGGACTTGATATTTTTATGAAACGGTATCGCGTGATTCACGCTGTTAATATTTTTTGTGTGACGTAAAAAAATCGTAATGTCGATTGTATTTGCATGTGAAACGTCAGATACTATCGTGTAGCGCATATATACAAAATAATATACATATATATGATCGATTGTCGTGATATACGCTGTATTTAAGAGCATAAGTAATTATTTTTGAATTTTCACCTAAAATTGATACACCAAATTCCCAATACGTCCAAATTGTCTAGTCTAATAAATTATTTATATTTTTATGTATGGATTCTAAAAATGTTTCAAGTTTCTTGATAACTAGTTTATTATTCATTTCTAAATGTAGAAATCGATTCTCTGTATTAATGATGCCTTCATGCAATGCAAAAAGTAATCTAGTTAGAATAGACAGACAGACAGACAGACATACAAGGAAAAGTTGAGATTGAAGAATTGATATTAAATTTATACCAGTTTTCTTCATTAAAAAATCATTTTAACTTTATCTGAAAAAAAAAAATGTTTCTATTCTTAAATTATTTTTCATTCAAAAAACCAGATATATACATTACTGTGTATATTCCATGAGTTATCAAAATATTATTCAATATAAATAAGTTTATTTATACAAGCTAAGTTGTTGACAATGGGTTTTCATCAACATTTTACGGGAAGTAGCCCACCTGTTGAATTTAGTGACCATTTAATAGTAAAGGTTCTGCTATGACCTAACTCTTCTCTTTTTCATTCCTTCTATTCACTCTATGTCTGTCTTTTATTATTTACAGTAAATTAAAAACGTACGCAGATAATATCAATACATAGATTAAATCCATTTATATGCTTACGTCACTCTTATAGAGTAATCAATTCTAGTCTATACCTCTATATACAGCTTTCATGCCATTTCAGTATTCATTTTGATAATGCATCAAAGTGATTCGTGAATAAGTAATGCGGGAAATCTGGTCTAGTTATCCCCTGGCGAAAATATTCTATAATACAGAGAATTAACTCTTTCATTTCAAAATAGATTGAATTTATTTTTTTTTTTTGCATTTGTTAACATTCCATTATTTAGAAATTTTTTCTATGCATTTTTGGAATGATTTGTTGTATTTACGTCAAATTATTTTTCAAGTTATTGTTGATTTATTTAAAAGATTTTATTTTTATAATAATTTATTTAGTTGTTAATAAATTAGATATAATTAAAATAAGGATTAAAACTTATTAGGAAGAAGCTCGTTAAAACGAGTAAAAATAAGAAAATATTTTTAAGATTTATAACAATCAGTAGGTGATGCTGAACAGGGTTAAATGGTAAAGATAAAATGCGATTAGAAAAGTAATGCATGCGTTTGACAAAATTTTTCATTAGATTATAAATTAATTTATGAAAATAATTGATATTCATAGAAAAATAGTAATTTTTTTAAAAAATTAAAAATAAACAATACTGTAAAGCAATGAAAAGAATAATAAACTAAACAAATAAACAAACAGATTTTAGGAGAAAATAATTATCATTACGGTGTAATGTTGATTATCAAACTGCTGAACGACCTGATAACGACAAATTCATCACCCAAAGTCAATGGAATTTAAACAAAAAAATTTTTAACAATAGCATAAAATAGTAATGATAATAATAATATTAATTACAATTAAAATAATAATAATAATACAAAATAAATAAATAAATAATTACAACGAGTATTTCCATATCGTGTTCACGATTAATTAATAATTGCAATTTTTTATTTCACAATAATAAACATCTTATACATTACAAGAAAGAAAGGTTTGAATATATTATTTCATTTTTTATCATATCGAATTTGACCACTATTATATTATCAATACTTTTATAAACTCACATATAATGTGAACATTGAACCAATAATTAAAAAGAAAAAATAACAAAAAAATGTTTAAACAAAGACAAATTTTATCAATATATTATTACTAAATTTATATTCGTTTGACAAGTATATTCAATAAATAATGAAATAGTAATAAAAGAAAAATATAAGGAATATACTTCAGGTCAGTCAATAGAGTATTTAAGAATATTAAAAAAAAATAACTAATAAACGGTAGTCAATAATAAATGTGTATGGGATGTTTTCCATTGCTAAACACACCTTTTAAAACCTGATATAATATGATAAGAAACCCCAGAATTAAATCGGTCATTTATAATTCATTATGATAGTATTCATACTCGATGTAAAAAATGTACGTGCAGAAAAGATGTATTATTTATTTATTTATGTAAAAATGCAGCTACTCTAAAGATTTAGATTAACTATTCATTTTAATTTGCTTCAACAGTTAATTAAAGTTGTAAAGAAATTTTTTTTTTAATTAACTACATTATTTAATATTTTTCTATACTTAATGTTTGCACATAAATGAAAAAGTATTGATAAATCTGTGAGTTTATAAGAAAAATCGCAGAACTGAAACTTGTATTAATTATAGATGTGTGGCATCTAATAATATAACAATTTGTGCAGTTAAATTAATATTATCTAGATATAATTATTATGTATTCCGAGTCACATGTAGACACTTTTTATGTGTAAAAAAATACAGATAAATTTATTTCACACGTTCCTATTTATCATACGATAATTTGGAAATAATTAATATCATATCGAATTGATTTAAAAAAATCAATGACAAAAGGGAAAAAAATTCATTGAAAATAAAAAAAAAACTACTTATAGGGAGACATAGGGTCTAGATTAGTGTGATACAAGGTACGACAAAGCAATAATTTAGTGATTGTACTATACATTTAATTAGTGATTGTAGTAATTAAGTTCTACGATACTTTTGAACTCTATACGTATACATAAATTTACTCAATAAATCAATATAGTTTTGTAGAATGTGCAATGAAAAAAATGATTTTTTGAATTTTAAATTTAAATTTTCATAAGATTAAAAGATCATTTCTAAGCACTGATTATTAAAAACAAAAAAGTTCATAAAAATATGAAAAAATCATGTGAAACTAAATAAAAATATTTAGTTAATAATAATCTTGCTCGTCAGTTAAAAGTTAAAGGAAATGTTTTTGGTGCCAAATTAGTATGTTCCATTTTACGTTAAAACAGATAAATTTAATTTTATTAATTTAAATATTGTAAAAAGAAAACCATTTCAATTAACGCTAAATTAATTAAAACGAAAATTACCGAACAGTAATAACAGATTAAACAGTATTATGCAATTAAAAATAATTACATTATTAATTTGATTAATTAACTTACCAATAATTGCTAAATCCATATACTGGAATTTGTGGAAAAAAATTATATAGCAATTGTAAGAGAGGGTTGCAAGGAACCGAGGAAAAATCTGCCGGTGTCTTTGAAGCAGTTTTAACACAAAAATTTTTTAACCTAGTAAATAAAGAAAATAAATAAAGCATTGAAAAAGATTTTGAATGCGCATTTATACAAACTATATTATGTTCTTCTGAATTTTTAACCGTATAATTAAAGTAATTTTGCAATAAGTAAGTCAAATTTAATACAAAATGGACCATATCAAGGCGCAGGCAAGGTGACGGTGCCTAGTGACCTTCGTAGAATATAAATGAAGATAATTTGAAAATGTATAATATGAAACACAAATTAATAACTGGACGTGTTATATATACTTTCTATTATATAATATTTTAATTATAAAGAAAAATCATAATTTTATGTGTAGCAATTAAGTAATTAATTTAGGTACTTCTGTATTATTCAGATAATTTAGTTAATTAATGTCAAACAGTATTTCACAGTAATTATATAATTATTATTATTTATCTTTACAATTATTAATGTAATAAGTATGAATAAAAATAGCAAAAAGCCAAAGGCAATTTACAAAATTGTAGTGCGCAATGAGAAAAAAATCAATGACACGATGTACTTACAGTATTTAAAATAATGAAAACCGATTTATTGCACCAAATTTGTAAACTTTATTAATTAAATTATACGTTGCGAAAAATAAATAATGTTTCAGTTCTTACCTTTTTATAGCATTTTATACTTTTGTATAATAAATTTCATTATCATTTAATTTCATATAAGCACTGTATGACCACTTATTAACTTAATAATACTTTTGTCTTTATTTTTTTGGTTAATATTCAGATTATTTTTCATAAAATTTATTCTCTTTTGTAGCAGTATAATATAAACGTTAATGTATAATAAATAATTAATCATTTCACAATTAGAATATAAAATAGTCGTTAATTGTGTTATATATTTCAAGCTATAATACAAAATACGAGTGAAGTACACGAAAATGACTATGGCCTATTTAAAAAAAAATTTATAAATGATTTATAGAGCTCCTTGTGACTTTTCTTTCTCTAATTTCGGTTTATCCGATGTTTTTGAATCATTAGATTTACTACTTTTGGTGTCTGTTTCATTTTTGTTTGCATCACTCCCTTTTGATACATTCCAATCTTTAAGACCTTCAGGTAACGACGTATCTTCCTCAAAGGAACCAGTACCTTCAACAAATTGTTCATATGTAGATTTTTCAGGGAATGGTCTAGGACCAAGCAGTTCAATCATATCGTCTCTGCTCAATATTTCTTTTGCTAATAATCTTTCAGCAACCTGTTGAAAACATTTCAATAAAAATCTCTTCATGAAAGCAAGACAGCAAAAATAGAATTTTACATTGAAAAACAAAAATACCTTAATTACATCTTCCTTGTGCTTCGTCAACAATGCAAACGTACGGTCGTATGCTTTTTTAACGAGATCTCTAACCTCTTGATCAATTAACTGTGCCGTATATTCTGAATACGGTTTGTCAAGTACCATATCTCCAGGCTGTGGTTGATCAAAACTGATGTTGCCTATTTTATCATTCATTCCATAGACCGTAATTTGTGAATAAGCTATTTTAGTAATTTTTTGTAAATCATCTTGAGCTCCTGTCGTTATTCTGTTGAAAAATATTTGCTCTGCTATTCGGCCACCTAAGGTCATACACATTCGATCGAATAATTGTTCAGTCGAATAAAGATACTGTTCTCGTGGCAAGTATTGTGCATATCCTAAACCTTTTCCGCGAGGAATAATTGATACCTACATAGTCAACAAAATAAAAAATAGTTTGAAAAGCTCTAACAAATTCTTTTATAGACTTTCTGAAAACATCACAGTATTTTCTCATTGAAACAATGAAAACATATTGCATAATAAATATGTATGACTTTGGAATAAATAAACCATAAAATTGAAATAACTAACCTTCAGAATTGGATCTGCGTGTTCTAAATACCATCCAGACACTGCATGACCAGCTTCATGATAAGCAACAGTTTTTTTCTCTTCTGGTTGTAATACATTAGTTTTTTTCTCCATACCAGCTACGACTCGATCGATAGCTGCTTCAAAATGTTTCATTTCAATGTTGTTTAATAAGTCTCTTGCTGCAATAAGAGCTGCTTCATTGCAAACATTTGCAATATCAGCGCCTGTCATTCCAGGAGTTAAAGATGCCATTTTACGAGCTAAATCTTCTTTGTTTAAATTTGTTTTCAAGGGTTTTAAGTGAACCTTAAATATTGATGCACGTCCTTTGATGTCTGGTGCTGGGACAAATATTTGTCTATCAAATCTACCAGGTCGCAGTAAAGCTTTATCAAGGATATCAATTCTATTTGTAGCTGCTAATACTACGACATTTGTCGTCGTGTTGAAGCCTAAATCATTAAGATACATTTTTTTTTAAATTGATTCATTACTTATATATCTTAAATTATTTTTGTACTACAGAAGCTGTTTATTTACCATCCATTTCTACTAAAAGCTGATTTAATGTATTTTCTTGCTCGGAATGACTTGAAAAACTTCTTCCACCACGCTTTCTACCAACAGCATCGATTTCATCAATAAACAATATACAAGGAGCATGTTTGCGTGCCATTGTAAACATGTCTCTTACTCTGGAAGGACCAACACCAACAAACATTTCAAGAAATTCTGATCCAGAAACGGAAATAAATGGAACATTTGCTTCTCCTGCTGTTGCTTTTGCTAACAGTGTTTTTCCCGTTCCGGGAGGCCCTGCAATTAAAAAATATATTACTCCATTGTTCTAGTTATTTATAAGAAGTAAATTGATGATAAACACCTGTAAGCATTGCGCCTTTAGGAATTTTAGCACCAAGGTCAATATATTGTTGAGGATTTTTTAAGAAATTCACAAACTCCATAATTTCTATTTTTGCCTCTTCACAGCCTGCTACATCTCTATTGAATAAAATTATTAATTATAATCCATATCATGTTTATGTATTGTACAGAAATTAATATTATTTCTTACTTAAATCGTACTCCAATTTCACTAGAATTTATTAATTTTGCAGTAGACTGCATTACTCCACCAAATAAACCTGATGTTCTATTTTTTCCACTACCCATAAATGAAACTGAACGCCGCATGAAATAAATCACAGTTCCTGAAAAGTGTAAAAAAAGTTTATGAAAAATGAACAAATCAATTACTTGAACACATAAATAGAAGTATTCCACACAATCAGATGGTTAATGAAACAAATAATTTACCTATCATTACCAAAGTTGGTAAATATGATATGACTGTTCCCATTTCTACTTCTGTTTTATACACAACTGGAAGATGTTTGTGGGGTTCAATATTTAATTCAAGCTGAGCATTCTCTAAATTTCTTTCAAAAGTCTCTGCACTACCAATATTAAACCACAATATATTCTATAATTATAAATTAGTCTATTATTTATTTTAATCACAACCAATGTTAATAAAAAAACATCTTAATACAATAAAATTTACCGATCCATCAACAGTGTGGCCTGGCAATAATCTCACTCGCACCCATTTTTTATTCACAACCTCTAATTTCTCAACGTATCCTTTCTCCAGATAACTAAAAAATACAGGAAATAAAATTAATAAATCTATTCGTTAAGTGAATAATTTAGGAAATAGCTAATTTCACTTACTTGTATACAAATTCTTGCCAAGTAATTTCTTTAGCATTGACTTCAAAATACATCATCATTGCAAGAATTCCTAAAGCTCCAACAAGACCAGCAACTATCCATTTGCTACTTTCATTTCCATCCATGGGTGTCTTACCACCTCCACTAGGACCTCCTTTTGCGCCAGATCCAAAAATTCCTGATATATAATCTTGGAATGGATCTTGACGAGGTGGAGGAGGTGGTGGTGGCGAAGCATCGGAAGGTTTTGCTTGACTGTCTGCAGATTTTGGAGTTTCCTTCGATTCTAGAATAATATTGAATTTAAAATAATGTCATCTATCAAAGTGTCAAGTAAATTATGAATTAATATATTAATTCTTAATTAATCAATAAAAATCAAATTATAATTATAACTTACTTGGTTTAAAAAATTTTTCAAAGCCTTGTGGCGATTTTTCTGCTAACAATCTCCATTGTTTTTCTACAGTCTGCTCAAGATTTAATAATTTAGGGCTGTTTTTAAGAAATGATAATGTTCGCGACAGCTAAAAAATTTTTTAATTTAATAAATCTTATATCAGAAATGTTGCACATTTTGTGACAATAATATGATTCATATCTGTTATATCACAAAATCCATAACAGAAACAGTAGGTTATGTAGGATAGTAAACTTACTTGAACACGATCCAGTCGACCATTTCTGAATGATTTAAATAAAAGTTTTTCCAATTTATTAGCCGATGACAATAGTTGCAGAGCCATTATTTAAACAATTTAATTGTAATTATCATGTGGATGATGAAATAATTAATCAAAGCAGAGTTGTCGGACAATCTACCGGCTGAACTACGCCATTTTTCGTTTACTCAATGATTCAAGAAAACAACGAAATAATCACATTATCAAATCATTGTAAAAAATATACATATATAGAAATAAAAAAATCTTATCAAAAATTATTCCTACTCAGAAATGAATTTTTAATGATCAATAATATAACTAATACTTAAAAAAATTTTAAACGGAAACATGTTTTTGACTAATAGCGCGAAAAGATGATCTGAATTAAAAGTTGAATAATAGAAGCATTTGCATCTATTTGAATATAAATCAAATAGTAAATGCTCCCTATAATTTATCAATAAATATTAGACAAATTTAATGATCAAATTTTTAATATGTATTAATAGCCAAAATGATATGAAAGTTATTTAAAAATATTTATGAACATAAAAAATGAATGAAATATTTCTTGTTTATTATATAATCACTTCTAACTAATAGGAAAATCTTATTTTAGAATAAAATGTACAATGATTCAGCTAATTATTAACTTTGCTCTAAGAAATATCCAATTAACTATCAAGATATTTCTAACCAAAAAGAACAAAAAATCCTTAATAGTGAAATAATTAAAAGCATATTTATGTTCCATATTGTATATATTTTGATCTTTGCTACAAACCACAGACATTTATATCTGGTACTCTTTTACATTTTATTGTTTGTGTGTAATGTTATATCTGACTAAGAAAGTCCGGAAAACCTCGATAAAATATTTATCATACATATATTTAGGTAAAAAAATATTTCATTTCAGTTTAGCACAATCACTTGTATACGTTAAATATGTGTCAGTCATCTTAATGTTTGTTATCAACTAAAAAATACTCAATAAAATTAGTTTAATGTCATTATTGTATTAATACTGGTGATTTGCTCCAAGAAACCTTATAAAAAATGGCGAACAATATTTCTACTGACAAAAGAAATAATATTCCTCTGAATGTTATTGAAGAAAGAAATTTAAATCGGAAATTATTAAATGTACCAAGTGATAATGAAGAATTAAAAACAGATATGGCAAATGATATTACTGATGAGAAAGTTCTAACTGATGGAAAATTAAAGAAAGCAAGTGTGATAACAATTGACACCACTGACAAACGAACTTATCGAAGCTCAAGACTAGATAGCACTTATGCTGCTAAAAAAACAGTTGCTCAAGGAATGATGGATATTGCTCTTATCACTGCCAATGCTAATCAGTTGAGATATTTAATAGAGTACCAAAGAAATAGTGCAACATTTTGGGTAAACGTTGTCCTAATTGTAGTGAGTCTTTTACTCCAAATAGCAGTAGGAATCAGCCTGATTTTTAAAGGACGTTTTGATATGCAAGGAAGATCTCATTCACGTCAAGCAAGAATGATAAACAATTATGTGGTCGTTGGTGTTTTCCTTATTACCATTATCAATGTTTTTGTAGCTGCTTTTAGTGTTTCACCTGCTAATCCAGTAGTTACACCAATTACACCAGTTCTACCAGTACAAATAACATCTCCAACAACCAATACATCAACATAGTTCTTCAATCAATTGACATATATTTTTTAAAAATATTTCTCTTTCAATGTTAATTAAAATAGTATAATTAGTAATAAATTAATTTTTGATTCATTAATAAATTTTTTACATTTTTTAGTAAAGTTATTTTCTATAAATTTTATAAAATAATTTTGGATAAATTCTACACTTAAAAATATAAAAATAGAAGTAAATAAGTTTTTTCTATAATTTATGTAAAATAATTTTGCTAACTTTTTAATTTGTTGGCCAAGTGACCAAGTTGGCAAGAGGCAAGGAAATGGCTGACTCTAAATAGTGAGATTGAAGGACACTTAAAAGTTGCATCTGCTGAATCTAACAGATATGTTACATCTATCTATCTTCGTTACCTCTATGATGAGCTTTGTTGCTTTATATGCGCCGTTCTGCAAGCTCTATCGTCGTCACTTCACTCTATATGTGATCGAGGGGTATGCGGTTGAAGGGGAATGAAAAACATACGACGAAGGTTGAACTGTTAGTATGAAACAAAAGGTAAGTGCAGCTGCCATTGCCAAAGTCACGTCGTACTTAAGAAATACTTTTCTCTCTCTCTATTGATTAATCTATAATTTATCAGTAATTTGACATGGGGAAGGGAAAAGGTAAGCTCATTTTTCAAATTTTATTTCCAAAATCTCCTTTTACTTCCATTGAACATCAATAACATCACAGCAGTTTCAAAAATGACTTAATATTGATAAAAATTCAATGACACTGCCTTGGAGTAACACAGTTATAGAAAATGTTATTTTTAATTCATGTAAATTTTACTATAATCATTTGTTAAACTTGATAATCGACTTGAAGTTATTTGAATTTTAAAATTCTTATTGCTTGACAGGCGGTGGTGGTGGTGGAGGTGGCGGTGGAAAGGGTGGTGACGTGAGTTTTTTCATAACAAATATTGAAAGCCGATTATTGTGTCAATAATATGAATTTATTTTTAGACTAAAAAAGCAGGAGGAACAGCACCTGGAAAAGGATCTGAGGCCAAAGCCGACTCGAAGGGAGGAAATAAAGGTGGAAAAAAAGGTTTGAAATTTTGACCATTATCCTTAAAATAAAAAATTATAAAAAAATATTATTTTTCTTAATTATATACACATATTGCCATGGCAATAGTTGAATAAATTTTTTCAATAGTTAGATTTGAAGATCAGCAGATTCGTAAACCAAATGAAACTAAAAGAAGATAATTTCCTGTTATAGGTGGGAAAAAATAACATCAGCTTTCTCATCAATCTTCACACTCTCTTCCTTCTTTGATGATTTTTCGAATGATTTTTTTCGAATAAAAATATATATATATATATATTATTTAAGTTATTAATTTATTAATAATAAAATAATTTATAAAACCACTATATTTAATGAACAATTTTTCATCAATAATACAATTACAGTATTTTTATTCTACTGTTAAATTTCCAAAACATTGAAAACTATATTACTATATTAGTGCATACAAAACATTATAAATGATTACATGACTACATTAAAAATTGATTTATCAGATAAAATTAATTCATTTTTTTTTTTGTATATAGCTGATATATAAAAATAATTTGCTACTAGTTTTTAATTATCGTATAACTTGTGATAGATCTACATTGTCTTTAGGACGGTATCCTTCAGGCATTTCAAATACTGAAATGCCAACATTTACAGCTACTGTAAGCATCATCATGGATAAAACAATATTGTTCCATAGCTCTGCACTTTTATGATCCTTTTGCTTATTTATATTGTAACCTGAGCCTAATAGTAGACATATAAGTCCTTGAATGATCTGCAGTTGCAGGTGAGTCAAAAAATAAACGTGCATAAACAGAAAAAAAAATAAAAATAAATTATAAACTAAAGAATTGACAATGTTTCTAAAATAAATATTAATTAATGCAGTCTTAAAAAAATATCTGAGCAATATATCACATAAATTATGAAACAGTTCTATAATTATAACTATAAAAATAAATAAAATTATAACTGAATGAAAGAAATAAATTAAAAAATGAAATATAAATAAATAAAGCTTTGTTTCTATTATTCATTCTGATTCATCAGTATCTAAAGCTTTTTTACTGTATGCAACGAGTTCATTTGGTGGTTTATTACTGAATTCCATACCAAAACCAGAAATAACAACATTAATCAGACTGATGACGAAAACCGCAATTAAAATGATGTCATTAATAATATTAGCAGCCCACTGATCCCTACGTCGATTGATATCCAATCCACCCACGATGATGAAAAGAATACCGACGACAGCCTAAGCAATTGAATCTATTCGTTTTTTTGTCTAATCTAAACACCATCATTTTTTACTTGCGATTGATCCAATTGCGACGCAAGTATCGGATAATTAAATTTTTGAATTACTGAATTACGTAATCATTTCGGCATCGTGGATTGATTGATCAAAAGCAAGAAGTGAAGAAAGCCCCATGGGATCAAAAGCTGCTATGAGAATATTATCCAAAAATACTATGAAGCTCAAAGCCACTCTCAAACGGCCAATCCACTCCACTGTCAATCCTTGTCTCTCATCTTCCATCTTCCGGTCTGCCATTAGGTTTAAGGAGAGAGATAACAACCCCGACAGGATCTGCGCGTCATATAAATATTTTTTTCCACGGTTGCGTTACAATTGGATCAATTGCAGGTGAAAGTGGTTTTGAATATTTACATAAGTACAATCTACTACGTGCTTCAGTGCTATTATTAATTGTCATTTATTCAATAATTTATTTTTAAAAAAACGTCAACTAAAAATCTCAATAATTTAATGCATAATTTTATTTTAGAATTAATAAATAGATTCAGTTGATAGTAATGCATTAAAATGTTTTGAGACTTTTAATTTTTAATAATCTTAAACATCTAGGTATTTAATTATTAATGTCAATTACCTGAAGTCCAATTGATAGACAAATGAGAGAAAGCATTAAGGTATAAAATTCATGCTTCTTTCCGACCTAAAATAAAAAAGAAAATTGTTACAATAATATTGTTACGAATTCTAAGAATACTTTTAGTATGTCAATAGGTTACCTGTAGTATGTACTTCAGCTGAGATGCATTAGCTGTTAGCAAAGCAATATCCAGCATTCCCTGAGCAATCGTTTTCTTCGTCGCATAACGATTCGGGTCCAATGATTTTCCCTGTAATTACAAAGAAGATAAATGTATTACTTTATTCAATACCTTACTAAGAATTGATGATTAAATGTTCTTTTTTGCTTTGTGATCCTTTCAAGTATTACGCATTCATCACCTAAGTTTCATGACCTTCCTTTTCATTGTTCAGACTCTAAACAAAGAGTCTTTATGGGTATTCGTAATTGTTCAAGTCCGTAACCTTTGTGTATTCAACTCTTAAATCTAATTATTCAAATATATTTTTTTGATAATGTTAAAAAAAAAATGCAATAGTCATTTAAAGTTTGATGAATTAGTACTTTTATTACTTTGTTTCATAAATATTTAAGTATAATTAGTTGATAAACTTTTTCAGTGTATTTGAATCTTCTTTTTAAAACTCACAGTCAATACTTCAGCTACTTCAACATCAACAGCTTTTCTTTCATTCATAGCACTTCTTAAATCTCTTTCTTCTTGAGAAAATGTTCTGTGAAGCTCTATTACATCAAAACTTTCATCATTGTGAATTTTACTTCCGGACACTTTACGATACAGAAATCCATTATTATCCGTTTCTTTCGGTTCAGGTTCACTAGACTCTTCAATTCCTGGAGCGGAAGGTTTTAACTTTTCAAAAGTATTAATCTGTGCTTTGTCAACGGATGGATTTCGTCCAAAAGTTAACGGCTTCTCAATGTGCTCAGACATTTTTAAAATTTAGAAAAAACAAAAAGATTTTCTATGTATATAAATAATCTGTTTGTTCAATTAATTTCAGTTTACATTAGTAATCTCGACTGGAATTAATCTTAAATTTATAGACAAGATATCACTTTATATCAGATTTCAAATCACCAAGACTTATCACAAACTCAAGTTACTTTTTTCGTTAATATAAATCTAACTTTTTTCACCTGTTGCGATACGATTGTAACGCTCTTGATCATAGTCTTACAATAAGTAATTAAATTTATAACTTGAAGAGATAGTGGTAGTCAATCTCTGACTAACTTTACCATTTGCAGTCAACTCTCAGTCAATAACAATTACAAAGAAAATGAGGACGAATGCGTTCATAAATAAAAAATTATTTGAAGAATGACTTGATTATTAATCATAAATCTTAAAGCTCTACGTAAAACATTGTTTTGATAGCTAAATATTTAAATTAAATGTGTTATAAAGGAGACTAAAAATTTTAAAAATCTAAAAAAATATCAAATATGTTAAACTCAAACATACTAATATTTGTTATATTAGATTATTGAATATTTATTTAATAGTTTAAACAAAAACCCCGGTTATTCTGACCAATGGTAAAATAAAGTAGCTCAATTGATGAAGAAAAGCAACTGAAGGTCCACAAAAGTTAGGCTTCAAATGCTTCAAGTCTTTGCATGTCTATCTATCTTTTTTCTTTGATTGAAAAAAAATGGATCAAGGAAAAATAACTGACCTGGTCAATGTTTTTCATCACTTATTAAATTGATTATTGACGAAAAGTCACGAGTTAAAGCCCGAATGTTCTACATGCTAACATTGTCTTTATATTTCCTTCAATAATGAAATTGTAACAGGGACAGTAGTCTGATTAAATAAAACTAAAAGTTGTATTTAAATGCTAATAAAAGTTTCTTCTAGGAGGTCGTTCACGTTCATGTATAAAAAATTTGTGAATCGATTAAATAATATAATACTGTCCGTGACATAAGCATTTTAATACATGAATTATTATACTGCAAGTGTGGAAGTAAACCTGTTTATTACTCCAACGAATTTATTCGAAATATTAGTATTATTGCAGTTACGATTTATTTTCATTTATTTACATTCACTACTTAAACTTTTTTTTTGATTATTCTAATTAATTAATATTCATTACCTGATTAATATTTCCGTTTTCTGTAATAATAGGTCCTACGGCCGCAGCCGCTGTGGACATACTCTTGAAGTAGCGAAAAATCTTGAATAACCAAAACACTCTGAGGCTGTAAATAAATTCTTCTTGATATTAATAATGAGCAAAAGTTTACCCACCACCGAGTAAACAAAATAATATATATATGTAATCAAATAATCCTTATCATAGATTAAACATGAACTAATCGTTCAATAAATCGGTTGATTTAACAGTTATATAATAAATTTTATAAAATAGTACTTTCTATTTACAAGCCGAAAAAATTTGAAGACGATTAGGTATAGATAGCTATGTCTAATATGCATTGAAAATGCAACTTTCCCTTACAACAATTGAATTGTATTTCTATTGTTTGAAACAACTGTTTAAGTTAACAAATCGATCGTTGACATCCCCAGAATCGTGTAAAAATGCAAGTATTTCATTGGCTAATGTTGCGAACATTATCCAGTCATTTTTATTATGCTATGTTTTCTTCTGGATAGGTGTGTTACGCAAATTACCCTTTCTATTGTTATGACATGCTAAATATCCATGGTAACTAAATAAAAAGTCACTCAGCCATGTTGAGTATCTACTGTTGCAATTATTTATTAGCTTTCTTTAGTAAAAATTCGTAAACTAACTTTGTTACAAATTTTCGTTTTAATGGCTTTTTTGTTCTTACAATAATTTAATTTCATCTTATGTGTATTTTTACTTTTAAAAAATTTTTTTTTTTATACATACTCATTGATCTTTGTTATTACGTTTAGGGCTTATGTGCGTTAATACGCTAAATATAAAATTAAAAAATGCAAATGTACCAAACTTTTGTGAATGGGCGATTAAATCACACCGCAGATCAGCTCTAAAATTAGCTTGATCATATCACAGGTACAATTTAATTTATTTTGTAAATAAGTGATAGGTAAATTGTTCCTTTCAATTTGTTAAAATAAAATTTATTTATAAAAATTAATTTACTTTTATGCTTTAGCTAGATTCTTGATAAGTTTGTCAAGTCTTATCGTAACAAACTATTAGAAATATTTTTTTTCCGTTATTGAATATTTTTAATACAAGAAAATAAATACTTAATTAATCTAGAAAGATATTACTTTTTTACTCTAACGAATTAAAAATTTTCTAATAATTTGCCATTAAAAGAGGAAAAGAATGTTATTAAGTAAAAAATTTTGTAATAAAACTTAATTATACATTCATGAATTTCATTTCAATAGTTAATAAACCTCTTTAGAATCTAATATGAAAAGTTTCAGTATTTGTTGTCTTTAATAAAAAAAAAAAGATAAGAAACATTTTAATTTTTTAACAAATGATTAATTAGCATACATAAACATTATTTAATTATTAGAGCATAAAAACTGGCTCATTAATCCATGATTAAACGACATAAAAATAAAAATATAGTGAGACCAACAGCAACAGATTTTGATATTTCAATACAAAATATTTAACTGTACATTATTTAGTATACTGTCTAAATTTTTTTAAATTATTCAATGTAATTATTAACTTTACTATTTTTCTATATTCATTATTTCTTTTGAGTTATTTTTTATAAATTTTAGAGAAAATTCACTGTTGTTAAAATTATCTATTCAACTATTATCATATCTATTTTGCTCTGAAACTTCTTTTATCATCGTTATAATTGTATCAAGTATCAATTAATATTATAATGCGCTACATCTGTTAAAAAATAAAATAATTCATTATTGGCTGCATTATTTTTAACAAATTTAAGTTTTAAAACAGAGTTTCATCCTCTTTTTTAAGAGTTTCTTTTTCATGTTTCAGTGATATGAAATTAAATATTTCAAAATGTCACTTTACATTATCGTCTTGATTTTAAAAAATTATTTTTACTTATCGATTAAGATGTGTACTCTTCTTAAAACAGATCCAGCAAAATAATAATTTGGTTAATTTGCTTCCATCGGACTTTGCCAATAATGGGCCTGCATTGAAAGCCGTTGATTATTACTGGGTTTAAGAGGAATTGTGCAACGTACAGCATCAGGAAAACGCTCATGGTATCGCTCTAATCGTAGGTATTTTACTGTCACAAGATGTCCTGTATTTAAATAAAATGATTTTACTTATTATTAAATGAAACGTAAAAGGATAATAAATATTTGATTATTATTTACCATCAAACCAACAGCCATGAAGTGCTCTATATGCTTTTCCAGCGTCTTCTTGAGACATACACTTCATGTAAACACATCCCTCTCGACTATTACGATCCACTCTAATATGAAGAATTTTTACACCTTCTCCACATTTTTCAAGAATGGCATCCTGGACTTTAACTTCCCAATCATCCTCAATTTCTCTACATCCATAAAATAAATTGATTTACAGTTTATTTTGAATAAAATAAAATTAAAGGTACTATTAAAAAATACTTATTAATAAAGTACATACACGTCAGGATCAAACATATGACGAATTTTCAAACACGGTGTTGGCGAACAAGTTAGACTGTTCACTGATCCTTCCATAGTCTCAAAAGCTTGTCCTTGCCAAACTTTAGTTTTTTTACTCGTTGGTGATGCTGATGATGACGTATTTACATTAGGCAACCAACGCCACACTTGAAATTCTTCACCTGCTACTTGTTGCACTTCTCGTCTTATCCTCGATTCATTTTCATCCAAAAATTTTACTGCTCTATCCCATACTCCTAGCATTTTTTTACGATCTTTCGGTGGTATTAAATTGTCACGTACATGATTAATCGCCAAATAAGGATCTTGACTACCACCAGGACTTGTAGATGTAGCACTTTGGTGATGTAATTCAACCATACTGATTATTTCACTGACTAATTGAAATACTTCTCTTTCAGCAGATTTTTTATGTTTCACGTACCATTGAAAAAGCTTATGGCCACCAAAAATTACTAAAAGTCCTAAAAATTGATGGAAATATTTTTATCGTTACTTAATGATAAATAATAGATTAATTATAAAATATTATTTTTGCTATAGCTTACCAGCAGCTAAAATTAATATTGTGGATAGCACAGCAAATAATTTTTGCTTAATTAAACATTTTAATGGTAGATCAGGATTTAACATTACCATTCCTACTTTTTCTGCTAAACGATATTCAAATACTTTTTCCTAAAAAAAAGTAAAACATTAAATAATTACTTATTAAAATAAAAAAATAGTCTGAAGGCAAAAAGGTAATTACCATAGAATCTAAAACTGAGTTAGAAATATCATTACTGTCTTCAATGGCTATAAGAGAAATGCCCCAGCTAGGATTTTGAAAAATAAGAAGTTGGGCATTATGTAGATCACTCATTATTTCAATCTCTTTCTGTAAAAAAAAATTGGTTCAAATAGATAATTTTTATTAATTATTTTACGACTAATTTGTTAGTTATTTTATAGAAGAATAATAATCACAGACTAAACAGAAAAAACCTACCACTTTGTCATTTTTTAACATTTGTTTAACATCAGAATCAGTTAAATAAGGAGCTTCGTTATTATTATCGCAAGATACAGAAACAGCTTTTTTCATCAAAATAGGTCGAAGTTTTTTAAGTAATTGCATCGTAGTCTCCACATCTTCATTGAGTAAGCAGTTTACACTGGGTTTATTATGTCCTGTTTGAGAACATATTGGAATTTCGTTGTCTATAAAAAATTAAACGCGATTTTTAATATATTATTTATTGTAAAACATTGACAATTAATCATCTTAAAGGTAGGATTACTAGTTAAAGTGATGATACCAACAGTGATAACAACAATAAATATTATAGTAGAAATAGATTACTCATCACATGCACAAATTTTATAGAAGACGAATAAATGAATAACCATTTCAATAAATCGATTCCAAAAATAAAAACTATTCATTATAAAAAAAATTTAATAAATAATCACTCAAGGGAGAAGGAAATAAAATACTGAAACTAACAAAATCACCATTATAATATTTATTATTTATTATAAAGAAAATTACATATTTAAGTAATAATCTAGCAACCATATATAATTAATATAATAATGTTGAATGCAAAGTAATGTATAAAATAATTTTTCACCAGGAAAAAATGCAAGTAATTAGAAAATGCACTGAAAGTATCTTAAGAGTAAGTAATCGAGTATAAAATATGGTTGCTTCGATTTAGTTTGTTCCTATACTTTATTTATAATTAATTCAAAATTCCAAGAGACAAGACAAAAGATAAACGAAAAAAAGACGCACACAAAAAATAAATATGTTTCTATCGCTAATTATTTTTCTAAGTTGACGAATTTCGATAAGCTAACGATAAGCAAGTTACTAAAAATTTTGTTTCGTAAATTATGAACAAAATACTAAACTGATTATCAGTAGCTATAGCTGCATAACAATTTATAACATTCAGAATCTATAATTTCATTTTTGCTACAATATATGATATACCCACACCTTTAGATATTTGGCGATATTTTGTAAATATAAACGTTCCATGATTTCTCTTATTAAGTGTGTATTTAAGTGATTATTAATCTTGATACCTACCCATGGGAAGAGCTGGAGCAGAATCAGATTTTCCAATAAGGCCCAAGTAAACAATTGCCAAAATGCCGAAGAAGAGAGCAAGTACTATCACTAGAGCCATTGAAACCATATTTTGGCTGTTTCTGGATTCTTCCTTATTAGATACTGATGATTTATAACTTCTGGTCACAATGTCTCTCGGTCTATCATTTGAGGAGGAAAAATATCTGTATTAAAAATAAAAAAAACATTATTTGTTTGAAAGATAATTTTATATCATTAGAAAATTTATCATTGATATTTAAAAACCTTGAAGTCGGAGAGGTATACGTGGTTTTTAGTGGAGAAGAGTAATGTCCATTTGTATCATTCTCTTTGATTTCTGACCGAACTGATCTTAATATCGCACCTAAAAAACAAAAAAGAATTGAATATGGAAAATTTGTTGATAAAAATACACATCTTATTAATTTTTAAAGTTGTAGAAATTAATAAATACTTACTGGTAGATGGAGGTCTAGGAGGTAAATTAAGACTAGCTTGAGAACTAAGTTTTCTAGTAAATTCAGATAAATATGGTTTTTCATATTGAGAAAGAATGACATCAATGTCATCTTTTTTTTTATAAAGATCATCTTTAATCAGAGCTATTGGAGATATGTCTGTTTTAAATGGAGGTACATAATATTTTTCTTCTCTCAAAGCTCTTGATATTGGTTCTGAAATTCTTGCAGGTTTTTCAACATCTACTGTACTACGTTGCTTTTCTTTCGAATTATAAGGTTTTGCATTCGAAATTTCAGTAGAATATTTTTTTGCTGAGGAATAAATTTTATCCGGCTCATCAGTTATGTCTGAATCAGATCCAGTCTCAAGGCCGTCATTAGGAGCTGATACTTTATGAAATTTATTTAATTTTTTCGTAACAGTTTTAGTTATTGATGATCGATTAGTTGAATTCACGGGTTGGGCTGATTGCTCAAAATCAGCATTAACTTCTTTAGGCTCCGATGTTCTTGATTGAGTACGACGTTTCGAAGGACTTCGTGAAATACCTGTTGCAACTGGCGGAGCCGGTGCTGGTGGTGGCATAGGATTGGCCATAGTCTGGCGCCTGTTGGGTGTTTTCTTTTTCCGGCTTGGTATTGGCGCCGCATCATCATCGGTATCATCACTACTAAATCTGAAATATAAATCAAATGTCCTTTGAAAATACATCAATATTAGTTTTTTTGTACTACAACTAGAGATTACAATATTGCAATAAATTTTACCGATTAAACACTATATTATTCATTATTAATTTTGACTTCTTATTTGATATAGTCTGAGACTACTAATCTAAATTAATGCCTAGAAAAAATTACCTAGCAGCTAAAGAATGACGAGATCCAGAACCTCCTCGAGTTTCAATAAGATTTTTAAGCTTCTTCACTAAAATGTTTCGAGTAGTTTGCGTGACTGGGCCAACGGGATAACCATATTCCGCGAGCTTGAAACGAAGCTCTGAGTCGGTGAGTGTATCCACCGACATTATTGCGTATCAGAAATGTAGGTAAATATTGAGGTTAACTGTTTAATCAGAGATTTATTCAATTTCTATGTGTTCCAAACAAATTCAAGTGATTATCATGTATATAAACAAAAAATAAAACACACACTACAATTGTCTTTTCACTTTTCTAAAAAGAGCTTCGCCGTTTTTTTCACACTCTCCCTTCAACCCGCGTACGACGTTATTACAACCTTTCGTGCTCCGAGAAAACGCGATATGTCGTACGCGCTATTCTTCCTCGATTCGACGCAGAAGGCGATTGATCGTATCTGCGCACATAATCCCGCCTAAAAAGAACCAATCCGAGAACATCATTTTAATTTAGAACATACCTTCTTTTTAGACATCGTTTTCAAGTAGCGATACTTTTTGTTGACATCGCAATTATAAATTACAGAGAAATTTATGTAATATTTATATCATACTCTGCTTTTTATCTATAAATGTTTATTAAACAGTATTTGTATAAGAAGAATTTGATAGAGAGTAATTAATTAAATAGTTTGAACATTTCAATTGGTTGTGTCGGAATAACTTTGATCGAAGCGCCAATTCATCTAACCAAACAATTGGCAATATTATTGTCAGCGCCTCTGTTATGAAAATTGTGAAAATTTATGGTGCAAGTGACACATAATTTGTTTATAAAAAATATTACCGTTAATGCAATATCAATAAATATACATGAACTAAATTATCATGAAGAAAAGTATGTAAAGTACAGTTGAATTGTTTGTGAATACTAAAAATTACGATTATGGATGAAGAAACATTAAATAGGTACATTCTGGTATTATGTTTATAAAATGTTATTTACTAGATAAAAAATTGATCAATACTTTATAACATTCAATTGTTTTACTTTTACTTATAATTGTTACTTTATTTTGTAGATTAGCAGCAGAAGCCTTGATTGAAGAAGCCAAATTAGGAGCAAGAAGAGCAGAAATCATGGGTCCAAGTGGTTGGGTCAAACCTAAAGAAACTGTCAACAAGAGATTCTTAAGTTCAACAATTCGTAATGCTGTTATTTTTAACAGACATCGACAGAAAAGAAAAGAACGACCAAGTGAAAGTCACTCACATGAAGACTCTAAAAATTATAATAAGGAGAAAACAAGGTCCCGTAAAAGCAACAAATAATTCAAACAACTATAGTACATATAATTAAAATTTCCAATCATTCTATGGGAATTTCAAGTGAAAGTAAAAAATATTCAAAAAAATTTACCAAAGTAGATCTTCAAATAATTATATGTTTATAGTCTCAGAGATTAAAAGATAACTTAAAAGAATATTTTTATCCTAGCTATAGAAATAATGTCTTAAAGTGTTATTTAATTAATAATTAATATTTTTATTTATTTAAAATTATGATTGCCTTTATTTTCAAAAATATTTAAAACTTAGCACAAAGTATTTGTAAGAAATTCAAACATTGAAATTTATTATATATTTTTTTTTCATTAACAATCACTGGTATATACAAGTTATACGAAATAATTCTAATTCAAAAAGAGTTTTTAATTTCATTACATATTTTCTTTTAATTGAATTATTCATATTCTATAAATAATTCCAACAAGCACCAATTTTATAAAATATGGACTTATAACACTCTTAATTAATATTAATAAAGAAAATAATATAATTGAAAAAATTTATTGTATATAAAATAATGTATACTACTAAAGTATTTTGCATTGATAGGTTGCTCATGTAAATCGAGTTACAAATCTTTTTATCAATTCCACGAATACTATCTAAAAGTAAAGATAAATTTGAAAATATTATCCAAATAGTACCGTTATAAAATTTTTTCATTCTCATTTATCACATTTTCCGAAATTGACTAAATCAATTATATAATATAACAGTATTTATGCGACCCGCAACAAGTTTGCTCGATTCAATTGTGCATTGTTAAACGTAAAATTTTCTTAATTAAATAATCTAAATCGATCCATTCTTTTGTCCACTCAATTGTTTAGCAGCATTCATTAGATCTTTCATATCAGCAAGAGCTTTTTCAATTCGCTTTGCAAATCTTGCAGAATCCTATCAAAAAAATCGAAATAATTTTAAAACCCATTTTAAATTCATTAAAAAATACAAGTATTATTACTCACAGTCTCAGGAGAACTTGTTTTACTAGAAATATGGAAAAATATAAGATCTTCTCCAGCAATAATATAAGAAACTCCATATCCATCGTCAGCAACAGGCCCAAATCCACCACCGGCTGAGATACAATTTGGAAATTTCTTTAAATCTAATTTAGATGTTTGTCCATGAGGAGTTTGAGATGTCGACAATTTCCACGGTTCACTCAAAACTTCTTTCAAAAAAGGTGAATCGACTTCCAAATATTTAGATACAACATATAAGCAGAACAGATGCCTGTCTATTCCTTTTCCACACATTGCTTCTTGATATCCTACTTGATGTTGCAGTGCTGCCGTTTTTAATAAATTATATTTTTCTTCAATACTTGAAGATTTATTTTCCATTGCTTTAACCCAGTTATATGATTCAATTGTACAAGGACGGACTGTTTCGGTTCGTCCTTCTCGGAAGAGTCTTGTCATGGAAGCTTCATAAGTAAGACAAAATTTACCAGCATCTCTATAGTAAGCAAGTTGCAATGCCATTTGAATATAAGCATCGGGTGACATTTTACATTTTTTCATGAATCCTTTGCCATAATGATCATGAACGTAAATACGAAGATCAACATCGTTCAGTAGCTTGTGTGCTACCTATAAAAATAATCATTTTACATAGTATTTTTCAATCATAACCGTAAAATAAATTTTATACCTCATAAGCTTGCTCTATAACATCAATACATTCTGGAGTAAGATCCCACTGTAAACGTGAAGGAGTCAATGAAAATTCTGGAGTTCCAGCTGTATGTCCATCTTCTTTATATCTACATTTATCCAAAGTAAAATTTTTTACTCATTCGATTAATTAATCATACAAATCTTTGTTAAGTAAAAAGCACAATTAAATTAAAGTAAGCAGTTTGTGTTAAGCATAAAAAATGGTCTTAAAGTATTAAGAATAATTTACCCATTGTCTACTATATCACTGCCAATAACATATTCCCACATAGCACCCATCACAGGAGCATCGGCCCTAATATAAAAATAATTGAAAAAGAAAAGCGGAAAATGAGTAAATTAATGTATGAAAATCAATTCGATTAAAACAGTTCACATTTGATAGATATTTACAATATTTACAAAATTTTAGTTTGAGAAAAGAAATGAGTAAGTTTTTTAATGATAGAAAAAGTAATAATATCCTTTTTAAAGCTCCAATGCAGATATATTAGATAATATTTTATTTTTTAGTTTATAAATATCTGTTGATATCTTAAATCGCAATATTTTAAATCGCTTACATGTTACATGTAACATCTGTGGCTACCACACTTTCCCATAAGTGTGACATTACTGCTGCATCAGCCCTGTTCTCAATTTCGCATTTATTAAAAAATAAAAATAAATCAAGACTATTACTAATTCCAATCACTTGGAAACAAAACTTGATCGAATTTCCCAAATTCAATAATCAGAAACTATCGTCGATTATCAATAAATAAATATTGAAAATTGTTTTAATCGATACACTGAACTTTAAATAAGAGGCTGTAAATAAGACCTTAATTGATAATAATACATACCATGAATGTTCAGCATTAAAACCAATACGTCCATTTGTTCCAATGCAAAGGTTAAAAGATTTATCAAACCATCTATCATAACCTTTTCCATGCAACAATATTCTTCCATATTGATCTAATTTTTCTGGATGTGCCTGCATGAATAAAAACAAATATAAAATAAATATTCTATTTATTTAATAATAATGTTTATTATTTATACTCACAGGGTCGTATTCGTAAGGTAGGTCATCAAGAACAACAACAAAAGCAGACTTTTCAATTAAATCCAAAGAAGTTTTATTAATTCCTTTAGCAAAGTGATCTATTCTTGCTTTCGCCCATGTTGTTCTATCTGTAGCCGTTAAGGCTGCAAGTTTTTGTTCACCAGGTAACGGAGCTGCCTCGTGTGTCAGGATATAATTAATCTGCTGCTCAATCTCGCATGGTAGAAGAATCCTATTTTTATAGTAGATTAAAAGCTTGTAATATCGACCTTTGTGATAAACAACAATATGTTTGGAGTCATTAAAATGTACTATTTTGTCAGTTTCAATTCCAGGTGTCCTCGTTGTGTTGAAGAGTCTCTCATATTGCCAAGAACACAGGGGAACAATACCTTGCAACATTATCGGTTCTAGCTCCTGACGTTCGATACTTCGTCTATACTGCAAACACCAATGGATAGTGTTGGCAGCTCGAGCTGCTTGTATTTTAGTTGGATGCATAAGAATTGCGTCAATACCATAAAAGTTTGAGTTGACCATTATTGGAGATCTACCACGTAGATATACGTACTCTTCCCACCAATCAGACACGTAATTACTCGACCACCAGGACTTGAGAATTAGATAACGTTGAAGTTTTACTGCGATGCCTTTTTCGAATTCATTTGCTAGTTTTTCCATACGTTTGAAGTTTTCATCGTCAAGTAGTGGCCTTACACTTCGCAAATACTGTAAAAGAATAATTGTTTATTAAATAATGGTGAAAAAATAAAATACTTCACAGGTCTACAAATATTCTTTGTTTAATATTTGATGTAATAGTAATTTTACATATTCAAATAATGATAATTAAATGTCTCTAAGTTTTTAATTTACTTTTGATTATATTACAATGTAAATTTCATGACTTCCAGAGAAATACCTCATCTTGATTCAGCATTTTTCAACATTTATAAGTGCTTTAGCTGCCTCACTATTACATAAATTGCAAATTGTAGACTTGTGCTGTTTGATTAATTTACGAATGAGTATTGAATGAATATGTGAATTGTCATTTTGTTATTTATGTTGTTGATTTTTTAAAATATATTTCCTTGCTCCATAATAGTTCGATGGATTAAAATACGATACGTGAGTACTTACTCACTACCAAAAAATTATTAATAGGCTAATAAGACCCTAACCCTTCTAGTAGTATCTTTGACTGATGGCAATGGCAGTCGTGGCAGTGAACCTTGGAAGCTATACAACATAGGTTTATTCCATCCTGACAATAGTTTCACCAAAATCAACCATATTCGAGTAGTAAAAGATATTTTACGCTGTCGAGTATCTAACATCCATCCTTTGTACATCAGTAGTAATTTCAAACAATATCTCAGGGTGTAAATTACTACCAGCCACAAAACTAATCCAACAACAACTGAAGCAGCTAGATGAGCTGGTATTGAAGATCTAAAAAATGAATTGATGATAATAAATTATACTTTTTAAAAAAGTAATTATGATCATAAAATTATAATTGAATAAATGAATAATTTTTCGTTCATAGACTTTCTGTTTGTGTACATAATATTTTAGTCAACAAGTTCCAGGTTCAACCTTTAAAGGTCAGATGATAAATACTTGATCAAAATAAACATTTTTGAAAAAATAAATTGAATTTTTTTGTAATCCATCAGATATGACAGAAGAAAATTTATCCTTATAAAAATACTAAAAAATTCTTGTTTAATAAATGATATGAGTAATGATAAAAAATGACTAATGGACAGTAATTCATACCCTGTAAGATAAGGAGCAATCCTACCAACGAGATCATAAGGAACTTTAAATCCAGTAAAATGTATAGTTGTCACAATAGCTATAGTAAGCCATAAACTCTTCAACGATGCTGGATAAACTCCTGTCTTTAGATTATTCTGCAATCAAAAGATATTTAAATCATTTTTATGACTGATTAAATGATGAATAGATTAAATAATGAAGTTTATTAATACTTAATTAAGATAGAGATAATTAATTGAAGTAATGAAGATAAATACACACCTGGAATCTAAAGAATCTTTTTTTCCATGATCTTAGACCAGATTCCCAAACTAGATGAAGGACTTCCCTATCAAAATTAACATCCCATCCTTCATGAGTAATTGAAAAACTGAATGCAACGGCTGAATGAGCTTCCGCCATACTTGTTTCTCAAGAATCTGTGAAGTGAAAGTTATTATTTATTTTTATTTATAAGAGAAATGCGATAAAAGTATACAAAGAATACCATAAATAGTACAGTCAGTGATTGAATATTTTAAGAAAAATAAAAATATTTCTTAACTGATTATCATATCTTTGGAATTTGTATTCGACTTTTACTCTTTGAAAAAAATACATTTTAATTATTATAATAGTTACAAAAAATTAATTAATAAATAATTTGAATTTAGTTTTGACGGCAAGATATGCATTTAGAGTATAGTCTAGTATTATTAAGTGATTAATTAAAGTTTCATTCATTAATGTAAATATCAAGATTTTAGCACGTTTGATAATAGTGTCGTCATAATTGTTATGATAGTAGTACATGTAGAGGATGTGGCGTAGTGGACTTTGGACTTTAAGCAGTTGATGGGCCAATAATGCCATCGCGGTTCATATTATTAATGCTTCGGCCTTCATTCAATCGTGTCTGCAACTTGCAGTTATTTAAAAACTACTAACCATCATGACTTTTCAACAATTAATTAGTAGCCATGACAATGATAGAAAGGAATATTTATTTTTCATTGAAAAAAATATTCTACTTCATGATTATTCATATTTTCACAATTGATTTTCTTAACTTTTTTAAAGAAATTGATTAACATAATAAATTTTTCGCAATTCGCCATTGTAAGATAATTAAAGTGTAGAGTGCGTTTGTTCACCTTCTGACGTACTATTTACTCAAGGTAAAGAAATAGCCTTTTATGTTTTTTAATTAGCCACAAAAGAATCGAATTAATGTTCGTTAATAAATAATCTTTGTATGCATATTTTTATTCTTTTTAAATATCTCCTTTTGTTCCATAAAAATTATACTTTATTAATTAATCATTAATTTTTTAAGATAAATAAAAACAAATTATATAAACAGATATTTATAATTTGACTCGATGAATAGTATTTTTATCATTATAATGATGAAGAAAATTATATTTTGTACAAATTTTAAATTATAAAAGTTAAAAATAGCTATTTTTAACTGCAACAATATATATTTATTTTAAATAATTCAATATAGTTTAATGCGATTTGCTAATTAAAGTTGGCAAAAAATTATGACTTAACTAAAATTAGCTGTCTACATTTTGAATGATCAATGTCAGTGTAAAGTTCAATTTTTCCAATATTTATAAGTGTAAAAAATTGAAAAATTTAAATGAAATTATAAAATTATAGATTTTTTTTAGTTTTCTCAAATATATATATCGAATGTTCAAATCAGTATTTATTATAAAAACTTGATTAAAGAATTGATAACACTACTTTGCAGGCTTTATTTACTTTTCAACACCTATCATTGACTGAGTAGAATTTCAAGGTCATTTGGAATGCGATTATTTCAATACAACTTGACGCATCGCTAACAAATTTAACTATAATTTTCATGAGCAGTTTTATAGATAAAATTATGCAATTTCATGATTATTCTATAAGTATTTATATAAAAATGAAATTTAATGCGTATTCATGAAAATGAGGTCGAGATTAATTCTCAATTCTAGTAAGAATTTATTAATTATCACAATAAATGCTTATGTAATTGATTTTTTGTTTATATAGACCTTGTTATTATTGATAAAAAAAGACCGGTATAATGAATCAACTACGTAAACAAACTTGCAACGCAATTGTTGATTTGTCAAGTAAAAGCGGAAATACGAACTGATTTTTACACGTGGGAAAAATGCCACCTGTTACAGATATGATAAAAGATTATAGTATAAAGCCAACGTAATTATATTTTTATACTTAAAAATGATTCATTGATTGCACATTGATCTTACAATCAAAAAGTAATTATAGTTCATAATAAAGACAGCCATAAAAATAAACATGAGTTAATAGAAACATTAGAGTTGAAGGAGGAAAACAATTAAATGAAAGTGGAAATTTTTTACGATTCAATTTTAAGTTCTGCTGCCAAGAAATAAACTTGATGTAAATTTTTAACACTTTTTTGTCATTTTTTATCAACACTAAATCTCACATTCCTCTTCACGTCTTTTCTGTCGGCTACTTTTATACTTTAAAGCATGAAGTTTCATTTTTTTTTTAAGTAAAGGTAAAGATTGGTAACTTTTGAAACCCGTTGAAATTATGTTTTTGCTCTCATTACGCAACAAATTATAAAAAAAATTTTACTTTCACACTATTTTCAATTATTATTTTATTCATAGTGTATCTTTTAATTATTGTTTGTCAATGAATCAACTTATTTTACTAAGAAAAATGACACTGAAAATTGCAGCATGCTACCTGGAAGCTGTTGTTAGATTGAGATTTAATCCAGCTGGTAAAGTTTTTTTTACTAGAACAGTGCTCCGATCAAAAAATTTTAGTAAACACAAACGATGAAGTGATGTTAAGATGATAAACTTTCATAGAGTACAGATACCAGTTGCACTGTACGCTGTATTAAGACGTACTTGTTATTTAAAATTATAACATTTACTTATAGAACAGATATACTATCTGGTTGAAGAGTTGACCCAAACTGAAGGCTCCAACTTCAGCTTCAAGTAGCAGAGCGATACGAAAAGAAGTATACAAGAGAACTAACGGATTATGAAGAAAGTTGTCCCGTAGCTTTATTTTTTTCGCATTTAACTGAATAATATGTTTCAAACACACATTGTTATTGTACAATGATAATACTAGAATTAAACATAAGCAATAATGAATAATTACGTATGAAACATGAGTTATAATGCGTTTTAAGTACACGTGAATTGTGAAAGGAAAATTTATATTTATCTAGTGCTACATACGCTACATACGTACATTTGTAACACATACATACTTGATTTAGTAGATCGATAAAAGTCGTCATTGTTCGGATAGGATCGTTTGACCAATCGAAGACTTCAAAATAATTTATAAGCATTGGCGCGGAAATTTAAAAATTGATTTTACAAAAATTACTTACACCGCCATCTGTTACGGAACTTGATGAATCTTATGCTCAATAGATAAATGCCATGAAGCGGTATTTAGTGCTCCAAAAACAGTGAATAAAGCTTTATAAGTATCAATAAATTTTTTGTTTAAATTAACAATTACGAAATTTAATTTCATCTTAGCTGTTTAATAACTTAATTACTAATTTTTTTACATTTTTTAAGTGTTCTGAATTATTATTTGTTTATTTTATCTAGTCCAATTTATTTTAAGTAAGTATTTTGTGTTTACAAATTATTTTTGTTTATTTTTGTAAGAAAATTTAATTATTTTTCTATTTATGTTTATTATATTAGTTACAATGAATTCACTTATTATAATTACCTTGAGAAAATCATACTATAAGATATTTGAATGAATTTTCATGATAAATATTTGTCTGTAAACAACCGTTGGATTAAAGTGAGGTTATATTATCGAAACAATAGATTATATTAACTATGCCAAAGGTAAAATGAAACTTTTTTAAATTATCAATATATTTTTAATTCAAAGCCAAATATTGCAGATGGATTCAGATTATGATGAAGAGCGAGGGGGATGGGGAGATGATATCGGCCGAGGAGATGACGGTGGAAATGAAGAAGTCTTGGACAATCCCCAAGAAGTTCTTCAACAATGTTTGGATAAATTTAAAACACCAGATTATATTATGGAACCAGGAATTTTCACTCAGCTTAAAAGGTTTTTTATATTTCCCTCAAAACATTCATAATTAAATTTTAAAAACAATTTCAAAGAATCGGATCTCATTTTAGATATTTTCAAGCCGGTGGAAATCCTGAGCAAGTTATTGAATTGCTTTCAAAAAACTATACAGCATGTGCTCAAATGGCTAATCTTCTTGCTGAATGGTTAATTCTTGCTGGAGTTAAAGTTACCGATGTTCAAGCAATGGTAGAAAATAATCTCAAAGATATGATCCTAAAAACATTTGACCCTAAAAAAGCTGATAAAATTTTTACTGAAGAAGGAGAAACTCCAGCTTGGTTAACAGAAATGATACAACATCCTACATGGCGATCATTGATTTATAGACTAGCTGAAGAGTATCCTGATTGTTTGATGTTGAATTTCACTATAAAATTAATCTCTGATGCTGGTTTCCAAGGAGAAATAACATCTATTTCAACAGCTGCACAACAGATTGAAGTCTTTTCACGTGTACTAAAGACTGCTATCGCAGGATTTTTACAAAACACTGAAAATTGGCAAACAAGTATCCAAGAATGTGCAAAAATGGTTTGTCATGGTCAACATACCTACGTTTATAGCCAAGTCTTACTACAGATTCTTGCGCAAGAACCACGAAGTGGTTTTATGATGAAAAGATTATCGCAGGAAATTACTAAGTGTGCTCAACAGAATCGTCATGATGTTACTCCAATAACGATGGCTTTAAATGGAGCTGCAAGCAGTCCTGCTGCATGTTTGGCTTTAGCATCAATGTTATCAAGGAATACATTAAATCCTGCAGATATTTCTGTTTTATATAGACACTATTCTTCCACAGAACCTCCTCCAATAGAGCTTGTTCGAAATCCTCAATTCTTGGAGCTTCTTGTTGACGTCCTTTTTAAACCTGGAGTAAAATTAAACCCTGAACATAAATCTAAATATATTTATCTGCTTGCTTATGCAGCAAGTGTTTGCGAAACTTCTCCCAAGAAAGGTAACGTGAGAAAATTGAATAAAGATGAACTAAAAACAACCATTCAAGCTATCGAAAAGGTCCACAATATTTGCAATATCAATAAAGGATCTACAGAACTTATTGCTGAATTAAATACTCTTTATCAATCAATAAGATTCCCTGTTGTAAGTGTTGGAATCATCCGATGGGTAGAATGTACAGTTACTGAACCTTCTTATTTTAAACTATGTACTGAACATTGTCCAGTTCATTTAGCACTTCTTGATGAAGTTGTAGCTTGTCACTACCTTTTACATCCTAAGGTTTTACAACTACTGATTCAACTATTTGAAAGTAAACAAGACGAATTGGAAATTCTAGTTCAAGTAATTATTGACAGATGTAATTATAATATTTTATCTTAATTTTCGTGTCATTGATTAAAAATTTTAAACTTTTAGCTGGAAATGAAAAAAATGTTAATTGATCGAATGGTTAATCTTCTGAGTCGTGGCTGTGTAGTACCTGTTGTATGTTACATAAAACAATGCTGGCAACGAGATGATACAGATATATCATTGATTCGATACTTTGTAACTGAAGTTCTGGAAGCTATTGCTCCTCCATACTCTCATGAATTCGTTCAATTATTTTTACCTATGGTAGAAAATGAAGAGATAACTGGAACGATGCGTGGAGATAGTGACAATGATCTTGTTTCTGAATTTATTGGTAATTATTAATTATTTATTAGAATGAATAATTTAATTCTAATTTTAAGCTTTTTTTGTTAATTTTAATATTTTCTTTAATTTATTTTACATATTTTCCAGTCCACTGTAAAGCTCACTGTCCAGTTGTGAGATGACGATTCAAAGATTAAATTAGAAGATATAATTAATAATGAATTGTGATGTCTACCAACATTTAACTTTACATCTTCAATATGGAAGGAATTAACTTCTCTACAAATCTGCATTGATGTAAATTATGTGGCCTCTGCAAAAAAATTCATGAGAAACATCACATTATTATAGATATTAGATAAATTCGAATCTTAATTAATATGATACATATGAAAAGGTCCTCCATTGAGTGATATAAATTAATTTAAAAAATTGTTTATAAAAAAATGAATTATACATAAATAAAATATAGATGTTCAAGAGATATTTTGCAATCAAATGTTAATCGACATTTTATGAAAAAGAAAAAAACAATTATTTATAAAAAATCAGTCCATACACTTATTAATAATTAGTGAAAAAAACTTCAGTTAGTTGTTAAGAGGATTAATCAATCATTTTAAAAACACGGTAACCAAACTTTTATCTAGCGACTTACAAATCGATGAATTTATGATTTTTCAGCTGTAAAACAGTGTGAAACATGTAATTAAATGATGATACTGATAATTGTCATTAAAAAAATATTTAATAATGATTATTTAATACTTACTCGCTGGTTTTCCATCTTTCCATTGAGTAAATTTGACATTGGTTTCATCACGTTTCATTGCTGCAGTTCGATGTTCAGGTTTTAATGCCTGACGAACTAATTTAGCAGCAATTTGTGAATAATTAATGTAGCTTAAAAAAAAAGAAAGTTTATACATTAATTCATTAATTTCAATAAAAATTTCAAAAGAAAATATTGATCATGAATGGTTACATAATGGTAAATAAATTTGTTCATTGATTTATTAAATCATGGACTATAAATAAGAACTCGTTAATTAAAATTTTCAGATTAAATTTTATAATCAAAAACTCACTTTAATCCAGCTTGTCTCCACGCTGCCATTTCTTATTATTTTAGAGATTTTTTTAATGAACAACTCAATTACAAATTTGGATTCTGATATGGTTATGTTGAAAAACCACAGCGAATGTGCGGAACTATCTATTGTTGGTAACCAAAATCTAGTCATAAACATGTAGTGTCACCTTTATCCTAGTTTTGGAAGTTAGTTAATTTTCTAAAGAGAGAATCCGTTGAATTACAAAATATTTAAACGAATAGATTTTACTCTCCAAACAAAAATATAAATAACTTTAATTGTCATCCTGATAAATTTGCTCACTAGTTTACTTTTCTAAATTTGAAAGCAACAGTATTTCATGGCAAATTTGCAAGTACATCAAGGTTAACACTTTTTTAATGAGTTTGAAAACATCAAATATTAACTTATTACCTCAAAAGTCAATATTATTCTATACAACGATTTTGTCAATGATAATGAAGATTTTTTGTGTACTATTTATGTAAAATTTAATTAATCTTAAAATTACAAACAAACAGAATTAAACTGATAAAAATTTTAAACAAACTGACGTTCAAATAGATTGATATGAATGAATATACATAAAAATTTTGGGTGATAAACTGCATTTATAATCATCGAAACTCATAAATTAATTAATGTTTATTTTAATCATATATAGGTCATTTTATTTACTTATTCCAAACATCGTCCAGCTTAAACATGGACTAAATACTTTTGTATCCAAGCTAGAGCAAACATCATGTTTGGCATCATGAAATTAGCTTATTCAATTCATAGGTGATGATTACAATGAACTTATTTGTAGTTTACTATGAATCCATATATGTAGGCCATGGTTCCTCCTAAGTTTCAGGTAAATTGTAAGGTTATACAAATTACGTAATGAATAATAAGTACTTAATAGTGTTAAATATTCATCACACACCCTCGAATCAATAGTTAGAATTAAGTATAATTTTATCAATTTATTATCATAATAAATCAGTTGCTTTTTTTTATCAACTTTAGCTAATTAATATCTTCTTTATTATCATTCTTGTGCATCATTCAAATTATATCATTTATTTTTTTTACTAAGAAATGTTTTTTAACTTCTCTCTTATCTTAAATATATTTTGTTAAATTTATTTTTCAGTCTGGATATAAAGTTATCATTTTTTGCCATCTTTTATACTTCTCCAATGCAATGAGCAATTATTGATTGATTAACATTGCAGCAGAACACATGTGAGTATTTTTTTTATACATTTGTCTTTTTTTTTATTACTTGTGTATCAGCAAGAAATTATGTAATTGTCTTAAAACCAAAATTTACTCGTGTACAATTTTTTTTGTTTTCAATAATGATTTGCAATATGATGACAAAGTCAGCTCACAAATTAACACGCATAATAACTAGAAAGAAAGATAGAAGAAAACGTACCATCTCATTACAAGTATTTATTAGTACACTAGGGATATAATTAAATATACATACATCAATGTTTTATTTACGAAATCAAAGAATTTGTCGATTCACAGTGCGTTTTGCCTTATACTTCGTGCGATTATTACACAATTACATTGTCATAATGTCTTACTGCTATAGTTGTTTTTTCCCGAATATTTCTATGGTGTCTGACATACTATTAGAATTTCAATAAATTCTGTTCAATTATTTCTTAACACTCTTTTTTGCTTGAATGTAAGAATGTAAGTCAATTACCCGATGTATTTCTCAAACAAAACAAATGACTCATAAGTATTATACGAGGAAATAAATGCTGAACATTTAACGTCCTAACGGTCTGTTGTACTTGTTACTTTAACATGATAATTTAATATTCACTGGTCCTTTATATTAAACGTTCAAACACATCAATACCTCACTTTATGTTACATAAAAAAGATGAAAACAGTTAAATAAAGAATATAACATAGGGTATTTTAAGATGAAAGTTTTTCTTACTTTTTTCCTCGAATTAACAAATTATCATTATTATGAATAATATTATTACTGTAAGATAAAATATAAAAATTAATTATTTTGAATGTTTCACTAGATTATTGATATTATTGGGGTGCTGATTATAAGGATACTTTTGGTGACTTAAACAATTATATTATTATGTGTAATTCCTGAAAGAAATATTGACTCCAACTTCTAATGCTCTCATTCACACGTTAAGTGAACTTTTTATGTAGATAAATAATTTATTTCATAATTTTTCCATTGAAAATGACTCAGAAAGTGTCTTGTTCAAAATGATTATACTAACATTTGTGTTTTTTTATTTCATAGCATCACTGTTTAACTGATTGTATCAATATGGAAGCAATTGTACGGAGATTTATTGTAAATGGAAATTTCAAATGATCAGCATGTATGTAAGTTATTAGCAAGATGGAAATTTTTCAGAATTTAATTGAAACAAAAAATTCTCATGTATACTGATACAGCGGATGTCAGAATCATCAATTAGGATATCGTAGGCGATCGTTGTAAATTGTATAAACGAAAAAACGTAGCATCCAAGTTCCGGTAAATTTACATCGGCAATTCTCAATTGCGTAATATTGCATTTAGTTTCCGGTTATTCTTTAACTGATGTAATCCTTTACATTCAAGTTCATAAAAACGAAATCTCGTTTTTATGCAACTAAGATAAGTAGTATATAAATGACGAAGGAAAACAATTAATTCGTTATAAATAATATACATATATTCGGTTAATCATGATAAATAATAGATATTTATTGCTTTAGCATGTATGAAATGTGACATACACTTGTTATCTTCTCTCTTTGACACCCATATACTGTCATCAGGACTACAATAAATCATTATGATACAAAGGAAAAAGATAAAATCGTAGTTCTCTACCTCATATGTTGAAATCAAGTAAATTATTTTATTTCATTTAAAAAATTGGTTTATCAAACAAAAAACCATTCCTATTCCATAAATAATCATTTAAATTGAATTCTTTTTTGGAGTTGGATAAAAAAAATATTTATGATAAGATAAAAATCATATATATACTTTGAACTTCATTTTATGACAGTTTTAAACTTCTGTTTTACTTTTCAATATTTTTTTTTTATGTATTATAATTTTTTTTATTTACAAAAAATTTTGAAACTTTCATTACATTTTCATTTTCTTTTTTGTAAAGTTATGAACTGACCCCGATCAAGATACATATAAATCAGTTCACGGTCTCTTCTTGATGAGGGTTGACTGGTGCTTTTGTTTTTTTTTCTCTAATCTTAAAGTGTTGTCTCAACGTCAGGTAACAATATGCAAAAGCTTTTAATAATTTATTGAATACAATAATTCTTTTGCTAAATTGGAACAGTCAACTTTTTCTGTTATTTCTTTTTTATTCAATAATTCATCTTTATCTTTTTGACCATAAAAACAGGTTCGACAGGGTGTAAATGACAACAAAACTATAGCCACAACTGGTTGCGTTAATTTACTTGGCCGGTGTCTCTCATAATATGTTTTTATGCCGTTACAACAACTTATTATCTAGGAATTTGTGTGGGTTTTTCACTAAAAAGTATCGAGTAAGCATTGGAGGACATCTATTTAGTATTTAGGATATTTTATCACACTCAAAATCTTAAGAAATATGCTTCCTTTTAAGCATTGACACACTGACTCAGTTACCTCCATTACTTTTTTGTTTTTTTTTTCTTTTAACAGAGAAAAATCTTTTTTATCAAAACGTCAAGAATGTTATTCTTTAATCCTTAGATATTTACATGATACAAGGTGCTTTATGATTTATTTGATTGTGACGATACCTAGGCTCAAATTATGGCAGGTTAAACTTGTGAGTGACAATCTTTGCCTTCATCAAATCATGATAACAAAGACGAAAAAACACACAACATACGTTTTGCAGTAAATAATGCCTCTTACTATTTATTGCTTTTAATTAATGCCAACAACAAGTGTATTTTTTTAAAAAGTTGTTAAAAATTCTCTTTCCAGGTATAATGACTCTAGGTAATAGATGGATTTTGGATTATTGCCAACTACCGATGTTTTGTTTCATTCAATGAAATCAGTTCAACGTTGAATAAATATTGAAAGGATGAAAAAGAAAAAAAAAGCACGTGAATACAAGTAATGAAGTAGAAAGTTGAAAATTAACAGGAAGTATAGATAAGTGTAAAGAAGCTTTGTTCATTTAGTGATGCTTTTGACACTCTAATGTCTAGTACATCTTTAAGTACTTAGACGTCTGTTTAATTTTCAGAGTCACGCGGAGTAGTCACATGGACGTGAATGACCGCATACGAATGCACCTTTGAACTCTCCAGATTATTAAGTGAAATTGTTTAGAGACAACAAATTCATCAAGATTTTAAAATGTAATAAACTTGTTCAAACTGCATTTTATATTCGTGCAAATAATAACAGGTAGTTAATTATTATTCTTTATCTTTCAATTCTTTTTCTTTTTCCAGACGTATTTACTGTACAAATTAATTTAAGAGGTAGAGACAGTAATTGAAGTTTCTAGAAAAAAAAACTGAAGCATTGTAGTCATGAAGACAACATTTATGACCATAGTAACATATGAAGATAATTAAAAAAACTAATACGTCATTGCGATAGTCGTTTTTGCACTGTATCGTTTGGTTGAGTTGTGACAATCGCGATTAGCTGCAACGAGTATACTTAACAATTTTATGCTGTATCAAAGTGTCACTTTCACTTTTGTTGAGAGACTTATTATCATATGTAAAGTATGTAAAAAAGTAGATGAAGTGGAAGAACAAATTGGAACAGCTTTGATATATATTTTCAGAAGATTTGCACGTTGAATTGTCGAGGACTTGGATATTTCGACAGAATGTGTGCATATCACAACCGATAGAGTGCCAAGGTTAGTGTTATTATGTATAATTTCATTGTAAAATAAAAAAAATGTTTTGTTTATATAAATCGTAAGAATGATTTTGATTATGTCACAGAGAGGAAAATTTTTTCACTTATTAAATTTTCATAAATGAAATTACTTTAGTATTATTCATTATGTTAACATTGAAACAATTGTTTTTTTTCATTGATACACATTTATTTGTGGTGCATACGATAAATATTTATAAAAGAAGTATTCACGTAAAATTGTTAGTTACAAATGTATTCATTAAATGAACATTTTATATTTAGACTGGACGATTAATCAAGAATTAAGATACCCTTGAGATAATTAATGGAAATTAAGGAAAAGATCATGAAGTATATATTGGATAAAAATTCAAAACCGGAACCAAACGACCCCGAGATGGACAATGACCTCGGATGGATTCGAGGGTTGACCTCGGGATCAAGTTCTCCAGTACCTTTAAAGGAGTAAAGAGACATGTCTCCAGCAAGAGTAAGTGAGAAAGAAAAGAGAGTGGCTGCAAAGTAACTACAGATCAGTTACTAACAGAGTTTAGTTCGCGATTGGCCAGCATCCAGTAAAGGACTGTGGCAGAATTCGTGCTAATTCCTTGTGCAAAGTCTCTCAAGTATACTTATTTGATGAAAATTGATTATCACGAGTATCACAACAGATTAACTGTTGATAGAAGCAATTGAAAATCAGGAAGACATTAAGACCACGTAATTCTAACAAGAAAGTCATCCTGACTGCGATTCTTCTTCGTATTTACGAGTGATTAGTCTGTTTTTCGCCAAGAATCATCATTTTCCCCTCCAGGCAACTAACGAGGAGCTTCTTCATCAAGTACTTCTGTTGACTCAAGAAGAGGGGGTGGTATCAAAGTATTAACGAAGAGAGGGAAAAAGACACGCGGACTCTGAAAACTGAATAAGTCTCTTCGGTAGTATAACTTGCGGTACGGTGCGAGCAACCAATCGAACTCTGCAAACACAACCGATCCAAAGTCCGTTGCTTGTTCAGTTGTCTTCGAACCCTCGATCACTACGGACGGTTTACAGATTTTTTTATATATATATTTATCGGTGAATTGTTGAAAAAACAAAAATTTATTTTTCAATTTTTAAAAGTATTTTTATCGTGAATAAGAAGTTGACAACGACTATTGCATCTCATCACAAGGAACTCTGAAGTGAAGGAAGTTGTAATCTTAAGTTGAAGATATTTGGACGTTAAAACGTAAGTAATGAATTTTTAAGTAATACTACTTTTTTATTTTATTAAAGTATTTTTTCTTGACCGATTTTTCTATTATTTATGACTTTTTGCAATGTCTTTTTACATTATATTAAATGTATTATATTTTCATTCTTCCAAGTAAATTAAATACCCAGTAACTTGATCAACCGGTCGTATATAGAATCGATCCATAAGCAATTGAGTTCAGAAAGATATTGTGTACATAAGATATATATATATATATATATATATATATATATATATATATATATATATATATATATACAAAGGTTTTATTATGAAAAACAAAAAAAAAATTTTAAAAATATTTTTTTATATCTTAATAACAGTAACAATAATTTCTGAAGGCCTTAGTAGATTTCCGGATTCTCCATATGACATTTTGATGATTGCTTTCACTTGAACGTCCTTTCTTCATTTGCAAAATAGTTGAAAAAGATTTAAACGCATCCTGTCGATCGACTTTCTATTGATCTTCCGGCAAAAAAATATATTTTCTTAAAAAAAAAAATTATTTTCAGAATTTATGTTTAAATAGCGTCAATCAATTAAATGTTGTGGCTTTTCTCCACAAGTAGAGCTGTTAAATTATCGAGATTTGATATGACAGGGAGAAGAGATTCTTATTCAATACGAAACACAGTATATCGGTATGATGATATGATGTTGATGTTGACGATGATAATGGTCTCGTGCGCGCAAGGGTAGATCATCCAAGCATGACGAAGCGCAAGTAGTTCGAATGTATCTATACTTCAATCACAAATGATTACCATCATGTGTACCTGTTAGAATCACCATGAATACCATTTGCATAGAAACTTATTGAGTATTCTATCACCATCATTGAAATCTAGAAATAATTTTTTCTTTTCTCTATCATCACTGAACTGGATCCTTGTTGATAATCAACTAAAAAAGATTGTTTATTTAGATATTTCCAAGTGAATAAGATTAATAGGAGGGAGTTGGAAAACAAATTAGAGTGAATGAAAAATATAATTATTGTGATGCAGTAAAAGAAATCGAGAGACTTGGAGATACATTCAATAGATACCGCGTGCAAACGTTCTTTGACATACTTCCCACTTGGAATGCCGCGATCATTGCCATGAATATACCTGGAGTAACTCTCGATGATGATTGCCTCTGATTCTAATCAATTTCAAGGATGAAATTCATTTGTCATTTTATATTATTGCAATAACCGCAATAATTAAATTGATTGTATAAATAACTTGGGTTGATGATAAAAAATCATTTAAAATGATGACGATAATGATTATTAAAGTATATTTTATCCAAATGGCATGATAGATAATAGCAAAAAGGTAATTATTGATGAATTTTAGGGAATAATTGTTTCGTGTGTCAAGGCCGGAATAAATTGCAAAATGGTGAAGGTCCAGAATTAAATATCGCGATTAAATTCCGCGATGTAACAACACATGAATGCATATAAACGAGTCGACAACCAGTTGAAAAATAAGTTGTGAAATGTAGTGATCGCGTCGACGCTCAGTCCACGATCCTTTCGAGACTTTCTAAAGCTAGAGTCCAAGACGTATGAGGCGATATATCAATACGTACGCATACGAGCGTAACGCCAGTCGCGTTTATCGAACATACGAATGACTGAACAAGCTCTGGCCGTGCATGCTAAAGCTTTCATGTCTAGGGTAAATCTTCCACTTGAGTGTTAAGAATACGAACGATATTTATTATCATTCCTGAAAGTTGCACTCGGTCTATTGTGTTCTTAATTACTCTTTACAGCTTATACATGAATAAACTACAATAAACCAGATCTCTTCATTGGTTAAATTATTTTAAATGTTTACATAAAAAGGTTGATAGAATTTTTTTTCCTTATTAATTTTTCTCTCTCTCTCTCCAAGTAGCATTTAATGAGATTTCAGGTATTTTACTGTCTAATACTATTAGAAATTTATAATTAATTACCAAAGTAAAATCAGAAGAATTTTTTTTCTGTTCAAAACAATGAGTCGTAAAGAGTATCAATAAATAGACAATTCAGTTGACATTATGATTGAAATCACATGTAGATAATAAAATGAATTGATGAATTTTTTAGAATATATCTAAAGCAAATCATGTGGAGCAAGTATTTTTCAGGTTTAGTAAGCACTCAAGCATGCAGAAATAATAATTATACCAATTAAAATATACAATATTATCTCCTATAATATTTAATAAACTTAGTTTTACTATCTACAGTGTTCTATATACCTGAATTCGTTTCAAGTATGAACAAAAGAGTGTTTTACAACTTAGTTGAATGATAAATCACGAGACAATGTAGAAATAATTGAATATGCGTCATCATTGTTACTTTGCTCCTGTCCTAATCACTTTTACGTTGGTATTTCTATCTTACTTTTATCTCCATTTAATTTGATAATATTGAATAGAATGTTTAATCGACGAAGCATGCTAAAATGGCAAATCAAACAGCAACAGAGCAAGTGAAAGAAGAACGTTTAGTTCGAGTCATGTACGCACGTACACGTGTATTGAAGCATTGCGTGTAGCATTTTAACATCTAATATACATTTCGATTTTTTTTCTTTTCTTTCCAATCGCTTTGCTTGTATTTCATGTATTCTTTTATGCTTATTTGTGACACCTCCGCTGACTATCTCATGTAAAATGAGGTCGTGGCATCCTCGTTACGGCCCTGAAAACCTCATAGGTTGTATTATCGTCTTTTTTATTTTGTTTTTCTACCCATCTTCATGTTCGAACTGTTTAGTTGTATTTTCTGATAACAATGGTAATTACTCCAGCTTTTTTTTCAATCAATAAACTTTCATTTGCAGGCTAATCATAATGTAAGTGATTTCTCTGGTAAAAGATTATTCTAGATATTGATAGGATGGTTTGGTGATGTAAAAAAATTTTTCCTCAATAAATTAGGATCACATTTTATTCAGTGATTAAAAATAATTGTTTTTATTTATTTACAAAAAAGAGAATTAACTTTCTGCTAAAATTAAACAGTTATGTTTTTATTGAGTAATTATTTATAGAATGTGTTAATAATGATTAATTCAATTATTTAATTGCACTAATAAAAGTATTTATTAATAAAAAAAAAAGTATTATAAAAAAAAAGAGATTACAAACACCTTTTTTTTTATTTTTAAATGAGCTATGGATTATTTAATTAATTAATATATTCATTGTTATAATGATAACTAACTCGTTAAAATAATATACAATTATTTATAAATATTGATATACTCAAGGCAATATTGATACTCATATTTATCCTGCGACCTTTATATATACATATGGATTTATTAGCATAAGAATGCAATGAGTAATGACACTCTTACCGCTATTCTTAATATTCTTGTGTTACTTTGCTTGGACACCTTTCTCGTTGCAATAAAAATGAAAATAATGAAAAAGATTAAGTAATGAGAATTTGTGAAAGAAAAAGAAATACTTGAAGACCATTTGACTTGAGTAAAACAGACTTAGGATCATTATTATTGAATATGAAGAATAATTTTATAAATATTAATACTGCAATAGGAAAATACACATATAAATTGTGCAGTAGGTTAACGACTTGTGTGATGTAAGAGGCGTTAAGAATTGCTTTCACGTTCGATTGACGTCCTTATATACGCAAACAATTGCTCTGGAAATAAATATGGTAATAATTTAATTTGATAATGAGAAATTTATAGTCTTTTGTGATTAATTATTTGAAAAACTTCTCTATTTTTTAAAAATGCAATGTAATTAATAATTATCATGTTGTTTTCTTCACGCGTTATTGAGCATGCAATTCTTAAATAACTAAATATCGAAGGATTAGAGAAAAAAGTAATGACTGAAAAAAATATCTATAAAGATGAAAAAAAAATTTTTTTCTTTTATTAAAGAAAAATATTTTAGAATTTTTGTTTTGGAATTTCAAGGAAATAAATATATCTTCAAGGATAAGTTACATCCTTCGAGGAATTTACACATTAATATGTCCTTCACCTAAGTCAAGAAGAGCATTAATTATTTTCGAATTGGGTAATTCAAGTCAGAAAAAATCATCTCTTTTAGTTTAATTGTTTTCAGCATTCCAATTTTTTATGGATATCTATTGACTTATTTCTCTTTTGTAACTCTTTCAAAGCTATGTTTATATTTATGTATTTAAATGATAGTATTTAATAATTGTTTAAAATTATTTTTATATAGTATTCCTTAGCTACTACACGACTATAGACATTCAGTTTGAAACGTCGAACCTTGAACTTATCGCAAGTTTGTCGACTGCATTGGTATATATTGCTGACCAATCAGCTTGAACTCGAATGAGTCGTTCATATAACACTTTTCCACGCTTAATTAACATTTCACTGGATAATCCATTACACTTGATTCAAAAAGAAAATATTTTGTAATTGTTTGTTTTTTTTGTCATCTTCATGGGATCATTTAATTAATCTTTTATTCATTTATGCATCAAATGAATGCTTCATTATTTTAATATAATTTTATTTATTGATTAAATAACAATTATCTATTCATTAACTGAAAACAATAAATATCATGTAATTGTTTGGATATGTATGAGATTGTGAAAAATCATCGCTCTTAGTTATTTATTACTTCTTTTTGTGAGATATATATATATATACTAAATAAGATACGTTTGAACATAAATGATAAAAATATTTATATGCTAAATAGTTTATTGCATAGTAAAGTGAATTAAAATATTATACTGAAATAGGAACACTTCCATTTTATACACTTCTATTCATTTCTACTTTTTCAGTGTACATAATTAATAGCCTGTCTACGATTCTCTTCATGAAACGGCTCATTTATTCATATTAACATAATTAAAAGTAACCTTCATCTCTCTCTAACTCTAATATCCCAAGTCAATTAAAAAATTAATATTTTGAATTTTTTAAACATGATTTAGAATTAACGATTTTCATAAACTAGATTTGTAATTTGCCACATTAATCCTTGAACGGTCTTTTATTTTTCAGTTTATTTTTATTGCTACTAAAATTAATATTAGAAGGCTAATGTGGTTGAACAGAGTAAAATGAAACTACTAATAGTTTTTAGTGAACAAGTTGATACTTTTAAAGCTATTAATAATAAAAAAATTCTTATAGATATTTTTATTCCGTTTCTATTGAGTTGATAAGTTTAAAAGTTATCGAAAATTGGTCATTTTCAAGACACGTTTTCTTTTAAAAACTTTTTTACATAAATACTTGACAAAACAACTTTCTTATCACATAATTGCAAATATGTGCATCATTTTTATATAAAGAGTGGGAAAATAAATGATTTACAGCTTGTTAAAAATATAAATGTAATAGATTGTAAATATTGATAGAGATAATCATAAATCAGCTAAAGAAAGAAGGAAAGAGAGAAAGAAAATTTGTACTTTTTTATGTGATTTCAATTAATATTCACTGATATGTAGATTAGAGAATAAATTCGAATGATATTAATTGTTATGACTTATAATACGTACAACTGTTAATCGATGAAATTAATGAGCTACCGATAAAAAACTATAACTGATTGTTTCATTCCACTAGACATTCTGACTTAATAATCTACACATTTACTACCTACACATAACATTCCATTGGTTTGTTCCTTATGCAATCACACGTAAACTATCCATGAATACTGAATATGAACTATTATATCTTTTTTTATTCATTTAAATTTAATTTTCTTATATGTATAATTTAACTGATATAACAACATTTACCATAAAGAAATTTACATTAGTAATAATAAAAATAATTACTGTAATAGTTATAATTATTTCAGAAAACTGTCATTGGTATTCTTGGTTATTTTCTAAAATATTCTCAATTTACTTTATCCATGTCTATGTGAACGTCAAGTCATATCTTTCAGTACCTGGTACGTCAACAAAAATACAATTTTCAAAAAGTAACTCTGGTAATTGAACAGTAATATTACGACTCTGATTGATTCAAGATTCTTTATTAAATCTGATAATTTTATATCATTTATAAATTATTATTTTTTATTATAATTATCTTTGAAATGATTATTTCCTCTGGTAATTGGAAAGCCTTTTATTATACCTACTAGGTGCACATTAATGAGGAAGAAATCTTGTAAGATTTTTTTTTCAACGTGTTTAAATATTTATCACGTACTTGTTGATTGTTTTCTGTTTACCACACAACCATGTCTGGAATCAATTAAGAAACGAAAATAGAATCGAATAGTGTAGTGAAAAGTAACGATGAGTTTCAATGTATTTTTACACTTCGTAGAAATGATTGTAAATAGTTGATAATTATGTCAGTTAGATGTTTTTTTTACTTCTTTTAAATGTTAATTAAATGAATGTCATTATTATTATGTACTTTAAAAAGACTTTGATCTGATCCTTCAAGTTATTTTCATTTTAATTTATATAAATAACTAGTAGTATGTATTTATTCATTGTAAGGATAGCAACTAAGTGAACTAATTAGTCAATTCAATAAGATAATGCAACTTATGAATTACAGGTAGCCTATACGGAGAATGGTGGCATCGCAGAACGACGGGGATAGAAGTGGAGGTGGTGATAATACCTTGGGAAATGGTGAGCACGAGACAGCAGTTTACACAGTATCAGTAAGTGGAGTTGGATACAGAAATGAAGGATACAAAGAAGATGGAGCTGATGGTATTCCCCCAGAACCAACAAAACCACCAGCTTTACCTGCGCCAGAAGATGACACACAATCTAGAAAATTTAAATTATCACGTAGCGAGAAGTGGAGAATACTTAAAAATATTGGAACAGTATCGATAGCCTTCATGGTCCAATTCACAGCCTTTCAAGGCACAGCTAATCTCCAGTCATCAATAAATGCTCATGACGGTCTCGGAACTGTATCATTATCAGCTATTTATGCAGCACTAGTATTGTCTTGTATTTTTGTTCCTACATTTCTTATCAAGAGGTTAACAGTCAAGTGGACATTGTGCTTATCCATGTTATGCTACGCTCCGTATATCGGATCCCAGTTTTATCCTAGATTTTATACTTTGGTACCTGCTGGAGTACTTCTGGGTCTTGGTGCAGCGCCTATGTGGGCTGCTAAAGCCACTTATCTTACACAAGTTGGTGGAGTTTACGCCAAACTCACTGATCAACCAGCAGATGCTATTGTTGTTCGGTTCTTTGGATTTTTCTTCCTTGCTTGGCAAACAGCTGAACTTTGGGGCAATCTTATTTCTTCTCTGGGTAAGTTGATAATATTTTTTTTTTTTCATTAGTTTTATAATTATTCTTATCAGTATTTTCACTGATAATTAATCAGTTAAAAGGATAAAAATATGGGAAAAAATTTATCAATACTTTTATAGATTTCCCCTTAGAAAAAATGATTAAAATTCTTTTGAAGTAAACAAGTCAGTAAATGAACTCTTCGAAAAACAGACCGATTATAATTTTTTTCCATACACCTCTTAGAAAATACAATTTTCAATTCAACCAATTTATATTGAATGAAAACAATCAAATTAATATTCATTAAAAATGTTTTCATTCAATGATTGTAGCAGGTATAGTGTATATTCAAGAATAGTAATTATCTAGTTGGAATTTATTAAATATATATTAAGGTTCCACATATTCGAACATGTGTGTATATATCTATATCTAGACACTGTTTGCTACGCATCGGTGTCAATAACAATAGCCTTTTTTTCATTCATCATTCTCCATTCATTCCATGTGGCATTAATAAATCATTGAGAGTTTACCAAATATATTTCTGGAAAAATAACAGCAAAGATATCATCATTCTGAGCATATCTTTTTGTTTATAAATACATTTTTTTTTATTCATTACACAATAAAAACATTTATATCAAATTTTATTATAAATAATTAGTGAATATTACTTAAAAAAATTTAACCACTTTTCACTCTTCATTCTTGACTTGTTTAATTTTGTGAATAAAAGTATTTTAAGCTGTTAATTGAAAAAAATATTACGCAGTATTCTTTGAACGATTATTAATAAATAGCGGAATAAAACAATTAGTCTGTGTATTAGCGTAACGGATAAAAAATAAGACAAGGAGTGAGGGTCAACGTTTAGTCAGCCCTAGTTGGTTATCATTAGATCTTTATGATTTCATTATTGATACAAATCACAAACTCAAACTCTTATGTTTTCATGTAATTATTTATCTACAATTTACTGTGTTAAACATATTTTAATACTTTACATGAACATCTACAGGAAATATAAAATTATAAATGTCACAGCGGAAGACAGAAGTCAAACTCACATGTTGTGCCTAGTAAATCCAGCATCCAACTCGTTGGTTGTGTTTAATAAAATGAAAGAATTGCCTCAGGCAATATGTTGAACAAGATTTAACCGGTATAAACCGATCTGTAGTCGTTGCTTTCTTCAGCACGCATAACACTACATCTACGCCTTCTTCACTCTTTCCGTTTTAGAAGAACTTGGAGACTCATTCATATTATCAATAATGACCTTTAACATGGAAACAATGAACTGTACTCTGTAACATATTTCTTTCTCTGAGACAATCAGACTCTTTATTATCAATTTATTTAAACTTTAAGATACAAAATTTTTTGTCGCAATGAAAAGTTTATATTTATTTATCTTGAAAATTGGATAAAAAATATATTTTTGATTTTTAAATAACAATTTACCGTTTATTTTTATTTAAAGTATTGAAATGATTATTAAAGTCTTGTTGAGATGTAAATTTTTATTCATCATAAACGTAATATTTTCAGGAAGGTCAAGAGTGTTTTGAATCTTCGTTGCGGGCAATTTTAATGCCAAAATTCTTGCTAATTAAGAAAAAATCTTGGAGGTTAGCATATATAATATAAATAAAATATAAAATATTCTTGCTAAATTGGAAAGTAAATTCCAGGTGAATGATGGATATTTGTAGATAGATTATGATGTTTATATTTTTTTATGTGAAATACATGGTGAAAGTATCCTTATGGAATTAAATGAAAGCTCTAGAAGAGAATAAATTAACAAATCGTTTATACTAACATAACTTCTATTTCTATCATGGTAAGGCACATAAAAGTATTCAAAAATATTTTGACAGTTGATTAAGCGAATATATCAATAAGCTTCTAACACTTGTATCAATATATTGATATCATTTCTTGTGTCAATTATACGTCATTATGATTCAGTTGTCGATATTGTTCGAACAAATCTAGCAAATGTTTTTTTCCTAAAAAATATTATACCTCAATTGTATATTAAATATTCAAGAACTAGAAATATCTTACTTATTTATATTATTAATAAATTAACCGATTGAAATTTAATTATAATGATGTAATAACTGTTTTATTTTGAATTTCTAGTACTCAGTGAAGGTGAATTTGGTGGTGATGATGGTGGTAATTCAACAACTCTAAAAAAAATCAGCAACTGTGGCGCCAATTTCTGTGTTATTGGTGGTGGTGCTGATGATCCACTGAAAAGGCCACCAGACTCAGAAATTTATGAAATATCAGCTATTTATTTGACTTGTGTTATTGTTGCCGTTATTATTGTTGCTCTTTTCGTCGATCCTTTATCAAGGTGAGTTATTTTTATTATACATGAAATATAAATAAAATTACTAATTATTGATCACCGCTGTTAAATCAACAAACGGCTTATTAAAATTTCAATTAATATTCTCAGTTGGAAACAGTTTTATGGCTTTTAGTATTTTTTTTCATCGACGAAATATATTACAGTCGTTAAAGACTATTTATTTGAAAGTTGAAATATTCTTGGGAAGAAGTTTCTGGATTTTTCTTTATCTTTTACTTGATATGTGAAATAAAAAATAGAAAATTATTAGATAAAAAATATGTTTTTGTACAGAATCACTGCTTTTTTGTATCCACGTTGTAAGATTATGAAACAATGGTTAATAAGTAAGTATCACGGGATTGACGGAATCCCTACCATTGTATCGCGATAAACATTGCTCTGCTCATGATTGCAAAATGGCATACATCCGACTTGCGAAGCATCGATGCATGGCATTTACGTAACACGATTTGTATTTATTAAAACTTAACGTTGACGTATTTCCGGAGTCACTCGTTCAGTCTTTGAGTGTATTTTTTAGATTCCGGAAATCATTCAAATTTTATTTATTCAAATCATCTTTACTTCCTCTTCCTTTTTTTCTTTTAATAACCAATATCAAAACACGTCGATGAGGAAATTTTATTTTAAGAAATAAAAAGCAGCTTTACTTTCTTTTGAAAAATAAATATTTAAATCTTCATAAATATTACTACTTTTAAACTTTTATCATATTCTTTCAAACATTTACATAATAATGAGTTTATCTAATCATTATTATAATTATATTATTAGTAGTCATTATAAACTTACTAATGATTTCATTTATTTTCTTATCAATGAATTGGTTTTTATTATTCAAAAGTTTTTCAACACAATAATTTACTAAACATTTTTTTCCAATCAATTAAAGTTTTTATCATTAATTACTGTTTATTTAATTTTATGAAAATTTATTCCATTTTTATTTTCTCATACAATCAATTTGATGGAATCATCAATTGATATAATTATTAGTTTCTTAATAGAAAATAAATTTAAAAAAACGATTATTGTAGTTTTCAGAAAAGTAGAATTAATCCATTGTAGTCAGCCGTGACTACTGTCGTCAATGGAAGTAGTTACAGATAATTATGTTTCCGGTTTTTCTATTTAATTGGTTTTCTCATAAATTAATTCTTAGAATTTTATCTCTATTATAGATTGAAGATTACAATATTTTCATTCGAATTTTTTTTCCATCGAAAAATAAACTATAATTATCCTCTACTTAAAAATAAATGAATTTTTTTTCCTCTCAGAATCTCATAATATTTCATTCATGAAGTTAATCAAAATCACATTTCGTAGAATAACCAACGAATCTTTTTAACGACTGACCTGCATCACAGCATATTGTCTGATGAAAGAATAGTCTGACTAAAGAAGAAAAAATAAAAATTTGTATCCATTGGCTAAAAATTTCCATTAATTTTACATCATGGTTTATCTTTATTTCATTTTATTTATCAATTTCAAGTTCTTGAGCTACGATGTTAACTTGAAGGATCATTCTAGATAACATAGGATACCGATTCCGGTTCCATTGCGTTATTTCTCTTGCGTTGTGGTTCTATAACCCAATATAACTAAAACCTGTCTTGGGGTATTGGAATGTCTTGCATGCGAGAGTCCTTTCACCTCCAGTCGGATGCGACTGAAAATAGATTCAACCGGAAAGGAAATGAGGTCTCTTACGATCATTGAAGATCATTTTATCAAAGAGAATTACCTGCGTTTAATCACCCAAAATAACTGTTTCATGCTATTAAATAGATTTTTATAAAGATAACGACAGTAATTTACTGTATTTATAGGACATTTTGGCCAAGAAAGGATATTTATTGATAAAATAATATATTACAATAATTTAGATTCACCATTTTTCTTCACAAATGTTTTAAATAGTGTTGAAAACACTGCCTGAAGGCTATCGTCCTGCATCGCGGATAGTTTTAATGACTTTATCATATGTGATATCTTAATATGAGTGTATTACGTAATTCATCATGATTTACGTGAGACAGTAAATACACTGACCGACGTCTCCTATTTCTCGACTACAGGTACAAGGTTAAATGAACAGCGTAACGGTTTAATACAAGTAACAGAATAACTTTATTCCTGGAAAAACCATTTGAATAGTACGAGAATTTATCAATATTCATAGTTTATAAAGGTGTGTATACAAATAAAACGAGAGTTGATTCTTGTATCGTTACTTCATACATACATACAAATCAATTATCCTGTGAGGGACAACCGATATGGAGAAAAAAAGTATTCATTCTATACTAGCTTACCTTGCAAGGCTGTTTGTTTTCTTTCCAACCTCGATACAACGAGAAACTGATCTCCAAGTTTTTCTTCTTTTTTTATATCGTTATCTATCCTTAACATTGTCAATGATGATTCAACTGTGGCTTTCTTAATAACTCCAAACATTAGAGCATTCATCATTACTTGAAGATACATTATTATTATAATGAATGTCATAAATATTCATTCATATAATTGGTCAGTTTGATATGTAGATAATCAATGGTTTTACATTTTTAAACATGTGTAATGTTAAATAATTTTCATATTTTATGGTCACTTCAACTTCCAATAGCAATAATATATTATATCACCTGAGCTCTAAGAAAGTAAAAAAAAAAAATTGATCACAAATTTTTTTAATGCAATGCGAAAATTAGGTTGGAAACTTTCATTTATCAATAATAAAGTATAAGTATTATTGACTGCACATAAATCATATCATCAGTATGAATAAAAACGGAAGACAAAAAAAACAAATAAAATAATGTTAAGAATAATATTGAGGTACTACTGAGTCATTAATTTATTAATGATAGTAATTTATATGTCGTAAAAATGATAATAAATCAGAGAAGAGCAGAAGAAATCATTGAGAATTAAAATTCAATAAAAGAAACTTGTGTTACATATGAATGTCGTAAAGGTTACAGCAGAGTGTCTGGAGATTCGCATAATCTTATTTGATTGTGATGATATCAAGTAATAAAGTAGTAAGTTGATACCTTTTCTGCTACCAACTCCCACACTTCATAAGGACTAGGTCCAGGTTAGGTAAAGAAGAGAATTCAGAAACTGATATGCACAAACATGTTCTTTGGAATGCAGTCCTTGACTGTCCCAAGTTGTTTGCCCACCGGTACAACTTGAGGCTTATATTATGAACGAAGGATAACGTTAGCATGTCTGGTAATCGTTGTTGTACATTTCTTCGAATTTGAAATGGAGAAAGAAGAATAAGTTGATGGAGACTCGAAGTCATGAAGCTACGAGGCCGCGACCTTCCGATAACTCTTCTGTCTTCCTCATCTTTTTCGTTTGCATGAATTAGCAAAGAACATGGTGTTGAAAGAAAAATCATTTCCTAAATGTATTACAGCTTATAAATATTTAGATTTATGTGATCATTTAAATGTTTATTTATCATAAAATTTAATTTATTATTATTAATTAAAATTTTAACTCAATATATATTGGTATATTTATTCTATTGATATGCAAAATCGAAATGATGAATTGGTTGAAGGTATTATAAGCAAAATGATAATACAAACCTTATTATAATCTGTAAGAGAAACGAAAGCGTCTTGGGGTCGTAGAACCCGTTTGTTCCAATCGGATTGGATTTACCAGACTAGTCTTGCAATATTTTTTGCATCTCACACTGCGAGATCGTCTGAAATTTTTTCATTTTTTTTACCACAAGTCAAAAGACATTAGCCTTTAGATTACACACAGAATGAAATTTGGTATCTTCTCAAGTCGTTCTGAAAGTAAACTATTTTTATCCTTTAATAAATTTCTTTACGGGAAAAGAAATAAATATACAGTTTAAAAAATGTGCCATCATAATTTATATGATTGGTTTTTTTTAATTTTTTAGGTACGGAGAGAAGCAACGGCGAGCTGATAGCCAAGAAATAAGTGGTATTCAGCTACTATCTGCTACAGCATATCAGCTTAAAAAACGTAACCAGCAGCTACTTATACCAATAACAGTATGGATTGGAATGGAGCAAGCATTCATTGGTGCAGATTTTACTCAGGTAATTTGAGCTTAAAAATATACAGTCTCTAGAACACAAATTTTCATCAGAACTTTCTACATATAAATTAACATATACTAAGAAAAATGAAAGCTTTAATTTATATCTCAAAGATAACAGATTACAAATAAAGTGATACAAAGTTATGAGGTTAGATAATTAGTGGGTTGAAAAAATAATATAAAGAAAATAACTCCATCAAAGAGTATACATGAATGACACAGCGGTATTTAACCATTCATAATAAAATATTTTTAAGCAGTCATTGTATTATGATTATTGTTTATGCTAATGTCAAAAAATCTGGTCAACTCGATTGAAGATTTAAAAAATCATACGCGAGTAAAATAAGCCAAGATAATAATGATAATAACTAAAAGAAGATATTCAAACTCGTTTCTGCACGTGTTAGTTGATTAACGCCTTGAGCAATTTTAAGTGGCATCATCATCCTTTTCTTGCATCTTTTATTGGAGTAATCTTCAGGCGCCACGTACATATTTACATCTTTCTATCTTACATACTATTTATCTACACACACAACTTATTAATATAGATATTAATTAGATATCCATGTATAATTTATTATTTCACGCATAAATATCTAAAAAAAGAAAAAATATGTTAACAGAAAGTAATGAATATTTTTTTATAGTTTCAATTACATTATGAGAGAAATTTTATATTTATTAATTATTTAATTATATTTAATATTTTAGGCCTACATATCATGTGCATTAGGAGTTCAAAAGGTTGGCTACGTAATGATCTGTTTTGGAGTAGTCAATGCTGGATGCTCATTACTCTTTGGTTCAGTAATGAAGTTTGTGGGTAGACAACCTCTAATGGCACTTGGAGCTATTGTTCATGCTGCCCTCATAGGTGTTCTTCTTGTATGGAAGCCACATCCAGAAAACGCTTATGTTTTCTTCACAGTCTCTGGCCTTTGGGGAGTTGGAGATGCTGTTTGGCAGACTCAAGTCAACGGTAAATTATAAATCAATCATTATATTATATTTCATCTATCCTGCTGAGACGATTAATTTTGTTACTTGTCAAAATCTCGTTGATTGAACGAACTAATACTTATTGAAAATTATTTTATCATCAAAACAAATGAAAAAATTTTTGAAACATCAAATAAATTTTTTAATTGAATAAGAATGCACAAATATAACGACTATCATTTTTCACAGGTCTTTATGGTACACTCTTCAGGCGTAATAAAGAAGCAGCTTTTTCAAATTATCGTTTATGGGAAAGTGCAGGATTTGTAGTTGCTTATGCATACAGTACACATTTATGTGCAAGGATGAAGCTCTATGTAATGTTAACAGTATTAATTATTGGTACTGTAGGATACATAATTGTGGAAATCCTTCATAGGCGTAAACAAAAAAGGCTCAAGGCATTGGCAGAAGATCCTAAAGCAGCTCAGGCAGCTGCTGAAGCTAATCAGCCAGAAGAAACAGATGACGAGAAGGATGATATTGATGACGATATAATTATCACTCATTTGTAATAATATAATGTTATTCATTATAGAGTTTTTAATTAATTGCTTCATAAAAAATCTTTCAAGCTCGCTCGTCGACTTGCATTTATTAAAAAAGGAAACTCAGAAGACAAGTATTTTCCATAAATTCCAAATATTAATCACGTCAGAGAGGTCCTTGGCAGGACGACGATCGATTGAAAAAGCTTGAAAGCCTTATTGGGTTTGTCCTTGTACAGAGAAAAGAATGAAAGAATGGATAAGAAAAATCAAGAATTGAAGAACTGATAAAGAAGTAATTTTTGGTATAATTTTTAATTTATTTATAATTACTTCAACGCCTAAAATAGAATGTGAGGAATAAATTTATGCTACATGGAATAATGAGTAGTGAAGTCATCAAAATTATTCAATAGAAGTTTTTAAGTAAAAGGGAAAAAAGGCTCAGGATATGAGATTATTAAGAAATATTAATTTAAAAGTATGATTTAGACCACAAGTGTAATTGCAAGAAACGATCAAAGTTTAAAAATATTACTTCACAGTGAATGCGAAACAGTATTTCTTAAACGGTCGTCTCGTGAGAGACAAGAAGAATATATAGTGATAGAGAAGATGTGTCTTTCATTTTTCCCCTTCTGTTGTATCTCTCACGTTTCGATCGCTCAAGAATTCTCCGTAATGTAGATAGTAATAGATAAAAATATAATGATATTTTTCCTTGTCTTTCTGTGAGTAACCTTGCAAACTCCTGTCAAGTGTAAACGTATCGATAAAAAGATATCAATGTTTATAAACAGGAAAGTACAGGTAAACGAGAGAAAGAGAAGAAAATGGATATAAAAATTGTCAGTCAGTAACTCAATTAATTTATTCGACCTTGATCAAGTGAGAATGCTTTGATGAGCGAAGAAATGTTTCTTCTACCCTGATTCTAGAGGCGCCAATCTATGATCTACGATACTGATCTCGTTTGGCCTCAGTGCAATACAAGAATGTTGATCAGACATTCTCCAGAGCCTTTGATGTTTTTTTTCACTATTCCTCTCTCTTCTATGAACTTTACTGCCTGTCTTTTTCTCCCCTTAAGCAAGAACAAGTAAAAACCTGGACAGGAAACCAGTAGAAGAACCTGTACACGCAAGACACGCCTCACTATACTATGTCTATTTATACCTACGTGCGTGCTTAATACTAATGAAACTTCCCGTAAGAGTAAACGATTTTTTCGAAAATTTTATAAATTACTATTATACCTGATCTAATTTTATGCCGGTGTGTTGCAATAAAAAAGATCTTGATGGAATAAGTTGGTGAAAAACCGCTTTGTGATAATTAATTAAAATTAATCAAAGATGACATTAAGTTTAAATTAAAAAAAAAGTGATTAAAAATGGTTATTTACTACTTTTTTCATCACTGTAAATGTACATTCTATTATATCTTTTTTTATTTATAAACTATGCTAATCACACAAAGAAAGGAATATAATAAATCATTATAACGATTTTATATAACGAATGACGATAGCACCAAAAAAAATTTAGTCATCAATGATCTTCACACGTAAATTTGACAAGGTAAATAAGGAAGAACATTTCGACCTTCTAAAACTGGTTGATTCAAAACCAGAAAAAAATTTTTATAGTTCTGAAGCGTCAATTTTGTGAATAAAGATTGACTTATTGAGAGAAAAAATTTTTCAATAATACATAAATATTATTATTTATAATGTAAGACAAGATAATTATTATTGTTTATATTTCTTATTATTTTAAGTATCATTTGAAATTAGTGATCTCACTTGGGATTACTTGGACAAAGAGAACAAGAAGAATATGTACTTAATTATAAAAGTAATTAAAAAAAATCAACTTCAATAAGAGTTTAAGCACGTACGTACGACGAAATAGAAATTTATATTTGATCAACAACACTATCATTAATGTTTTTAATTACTATCAAAACAATAGACGAATAAGTGTATCCCATACTTGAAGAACAATTAGAATGATAATCTATGTTTATAGGAGTTGAGATTAGAAATATTATATAATACAAAATAGGTAGTTCTTAAAAAAAAACTTTAGTGTATGTATGCACATGAATTTTATACATATCTTAATTATAATAACTAATGTTCATTAGAAAAAAAAAGATGTCACAATAAGTAAAATGGGACCAATGCTTCATTGTTATCTTTACTTGTTACTTAAAAATAATTGATTACTGATCATCAACTATTAATCATCATTGTTAATGTTATATGATTATTGCAAGCCTTATTTGCAATATATTCCGTATTTTTTTATTATTGTTATTGTTATTAAGCGTTAGTACACGATTAACTTATATTTAAGCGAACGCAGCCGATGCGTTAACCGATTTGCCAAGCATATTCTGTTCTCCTTTAAAGTCTCTATAAAATGATAACTAATTGTCCTTGGATATACCGAAGAATAACTATCATTACTCGATTTTGTTGCACAACGCTCAATTTTCGTAAATGTAAAGCAATTTTTTCATATTTGTACAGTATAATTAATTTAATTAATAGTTATAGTTATTATATTGAAATAAAATGTATATTTAAGATATATAAGAATATATATATACACATGAGATTTACTTTCATTTCTCCAAGACATTACTTCATTTATTATAATTATTGTCATTGTGTTAATTACATAAATTTTTTCTTATCTTATTAACAATTTTCTAAAAATTATTTTATTTATTTTTTATCAGAATTAAAATTAAAGATAAAAGAACCAGCTTTAACGATTTATTTTTTTTGTTTTAATTTTATTAATGAAAGCTAATTAAGTTTCCAAAATTAGTGTTTTTAATAGTTTTATTTAATTTATTAATTAAAATTTTTTTAACTACATTATACAAATAATTATAAATAAACATATGTACAAAAACTATGTTTACAAAAAATAATAACTGTTATTTTTTAGATTTTAGTTCGTTTCTTTATAGGTTTCTCTTCTTTTTGCAATTCATCATTATTGTTTACTGTAGTTTTTGTAATCATTCCGGTATTTTTATCCTATAAAATGTAAATGCAACGATTTAGTTTATCAAGATCAAATCAATTAAATTGATTCATATTTTTTATCTCAGTATATACCACTTAGTTATTAAAAAAACCTTACCGTTAATAAATAATACATTTTACATTGAGCTCCTTGAATATATGTACTATCATCATTTACAGTATAGTCATCAGTATAAAATATTTCAATTTTATCTATTTTCGATGATGTTATAATAAAATTTTGGATACTATGATAAAATTCATATTCGTGCTTATTTTCCAAAACTAAATGGGCTATAATAAAAAAAAACATAGTCATATGAATAATGATTGTTAATAATAATTGAGTAATAATAATTGTCATATATAATAATGAAATTTTACCTTCAATAACAAAATTCTTTTTTAGTCGACTCAAGTTATCTCTAAGTACCAAAATATTTTTTATAACTTGGTCAAATTGCTCTTCTAATTCACAATCTCTTCTATTTATTTCTTTAGTCGTAGGAAACTGTGTCTTCATGATAGATGGAACAGATGAAAAAGCTGGAAGTTTTTTAGCAAGTCTTGAATACAATTCTTCACTTAAATATGGCATAAAAGGTGCTACGGTCCTCAAAAATGTTTCGAGACATGTAATTAAACAATATCTATGACTTTTGATAATGTCTTCTTCACTACTTTCCAAGCCAATTTTTGTAGCTTCTAGGAAAAAATCACAAAACTCATAATGAAAGAATTGTCTCATCGCTGAAACTGCTCGATGAAAATTTCTCTGTTCAAGAGAATCATTTACAATTTCAACCATTAATTCTAATCGACTTAATATCCACCGATCAACGGTGGATAAATTTTCAGGAAGCTTCACATATACGTCATCAGTTACCATTAAGACATATTTACTAGCTTGCCATATTTTATTACAGAAATGTTTGAATGTTTTGCATTCTTCAATAGCAAAATTAATCCTATCTTCTTTGATATTATGAGAGCATAGAGTAAACCGTAGAGAATCGGTTCCACACTCAGGAATACCTTGAGGAAAGGATTTCGCATTGACAGAAATAGTTTTTTTGAACTCTGCTTCATCAAGTAATCCAGATTCCAAGTTTTCTTTTGCTTTCTCTTTCAAACCAGAAAGACTAATGCCATTAATTATAAACTCCGGCAAAATTACATTACCCAAACTTTTTGACATCTTTCTTTTATGTGAGTCACAGAGTATTCCATGAAGAAGAATTTCTTTGAAAGGTAAAACACCAGATAATTCAGTACAAAGCATTGCCATTTTTGCAACCCAATAAAATAAAATATCTTGCCCAGTTTCCATTAAAGATAACGGATAGAATTGAAGATGTTTTTTATCAGGCCAACCCATCGCCGAAAGTGGAAGTAATGCTGCAGAAAACCAAGTATCTAAAACATCATTATCCTGTCGGACATCAGCACTTCCAAATTTTGTTTTTGATATCTGTCGTGCTTCCTCAATACTTTTAGCTACAATCCAATGAATTTCAGAATTAATTTCACAAGAATATGCTGGAACCTGATGACCCCACCATAATTGCCGCGATACACACCAATCTCTGATATTATTAAGTTTATCATACCATAATTTTTCATGCCTCTCAGGATCTAGTTTGAGTTCTTTATTTTTCACAGAATCCACAACTTTCTCAGCCATTTGTTTAGTTTTTATGTACCATTGCTCCTTCATTATATACTCAATTATATCTCCGGATCTTGAGCAAATGGGCACAAGCATCGCATGATCTTTAATATTTTTCAAAATTCCTTTATTTTTTAATTCATTGAGTATTTTATATCTAGCAACAAATCTAGGATATCCTTCATATTGTTTTGCATTTTTATTCATTATTCCATCTTCTCCAATTACTTCAATTTCTTCTAAATTGTGTCTTCTTGCTATTTCTAAATCCTGTATACTATGACCTGGAGTTATTTTTACTGCACCTGTACCAAAGTCTTGTTTGACAAATGAATCAGCGATAACAGGAATGAAAACTTCTCTCAAAGGATGCCAAACTTGTTGACCAATAAATTGTGAATGTCTTGAATCTTCTGGATGTACAGCAATAGCAACATCACCCAATAAGGTTTCAACTCTTGTTGTTGAAACTACGATTTCATCTTTCGAATCTTTCACTTTAAATACGATATCGATAATTTCACCAAATGAAATTTTTCTGTCATACCCAGGAACTTGAAGTTCAGTTTTTTTTGTTAGTGGAAGATAATCAACTTCAATCTCTGATATTGTACTTCTTAAAGCTGGAGACCAATTGACTAGACTATTGTTTCTGTATAATAAATTGCGTTCATTTAATATCACAAATGCTTCACTAACTGCATTATTCTGATCCTGTATTAAAAAAATTAAAGTTTATTGGAGATGATGATAAAATGAAATTTATTCACCATAGTTAAACTTACTTTGCTCATAGTAAAATATTGCTTAGACCAGTCTAAAGTTGAGCCTAAATTTCTCAATTGGTTCTCTATTATATGTCCTTTCTCATTTTTCCAATCTTCAACACATTTCAAAAAATTTTCTTTGCCTAATTCTAATCTAGTAACACCATTTTTAGCTTTTAGATGTTTCTCAACCATAACTTGGGTTGCTATACCAGCATGATCCAATCCAGGAACCCATAAAACTGAAACACCTTTCATTCTATTCCTATAATTCTAATTAATTAGTAACAAATATATTAACCAAAATTCATTATTATATTGATTGAAAAGAAAATTACCATCGTGCTAGGACATCTTGAATTGTTATTGTTAATGCATGACCTAAGTGAAGAGCTCCAGTAACATTGGGTGGAGGAAGAATCATAGTCATTAATGATTTGTTATTAAGAGGATTAAAAAAATTATTTTGTTTCCAGACATTATTCCAAAATGTTTCTGCATTTTTCGTCTCATACTTTTGAGGAAAATCTATGAAAAATGTATTCATCTTCAATGTATTTCAAATAAAGATTTTTTACATATAAAAAAAATATATATATAAAGCAATTATTTATTAGTCAATAAAAAATAATTCATTATTAATCGATTAATATGTTTTAATACAAACATTATCATACCGGCTATCCTTTCAACATTCAATCTAGAGCAAAAATTTCTACAAGAAATACTATTTTGTCGAAAATGATATAATTTGATCATTTTCAATTCTGGTTGATATTTATATGCATATAAACAACTGTTATTATTGGTTTTGCAAAGTAGTTAACGAGTATTTTTTACTGTGTTTATATTTTATGTCTTTGCACCTTGTGTTTATGTTTTCATGGTTTTAGGTTAGAATTATTTTTATTGAATAGGTTATGTCGCATTGTTTTGTGTATGTGGATAGAATTGGAGTAACTCTGGCAAGTGATTTGAAATGAAAATTGTACAATTACATAAAAATTATACAAATTTTCATTAAAATTCATTTGTAAATATGACTCATTGCCAATTTTTTATAAAACGTAAAAAAAGATACTGTAAAATGATAGTAAAAAAGGGTAATATGTATTGTGGAGAGCATCAGGAAGTATCATTAGAACTTTTGGAGCCAAATAATTGTGAAAAGTCTATATCTCAACCTAGAAGGATACAGTGTCCGCTGGATAAGTCTCAGTAATTAAATAAATTTCAATAATAAACTTTTATTTTCACGTGATTGTTTATAACGAATTTTGTTGATTTGTATATTATATTTTTTAGTACTTGCTATGAATCAAGACTGAAACAACACCTTAAAGTGTGCAACGTGAAACAATTGATTGACAGAAAGCCTGAGTATATTATTGATGGAATTAATAAAGGAAGTACAATTAATATTCCAAAACACATTCCACTTTGTAATCTTGAACAAAATATAATTGACAATGTAATAAGTAAAGTAGAAAAAGCATATGGTATGTAAATATATTTTCTTTTATAATTACACAAAAGAATATATTATTATAAAACAAAAATCTAATAAAATTTGTACTAGACATGTTACCTCAAGTTGAGGAACTAATCTATGAACATGAAATTCTCAAAGATGAAATTAACAATCCAACTTACGGTAATCATATAAAAAAGCATTTAATTCAAAATGCATCTTTATTATCTCACCTCAAATATGCTGGATTAGTGAAAGATGATACGTGTTTTATAGAGTTTGGTGCTGGTAAAGGTAATATAGTTCAATAATAAAAGTTTAGCATAAGACGTCAGTATCATGAAACAAATATTTTATAGACGATTTATATTTTTTTAGGAAAACTAACATACTGGCTAGCTCAAATAATAAAAGATATAGAAAAACCAACAATTTTATTAGTTGATCGTTCTAGTCATAGGTATAAAAAAGATAATAAACTAAAAAACGAAAAATGCCCAATAAATATCATCAGAATTCGAGCTGATATAGCTGATCTTGCCTTACATAAAATCGAAGATGTAAAAAATAGTACCCATAAAGTTGGCATTGCCAAACACTTATGTGGTGCTGCTACAGGTAATGTAGCTCTTATTTAGATTAATCATCCAATTCATTACTGCTCCGATTTCACAAAATAAATAATCGACGTTTATTTTAGATTTAATGATTAACTGTTTATGTAAACTGAGCAAAGAAGATTCAACAGGTACTATTGGACTAATAATAGCTTTTTGTTGTCATCATCGATGCGAGTATAATTCTTATGTAGGTAAAAGCTATCTAGAAGCATGTGGCTTTGAACCAGAAGATTTTCCAATTTTAAGTAGCATCGCTAGTTGGGCTACATGTGGATCTAAGAATGATCAAAAATTGAATACTTCAACAAAAATAAAGTTTGTATATTTTATCGTTCTTTAAACCGATTTTTTTGAAACATTTTTAAATAATTTAATTGCACATTTCGTTTACTAATTTATTGTGTAAATTTTTAGCGATACTTCTCAACTGGAAAAAAGGGAATCAATAGGTCGAAAGGTCAAATTGATCCTAAATTGGGGACGAGTCAAGTATTTGACGGAAATAGGATTTAATTGTAATTTATATTTTTATACAAAACTAGAGGTTTCTCCAGAAAATATGTGTGTTGTAGCGATACGAAAATAAATTAATTCATAATTTATAATATTTTTTTTAAAATCACTGTATATTTCTAATATACAATATATAAAAAAAAGTCTAATATAAAAGTAGATTATAATGGTTACAGTAAGTTATGATTGTTAAAATTTCTTGCATCTCATAATTTTCACTCTAAGAATACCAAAAACTTAATAGTGATTTACCAGGAGTTTGTGCTCTCTCATTAGCATCAGGTACATATGTAGAACTTCTGTGTTGATTCATTGCATCAATTTTATTTTCCAATGAAACAACTTTCGTTTTTAGATCCTTAACTTCGTTTATAAGTGTTAATACTAAGTTTTGTAAAGCTTTAATTTCAGATTGTTCGTTTGGTTTCGCAGTAGCCGTGCATTTTGGAGCAGGTGTTTTCGTTTTATCAGTTTGCGGTTTTTCTTGAACCGTTAAGTTATTTATACTCTTCAACAAGAATGGAATGTAAGAACCACATGAACCTAAAAAAAAAAATATTATATTTTATTTTATCTATACAAACCAGATAATTTATTTACCATCAAAAGTTTTAGGAGTTGATGGAGTCGAAACTTGAGAAATGGTATTCGATATCTTGTGTGCTTGTAACTCTTCCTTAGTAACTAATAAAAAATACAAGACATAAATCATTTATTTCATTTCAATAATTATTATAGTATAAACTGAATAAAAAACTCACAGATATAATTGTACAAGCTCTCAGGTTGTTTCTCAACATCTTTGATGATTTTTTCTATACGATTAGCAATTCCAACCATTTGTGATTCATTCATAGCTTGAAATAAGTTTAAACTAGGATCCCAAAAGTAATTTAATTTTCTTTGATGAAGACTGTCTCGTAGTCTTTTTAACATCTATAATTTAACAAAATATTTTTAAAAAATCCAATGAATTCCATAGTTAAGTAGTACATAATCATAAAAAACTCACAAATATTGTTAAATATGTTTGACTTGAGTTTTGAACATCAGTACTATTCAAAGCTGAACCCAATGCCTGATAAAATAACGTTTCAATATAATAACTTTCTAAAATTGGCCACTCCTGAGTGTCTCTCAGTTTCTAAAATTAATCAAAACTTGATAAAAATATGAATTCAACGATATAATTGATGTATTTTAAAAAAGATTATCAACTTTAATTGTTCTTATCACAGATTTGATTTTTCCAAAATCTTTCAGAAGTTTTTGTTCATGCCTATAAAAACAATATCGCCAATTTCGATGTGGTTGAGGTACATTTGTTAGAGGCTTTGGAACAAGATACCAGGGTACCTGTAAATCTTTGTATTTATTTGCTAATGACAAAGGAGGATCATTTTTAAATTCCAATACTGGTACTAAGTCTACATCAAAATTTTTTGATTCATATATGACACATAATGTAAAAGCTGGCCCATTTTTTCTAATTTTTATCTAAAATAATGACATTATATAATTACATTATGTGAAAAGATATCATAAATTATATGTAATATCGATGGCCTGCTAATAATTATTATTGATAGTATTAAAGTACATACTTCAAAAGGAAAGTTTAATTTTGATGGAAGAATTAAATATCCATTATTTGTTGGACTTTTTTCCAATGTATTTAAACTTTTTTGTGACATACTTTCAAACCAACGTCGTACTTGTTCATTATTTAAATAATTTTCAGCATCAAGCCAATTTTTTAATATTCTAATGAAGAAAAAAAAAATATTTTATCAGAAATGAACAGAAAAATACACTATCATTTATTTCAATTTTTTTCTTTTTAAATAATTAATCAATTATTTTATACTTATTATCTGTCCATTGAGATGATAAATCTTCCTTTCTAAATTTGATTCTCGCAAATCCAGGGCGACCTTTCTTTTAGTTTAATCACACATCAAAAAGAAAATTAATGACTCCAAATTAATATTAATGGTAATAATGTTAGAATTGTAATAAATGCAAAAGAAAAACTTTCGAAATTTTATTATCGCAATGTTTTATTATATAAATATAATTGAAACTTACTTCAATAATAGCTTTATCGATGTTAGGTAATTTTATAATTATATTTATATCAAACTCCTCAGGTTTCCCAACACGAGTTTGTTTATAAAAACTACCGACATACATTAAAGTCCTATAAAGATATTTGAAGAGATCATCTTTTTGTAACGTTTGGATTACATTTTCTGTAACCTAATAAAAAAATTTTTAAATTGAAAAACTTGTAAGTCAATTAATGAATTTATAAACAACTGAGTTGTGACTTTAAATCGTTTCATAAATAAATTGAAAAATTGCAAATTGCTAAAAAATTCTTCGATCATGTTATTAATTATTATCATTTGTTTTGTATTTAATAAACAATGAACTAAACTGATAAAATTATTTTTTTCTCATTAACAAACATTGTTATTGTCTCATCTGTAACTTAAAAAACATTGTTTTAATTTATGCATAATACAAAATAATTATTGTACCTCACGTAATAAACGATTATAAATATCTGTTTCTTCCTTTTGCAATGAAATCAATGGGCTTATTGTATTAAATGCTGTATCTTTAAACCTTCTGTTTTGTTCCTCTGCATTCATCTGCACATGTTATTTACACTAAATTAATTGAATTGTAGAAAAAAATTATTTTTATCTAATTATTTATTTTCAATATGAGTTAACCTTTGCAGAAATCATTTAAATACTTTGAAAAGAGTAAAAAAAATAAATTTACTTTATTTTTAATTGATGGTATCGAAAAATTTTTATAATCACTTTTTCATGAAAATTTTTGTCGATATTTTTAGATTTCCGGTTGCAATCAAAACTAAATGAATGTCAAGTTTTTTGACCGACCTTACTCTTGAACGAACATTGTTGAACTGTATGTATCACGTGATTTGACAATATATACTTGGTATCAGCAATTTCCAAGCCATATTATATCGCAGTTTTATGATAGAAACGTTAAAAAACTTTACTTCATAGCAAAAGTTTTTCCAGGAAGTTTAATTCTCCGTATAGAGAATAATAATATACATATTGTACGAATAGAAAATAATTATTTATAAAATTTTTTAAATCCAATTTTATTATTGTTTATATTATTAGGAAAGAATTATTATTATTATTATTGATCATTTTTTAAAAACATATTTTGGATAATTAGGAAAGGGATAGCCTGATTATTAAAAACATTTTCTAATTAAATATACCGCGCGTTCGATATACAAAGTATATTTATTATTAATGTTGATTATGTTAAAAATTAACATTCACAATTTTTTTTAAATACAGAATTCAATATTAACATATTGTATTATTTATAAAAAATGGGCTGTTACATTTTTTTTTTTAATTTTTTAATATAATTTTATGTTTTTTAAAAGTTTGGAGATTCTTGATTTTTTATCTTTCAACACCTTTTTAGTACGGTCAACTTTTTAACTTCATTATTAATTTCAATTTCTATTTTTAATGCTCATTTTACAATTAATTATTGAATTATTTTTTTAAAATTCATTATTTATGATTCTGTTATATGTTACTATTATTCAATAGTATTATTTTGTTATTTTATTCGTCAATTTATCAATACTTTTATTTGGATACATTTCGATTAATAATTTAATTTCTCACACTTAATTTGATAGTTATTTTTCATGTTACTATTATTGATGATTATTATTAACAACGAACCGTTATGTGCGTTGATTATCATTAGTCAATCATTATAACGTTGTAAGTTATTTTAACTTGAATATTTTTAATGATTGTTTTTTTTTTCTTCACCAATCATTGATAGTAAAATAATATTATTTTACTTAGGTCGGGCATATGGGGTAGAACGGTAGCGCGAAGCCGATCCGGTTGTAGCTGACGTCTTGTACGATTTCCAAGCGCGGCCCGATGAATCCTCTGCGAATTTAACGGATGAACCTTCTCTTTTCTCTTTAATTATAATTATTAAGTTCATTATTTAATTAAATTTATTGTATAGTTAATTAATATTTTATTTATTGGTTTATCTTTTATATATATAGAAATATATGTTTTCAAATATAACTGCTCTATAATATATATTTAATGTGCACTATCAAATTATTTCAAACGATTGAGATCGGAGTAAAGTTGAATGTTACTTTTAATGTAGTACTTATTAACTATTTTTTGATGAAAAGATTTAAGGGTAGCAAATTATTTTACTTACCCGGATAATCTGATGTTTCGTAATAATCAGAAGAACGAGATGTAGGATCATCATCATATTCATAAGACGAGTATGCTGACGACGTATAAACGTCTTCACTGTATTGTAAAATATAAAAATTCAAATTTCTACATGTATCAAATAGTTTTTTTTTATAAAAACAAGTTGAATAAAACAAATCATGCTTGCAGAAAAATTTCCAAACATCTTACGAAGCTGTTGGAGAGTAATGCCTATCAGCATATCTGCTACTACTACTTGAAGATCCATGATAATCATAACTATGATGAGTACGACTTGATGATGGTAATGGTTCTTCATATCTATAAACAAATAAGCATATTGTTTGATATTTTTTATAAAGTTCGTCTCACTGCTTAAATAATAAATCACTAATTCACTAACCCATAACCCCGATTCATGGCAATCCTCGCTCGATCTAAAATCGAGAAAACTTTTGATTTATTTGAAGTTGAGCGTGTAGATGAACTCCGAGATACGGGCGGTGGTGGCATGACTATAAAATCCGTGAAAATTAAATAGTAAATAAAGGTTTTAGTTATAATGAAAGAAATGTGGTAAACAATTACCATGTGCTGATGAAGGAGGTCTGACGGTTCTAGGTGACGGTATAGGTCTAGATCTTAAGATACTCGATGATCTTAATGAAGGTTTAGGATCATCAGGATTGGCACTTTCAACCATACTCAGTTCCATTTCTCTCATTTGTTCTTGACGGATAATATCATTACTATCGGGAATTAAATATTTTCGGAGTTCAGCAAGAGCATAGGCAATTCGAGCATGAGCCTCAGCTGGTGGAGCCAACACATTGATCTCCACGTGCAGGTCATCATTCAGGTGAGCATATTTGGGGTCTGAAGACTGACGAAGTTCCTCCTCCTGTTTGGTAAATGATTTAAGTCATATATAATTCAGTTGTACTCCGGTCCATTCGCTCTCTTCGATCTTGTCCTCAAAAAGGGTCACGTGGAATTTAATGCTACCTTATGCAACACTATTTTAGATATTAATTTACCACGAGGACACATTAATTTTAATCGAATTATCCTCCTGATACTTTTATTTATAAATAAAAAAGATGAAAACAAGCAAAAAAAATCTAAATAATCCTGAGGGATCGTAAAGGAAAATTTATTTCTCTGTTGTTTCTATCTCTTTTTATCTTTTTTCTTCATTTTCTATTGCTATGTTCCTCGTCTTTTTATTTTAAGTCAGTCTTTCGGGATATTTCAGTACATTTTTTACAATCGGTAAGTCCTAAAAGCTTGGGTTTCAGTACAATATACCTGGGGTTTCTTAAATCGATCTGCTCAATTGGATAATTTATTGCAGAACCATGTGGTAAAAGATCATCAAGTATTTTTAAAAGCAAAATAAAAATACCCCAATGCGGATATAAATATATTCCTAGAAAGTTAAATTGAAAGAATATATACTTCTTGCCTTCTTAATAAATTGGAGAGTTTTAAAAATTAAAAAATAATTCAGAATGAACTTTAGAACAAAGGGAAGATAACTCAACTATTCATCCTCGAAATATAATTTACACGTGTTCCTTTCATTTACCTTTTGTCTATCTTTCATCGATCCTCTACCCAACACAGCCATCTTACACATAGTTTCTTCTTGTAAGCGTTTCATTGAGTTTCCTTTAGGACCAAGTAACTTTCCCACGAAGTTAAACTATAGATCCATATACAAGAATTTTTATTCTCTAATAAATTTTGTAATACTCATATCAATTGTTAATTACACTTTACAATTACCTTAGGGTGTTCCCTAACTGGAACTAAGACTTTGACACGTAGCCTGATTGGTTTCTCATGGTAAATATCAACGTATTTTTGATCTTTTATTGGTTTTGATTCATCCATAGGATTTCGGAGTCCTGAAAGAATATTGAACATTTAGCAGCTAGTCTAAAAAATGACAACTCATTTTCTATTTATATTTTAATTGAATTGTCTACTATGATAAAAAATTTAAAAACGGAGTCATGAATAGTTGATTTAACATTGAAAATTCCAATATAATACTGTTAAAACTTGTGACATTGAATAACATATCTAAAATAATTGGTTTTTTGATTTATTAAATTGAAAAAATAAAGGGGATCGTTGAATGTTCTTGCAGATATCACTGTGAGGACACTTGACAGGCTAATTTGTGGAGGACATCGTTTTGATCATCTAGACTCAATTTATGATTTAATTGCAAACTATTGCCGGGCACAGTGCCATCTTTAGCAAATGAGTAAATGTCAGTCAAATAATATTTTAGAAACAAATCATCTTTCAGAGTTTTTACACTCATATTATATTCAACAGTGAAATGAAATTCTTAAATATGTTTTATTTAGAGCTTGAAAATAACTTGATAGTAGTATTATAGCTAAAATTGTCAGTAAAGCAGACAAAAAATATTAAACACCTCCATCGAGAATTCTGTCAAGAGAATCTTGTGATGAACCTTCGATTGAAGAAGTTCTATCTTTTTCTGTAACTGATTCCTTTCTATATTTGTCAGCTTTACTAACAGCATGATCTTGTTCATCTCTGTCTTGTTTTTCCAACGGTATTCTTTGCTGAGAATCATTTGCTCCATTACTGTTCTCGCCATCACCAGCATCGTCTCCATCATATTTTCCATTACTTTCTCTATCCGTCATCACTGGTGATTATTTTATCAGAGTATAGTCAATAATAGAACTTTAATTATACAATACACAATTATTTAGTTATTAATAATTAACAATGACTAATTTCAAAAGAATGTAAAACACCAAGTGTAAGGGTAAATAGCAACAATGGCGATGCGCAAATTTTCTGCGCACGTTACGCTCTCTGGCGAAGGCGGAAGAAATATTTTAACTCAAAATTTTTATCAAATATTTGCAGAATAAATAATCAGTGTAACACTTACACATATTATGAAAACGTTAGATGAAACAAAAGTACTCAATTAAAAAATTATCATGATAAATGATTATTTTTATTAAATCATTTGCCAACTCTGTTACGTATGACCAGCCACGCGTTCTAGTTTACCCATTGCAGTTTACATGCTATTGTCTCAAATCATTCAACGTGTCTATCAACTCGAGGATTGGAACAATAACGAGCAGTAAGCTGTAATTGTTGAACAGGTTTACTCACCAATAAAGGATATTAAGACTCTAGAAATGGGCTTTTGATAGACATTAATAATACATTGTTGCAATGAATTATGCAATACTGATAATAGGACCTTTTTGTATTCCTCTGTATGGTCGATACAAATTGGCTGTTAATTAAGATTAATAGTGAAATTTAATAGCATCCAAAGAGACTCATACGTAACACAAATTGACTTATTATTCTAGACTCCATTCGTAGGATATCATATACAGACACGTAAAGAGCATCATTCATTTCTAACTTGAGAAAATACTTTACTAAAGGTAATTTTGTATATTTCGTAATTAAAATGTGTTGACATTAGTGTCCATATATTTACTAAGCAAACATATGATTACAAATAATTCAAATCAATTTGAAATCAGCTAACATTTTATAGCAGAATGCATATATAATAAAATATCATGTATAGTGGCAGAGTTTTATTTTATGCATTTATTAATGTCTTTATCACGAAAGTTCTTCGGAAAAACATATAAATATTCATAATTATCTACCTAAGAGAGTATAGTAGATATTTATAAGATTTTAATCTTTATGGCATTGGATACAGTAACGAGAAAAAGAACATTTATAAAAACTACAGACACATCCCTCTTCTGGTAAATATTTTGTTTTTTTATTATTATATAATAATATATAAAGTATTTGTTATTTATTTCAAACTTGTCAATATTTTTCTTGATATGTAAATTACTTTATTTAAAAGAAAATTTTCATCAGTTAAAATATTATTTTACAGGTATTGAGACAAATTGTTGTTCAAACCCCAAATAATCAAGAACAAAGGTTAATATTTCATGAAAATTAAATTTTTTTTATAGTATTTATTTACTAAAATTTCGTTTCTCATAAAATAATGATTTCTCATAAACTCATAATACACTAATAAAAATTAATCCATAGTAAAATACAAATATTTATGTTTTAAGATTTAAAGTTGAGTGTAATACATACAAACTTCGTACTTTCATTCTAATTTTGTATACACCCGAGGGAGTTGTTTTGTGATGCCTTGTTCTTTGTCATTCATATTTGAGCAACTCCCAACTGTTTATTCACATTCGCCAGTATTTCGTAAGCATGAAGGACCTGATAAAGAACTCCGATCGATGGAATTGATTGGTGTGTGAGTAGTAGAAATTATTATCGCAGTGGAATTCAACTACATTTGTGGCCTTTTCCCACAAAAATCTTTCTCTCATATTTTTTATCTTTTTTTTCTAGGATACTTTTATCTCTTTCTTACTCATGAGCTTGCAAAGCCTTAAGCAACTTCAGACACGGGCTTTCGGTTTCAGTCGTGCTAGAACAGCCGTAGAGGTGAGTTCACAAGACTGTGGAGCACATCCCTCTGACTTTGTGTCACAGACTAGGTGATAAATTAAATAATAATACCTGTCACAGAATAATTTCAATCACATTTAATCAAGTAATGAGTGAGTTAATAAATTCAGTTTATAAATCATATCAGTTAATTTGAAATCATATATATAAAAATTTTTCATGATCAAAATTGTACATAAGAAAAATGTGTAATGGTTTTTTGTAATATTTATTATCAATGTCATATAACGTACAAGGTGAGTGATAACAGCAATATTTGATACTTCATTCTTTTATTTTATTAGCTCTGTTTTCTCACATGTTGCTCGGTAATTAATGTGAAGAAAAAACTTAAAGTTACTTCCAGCGGGAAAATGTATCAAATGGATGTAAAACAAAGTTCTAAGACAAGTAATCCTTCTTTATATCCCTACAGGCTTTATTCGTTCGGAATGACATAAACTTTTCTGTGTTCTTCGTTCTTATCTCCTTTTTTTTTTTACTTTGCTCCTACTTAGCAAATTTGAGTTACCTCGTGTCTCAAATCATTTTTCAATACATTCTATCAGAATAAATAATCAGCTAAAAAGGCAGTAATTTCAAAATGTTTTGCTTAGTGTTTTACTGATCAGCGTACACACATTTTGGGATATATGCGAAAAATATTTCCAAGCTCTCTTCAATTTTGTACATGTTTTTTTTTGCAACTAATTAGTCCAATTACTAAACATTTTTATAAGAGAATTTAATTATTAAAATGCAGTCCACTGTCCTAGATTGATATTCTATGCAAGTTTTTTTTTTTAAATGAAAACGACTTGGTAAATATTGATTGCAAATAATCAATTTTTGTTTTAAATTATTCGAAGATTAAAAAGAACTATCAAGTCATTATCATTGACAAAAATAATTATGAGTCCAGAAACTAATGGTGATTTAAATTTTCATCTACTTGAGAAAACAAGAAAACTTTCATAGATTGAATGAATAAATGACATACATATTAACCTGTTGGTTAAGAATTTTTTTCAATTTTTCAATACTTTTTATGAAATTAATAGTATAGGTGTTTGAATATTTTCTAAACATTGATGTTACATCAATTTTTTCAAGCTAAAATAACTTTTCTTCATTTTTTTCAAATTTAATGGAAATTTTCTGTTCTTTTTCGTTATTTCTGCTTCACAGTAATTTTTTAATTAATTGAATAGTTCTTTCTCACTAGAGAGACTGAGTACTGATGTAATTAAAATTATTTTTAATAAATTTCCAAACTTTTTTAATTAAGATCATTTAAAAATCATAAATATTTAAATCCAATAATATGTTTATGATAAAATGTTTGTATATCAGTTGGCTTTTTAATAATTCACTTGAACCACTCCAATAAAACTCTAATCTTTACAGAAGCACGTAAATATTTTCCTTCCATAACATTCAACTTTTACCCTCATAAATTGTATAGAAATGACAAAATCATTTCAGAGGGAATGGTTTTAAAATGAGAAAATAACAAAAGTAGATTCAAAAAAGAAACTAAATAGGGGTAATAAAGTAAAGTACAAAAGGTATTGTGGGAGAAATAGAGGTAAAAAGGGTTCTCGAAGGTGTTAGATGCAAGTACTGATCTATTGTCGTTACTCAAAAGCAGCTTTTGTATCATGCGTGATCCTTTCAGATTCCAGTGCTAGCACCGGCACCGGGAGAAATGTTGGGAGCGGTGGAATTCGTGGTAACATCGGTGGAGGAAATTGCGATGGGGTGGAACGAAGAATGGTCGACATTACGCGAGATAAGCCAATCAAAGTTGCTGTCAGGGTACAAGTCCCTGTCCGGGATCACCCAAAGGTTAGATTAACAAAATTGACATTGAATCATTTTTTCCAATAGCTTCTTAAATCTGTTCATTTTCATTGTTACATCAAATTACGTGTCAAATAAGTTTAACAAAAGATGATAAGCAAGTGTTTTCTTTTGATATCCAACAGATTTCAAGTTATCGCAAGATTTTTCAATCTTAATAAAAAAATCTTCTTTTTATTTTATTTTAAATTAAATATAAAAGGCTTTTATTGTGGTTTTGTTGTAGTTTAATTTTGTCGGAAAACTATTAGGACCAAAAGGTAACTCTTTGAAGCGGCTTCAAGAAGAGTGTGGCTGTAAGATGGCTGTTTTAGGTCGTGGTTCAATGAAAGATCGTCAAAAGGTAAAAATAACGTTTACATAAATACTTTTAACATAGAAGAAGAAACAAAAAAAATATATAATATGGTTTTGAATGAAACAAGAAGCTATGTCAAGTGTTTTACATAGTTACATATGAAAAGATTATGTGCCCGTCGTTTTTATTTATTTCTTATTTTTTCAAGCATCGTACCACTTTCTTGCTTACCATCATCATAATAAATGTAGCTGAACACACTAGTAGGCTTGCTCATTGCGCCCAGATTCGCTCAGCGATGCGACTTTAATGACTTCGTTAATTAAAAGCCGTGCATCGCTCTCATCGCGAGATTCAGAAGCTTATGTGGTAGCCAAAGCTAAAATTTTATATGTACTTTTTAAATGCACTTACGAACACATTTCTGTTTGACAACACCAGTCTACCGCTTTCATCTTCTGTATAACTCAATATTCTCTTAAAGTCTCTAAATATTTAAACATGTAATTAAGTACTGCTAATCGATTAATCCATTCCTGGCTTGGTAAACCAAAGGAGGAGGAGCTGCGAGCAAGTGGTGACCCAAAATTCTCCCACCTTAACGACGATCTTCACGTTGAAATCAGCGCCTATGCAACTCCTGCTGAAGCACATGCCCGCATTGCTTACGCTCTCGTCGAAGTTCGGCGCTTTCTAGTCCCGGTTTGTCTTTTCTAATCTCTTGAACGTCATTTTCAAACTCATACAACCTCTGTCTCTTTTAGGATTACAATGATGATATTAGGCAAGAACAAATGTGGGAAATGCAGATGATGAATTGTAATGAAAACAATAATACAGATATACCATCAAGTCCTGAGACATCATCAGAACCAACTGGATCTCCAATTTCTAGTAAAACCAGCCACTCTGCTGATGTTCAAGACGTTTCTGGAAAATCAGTGGCTTCGTTATGCACCTCATCAACACTCGGTAGTAATGTAATATACTTAAAAAGCATTGCTTTTTTACTCCAATTTAATTTATATGGAAATAATCATTTAGGGTGTCGTAAACGTCCTGGAAATCGACCAACCGTATCCCCAATTAAACGAACAGTCATGTCACTACTAACGCGAGCACGAGCGGTACAGAATAAAGAACAGCCAGTAAGCCTCAGTCACAATGGTCCAGGAATTCATCAAGCCTCCGTTGCTTTGTTGACTTCAACTACAAATCCATCACCTCATCCAGTAGCTCAAGTGCCAAGAATTCAATTGATTGGATCTTCTGTTCCTCAACATACAACAGTTCGACGACAAATTATTCCAACATCGCACACACAGCATCAAATGTTAACTCCAGCAATCCATGGATTGATTCATACCCAGTAATATTTTTTTCTTTAAGTAATATGGTTTTATGTTAATTCATTACTCAGAAATATTTATTTATAATTTTAATCGATACATACGTAATGAATTTTTTTGGAAAAAATCAATAATTTTTTGTATCATGGAATATACTTCTATGCATAAAATAAATATCTCCCAGTTAAAAATCTCTTGATGCTAATGCAAAGAGAAACTATGAGTGTTCCTTTTATACCAAGTACTTCTGCTTTCAGAAGAGTCGCTAGCGGGCCGGCAATTCTTCCACTTTTACGAGAGGATCTCGTTGCTGGGGTTAATCTTGTTTAATCTTTGTGACGGCTACAAGGTACAAAGGTTTTCCAAGTGATAAAAAAATTTACAGATTTGAAATCTCTGTGAAATTGCATACATTTTTTAGCGAATATCAACGACTTTTTAGAGTTGAACAGTTTCACATTCTCTTTTTGGATTTACTGAAAAATCCGAAGAAACTCTAGTCATTTTCCTAAACATTGTGATCAATATTTCCAATTTACTAGCATTTAAAGCTTCAATGTAAAGTTTCTTTAATGTATATTGAAATATTATGTGATTATTAAATATTAGAGAACAAATTATCAAAAAAATCTATGCACTGAATTATAAATTTAAACATGTAATATTATTAAAAAATATTCATTCTTCAAACATTTTCCTTTGTTTTTTTTCTGTTATTCATCCATTTCAATCCATTCATCAAAAATCAATATATCCTGTGAAAACAAATTTTATTGAAAAATTAATTAGAATATTAAGCAAAATTATGTTGATGGTTTGTTTATCAATATTAATATTATTATCAAGGATATAAAATGTCATAATGGCCTGGACGATATAATAAATGAACTGATGGTGTTGCTCCTTCAGGAAAATCATGTGCTACTACTTCCGTTCCAGCTCCTCTATCCATGTACCGAACTCGAACTCCAGTTCCTAAAGCTGTACTCATGGCAATAATGTGGATGTGATCAGATTCTTTATACATTGGTTCAACTTCCTATAACATTAATAAATAAATTATTTATATTACTACTTATTTAATTAACATAAAAATACTAATTTAAAAAACCTCAACAACAATTCTTTTTTGTTGCCAATAAGTATCATTAAATATTAATGGCATTGATGTATCCATTATTAAATAATATTTATTTCGTTAAGAAATTGCTTTTGAATATAAAAAACCTTATTAATTTACCTGATGACAAAACTCAGTAACTGTTCGACCTCCTTCAATAAAATTTTGATAAAAATCAGCTTCTTTTTGAAGTTGGCCAGATGTGATCAATCTAAGATATACAACAATGTAGTCAGAGTACCCTTGTTCATTGAAAAATTTATATAACTCTGTGTAACTAGCTTCGGAACCACCTTCAACTTTATCAATAACTTCCATAAACTGAAAAATGATTACCCAATCAGTTGTTAATAATTTTTTATCTATTACTAAGCATTTTACATAACTAGTTTTGCACCGTTTTTTTACCATTTGAATAATAAATTTTGTGACATCCTTACTAAATATGTATATTGATAAAAAAAGGTTCATAAGTTAAAAAAAATTATGAATCGATTATTAAAAGATTTAATAAAATATACTTACAGTATCATGAAAATCTTCCACAGTAAATTGAGGGAATCCTAAAGCAACTAAATTATCCTTACTTTTTGCTGCTAAATCTCTAAATTTTTCATATTCTTCCTTGTTCTCTAACAGTCTTTCAAGATAAGCAAAACTAAAAGCACGGAAGAAACAATTGCCATCAGGTCTCGTTCTTCTAATAAATGAATATTTTTGACCTAAGGATTTAGCTTTTGACAAATACACTTCATCTTCATCATATTCTCGTTCTAAACTTTTCAGTGATTCTTTTTCACCAATTAGAGGTATTGATTCCGATATCTAGAATATGTACGAGATTAAATGAATAAGTTAGTCATATAAAAAAAAGAGAGATATAAAAAAATATTGTTAAATTTTTATATAGTTATAGAAAAAGTATTAATGTGTGTCAATTTATTTATAAATTATTGACAGTAACCTCTTTCTCAATACTTCGTTGTTGTTGAAGAATGAGTTCATCTTGATTAACTGTAACAGAAAACAAATATATATAAATATAAGAATAAATCAATAGAAGAGTTATTACAGTTTTTACAGAAATTTATATCAAAATTAAAAAAAATAATTATTATTTTGTCTTACCAGAATTCTCTGAAGTATTTAGAGCTGCGTCTCCCATGTTTCGATGAACTCACATAAATATCAATGTCACAGTCAAACAAATAACAAAGTTGCACTGATCATCACTGAGTGTAATAAAGAGAAATGATATTGTTCAAATATTTTTCATGTTCATTTGAAGACCAAAAGCGTCAGAAAATACCTTTTGTCTTTTATTTTTCGATAAAAAAAATTTATTTTCGAGCTTAAAATTTTTTATACGTCGGTAAATTACCGTGGATGAGTTTCAATTCTAGGTTTTATTCTCCAGCCATACCAGTTCATTTCAGTGTGTGTTGTTATAATATCAAATATTCAGAAGTAGTGTGTATATTAAATTCTATTGTATACGATATTATTAGACTATAAATGTGCAATGATAAATTATAAACATTATATATTCTATTATAAACAGAAATAATAATTAACTAAAGTGAATTTAATGATAGTGTGTTTAATTTGATAAAAAACAATCAAAAAGTTGAGGTTATAACTTTTTATTATTGATTGGTCGGTGTTGAGTGATTTATTATTTATATTTTTGGTGGTAAAATTGATTTCAAATTTTATAATGGCTTCAGCGTCAAGTACAAGTGCACGTAGTTTATTTATTGAGTCAAAAATGCGATTAGCAGATAAAGTTCAGGTAAACGTTAACAATATTGCTTCATTAGCGCGACAAATTCAACGTGGATCAAAAAGTAGTGAGGTATGTTATAAGACAAAATTTATTCTGTTACTACATATTCAGTAACTATTTAACTGTCACTTGAACTAAAACTTATTGAAACTAAAATCAAATTCGACTTTTTTGAAAGGATATTTTTGCCTTTATCAAGTAAAGAACTTTTTATTGTAGATGTTAATGCAAGCAGCTAAGACATTTGCCCAACAAGAACAAGGTCTTGAAAATGCGGAAAATAATTTGGAAAAATTAGCTCTAATTACATCGCATCTCGAATGCCAATTAACTTCAATTGATAGAAGCTTAGCGAAATTAGAAGATGTAACTGAGCAAGTTCGTGCAATGCAACGATAATTCAATTACTATACCAAAAAGAAAAAGGACGAGAATAACTTAATAATGTAAGTATTTTATAATAAAAAATTTTACAATATTTTTTATTAACCAGTTCCCATAGTGAAGAAATTATTCGTTCATATTTTTTGTTTCACTTATATCGAGTGTACACCTCTGATAAATGCTTCTACGGACTCAATTGGAGTATCAGGAAGTATTCCATGGCCTAAGTTAGCAATATAACGCGATTTTCCAAATTTCTCAGCTATTTTGCGTGCATTTTCATAAACTTTATCTTCAGATGCGTACATTGCACAAGGATCCATGTTACCTTGAAGTGTTATTTGACCAAAACGTGATTTTGCTTCTAAAGGATCTACTGTCCAATCAATTCCTATTACATTATAGCTTTTATCTTTGGCAAGTTTTTCTATTGAATTCATTGTTGCTCCTTTTGGAAATGCAATCTATAAAATATTAAATAAAAACTATTATTAAGTTCAATGATTTCACTTGATAACTAGTATTGATCGATTTATTTACCATTGGAACCTGAGGTATTTTTATTTCATCCAATTTGGACTTTACTCGCTGGCTGATTTGTTTTAGATAGGGAAATGAATACGTTTCGAAAAGTTCATCATTTAGATAATCAGCATGGCTTTCAAATACTTGTAAAGCCTGAAATCCATTATATTAATATATCAAATAATTAAAATTATCATAATCGTTTCAACTGAAACTTCTTATTATAATTACATAGAAAACATTTTATACCTGAGCACCAGCTTTCGCTTGCATGACTAAATAGTCAACTATGATGTCCGTTAAAAGTTGTAATAGTTTGTGAGAATCATCTGGATATTTATAGAGCCAAGATCTGGCTTGAGCCATTGTAGAACTTCCACCCCCTTGAATCATGTAACCCATAAGGGTCCACTAAAGTCATATGAATAATACTAAGAGGTAAATTTATTAGTTATCAATGAATTGAAATATTCTTAATTTATTTCATTTAACAATATTTCAAAATTTTGTTTGATTCTTACTGGAGCACCTGTGAAGCCAATTAGTGGAACTTTACCCTCTAATTGATGTCTGGTTAAAGTTATTGCTTCCCCAACATATTTAAGATCATTTTCTACATCAGGTTTCTTTAATCTTGTCATGTCTGATGGATTAGCTATCGGTTCTGGCAACACGGGACCCTATTAATTATTGTTATACACATTAATTGTCGATTTATTTGACTGTTAAAATTTTTCTAATAATTGTTTCATTTGCTAACATACCACTCCAGGTCTCATTTCAACAATTAACCCCATTGCTTGAGGAATCACAAGAATATCTGAGAAAATAATGCTTGCATCCAAATCAAATCTTCTTATTGGCTGTAGAGTTACTTCACAGGCTAATTCTGGAGTCTGACAGATTGCGAAAAAATTGTGTTTTGTTCTGAATTCCCGAAATTCTGGTAAATATCTTCCAGCTTGTCTCATAATCCATACTGGAATTTTGTCAACCTCTTCACCTTTAGCAGCTCTTAAAAATCTGTCATTTTTCAGAGGAGGAAAATTGTGTTGTGTCATTTTAATCTAAAAAACTGAGTAAAAATAATTAGCTATCATATAAATTGATTACAAATTATGTATTAAAATTGATAGAAAAACAAGCGACATTTAATGAAATTAATTTAATCAAGTATATTTAATAAGTATGATGTTAAAGTAGTTTTGGAGTAAAAACTTGAGACGTTCAGTGTAGATATTTCTTTCAATAATTAAAAATAATAGCAAGACAAGAAAATATAACTTGATTAACCAGCATGAGCTGTCATCATAATTTTAAAAATATTAATCAAATATTCGATAGACAAACTATAATTTATTTCTTTAAAGGTTATATCTATAACAATATCATTACTTACTGGTATAAAATAGAATGTTGATTATAAATACTTCTCAGAAGAAATGCTATTATTTATTTCTACAATTGTTCTGATAATTATAATGAATGATTATTCATTTTTTCACAATTATTCAAGTAAAATTAGCTCTACTTTAATGCTGATAACCTCACTTTTTCGTATCGGAAGTGATATTTACAAAAAACGATGAAAAAATTATTCCAGTCACATAAGCGCCATCTTTTTATCGGTAATGCAGAATTTATTGTTAAAAACCGCGAAAATTTTAACGGTTTAGAAAAGAAATCGAACGTTTGTAGGTCATTTTGAAATAAAATGAAACAAAAGCAGAGACAGACAAAAAGAGATGAAAAAAAACTTTTTCAAACGAAAAAAAAAGTGCATTCTAAATCTTTTCGTGATTTGCTACAGCTGTCTACTACTCTACTGACCTCGATTAAATCATTTCAAGAGAGATCTGCTGATACGGATTATTATTTTACATCAAAACCGTTCATAATGCTGCTTGTAGCTATTTCTTAATCTCTCATATGAAACATTGATAATAGAGTGTCAATACTGATCAATGTAGTGATGATTGAACGTACTGCAATGTCATTTATATTATTGTTCATATGAGAAAGTGTAATAAAAAAGATATCCGGATCAGACTGAAGTTCATAAGGTGAAGGATGTTGTATTGGTACGCCAGGATAGTGACAAAAGTGATAACCCTTTATCGTTGTCAAGACATTGAACGATATATGATGTTTGGACTCCGATTTCCTCGAAACATCTAAACTTTTTTTTACTCCACTCTATTGCCAATAAATCAATTCTTATTTCAAACTATAAATATATAAAAACCAATCATTTATCCAAGTAATAAATGAATAGTTATTGATATAAAAATATTTGCAATAATCACTATCTTAATTTTAGAAATTACTTGTGATTTATTTTATGCAAAATCATTATTTCATTTGTAATGTGTCTACTGATAATTTAATAAATTAATTAATTTAAATAAATGAAGGAAAAATAGTATCTAGTGTATAGAGATGTCTGTTGTTCTTAAATAAAGTACAAGATAAGTTGGTCAACAGTAAATGTATACTTGAATATAGGCTGATAACACGTGAATTGACAATGTGAATTAGTGTTTCAGTAATTGAAAATATTGATTCAATGAAGCTTGTTGATCATTACATCTCTTGTAATATTTTTTTGTTGCCAATATTGATAGTTGTTAGTGCAAAACACCTATTTATAAGAATATATGAAATATTCATCATAATAAAACTATTATATCAGTAGTACATATTATGTACGTCGTGAAGCATACATTCGATCGTCAGAGTACTGCGCTACGCCGTTTCTTGGTAGTAAAGTGAGAGCCTGACGTATTAGTTATTTTAGTTAGTTTGCAGTTCACATCAAGACTTCACACGGGCTGGTTGTAACGATTTTTCGTACCGTTATTATACTAGTGAACATTTTTTTACAATTAAAATTCTTTATTAAAGAATTAATTTCTCATCAAGAAATTCAAACATTATTTTGATAATTTCATTTTTGTGCTGTTTTGATTATTTTTTTCTAAACAATTCAATCAAATAAGTGAGTTATTATTTTATTTATACTTAATTCTTTTTAAAGAATTAAATAATTTAATTTTTTTTTCATTTAATTTGGAAAGTATTTGTTTAAATTTTTGCAGAAGAAAAATAATTGGCATGAATTTGATGTAAACAATTCTTTAGATATTACATTTTATAAACCAAAACAAATAATTTTCTGATGAATAAATTGATTTATTTAGCATTTATTACTGATAAATTATTTTGAAATATGTCATGTGTATACAAATATGTTGTTTATCAATTATTCTTTTTTATTTTATTGGAAAATTTAATAGAGTAAAATCAATTGTAACGGTGAATTCCAAGGTTGTGGATACAAATAATACGATAATTTATCTCTTACTGTACTAATATTGCGATTATTGCAATCGAGTTTAAACACACTTTATTTATTTTATGTCAAGGATTCAAAATTCGTTCTATAGTAATAATTTAAATAATTATTTTAGCAATAAATATGATGAGTTTTAACTTTCACGGTAGAAAGCGCCGGTTGGTGACCCCGAAGGATTTATCCTCATTTCTTTTAACGTTTCATCCATCTCATTTTACCTGCGCTTCCAACAAGAACACTATCGAGTTCAACGAATATAAAAATGAATGCATAATGCATGTTATACTGTTTTTTTTTCTTCATTGCGACTGGTGACTTTTAGAATTGAACGAAAATCAAGACGTTGGAAAAAAAAGTATGCAATCTTTAGAATCTTGAAATTTTAAAATTCACAAAAAATTATTATTTGTTCACAACCGGTTTGTGGAGAAATATTTGAACTGAATCAATGTTTTTTTTTTCTTAGATAAAAAAAGTCTTTTTCTATTTTTATTACCATTGTTATGAATTATATTGTCGACTAATGATTAAATGGTCTGCATGCAATAAAATTTCTTGGAATTTGTCTCATTAAAAACTGTATCTTGTTTATTAAATTAATTAAATAAGTAATTGATATCACAGTTCATTCATATTTTAATTAAGAAAAATAAATCAAATATGATATTTTTGATGAGACAAGGAAAATTAATGGATTTATGGTTTCTCATTGATAAGTTTCAATAAAAGAAAGAGCTATTAAATTGAAACATTGATGACACAATTATTGTCATTAAACTATGATTATTAGTCAATACAGTAAGAGTATAACATTTTAAAACGAGGATAGATCATATAATACTATTATTGGCAGATATTTTAAATATAAAATATCTATTAAAATTTAATCACAATGGCTAATCTATTTTTAGCATTCGCCAATTTTTTTCGCCTCCTTTTCTTTCCTCGTTAAATTTTTATTCTTATTATCAGAATCAGGTTTTTATCAGTATAAAAATAGCCATAAACCTATTAAGGTATACAAGTCAATCTAAGATATAATTCAAAGTCGTATGATTTTTTTTCTCGATTGGAATTGGCAAGATGCAGCTAATTAACATACAATGTAAGGTAATTTGAAATAGACAATTCTTAGAATAAATGAAATACAGAAAGAAAATCATGGAATAATGAAATAAGATTAGAATAAAAAAATATGCAAAGATACGTGTCGATTTTTTTAAATAAATGTGTGACTTTCCTGTGACTTCTAGTTTGAATTTATTTTTCTTAGTACAAAAGAAACAGAATTTTATTTTTGAATAATTTTTATCTTCGTTACGCAAGGATTATAATGACAGGTGCTTATGGTTGCAATGTAGATAATCACCAAGTTGGAATATTCACTATGCAATTCACGTACACAAGACCTGTCATTAAATAAATCGATGAATTGGGATTAATGAATGGAAGAAATTCTAATTGAAATTTTTCAATCTATACTATTTTCTTTTTTTTCCCTCCATTAATTCAATTGGTGATTGAATTTTTTTTTTCTAACAAGTGTCAATTTTATAAAATAATATTTATGACTCATTTCGCAGAGGAACTTCGAATGAGTCATGTAAAGTTGATGGTATCAACTGTAAAAGTAAAGCACGCGCATGCATCCCGAATGATAAACGTTAGCGAACTTGGACATTTGACGTCATTATATTATATATAAACATATATATGTATATATATGATTAATTATTACTTTTTTATTTTATTACGATCATTTCTACAGATATCATAATAATCTTAACTACTTTATGATGAAGGAATCACTAAAGTGATGTGATTGCAGTTTATGTCAATATGATTTGTCAACACATTAGATTATTTTTGAAAAAAATTAATAGACGTTTCTAGAATAATTGATAGCTTGCAAAAGTAACAGTTTATGCTTAATGTGCAATTTAAATCCAATCTGATACATAAAATCATACAAACGACAATTAAAATATCAATGAAACAAAGTATTATTTAAAATACAATTCTCTCTGCAATTTTCTTGTTTTACAGAAATTTAAATTAAAATTAAATTAAAAAAAAGATCATTTCTACAGATCTATTATCAATCCGTTGAATCTTTTAAATTACATTTAAGTGAAAGGAATAATTATGCAAAAATGATGTAATATCACTTAGATTTCAAACAAAAAAAAAGTGAAATCAAAATGATTCTTTGCAATAAATTACATGATGTCCATTCTACTGACTAAATTTTTATTTTAATTACTTTTTCAGATAATAAAACACAAAGTTGACAGTATTAAAATGTTCTTCAATGAAGAGTGAGTTTTTAAATTATAAAACGAAGATATAATAAATAATAAAGTTAACATAAAGCCGCTAAAATGACGAGCGGCTTACATCAAGCATCGCACGCCCTACCATCACGGTCTTCATTGAGCTGTTGTCAAGGATTAGATAATTGTGGGAGTATCAATGATGTAAATCAAGTATCTGCTATATCAGGAAATAATAATTACATTGAAAAATCTAAACACGCCTTTCCGAAGCGACCTGAAGTCGATTTAGCATTCAACAATATTCGATATAGCGTTAAATCATGGAATTATAAAAAATTTCTTCCAGGTATGACCATTTTTTTATTATTTATCTTTATTATTATAAATCTATGTCAATGGACTATTCATATAATGTATTTATCATCAAAAGAATTACTTTGCAAAAAAGATGTGATAAAAAACAAAATAATAAGTTTATAACAAAAAACGAAATTAATTGAATGGATAATGAATGTAATATTAAACTATTAGAGGTATTGATAAAAACGAATCGGAATTAGGTATGAAAACTTTTAATGACAACGTATAGAGTTATTTTGTAAGTCATTTATAACTTGAAGTTATTCTTTATACGTCTTTGGGCTTCTATTTTTTTTTATTTTTTTCTTAACTCTGGTCACTTATGAAAATACATTGATAGACCATTACGCGTCCGTTTGTAGATAATTAAGAGCATTATTCATGCAGTAAGAAAGGAAGCAACACCGACGTCATTGGTGTTACTTAGTATTGTCTTTTCATCATGAATATATAGATTGACGTGTCATTACAGCCTTTATTCTCAAAAGACAATTAAAAAAAAATCAACAAGCTTTTTATTGAATTGATGAGCTTTTTTTGAATAAAAAATATAAAAATAATATCTTTATTCGAATGATTTTTTGATATTTTCGACCTTCTCCTTGTAAATAGTATTTTTTTTTTTACTGTTATATTCATTTTTCATTCCGAAGAATAAATTTTATATGAAAAAAACTTCAGATCATTAACTCCAGTTCTTTAGAAGTAAGAATAAATAAAAATAAAACAAGTCTTGATAGTGAAGTATAAATTTAATGTTTTGAAATAGTAACAGGTATGTTGCTTTAATAAGAATACAACATTGAAGACTTTGTAAAAAAATTAATCAAATGAATATATCAATGTATTAATAAAGTAATTAAACATTCTTTTTACTTCATCTTCATTGAAGAACTTTATTATTATCAATTTTATAATTTCAAATTTCAATGCAAAGAGCTGATCTATTTCATAATCTAAATACATATATGAATTCATGAGTATTTATAAAAAGAAAAAATATAAAAAGAAATAGATAACAAAATTCTCATGTCAGTTATAATTATTGTAATTGAAAAATCATGTAGAATTTTCTGTTTAGAATGAATTGTTTTTTGAAGTTTGAGTTAATAGAAATTATAGATCAAGGTAATTCTAATTTTATGTTGACATGTGATAGTTAGTTGTTGTATATCCTTAAAATAGCATAAAATGGAAAAAATAACTTAATAAGAAAACAATCAATCTTTCAGAGTGACAAATAGCATCATTAAAATTGATTTATAAAAAAATTTTGCATTTTTCAATAATTAAGAGAATCATCTTTTTTGTCAAACTATTTTATTTCTTTTTTAGTGACACGATAATACTAATGATTAAAGTATAAATAACTGAAATATTACGTAAATAAAGCTAATAGTGAGAAAAATTTTTATTTTAAACATCAAGATAAAAAAGTTGTCTTTATTTGCTTATTATATATTACTAGTGGTCAGTACATACTTGATTCGAGAGATTTAAAAGCAATTCTGAAAATGTAGTTGAACAAAAAAAAAGAATATTTTAAGCTTTCAAACTTTTAAATGATAATGTATACGATAAAGATCTGAAGTTTAGAGAGTCCTCGAATAAGACTGTTATTACTTTGCAATTTCATTTTTAACGGTACAGACCGGAAAACCCGGTCACGTTCCATTTCATACCGGATATCACGTGTGATGATACCGATGGGTCAACAATTGTTTTTTTTTTGTTGATTCAACTTTTAGTTAAAGTAATAATCAATAATTCACCATCTTCAATCTATAAGTAATTCTAGCAAGGAACAAATAGTTTTTCAAAAGTATTTTTAACTTTATTTTATCTAATTATACTACTTTAATTAATTAGCCTATCTATTACAAAATCCTCTCTATTTGATCCAAATCCTAATTGATTTATTATTATCCTTTACAGAAGTCAAAGAAATTCTTCATGGTGTCAGTGGAGAATTTCGAGCTGGTGAGCTCACAGCAATTATGGGTCCATCAGGAGCCGGTAAATCAACTCTGTTAAATGTCCTCGCAGGATTTACGTAAGTACTGAATTTTTATTCAACCGAAACATTATTTTTATACATATTGATTTTGTCGGATGTTTATTTGCTTAATTATTATTAATTAATTACAACATATTTTTAAATGAGTTTACTTCATATACAATTAAAATGAGAAAATTATCATTTTTAGTTTATATTTAGCAGCTAGAAAAATAATAATAATGAATTAATCATTATTTTAAGAAAAATTCAAAAGAATCTTTTTAAACTTGTCACCATTTATTTGTCTTTCTTTTAATAAATAGTCGAATTTGTTCTACTGGAGATAATTTTTTTTTAGTGTCCAAGGAATGACAGGCCAAGTCCTTGTAAATGGCAAAGAAAGAATGCCATACAGTGAAAGATGGAAGAGAACGTCAACTTACATTCATCAAGATTCTTTGCCAAGAGCTAAATTAACTGTTGGTGAAGCTATGACTCTAGCAGCAAATCTGAAGCTCGGATATACGATAAGTTCAACATTCAAGCATACTCAGGTGAGATTTAATGATGATAGTATGATGATAATTTTCAGTATATTAATGAAAACAACAATAAAATACTTTTTCTAATGAACATTATATCTAGTTAATAATTCAAAAATATTAAAAAAAGCAAATGATGAAAAATGAAAATTATCTGATCAAGGTCTTAGAACTATTGGAGATGTTGGGACTGAGTCATTGTTACGACACTCTTTGTGGTCGTTTATCAGGTGGACAAAAGAAAAGATTGGACGTTGCATTCGAGCTCTTGAGCAATCCTTCAGTATTATTCCTTGATGAACCCACTACAGGTAACAAAAAATTCACTTGAAAATAAGTTTTTTCTATAATTCTCTCTTCTCTTCCTTCCATTAATGTTAAATACTAGAGATCATAATAGTGAATAGATAATCAATCATTTCAGGTCTTGATTCTGCGTCATGTAGCTCGTGTATTGCATTACTGCAGCGTTTAGCAAGAACAGAAAAACGTACTGTGGTTTGTACAATTCACCAACCATCAGCTTTATTGTTCGAAATGTTTGACTCATTGTATGCTGTCGCAAATGGTCAGTGTATATATCGTGGACCTATAGCATCATTCTTGCCACATTTGACCTCTGTTGGTGTCAGTTGTCCAGCTTACCACAATCCCGCAGACTTTTTGATTGAGGTTGCAATAGGAGACTACGGAATAACTGTTGATAAATTAGCTATTGCGGCCGAAAAAATGTGGGATGACCGCAAAGTATCATCAACTCGTAAAACACCATCAGACTCAGTAAGCGTTAAGGAACCACCGCCACCAGCAGGATTTCTCGCTCAATGTTATCTACTATACAAGAGACAATTAATGTGTCTAAAGAGAGATTACTCTCTCATGATGACCCGTCTTTTCTGTCATTTGATGATTGGTATAATATTTGGTTATCTCTACATGGGCAGTGGATATCGCGCCAATGGAGTTCTTGCCAATTATGTTTATCTCTATGGCTCATTATTACTTATTGTTTATACTGGAAAAATGGCTGTCACCCTTGCGTTTCCGACAGAAATGCAAATTCTTACGAGAGAACATTTTAATCGATGGTATCGACTGGCACCTTACTACATCAGTTTATTATTGGTCGAAATTCCATTCCAAGCAGCATGTGCCAGTACATATTTAGTGGTCAGTTACTGGTTAACTGGTCAACCTATTGAAACCCATAGAATTCTTCTGTTTATGGTTGTCAGCATTGCTGCAAGTTTGACAGCACAGGCTTGGGGATTCTTTATTGGTGCTACAACACCGGTGAAGGTAATTATTAATATTTAATTAAATGCTAATAATTTTTAATTTATTCAAATTATTAACCATTCAATGATTGTTTAGATTGCAGTATTTGCGGGTCCCGTTATTGCCGTTCTCTTTTCAATCTTTGGCTTTTGCATTCGCTACATGGATACTCCAGTTCATTTCCGTTGGATATTTCATATTTCTTATTTTAGAGCTGGATTCCACAGCTTAATATATGCAATGTATGGTTTCAATCGAATTGATCTCAAGTGTGATGATATTTATTGCCACTATAAGAAACCCACAAAATTCTTGAATGAAATGGAAATTAGTGATACCAATGTTATGAATAATTTAGTTTTAATCGTTGGTATTGGCGTTTTGATGCACTTGCTTACAGCGAGTGCACTATGGTGTAAATTAAACAGACGATGAAGAATAAGATGGGATGAGAAAATATTTTTATAAGAAAACATAAAATCAAGATAATATATGGTTCCTCAGTATTTTTCTAATAAGGATTTAATGGTATATATAATTGATTGGTTATTCATTTTAGTTAATGTTCAATAACATCTAAAATTTATAATATCTTTATCTTGCCGTAGATACGTTGATATTTTTCATTTATTTTTAAGAGAGAAAAGTTTTATTAATAAAGATAAAAACTTTTATAGATTTTAAATAAATTCGTTTAAAACTCTATTTGAATGAGTTGATTGTTTAAAATAAAAACAAATATAAAATAAAATTTATAACATCTTTTCTATTGTAATTTAACAGGGTTAATATACGTTTATCAATAATTGAATTAATTACTGAACTAGTCGAGATTACTTATAAACTAAAACAAAATACCTAACTATCTCATAAAAACCATATTTTAGACAAAATAAAAACGAATAAATTAATTTTTTTCACCCATTCATTCAAAGGGCTAAAGCTGATGAATGAAAAGTAAAATAAGCGTATGAATTGTAATGATAGTAATATACAATAAAAAAATGTCTTCATAAATAAGCAGTTTCTGTGAACATTAATTATAGTATATAATTTATTAATAATAATTAGTAGTTTGTCGGTATTGCAGCATTGAGATCTATACATTCTTTGATATCGCACTAGGCCTTTTACTTCATGAAGAGAGAAGAAAAATTTAACAGACAAGTGGGGGACTATAATGTGTGGGATACGAATATCTTTCTTATTCCGTACACTTGTTTCAAACAGCCAATCAGTTGGCGTTTGATTGCCTTCTCGTTCACACCTTGCAAACAATTCTTGTCATTTTCGTACTATTATTTCATAGTCATTGAGATAAAAAAAAATTATTAATCCTAGTTCAAAATATTCTTAATTTAATTTTGCAATTTTACAAGTAATATTCAATTAACTTGATTGATAATGCATGCAAAATATTCGCGATGAGTGAACTATTCATTGTTTCTTATGAAAAACCAGAAAAAATGAAATTGCTATGCTGTTGAATGGAAAAGGAAAAACGAAATGTCGAAGAAAGAAGAGATGACACCATCGGGACGTTCATTGAACTTGACCTTCGATGGACTATCATACAGTGTACGTGCAGGGATTTTAAAAAAAGGTATGTAGTTTACTTTTTATCAATTATTAACCTTTAATCAATAAAAACTTATAACCACACTAAATAAAGATATAAAATAAATATATGAGATTAATCGTATCTTAATCATAAAGTGCTATCTAAAATTGACAAAGAAAAATAACTTCAAAAATATCTTCTTTGCATCAAATATCAATATTTGGTTTAACCAAATGTATAAAGTCACTTATTCGAATATAGTTTCAAATAAATTTGCATTCATTATAATTTTTTTCTTCATTAAAAATGTTGAAATAAATTTCTTTTTATGTATCATGATTATCACTCCGTTTTGTAAACAAAAAAAAAATGCAAACAGATAAACTAGTTATTTACTTGAAGGTATAATAATTATAACGATAAAATTTTTTACATTTTTTACTGATTAAAATTAGGTCCTGAAATATATTCAAAAATATATTCATTTACCAGATGTTACTTATCAGAGTATCATGAGTAAATTTTTTATCTAGATTTACTTCAGAAATTCAATAAAGTTTTTTATCCAGTTGTTAAAAGACTTATCATCTGTGATTATATATTATATCTTTAAACCATCATTAAACCTATAAAATTGAAGAAATTAAACATTCAGATACTTTTGATAATTTTTTTATTACTCTTATTAAATAATTCATCAACCTCTTCAAAGTTTTATATATTTATTCAATTGAAAAAATTTTAATAATGCAGAAAATCGTCAACTCTTAACAAATATAAGTGGTGATTTCCGAGTTGGAGAATTAACAGCAATAATGGGTCCATCAGGAGCAGGAAAATCTACGTTCTTGGATATTCTCGCTGGATTTACGTAAAAATACTGATTTTTAATAAACTAAGTTTTTTATTTTAAAACTAGACAGTATAATCATTATTTAGCAGTTGAGCTAAAACCTATTACACACCTGCTATAGTTTCATAATAAAAAGCACGTGAGCTCAATATTTTTTTTTTATTGAACTTAGCAGCTTTTTTTCAAAGATATTTATAAGTTATAAATTGCAATTTATATGATTGGCTTAGAATAATCTTTTAATACTCAAGAAATATTTATCAATAAATTAAATTTACATTTATTTTCATGAATAAATAAAATCATAAACATAAAATAAACTTCTATCTGTTTTCTGATTACTATATCGTACTACTATATTTGCATTAGTAATGATTATTTTTTTGTTCTCAGAATACCAACTACTGGTACAGTTTTAGTAAATGGAAGTCCCCGTGATTTGTCTGAATTTCGAAGAAACTCTGCATACATCATGCAAAATGATAATCTAGAACCACTTCTTACTGTTGAAGAAAGCTTGCGCATTGCAGCAGAACTTAAACTACAGTCGAATCATAATGAAAAAATTCAAAGAGTAATTGCTTTATTACTTATATAAAGAATATTAAAAAAATGTATAACAGAAAAAATATTATTTTTATATTCTAGGTTGATCAAATAATTTCGGCCTTGGGCTTGGACACTTGTAGACACACTAGAACTTGCAGCTTAAGTGGAGGCCAAAGAAAAAGACTTGCAATAGCTCTTGAACTTGTAAATAATCCTCCAGTTATGTTTTTTGATGAACCAACAAGGTAAATTAAGTTCATAAGATTTTTTTTCTATGTTAACAACTAATAATAATTGTTAATATTTTTTCTAGTGGTCTTGATATTGTAACATCTAAACAATGTATCAGTTTACTGAAAGCATTAGCAAGAGAGGGTCCGAGAACTGTAGTTGTAACAATTCATCAGCCTAGTGCAACACTATTTGATATGATGGATCACCTGTATGTAATTGTAGACGGTTATTGTGTATATACAGGAGGTACTAAACCTTTACTGTCATATCTTGCAAAGTTCGGATTACACTGCCCAACTTATCACAATCCAGCTGACTTTTGTACGTTTTTTATTTTTGGTTATTTATATTGATCATGATGCTCTGAATTGACAGTACAAATAAAGTTAATAAAATATTTTATAGCTACTTTTATGTTTTATAGTGATGGAAATATGCAATGGTGATTATGGTAAATGGAACGAGAAACTCGTGGAGTCCATAAACAATGGAAAGTGTAATAGTTGGAGATCGATTTCTTATGAAAAAGATTCATGGGGATTTACTCCTATATTTAGAAGAGGATTAAGTCTAGAATTTCCAGAAAGTCATGTTAATTATACACTTAATTCTAAACAATATGCCACAGGATTTTTTAAACAGCTATATGTACTTGTCAAAAGGAATGCTATAAAACTATCTAGAGACAGAGTAACATACTTATTTACTTTTTGTTCATGTTAAATAGAATAAATAAACTATTTTTTATTTAAATAAATTTTGTTTCAGATTTTAACATTTATACGATTAGGAATGCACTGTATTATTGCTATTATTGTAGGAATAATTTATTTTGATATTGGTGAAGATGCAGCTTATGCTTTGAATAATTTCAATCTGTTATTTTTTAGTCTCATGTTTCTCATGTTTTCTGCATTCAGCGCTACAATAATTACTTGTAAGTTTACTGGGAAAAGCTATTACTTTCTTTTTCCTGTGAATTTCTCTAACAAAATGTCTATTTCTTTTTATTTTTCAGTTCCATTAGTTTTACCCATCATTTCTCGTGAACATTTCAATAGATGGTACAAATTACGTTCATTTTATATTGCAAATAAACTAGCTGATCTTCCAATTCAAGTAGTTGCAGTATCCATTTATACTTTAATTGTTTACTTAATGACGGGACAAATTCTTGAAGGAAAAAGATTTATATTATTATCAATAGCTTGTGTTGTTGTTAGCCTTGTTGCCCAGATCATTGGAGTCATCGTAGGAACCGGATTGAATATGCAGGTATGCCTATAAAAATTAATTATATTTTTATTAATAACTAATTATTAATTATTATTCATGTTTTTACAGAATGGAGTAATTTTCGGCTCCCTGTTTATAATGCCATTTGTGATCTTCAGTGGATTTTTTGTACACATTAATGATGCTCCACCATATCTTCAATGGCTTTTTCATGCTTCTTTTTTGAAATATGGCTTTGAATGTGCCATGACATCAATGTATGGGTAAGTAATTACTTTGGAAAATTATTCTCTTTTATTTGTAGTAAATTTTTGTTTACAAAAATTCTATGTTGCAGATTTAGTAGACCAAAGATGCTTTGTTCTGATGATTATTGCCACTTTATTTCACCTCAGAAACTTATGAAAGAGTTTGGAATGATTCATGTTGAATATTGGTTTTCAATGATTATTCTTCTTTTTTTATATCTTGTGCTTGATTTATTCGCATACGTTATTCTTAGATTAAAATTAAAAAAACTTATCTGATCTATAAGCTAGATTAATTTATCAGACATTAAAAGTTTTTCCTTTAAGTTCCTCTATTATTCCAGTAGCTTTTCACGACAATATCTTAAATGATTTTTTATAGAGTAATAAACCTCGCCATTTAGTTATGTAAGAAATGATAAGTATTTCTTGTAATAAATTCTAGTCAGATTTTGAAAATACAATGAATACTTTCAAATTATTTATTTATAAAAATTCATAAGTTAATTAGATGGTGAAATATGTAAGCATCATTTTTTTTATTATGATTTAATAAAATGAAGATATATAGTTTATAAAAAATTATTTTCAATCTCTCGAATTAAAAAAAATATAAAATAGTTATTTCTCTGCTAATTTTATTCCATATCATTCATGGCGATTGACGACACACTTTCTATCAAGTTTCCTTTCTCGAGTAAAAACCAGTTTCACAAATTGTGCTACAGTATATAGAAGAAGTATTCACATTGTAGAATTATTTAATAATTTGAAGATAATATTATCTATCATAAACGTGCTGTGATTTGAAAAATAGCAGCTTTACTCAGTAACTATAAAATTCATGTTAATTAAATAGCTGATTTGATATATTTCGGTATGTATATATTTTTTATAAATTATTTATAGTGACTGCACTATTTTGAACGCTTTGATGTTGATTGTTTTAATGAAGTATAATTCCTTTATCTGTTTGAATCGTTGATTCTCCCTCTCATGATATTCTCTTCGACCATAATCATATCTGCTATGTGTGCTATCAAGACTAGTAGTCTATCTTTTATGCAGTCAAGTCTCAGCAAAGCTTGAGCTATCATGACAGAAGGTAATAATCTACTGCAGTTGATTAAAATTATTCAAAAGAATAGCTGTTTTGTTGAAATAAATTAATTTGATATATTTTTATCAGTGGTAAGCTCGGAAGTACTTTGTGTGTTGACCTTGTTTGAAGATCATGAGTGTAACAAACACATAAATAGGTTTATTATCATCTTGAACACGCAGTGATGAATAAGAAACAAATGTAAAGTCCATCAACAATTAGATTAACTCAGAAAAACCTGATAAAATAATTTTTCCCTCAAACTTTGATAGAAATTATATTTTATTATAATTATAGATGCATATATTTACAATTTCAGAACACTATTGATTTATTGACATTGATCACATTGTATAGATGTGTTTATTAATTTCATTCTGATAAGATAAAATGTACTTTGAACTATTCGAAAATCAAAATTTTTATTTTTATAATTTCTTTAAAATTTTTATAAAAAATGATTTTTATTTTTTTTTTCAGTTTGAAGTGGATGAAGTTTTTATTTTTGTATTTGTTATTAATATGAATGAGACTAACGATGAAAATGGCATCTTAATGCCTCCACTGTCATCACCAAGTTGCACACTTGACCTTGAGAGAGCACACAATAAAAATTTTAATATTTCTTCAAATGAGTTTAACGATAACTTTCATATTAACATTGACTTTAAAGATCTTATTTATTCAGTAAAAACAAGGCAGAAAGGTAAAAATTTTTATGCTCCTATAAAATAAAAACAACCAAGATAAATTGAAATTTTTAACATAAAGTTAATTTGAAACATTTTTTTAGGAGAAGTAAAAAAAGAAATACTTCATGGGATCAATGGTTACTTTAATTCAAAGAGCCTTAATGCTATTATTGGTCCTTCTGGTGCTGGAAAAACTAGTCTTATAAGTATTTTATGCGGGTTTAAAAATTTAAATATACAAGGAACAATTAGAATCAATGGAATCTCAAGCAATTCAGATACTCTACGTAAAATATCTTGTTATGTTCCTCAAGAGTTTGAACTTTTGCCCTGGCTAACGACAAAAGAAACTTTGTACTTTGCCACAAGGTTAAAAATTTCGAAAATGCGACAAAAATACTATCAAGAAATTGTAAGTATAAGCTTTTTTTATCGGTAATCATATCCAATCAATTTGCAGAGATTAATCTTAACAATTTGATCAATCATAGGTCAATAATGTAGCGGATAAACTAGGACTTGCAGATAATCTTGAAACCATGACACAAAATTTGAGTGGAGGAGAAAAAAAACGATTGTCTATTGGAGTGGAAATTGTTACCAATCCTATGGTATTAATTCTAGATGAACCTACCAGTGGACTGGACAGTTTAGCATCAAGCCAAGTGATAGCTTTATTAAAAAACATGTCTCAGAATGGATGCAACGTCATTTGTTCAGTTCATCAACCCAGCAGCCAAATGATGACCATGTTTGATAATTTATTAGTTTTGGCTAATGGCCGAGAACTTTATTGCGGGCCCCAGACGAGTGTTATTAGCACTTTTGAAAGAGCAGGGTTCAATTGCCCTTCATTTTATAATATTGGGGAATATGGTAATTCAGTGAATACAATTAAACTTAATGAACAACTTCAATAATAGTTATTAGATAAATTTTCAACAAAAGCAATTAATATATAACTTTTTTCCTTATTCACGATAGCTTTATTGGTATTTCAGTGATTGAAGTAGCAACAGAACGTAGAATTGGCGACCTTGACTTGCTGCGGAAACTAACTGATGAATTACTATCGTTAAACTCATCAGTAATAAATCATAAATTTCTTCATGAACCGCTGAATACTAAAGAAATTCAAATGAAATGTAAAAATCATTCGGAACGAAGATCAATCACGTGGACTGATGAACTTCGTGTTCTTCTTTGGCGTGCAATCACGTGCATTCGTCGAGATAATGTAAGAGACTTTACCACTCAATGTATTTTTCAATATAAACAAGGAAATGATACATCATTGATTGAACAATCTCAATTATAATCAGAATATTTTTTCAGACCATGACACGATTGAGATTATTAGTACATGTATTGGTAGGAATTCTCCTTGGGATAGTATTTCAAAATTTTGGAGAAGATGCTGAAAAAACTCCTAGTAATATTGCCAGTCTTTTTTTCTTCCTGCTCTTTCTATTTTTTTCTAATGCAATGCCTGCAGTACAAATGTGTATGTAAATTAAATTATTATGTGATGAATTCAGTACATATGTAGTTATTTATCTTACGCAATGTTTGATGATAATGTTACAGTTCCTATTGAAGCAGCAGTATTCATTAGAGAACATTCAAATAACTGGTATAGTCTAGGGACTTATTATATATCCAAAGTTATAACTGATCTCCCACTGCAGGTATGACATTCAAAATTGATTAATTCAATATCACGAATAATGAGTTATTTCAACAGTGATAATTTATTGACATTATTTTTTTTATTTGTTTAGATTCTTTGTCCAACATGTTTTCTCATTATAGCCTACTGTTTAACAGGACAACCATTGGAATTTGATCGTTTTATAAAAGTATGGCTAATGTGTTTCCTTATGTCAATATTAGCCCAATCTTTTGGTATCTTGACAGGTGCCGCATTTAATACTCATGTTGGCTGTTTTCTCGTACCTGCTTTAAATATTCCAATGTTTCTTTTTGCCGGATTCTTTATTAAACTTAATGAAATCTCATCTTATCTTTATCCTTTGAGTGCTATAAGTTTCTTTAGATATGCATTTGAAGGAATTCTTCAAGCAATTTATGATAATGATCGACCATCTCTAACATGTAAAGCAGATTTTTGCTTATTAAAATCACCAAGGTTTATCCTTTCTTATATGGATATGCCTTCAGTAAGTTTTACAACTATTACTTTAAGCTTACTTATATGGATTATATGTCTTCATTGCTTAATTTTCCTTGTACTTAAATGTAAATTTATTAATTTATGTAAAAAATAATTTTTATAGTTTTATATTTTTTATTTTTATAATTTTATAATATTTTAGAAAATCAAGATAAAGTGGAAAAATCTATAAAATAATACTAATCGATTGAATTATCTGACTTATAAAATAATAAAAAAAATATTTTAATGACGAAATTATAAATATTTTTAAAAATGTCAAAAGCAACTAATTGATTATTTTATAAATAAATTTATTGCAATCGAGTGAAATAAAGACGAATAATGGCCCATTTAAAATTAATAATATTACATACGTTTAATTGAAAAATTATACCTATCTAGAAGCTACTAGTTTCCATCGTAATAGAAGATAAGCAAATGTTCTAGAAACTATGAGAATTAAAACAAGAGCTATAACATCATTCCAAAACTGATCAGGAGCCATTGTAATGTCTCTTAAGAAAACCACAGGGTTCTTGTAATGACAATAAATTTCACTACATTTCAAATTTGGACGATTCAAACCATATATAGCATTTATATAGCCTTCTAAACCATATCGTAAGTAACTAATATAGCTACCCCACTTTAAATATACTGGAAGATCACGAAGAGTTACTCCAAAACCTGCAAACATCATCATTGGCACAGAAAGAGTTGGTCCAGCAAATGTTCCATTCTGAAAAAATATATTTGTTTTTTAATATATCTTTTTCTAAGTATTTAAGTAGCAATAAAATTTGTGACGTTAAATTTAAGCCTATAAATTCGCGTATAATTTCTTATCTATTATCAGTTTATTACATTTAATTATACTTACAACTACATTGAAAATGGCTCCTATCATAAGACCAAAACTCTGAGCTACGAAAACCACGAGTAAACTTATCGTAAAAAACATTGAAAACCTTGTTATCTCCATGGGTTGCCAAGACATGAAGTAGATAATTATTGAAAAAACCAGACAACAGATGAATGTAACAGGTATATCAATGATCGTAATTGATAAATAGAACATTTTTAAACTGTACCATCTATTAAAATGTTCTTTCTTTAGAATATTAAGCTCTGATGGAACTGAAATAGAAAATAATTATTTTTAATAATAATCAAATTATTTTAATAGATATTTCATAAATTATTTCTAGAAATATTTAACATGTAGAAGATATGTATATGGAGAAATATTAATCACTAAAATTGCATAAATATAAATATTTACTTACATGTTAAAATGGTCAACATCATAGACGTCATCATGTGATGCATTAATATAGCAAATAGAAGATTATAATTTTCTAAAACACGTGATCCTTCATTTCCAGCTTCGATGAACAAAGATCCAAGCATAATTCCAGTAACGATATTCACCAAAAAACGAAGGTGCGTTAGAGTCTGAGAAAAGTTGATTTTTTGAATATAAGTAACTTTATTGTAGTAATTATCATAAATGATGTTCATTTAATTGATAAAAAATAATTGTTTAAATAAATGAAAATCATTCATTTTAATTGTTAAAATACGAATATCTTTCCATAGAAACTGCTTTTATATGCGTCATAAAATTCCAATAAGTTAGTAAATAAAAAACCGATAAAAAATTACTATACTTACGGCATCTCTTTTAGTTTTAATATATCCTCGAAATAAAAGAACTTTCAATTGATGCAATGGAGATGTTGCTTGCAAAGATTGTTTTCTTTTAAATTTTCCATTGGACTCAATACAGCTGTTATCTAAAATTTTATAAAAGTTATTATAAAAATAATTTTTTTTTATTCAATTCAATATATTTACCCATTTGAAAGTCTTCTATTTCAGGAATCGAACTATCAAACCACTGAGTCGACTTCCCATTCTGTATTACATTAACTAGTACATCTATTTTATCGTCACCATACTCTCCACATGCTAATTCTATGGCATAATCTGCTGGGTTGTGGTAAATGGGACAAGGAAGTTTAACGTTTTCGAGGAAGGGGACGAGTCGGTTAGTAGCTCCTTGATATAAACATTTACCTTTTGCTAAAAATAATACCTAAAAATACATGAGATAGTAATTAGTTCAAAAGACTCATCAAAAAGAATAGTTTTAATCATATTAGAATAAAAACAATTTGTATATTACATGATCAAAAAGTTGAAAAAGTGAAGCACTAGGTTGATGTATTGTACAAACAATTGTTCTATTTTGTTTAGCAAGTACTTTTAGTAGATTAACAACTTGTACACAAGTTGAACTATCTAACCCCCTGCAAAAAAATTCTTCATTATTTATATAATTATATGATGAATGTCGTGTTATTATTTATCACACACAAAAAAAAACTAAAAACTTACGTCGTGGGTTCATCTAAAAACATAACAGTAGGATCATTAACGAGTTCTAGAGCTATTGAAAGTCTTTTTTTTTGGCCGCCACTCAGTCTGTCTGATCTTGTATTCAAATGATCCTGAAGGCCGAGAGTCATTAATATCTCCTTTATCTGTCGATTAAAGTGTTATAGAGAAATTTATTAAATCATTTAATACTTCACTGAAATATACTAATATGCAAAACATTTTTTCCGATTGTTTATTTAGGTATCATAATCAGTATTAATATTAAACTAAATAATGTCCATTTCAGGGAGGAAAAAATTCATAAATATATGTTTACATACAATTAATTTTTTCTTCTGTTTGGAAATATTTGTTCCAAGTTTTAAATCAGCTGCAACCCACATATTTTCTGAAACGGTGAGTAGAGGTTGGAGACGATCATCTTGAGTAATATATGCACTAGTTCTAAAGTAAAAAATTGTATTAAAAAAAAAAAGAAACCAGTTCGTAAATAACATAGTTGAAGATTAATTTTGAAAATACCTTCGGAAGGCATCTAAATCACGAACAACTCGATTAACATAAACAGTTCCTTGTATTCCAGTTAATCTATATCCGGAAAGGATGTCGAGAAGTGTAGATTTTCCTGCCCCGGAAGGTCCCATGATAGCAATCAGCTGTTTAGCCGGTAATCTTCCATTAATTCCATGTAAAATCTCTTTAGTACCTAAATTACATACGGAATTTTTTTAATTTAATTTATCGTACTAAATAAAAGCTTATTGTTTTACCTTTTCGAAATCCTAGAGAAACTTTATAATAAAGATCTTCGAATGAAATATCTGCAGCTTCATGCTCTTTAGTCTTCTTGATTACAAATTGAGATATTGGACTATAATTGTTGAATGTTTGTTCAGATTTTGGAACTGAATCACTGGTTGCTTGAATTTGAGGTACGTTGGAAGCTTCATGCATTAAAACTTCCATGGTTATTTATTTTTAATAAATTCTTTTCTTGATTGTTAAAAAATTAAAAGCTTCCAAGGATGGTCAACGTTCTGCAAATAATATCAGAATTCACATAATAAATAAAAAATTTTTTCTTGTTTCTGGTCATATTGGTAATGTATGATTTGTCAGAATATTCGATAGATTAGATTAGATTAGCCCACGTCTTTGGTGATGATATATCAAACATCTATTGAGATCGAAGGCCGAGAGGTTGCCGCATCGTACTTTAAATCAAAGTCCATTCTTTTGTTACACTTGATTATCAACATTATTGTTTTGATTCATTCCTCGCTCGTGTTTATGTTAGCATAAAAAATGGTGAAAAATCGAAAAGATTGCTCAATGAAAGTAATCATGGTGACGATTCTCTGTTCATCTAGTTAATCGATTGGTTAATTTAGAAAAAAATTGTATCAAATTTATCATTTGATTTTTTTTATTTTCAATAAACAATACTATCTCTGCAACTTTTTTTTAATGATTATTTCTTTTTCTTATGCACCCACGCATATGATTTTTGTTATCATGGCCTTCTGTCATGTAATAATAACACATTCTGCGAATTAATTAATTTGCTGAGCAATAGAAACATATGATAATGTTGTTAATAAGAAAAAAATTAAATTGCAATTCAATGAATGACAACAGTGATAAATGTGTGCTTAACTAATTAATAATTAATCTCATGATCTTGATTTATGAAATTTTTTTGTCATCGATAATCATTTTAATGGCGTTAAATTTCAATATTATTTTATAAAATATAATTCATGTTATAAATTTTTTTTGTTAGATTTGTTTTCTTTTTAATGTGTCATTGTTTATGTTATTAATGTTTATTTTGGTGCATCTAAATAATACTTAGGCCAATAGGCCATAAGTTAAAATGGACCATGGATACATCTGTTGAAAAAATGACAATGAAAGTGATAGTGTCAACTGCGTTTAAATGTCTTGATGAGTACAAAGTTCGTTAGCGTAAATGACTCACAGATAAAATATACTTCAATGATAAAAAAGAAATATTCCCATTTGTGTACCTACATTCTAACAAATTACGATAATTAATTATAAGACACATTTTTTTCTGTTATCATTTTACAAGTTTATGAAAGGTTTAATTTAACAAAAAAAAAAGAACAAAGACTTCAAACATCTTTTGAAGTAAAATCTTCTCTAGAAAAAATAACTATTTTATAATAAATATTTGTCTATAGTTATTTCATAATAAATAAAAACAATTATGCTAATGTTTGTCATCAAATTCTCAAAAAAAATTCTATTTACAGATAACAGTATCAATGCATTTGCAAGACATGAAAACACATTTTTCAATGAAGAAATGATGATGGTGAAAATTATAACAACATATTTGCATTCTCAGAAATTATCATATTATTTGAGGAAAAACTTTATCCAAAAACAGACTTTACTTTATTGCAGCATTAATTAATTATTTAATAGATATAAATTTTATTGCTCATTATTGATTTCAATTTCGTCAACAGATTAGAGATAATAATTTAATTGACACTCGAATTACAGAGAATTGTCCAAATACCTTGTGCATAACATAATCTAACATTGAGAATAATCGTTATTGGAAACTGCACTGTTGCAGGATCTCGATTTACTCTAGTGCAAAACACGTCTTCAACTAAGTGAAAGGCATCAACTAAGAAATGAACAACGATACTTACTACTGGTTCAGGGTCAATGTTTTTCAAAAAAAAAAAAATAATACTTGAACACAAAATCCGCTTTGTTAAAAAAATTAATTTATTTTATTTTCATTAAAGTTCAATCAACATATTTTTATCAAGTTTTTGCGGTTTTACTTGATTTAAATCTCAAGGATATATCAAGATGATACTAAATAACCTTGTGAAGGAAGTAAAAAAACTTTGAATAAAATAGACTTATTTAAATTAAAATACAGATAAATATGGGAAATAAAGTGAAAGAAATGTAGGAACTAATCTTAATTATTCAACGAATATTTAAAAAAAAACATTTAAGACAGAGTCCTGTCAAAATACATGGAATAAATTTGATAAAAAAAAAGATAATTTACCTTAATTATAAATGAAACTAATGACAAAGATGACTCTAAAAACTCGTACGATCATTGTAAAAAATAATAAGTTTAAAATTAAATACACAGTTTAGAAATAGTTATGGTAATAGTCGAAATAGGAGAGAAAACTAGATGTTGTTTGATAGTAAATCCACAACTGACTGACAGATTCTTAGCTCTGTGGTGCTGAAGACACATGTCTCCTTTCTCCTACTTTTATGAACTTAAACTCTTCCATCCTATATAGCCTCATCTGTATTGAAGTTCCCCTACTCATGACCCTCAGTTTCTTGATCACAACTTATTCTTCATTCTCTGGTTTCATTTGATGACGTATTAGTATGTTATTACGTGCTATGGTATAATAACAAAACATCAGTACTGGGACAGAAAGTGTCTAAAATTGTAATGCATAAGTTTTCGTTTATACTTTATTTGAACAATTGTGTGTAATATATTGATACATATTTTTAGCGTCTTTCAGTTGCTGTCATCATTAATTATCCCTATTTATACCTGTATGATATCCTGTATGTGATAAAAAAGCAGAATGACGAAGTATCATGTGTACTTTGGTTCATTAGTATTATTTTGAAAATTCTTGAGACTTAGAATTTTTTATTATGACTAGTACATATATAATTAATGACTGATTTATTCACAAGTTATGAAAATCGTAGTGTCATGGAAAGATCTCATAGTTTTTTCCCAAAAAAAATTTAAAAATCAAAATATATAATTTCTACTGTGATCAATTATAAAATGTCATAGAAAAAATTTCTATACAACTTATCATCATTTATGCATTAGTGGATAAGATGCGGATATACATATTTCACATAACATGACCTTGTTCATCAAAAAATAAAAAAAATTTAATGAATAATAATATAAAGTATGATCTAATGAAGCAATATCCAATTCTATTTTTATTGTTAAATAAAAACACTATGAATTAAAAGAATACATTTTTATTTTATTGAAAATCTTTTAGATACATTTTATGCACTTTTCTTAAAATACGTAGAATAGATTAAAACTAGAATAATTAATTAGAAAATTTACAGAATATTTACAACGAGCTAGAACTACGTCTTTGGTATATAACAAAGCTAATTTTAATAATCTTTTTTTCCATGTCAATGCCGAAATATGAAAAAGGTTAGAATGAAATTAGTAAACATAGAATTAAGAATGACATTCAGCTTTCCGTTGAATAGACATGGTAGCAGTAGCTACAGCCATCCATTCGTTTGTATCAGATTGATACCAAGTTAATCCTAATGAATATTTCGCGTTCAAATTAGCGTGTTGGCAATGGCTAAACCACCAACCACCGTGATAATTAGCTGCACAGTCAGCTGAGCTGATGTCCATGTCTTTATCTTTAGCACTAAAAGCCATATTATTCTGGTAAGAAAAAGCATCTGTAGCATTCCCGGAATATCCACCAACATGCAATTGGTAACCAGTTTCTTCAGATTGAACATTAAAGTAGTCATAATCTGCACGCCATTTAGTTCCGTAAATGTCGGTTAGGTCAATTCTTAATCTAGTACAGTTGTCCCGTGTTAAACGATGAAGAGCTTCATTTCCAACCCAAAATTCATTTAATGGAGATCCAAATCCTGAAGCATATTCAGCCCAAGTACGATCGAAATCAACTATGCCGTCAATTCGACGAGCTACGACAATCCAGCCATCATGACAAGACACTAAAAGTGGAGATCCTTGACCTCCGAGTAAAGTTAAACCGTCTCTTGCATCACAATTACCAGGTAAAGCATCAACCATGAGCCTGTACTGGTCTTCAACGTGTTCTAATTCATGAGTAACGTTTATAGCCTTGTCTAAAGATGTTTTAAAATCTACATTTGAAAGCACCTCTAATTTGTGACTTAATTTAGCTGTTGTTTCCTGCTGGAGATCACTCTTTTCTTGAAGCTTTGAAGCACTCACACTCAAAGCTTGTACCGTTCTTCTTAGATTACTTAATTCTTCTCTTGTCGAAGTCAACTCCGAATTTTTTTTTGCTGCATTGACATCAAGACGAGTGAGTTCTCGTTTAATCTCTGATTGATTTAAATCCAATTTCTCTCTTAGGTTGCCTCGAGTTTCTAAATTTTCCATTATTGATTCTTCTAATTTTTTTTCTAAAGCATTCACTTGATCACTGATATTTTTTATTTGGTCAGAAAATTCGTCTTTCATATTTTGCAATGTTTGTATATTCACTGTATCTGGATTTGATTCATATACAACTCGTTTTTCAATCATAGCACGTTTTCTTGCAACAATTGCTATTTTCCGCTCAAGGCTCAATAATCTCTCTTCCATTCTTCTCCCTAAAAGTGATCGTGATAGACTGTGTCTCATTAATCGATGATGCTCCTTTTTTTCTTCACGTTCTTCACCATTATCAACTTCATTCCTAGCTAGTTGATGATGTTTATGCTCCAGGTGTGGATCCCACTTTAATGATTTCATCTCAATTTGCACCGTGCTCAGCTAAAGCATAAAAAAAATTTAATTAACACCACGCTTTTATACGCTCTGTTGTATCTTTTTTATTTAACATCTAAAAGCATTTTTTTAAAAAAGAAAGTTTATAGTGGACTGATAATTTAAAAGAGATGTTAAGTCAATAGAAAAATGTAATTTAAAGTTGGTTGACTAAAATGATGAAGGTTTCTTAAGAATAAAAGAAATGTCTTAACATTTGAATTATTATCTTCAATGAATTATTGACTCCTTATTAAAGAAAATATAAATTTTTTATTCGAAAATTTTTAATTAAAAATTTAAATAACTGTGATATATTTTGTTGTTAAAAAAAAAAGATGATAAAATCTCGTCGAGTTTATATGCAACAAAATCAATAATAAATCAAATCGATCGCAAAGTATATAAAGAATTTTATGCGAAAAATTTTTATAGTGTCATAAAAAATTTAAGAGCAGCTTCACTACATGGATACATACTTTCATTTTAAAAAAATTCTTCCTGCGTTTATATTAAATGCATGTACAAACCATATATGGTCATCTAAAAGTCAGTGACGCACAGTTGATTTGAACACATAATGTAAAAATGAAAGAAAAATGACCAGGTGATAACCAAGCAAAAGAGAAAGGTAAGAATGAAAAAAAAAGAAGAAAAGAAGAATAAGAAAAGAGCTTGGCGAGCGGCTCGTGTGAGGTAACACGCGCAGCCACCCCTGTATGGCGTGCCTTGGCCCTGAATGTGGTCAGAAATAAAGGGTGGGGGATCACCACCTGCTCACCCGCTCACCATTGGAATGGAACGCAGCGGAGGCGGAAGGTAAGCGGAGGGAGTTAAGTTCAGTAAGGGGGACTTGCGGCAGCTGCTAGCCGCCAAAACGAGAAACTGAAATTAAGGCCGGCTGCCCGCCGATAGCCTGCTGGCCCGCAGGTGCACATGAGCTTCATGTAAATAAGGACGACGGTTATGAGGATTGGAGAAAACAAACTCACATCATCCAGCATATAGATAAACCAAGAATAATATACTAAGATGCTTTATGGTATTTACCTGACTAGCAACATCAGCACAGCTTCGTGTTAATTGACCAGCTCGTTCTTTAACAGCACTGATGTCGTTTCTGATACTGCCCAATGATGCTTCGATCTTCGTCAATCTTCCACCAAGATCTCTGATCCCTCTTCCCACTTGTGCAATATCGCCACGAAGAAGTGAAAGCTCACTCTTCATTCTCGCACGTTGAGCGAATTCCTCACTAGTATTTTGGGCTCGTAAAACTTCAGCCAACTCGGACTTTAATTCGGTCACAGCACTACCCAACCATTTGATTCGCAGTCGTTCATTCTTCGCCTCGTTGCCGCTTCCGCCACGAAGACTAGTAGTGATTTCCTTTCTAGAAGGGACAATTGTCAATTAATTCATGCATTCACTGAACCAAAAAAAATTTCATGCAAAAAAATAAAATACAAACCTTAGTTGCTTTACTTCATTCCTTAAGACTGTCAATTCAGTATTTTTTTCAATAGCCTTCTTTAACGAGCTCTCTAGTGCATTGTAATCTTCTTGTCTATGATCCAGAAGAGCATTCACTTGTTCTCGGAGTAGTTTCACTGTGTTTGTAAGCTCTACTGGAGATTCAAGATCTCCAAAAACACTGGAGATAAAAAAAACTACAAAAAACTGAATAAACTTCATTGTATTTTTAATATAAAATTGTCAATAGATGATGAATAAGTGCCTGTTCAAGGCACGTGTCACTGTTCAACACAATAATTATCAAAAAATATAACAGTTTTATTCAATAATAAAAATTTAAAGTTTATAGAGTCTAAATAAATACTCAGATCATACCACGTATAACGCTGAAGCTTGACTAAAGCACTCAAAGGTAAGTCCAGGTGCTTATATCATCAAATCGGCACAAAGGGACGGGGTGGGCTGAGCCTGTGAGGCAGGTGTTCGCCACACAACATCATGCCATCAGGTATAAGCCACAAGATCCCCCACTTCTCAAGTACTTCAAAATACTGATCAGCTATAGTCCTCTTCAGAGCTATTGTATGAGCTCTTATTACAATGTATAATCCTAAATAAATTTTTTAGGTCAGTAAGATGATCTTATAGGATATTAAAGTTATATCTGCAAAAAATCAAATCATTAGAACAGTACCTTTGAACCAAAAAAAATCGGGTAGATGATGAAAGACACGAGAAGCAGCTGGAAACAGTAATTTTGTTATTGAAGAACGAATTGGATAGCATGACTGTTGGAAATATCTTCAAGGGCTATAGCCACGCGCCAGGCTCGAAGTCATTGTCGCTAAACTCGTGCCCACGACCGGTGAATCGGTCGATGAGATTCCATTCCAGCCGCAAGGGATGAGATAATAAATATCAAACTCGGCAGATGGTGAGCAGCGACTTGACTCGTCTCGAATATCTCAAGAGTCGATTCATTAATTTACAAATTTTGCAACTGTGTTGTAACGCTTACATCTCACATTATAACTTTAGTTACGTAAATGATCATAAAATCAATGACAACAATCGTTGAAAGTCTTTTATCCAAATAATAAGTGTTATTCATTTAAATCTATCTAACAGTTAATTAATAAATTTCTTTTTTGTATCGTAAATATTAAAACGAATTAAATTTTTTACTATTTTATTGAAACAAATTTTGATTAATATATCATTTCTAGACATCAACATTTAACATATTAATAATGAAAATATTACTACATGGTTATATCTATTTAATTATGAACTATAAAAAATGTGAGGTATTATTTATTATAACTACATAATTATTAAAATTTTAATTAAAATTATTATGACTATGTACAGGTTGTATTTAAAATCACAATTATGTAGATTAAATGAATTTGTTTGTACAAAAAAATTAATGTTCATAACATCTTTAAAATGATTAAAACACTGTTAATTTTGAAAAAGACTAAAAATTACAATTATTTAAATTGTTTTTCTGTAAAAAATAATTTTTTTATCATGTTCAATATAAATGGCACTAAATTGCAACGGTTATTGCTAATTGATAATTTTTATTATGCCATTCTACTTCGTTTAATTAATTTAAATAAATTTATATTAAGAAAAAGTTGTGGTTTTCAGTGTTATATTCTTTTTTTTTTTTTTAATATTTATGTTCTTTTTACTTTGTTATTAAATATTTCATATTTACTCAATATGTAAATTAATTATAAATAATAAACATTTTAAGTTTGTGCCGGTCCATAGGTGCCAGTTGGAGGACGATAAGCTTTTGGTAAAGTTTGAATGTTTTCAAACGCGTATTTTCTTACTCCAGTATTTTTCCACGTATTCTCTCGTCTACATCCCTCACTAAAATTTATAAATAATTGTTTTATAGAAAATTTATTTAATTTATAATGAATTTATTTATTCTGACATTTTCTCGAATTAAAGGCAGATTTTTTATCCTTTCAAGTTAAAAATGAAAATTAAGACACTTACCTTCGCATGCAGTCCAATGCCCTGCCAAACTCATTCTCGGACAGGTGATACTCTGTTACAAGAATGTTAACTTGTTCCAATGTAATTGACATTCCAGTCCTGTCTTTTGCACTTTTACAGCTGGTAAACCTGAGTCCCTTCATTCTTCTACAAATCTGTGATGATAGTTGTAAAATATCCGTATTTTTTGGAATTTTAGCATGAACACTAGTTTTTAATGCTGCCATCATATCAGCAAGACTTTGACTGGCAAAAGCTGAACCACCAGATACTGGAAAAAAGTTATTAATATTTTTCCTCTATTCAAAAATAGTAAATAGTAAAAAATAAAAAAATGCTTACATCGAGTAGAATTCGATTCCATAGGTAGATTAAGTTTTTTAAATCTCAGATAATACTCATTTAATCGATCAAAGTTATCGATATTGCTTTTTTCCTGTGGCTTAACAGTTCCAAGGCTCTCAGCAAGTGATGCCATTTCATTAATGCCTACATTAAAGAATACTGGAGTGACGTTAAATGCAATAGTCTGTCGAGAAGATTGCGGAAGTGGAAGAAGAGAATAAGTTCCATCAGGAACTGGGAGCATAACAGTTAAAGCAGCACGAGATCCAACAACTCTTGGCATTGGAAGCTGTGGATTACTCAAACTTTTATCATCAATCTTGGAAGAAAGTCCACATCTTGTCAAGGTAAATGTAACCGTATGCATATCTTCAACAGCAACGGCCATGTCTCCCCACATGTCTATTTCATTTCCATAGTAACTCAAAAGTGCTTCAAAAGAAATAAGAGGTCCAAGAGTCGTTAAAATCAAAAGAAAAAGTGGATCTGGTCTTTGGCACCATAGTTTCGCCATCAAGCCAGTCACAAGAGCAGTTAAAGCTTGACTGAAGCATACATCACGTCTATAACGCACATTACAACTTCTCTGAGCAATCTTTGAGTCTTCTTGAACTCTAAAAACAGAATGTGTAAGTCTTGCAGTTTTCAAAAGTCCATCCATAGCTTGACGAAGTTTTTTCATGCTTGGCCGTAATTCACTGGTCCAATCAACAATGGAGGCAAAATCTAAACCTTCTGTAAACTTGTTTCTTTGTCCAGAATTACTCTTTATAACTCTGGTCATTGAATCAACAGCTTGGCAGACATCCTTGGCTTTAGCAAAACCTGTTGTGGTTGATTCTAAGCCTTCACAACTTTGACGTATAATCACATTACCATTATCTAGAAGTTTACTGGACTCCTCATTTTTGGCTTCTACATTTTTTGGCTGAATTGTTACAACATTGGAAGCAATTCGGTTGCTTGGAAGACATCCTCGAAGAGTGTGAGAACACGCTATACCATTTTTATTACGTAATCTAACAGCTGGGCTACTACATCGTCCACAAAGGAACTTGACTTTTGACACTAGACACATCACACTCGCTTCTATATTTAATTGCGTTAAGTCCCAGGGCTCTGGTTCATCAGTAGGCTTATAATAATTAGCAGAAGGTGAATTACACATTTTTTGAGTATCTAAAAATCTCTTACTTAAATCTAAATCTCCATTCCCTCTTGTATTTTCCTCTTTATCTTCATCATCATCATCTTCATTATTGACAATTCGATTGACTTCTTTGTATCTTGATTCTTCCGAAATGTCTTTACTGTCTTTATTATCTTTAGGATCATCTTCAACCTCAGGAAATATTACAAAATTTTCCTCAGTTAATTCTCGATTATCATTATTTTCATTATTTTTCACAGAATAATTGGTCCTTGTTGTTTCTTTAGCCCACATATCTCTGACACATTCAGGCGTATCTGGGGTAATGAGATCATCAAAATCTGGACTTTTTAAATCAAAGTTCAACTGTTGAGTGATCCGTTTGAAAGGAGACAGCGACTGATTGCAATGTAAACTGAGTGATAAGCTTTCGTCACTAGAATTTTTAGTTTCTTCTTGAATCTTAGCCACTTTATGTTCTTCTAAGAATGTCAAAGCTTCTTCTACAAGACCAGGATCCCAAAGACTAAGTAATATTCTAGTTTTAGAAATCATATCTTCACATATAGGAAGCATTCCGCTAGTTTGTTTTTCCTTTGCTAGTTTCATTAACGATCTCATTGCTTCAACGACGTCTCTTCTAAGTTGTTTTATTGCTTGAATTGCGTCATGTGCCATCGTTATCTTCGATGTTCCTTGATAAAGCTGACTATGACGTGTTGGAGATTCTTTTAAAGCTTGAACTAAACGAATTAAACCACCATTTTTACTTTTGTGCGAATGAGCAGTGAATGCGCCAACAGTTATAAAATCATAAAATCCACATTTATTAAGTGTATCATTATGCACCCACATTCTTTGTAAATGAAGATTAATTGGTGCAAATTCCAAAGTTCGATCATTTCTTCTTGAAGAACGTTTGAAATAGCTTGCATTAAAGGCTGCTAAGTTTTCTTTTGCCTGAGAATACAAGTGTAAAAGATGTAAATGTCTATCAAGAAGCTCTACTTGTTTTGTATGCCAAGGTTCTCGTAATTCACCCATCCCTGCTACTTCTTGAAGTAATTCTTTTTCTTCTTGAATCCAAATGCCTAATAACTGTTGAGGAAATTGAAAGCAAAGCTTACTTTCTGCCATTATCTCATGTACACATATATCACCTCCTAGACCAGAGTGGAATCTGTATGTTTGAAGAAAAGGATTGGCAAAGAGAAGCTTGAGCTGACCTTGGTGAGGTAATTTTATTTTGGTTCCAAGTTTTGGAGGCAAAGATTGGGATCTCCGATGGCAGTAGTTTGAGTTGTTGGTATTATTTGGTGGAATATTTCTCGACGGAGTACTTTCAGTACTATTACCTTTATCATCAGCTTCTAAGCTCCAAACGTTTATCGTCAAGAAACCAACAGTCGTTGATTTTGACGATTTCAAAGGTATCCTAAGTCTTGGAGTATCTTGAACTGCACTAAATATCACTATTGCACTTCCTATTGGAGTTGCCGTTTGGCTCACTCTTTCTCTTACATCATAAGCAGTAATTCTCACTCTCGTATCTACACCTATACCATCACTAACACGAAAACTTACGGTTGTTAAAAATCCTGGATTGCTACTCCTTTCAACGATTTCTGTTTTAGCGTATTTAATCCAAGCTTTAGACCTTGCTGCTTGCACATCTATTTCTAGCACCGGATTTGGTGGTCGCCCGTGACCATCACAGAGAAGATTATCACAAGACAGAGATATTTCACAAATTGGAATTTCTGCAGGATCTGTCACTATCCCACGTTGCAACCGTAACATGTGAATGTCTGTATCATTTTTATGACCAGATGAGGCTTCTATTCTTTCACGTAATGCTAGTAGTTGACTTCTCATACATTCATAGCTGGCAAGTTGAAGAGCTTGAAGCCACGAATCTCGTTCTTCAGATGAATTTGCGCTTAACTGTTGATATAATCCTCCATCGAAAACTGAAATGAAAATTTCATGAGTAAAAATATAAATGTATAAAGTAGATTAAAAAAAGATTATAAACACATATAATCAGATATTTTTTTTTTTTAGATATGGAACTGTTAAAATCAATATGTTTCAAATTGAATTAGAATCATTTATCCGAAAAAAATGAACTAATATTTTAAATTCTCAATTCTTTTATGTTTTATCAATTCAACTATTTTAAACTTTGTAATTGAATGAAATTTATTAAATATTTTTTCATTCAATTGGTTGATCTAATTTTGCTGATTCCAATTCTAAATAATTGATACCCATACCTCTGAAATTGCAATATTACAGTAATATGGGGTGATAATAATGTGTATTATAAATCAAACAAACCTATGCTAAAACCGTACGGAATTTGACTAGTTGGTTGTTCAATACGAAAGTTACATTGCTCCAAAATAATTACACCCATAGGCTCCGACCATTGTTCTTTAGATTTGAAATAGAATAAGAGATTTCCTCGAAGACGACACCATCGCTCCAAGCTTACTATAAACACAAATAACAACTTTACTCATCTTTTAATGTCATGAAGTATATAATTGATGGATGTAGAATTTCCATTTATCTGCACTAATCTCTCATCCATTTTTATTTGAAAAAAAGATGGAATTGACGTCACAATACGTCATGCTTCTTACATTTTTTTTATGAATTTTCATGTCACAAATTGTTAATTAATAACGTAAAAATCATGCAATAATATATTTAATACGTTAACATGCTTTTAAGTGTTACTGAATAATGCAATCTATTAATAATTAAAGCATAATCTTGATTTTAAAAAAATGAATTTTAAGCTTCGTACACCTTCTGTGCATTTTACTGCATAACAAGGTTATTTTAATGATGCAAGTGTTATTTGTTATCTACATGGATTTGTGTAGTTGGTAGTTAATTTAATTTTTGAACTTTTCTTATCAACGAAAAAAAATGTTCATTTGTTATTAATAGCTGAAATGTTGATTGACTTATTTGAAATTAAAATTTAGACAAGATTTTGTTTTTTTAAAAATATTCATTAATTGTGATTGAAAGATCATATTATAATTTATCGTGTTAATTCCGTAGACTGATAACGTGAGTAATTGATTTCTATTGTTTCAATAATTCATTTATATGTCTGCAATAATGATGATTTCATGTTCATTAATATTTTGTCACTAATTAATCAATAGAAGTGGAAAATTCAAGAGTAGACAATTGATAAGTTAAATTAATTAATTAATTTTTCTACTAATTTTTTTTTCTGTTGAAAATAAAAAAATTCTGTGCTCATTTGTGGAAAAATGAAGTGATAGTAAATCAAGAAATATAAAAATTGTTTTGTGTTAGTGGTCGAGTGATTGAGGAAATAGGAGTAAAGGTAAATAGGTAAAATGGTAAAATGCACTCGATGGTACCTTTGCTTGTGCTGGCTGTAACACAACTGAGGTTTCGTAGAGTCTTATGAGTTTTTCCTTTTTGTCTTTTGCGCTCAAGTTTTTTACCTGTACCTGGAAATTGTTCGAGGTACCGAATAGTCATTAAAAAGAAAAAAAAAACAAAAATACCAAAGTAGCCCCATATATGTACAACAGACTTAAAAAATGTACATTATTAATTAATATAAAAACAATTTTTAATTGATTACTAAATCAATTTTTATGAAATTTATTAATAAGTTAGCTTTTTGATTATTTGAATATTAAGAAATGGACATTTAATATTGTATGTGAAATAACAAACATTATTAATAAGATTAAATAATGCTTTTGTCCTGAGAAATCATTAAAATGGATAATTAATACCTTAATTGAATCAATTGTTGAACATGAGACAATTAGTAAATACGTAAAGTTGTAATTTTTCATGCGTTCATCACAATATATTTAATTTTACATGACATAATGCATAAATTAAAAATCATGATGAAGATCATTAAATTAAAACAATACTGCAGAATTTTTAAAACCTAAATTACAATAAAATAAAATTTCAATATTGATACATATTACTTTAATATCTTATTGAACCATGCTTGCAGAAATTTTTCATCAAACGAGATAATGAATCAATTAACAAGCACTATACTAGAGAGACATCAATGTCTACTTTCATATTTTTTCTTAATTACATGACATACTTTATTGATTCTAATTTACTTTAATTATTTATTGTTTAAAATGAGAATAATCAATCATACAGAAGTAAAGAGAAATTGATAAATTAAATTTTATTTTAAACTTAAATAAGTAATGAAGATTTTACAGTTATATCAAGAAACTTCTAATTAAACTTATCAAAAAAATTGATTTTAAAAACCATGCTAATAAAATTATTGGTTCATAAGAGCATAACAATTCTATAATTCATACTAAAAATATTTCTAGTACAATATATTATCGGACAAATTGATAAAAATAACATTAGCTATGAATAAGTAATCAATAATTATTATTCTGTTTCAATTAAACCTCTTATTGATTACTTACCTTCAGTTCTTCGAAAAAATCCTTCCTGTCGTTCTCGAATGCATAAAGTTCCTTCTTTTTCAAATTTTTGTGATGGCTGAGTAGCCAAAGTCATCAATTCTTGTTTATTGAATCTCATTCTTAGATGTTTTTATTTTTTATTTCTCATCTATTAACCATGATCATTCATTTATGCTCTATAAATAGGTGAAATATTTTGTTGAATGATTTTCTTTTATTCAATAAACATTGTCATGATTACTTAACAATATGATAATATAAACAATACTTTTTTTATATCACTTTTGATTAGAAATAAAAAATGTTTATATTGTATAAATATTTACATATATTCATTTGTGAAAATTCTGCCAGTATAAATTTAAATAAATAATAATCTAATAAATAAATAAAACTCAAAGTTTAATTTGATTAAAATTTTACTGATAAAACTCTCAATAAAATTTGATAAAAACTCTTTTAAAACTTAATTCTCCCAAGTCAACATAATTAAAATCTCATCTTTACCAAGTTGCCAATAATTTCGTATCAAACTCTCCAGTAAATTGTCACAAATTGTTCTGGTTTTCTTTCAAACTTTCAGAAAACAATTTACAATTTAATTTTTATTAATTAAATGTATTTTCTTACTTTCATCTCATGTTTGCAATAAAGGAAAAAATTTGATGGATACTATTGCATTTAGCTATTTATTTTTAGCTGTGTACAACAATCAATAAGTAAAGGATAGTATATACGTTTGAGGTTAACTGTCAGTATGAAGAGAATTATTAAAAAATAATAACAATAATAAATAATATAAATGAATTTTTTAACACTTGGTTTTTCACTTGAACCTGACACAAATTCACTTCACTTGTTTTACCACTTGCGCCATTGATCTATTGGCGAAAGCTGTTTTTATGATGCGCCACTTTAACACATGATCATTTGGTTCAACTGTCTAAGCATCTAAACATCTGTTCAATGATTTTACGAATCATTTGTCAAACGTCAAAGTTAAATTTGTCAAACGAGTTTGTTGTTCTACATTATCTCCATAAATAGTAAGAACCCAAATGTAAATGTTTTAATGCCTGTGTGTGTATGTGTGTGTGATTGTGAGTTAAATTTTCTATGAATCCTACACACATTTCACAATTTTTATGTAAGAAAAATTGAACGGATTCTAACCTTAATTTTGATATAAAGTCAGTATGAAAATGGAGGAATTTCTCAGAGAGTCCAAATCTGCTTTAGTAAGTAATCAAAAGCACTGTTGTTTATATTTTCAGTTACTTTAATTACATTCAATTGTCTTAAATAACTCATTATGATGATTATTATTTTAATAATTATACACACATTAACCTGTCACGGAGTGTGATATGTGACATTTAAATATGGCAAAATGCGCGCGCACTTTAAATAGAGCTGTCAGCGCAGCATAATATTCAAGCGGCAAATTTAAATAATTTTTTTTCTTTAATTCTTTTTTCAGAATAAATTAGATGAGTTCACGAAAGTTAAAGTAATCTTAGGAAATGAAACTTGTGATCTAGATTCAGCTGTTTGTTCTTTAACTCACGGATTGTGGCATTATGATAATTTAAAGAACAAGAATATCCAGGATGTAGCTGTTATACCTGTTTTAAATATCAAGAAAAATGAATTGAAATTAAAAACAGAAGTAGTTTATCTTTTCAATGAACACCAAGTTCCATTAGAATTATTAACATTTCGGTGAGTTGAAAGTATAAATTATGAGTTTATTCTTGGACAACATTAATAAATTATTTCTTTCCAGAAATGAAATCGATTTAAGTGACTTGAATAAACGACAGATGTTGGAATTAAGTCTTGTGGATCACCACACGTTGAGCGATTACGACACGTCGTTGGCAGACGCAGTGTTAGAAGTAATCGATCATCGACCTCAGGACCCGAATTGGATGTGGACAGGTCGCGATGTTAATCTGGAAAAGGTCGGCAGCTGTGCCACCCTTATCGCTAGAAATATATTGGAAAAAAATCCAAAACTGCTGGACTTTCATATCTCCAGTTTGTTGAGAGGCAATTATATATCTGTTCAGTGTTGCATGAAAATCCATTAAATCTAGTTGTTTAAACTCTAAAGGATGTTTTCGTGAATTAACAGGACCGATTCTGATAGACACGTGCAATTTTTCCGAGTCAGCGGCACGTGCAACTCCACTTGATATCAAAGTCACTCGAGAGTTAGAGAAGATCATAGATACTTGTTCATCCACCAAGCAAGACAGTAAAGATGAAATTTATTCAAGAATTTTAAGTGCAAAGACTGACATTGGTTGTTTGTCGTCTGAAGATCTCCTTTTAAAGGACTTAAAGTTTGTCAACGGAATACCTATACCTGGCTTACCTATACTCGTAAAGGTTTGCTCGACTTGCGAATTTTTTTATTTAAATTTTCACTAGATTAGATATCCCACTTCTTACACCCATCCAATAGCAATGCGACGATCCGTAAAGCATTCAATTTTACTTTTAGGAATTCTTGAATTTAAATGGCGCCTTGGAAGCTGTGAATGCGTTTACAAGGGAGCGAGAATGCTGCCTCACGATTCTTTTGGGGATGGATTTAAAGGAAAACGTGGCGAAGCGAGACCTGGCTGTATTCTCTTTCTTGCCCAATGATCTGGAAAATAAAGTGAGTGTTTTAAGTATTTTCATTTCTTCTCCACCGTCACTTCATTACTTGTAATTGCAAAATTTCCTTTGACATTACATCACGTATCAATCACCTATTATTTTATAAACAATTAATTTTAGATTACAAAAGCACTAGAGGAAAGTAGTGTTGCAAAGTTGTCACTATTGGAGAGTACATCGAAAGAAAACTGGAGTTTGAAGCTGTATAAACAAGAGAACGTGCGGGCGACACGGAAGCAAATACTGCCAATTATACAAAGCGCATCAGCTGGTATACAATGTTGACCGTGTCCTCTAGTAGTATATACCACTTTCAGTAATATAAACATTAAACTTTGTATTAAGTTAATCAAGACGTTTCTTATTATCTAATTGCTGCTATCTCATCTGTACCTAATCCTTTATTTTGTCCATTTGTTAAAGGAATTAAACTAAGACATATTTTAGTTTTAACATCCAATGAGCCTGTTAATTAAATTAAATGATTAGTTGACAAACTACAAGGATGAGTGATCAAAAGTAAAGATGAGAACCGTCTGACCTAACAGGGAGTAAATCCACTGGGCGTATTCAATTCCCACAATAATCCTGCATCTCTAGTGTCTGCAGCAGTATACACGCACATTACGAGTAAGTGAGTGAGATAAAGGCTTCAGATGTTGCACATCTATACTAGTATACAGATGGATGAGAGTCACTCTCGTCGAGGTTACGCTTCTCACATTCAGATCGTTATGGATCGGTTGTTAAACCACGCGTGGGGGTGTAGTCGGATTGCTACCAGTGGAATGCGGTGAATCATGCGATGAGGGTTTCGTATAGAGAGCGCTTAGTCGCCAACAAAAAAAAGAAAAAATGAAAGGAAAAAAAGCGACGCTTCTTCCTTTCTATTTCCTCTTGTGTGTGCTTACCTCATCGCACATCGTTTGTTCGCATCGCAGAGTCGCAAGCGTGTCAAGGGTTTCACGCTTGTATACTGACAAGAGAAGCATGTTGAAGGATTTGAGGCGCAGGGGAAAAATAAAAAGAATACAAGTGGAATTGTGGGGAGCGTAAAAAAAAAATCTGGAAAAAAGGAGGATGAACAAATCGTTGCGATTAATTCGAGCCCGTAGCACACGGTTGATCCATCAGTCTCGCTCTTTAATTTATGATCTACCTCTTAAATTCGTTCTCTGTCCAATGTACGCGTTGGTTTATCATCCAAGTCTATTCTTCATCGCGTGCCACATCTCCTAACCCATCAATTCTAGTCCAACGGAAATTACCAAAATTTTCCTTTCTCTCTCACTTGGTTTCTCTCCAAGGCCAATGTTCGCATTATAATACTCGATCTATTGCTCTTCTCCCATGTCTTCAGCATCCTTTCACATCCCTTAAACCAACTTGAAGCATCGTGGTTGACACGGGAGTATATATCAGGCCGGGGATTATTGATAAAGAGCTAGGATGGCGCATGGCGGGGCGCATAAAACAATGCGATCTCCGGGGAGAGCGATGATAACCCACCGGCCTCGGGGGTTACCAAAACGGTGGGGATGACGTGGTGGAGGGTGTCCCCAGGTGTTTCCCGGCACTCTCGGGCGGCCAAAGTGGCGCGCACGATCGTATCCATGCGAGATGAAAGAGGGGACCTAGAACAGAAGAGAGGAGTAGGGAGCCAAGGCGATGCTTGATTTTGCGCATTCGCAAGCTCTCTCACGGCATCAACCCTGCTTGTCAGAGATACTGAGACGTCGGTGAATGCTGTACCGAGGAGTCCATTCACTCAGCTTCTCGAGAGTACGCGCAAACATTAACCAACCCTCACCTCTTTTTGAATTCTTAAATTGCGACCGAGCGAGATAAGATTTGTGATAAGCAGCATCATTACGACGTGCTTTCCGTCGTGTGTTGACACCCTCCGGCACGTTTTATTTTATTTTCTCGGGTAGCTTTTGACATTCATATCCTGTAAAACGGGATACGGATGCTGGATGATATTCAATGGGTCTCGTCGTTCTTTCTCAACTGAAAAGGATGAAGGAAAATTACAACTCGTCATTAATAAATCGTAAGTTTCATTACGATGTTACTTTTCATTATTTTACTCATTTAACAAACTTTCTCTTCTTCCCTACTCTAATTTCATTTGTCCAAACTTTATTGATAGAAGTGATTTATTGCTCACTCTATTTCATTTCTATTTCTTTTATCGATTTACGACAAGCATGATACATCGATTTTATTATGATTCCCAAATAACTGATATTGAAGTATACTTAAATGTAATGTTATTTGTTCTATACAATTCACCTGTCGATTTTCAATTTATTCCATTTTAATCTTTGATGCTACTGCACCTGACATTCTGCCGCACTGTCAATAGTCACTGGGAAATCGTTTTGCGAATGATAGAAATTAAAAGAGAGCCGAAAAAAAGGCTTTTTTAAAGTCAATTCAGCATGGACCACAAACTTTCAAGTCTCCGGTGATACTCAATAAACCAAGTACCGAAGATCAATATCCATAATTGTAATGAAAAGTAAACATGGTTCACACGTGTGGATTCTAGTATAATTCAATCGTAGAGTAATCGACTCTTTCTTTTATCTATTGTATGCCTGAGTTATGCAGAGAATAAAAGGGATATAAATGATGATGGTGATGTGGTGAAAGGAATAGTAAGAGAAAAGGATAGAATTCACTGTTACTACCGTATGGTTTGATCGTTCGCCCTTTCAACATCGGACGTTAATCAATTACTCAGTTACTCACCCTCGCGTTGTGTTTCAATGTTTGCCGGAGAAAAGAAATTTCAACGTCGATTGTTGTTTGCCAATTCACTTGCACTGTCATTGTATTTCAACAATTCGTTTATATCACTTTTAATTATTGAATAACATTTAAATTTTATCAAACTGGCCAACAAAAATATTTTTTTATTTATAAAATAAAAATCATTTCTTTTCAATTAGTCAGCTCTATTATGGTTGATGAATAATGAAATATTGATTATTAAATTAACAGTAACAAAAAAATTGTATTTTTCTTTTGACTTGATTAGAAAGCTATTGTAAATTAAAAAACTTCGGTAAGCTTTTTAATTTATTCATTCAATTAAAGCCCAGTTACTGAGGATAATTTTAAAAATTTATAAAATGAAAAAAATAAATAATAAATTGAAAAAAAAGCTATTGAATTAATTATTAAATTACATTAGGAAAGTAGATGATAAAATAAATTCTTGAATTCATTCACTGAAAAAATGAATAACATGAATTTTGAAAGATTTAATATTGACTTATTTAAAATCCCTCCATTCTACTCTAATCCAATTTTTCAATAACTTTTCTCAAATTTCCAACTCTATTTTAATTCATAAATTTAATAGAAAATTATTAAATATTCCTATCAATATTATAATCTCTATAGCATTCTCATTACCAAGCACTCTCTGCTCATATTGCTTTCCATCATCATCAAACGTATTGCTGCTAGCTTATTGCTAATGCTATATACTCCATGTTGGATGTTTAGAAATACATTTAATTATTCTAACTCCATATTCTCTCCCTGCTATGGTAGCTGAATAACATTTAACTGCTAATAATAAGCTTCCTAGATGGAAGTTGAATAGTTTAGATGTCGGAGAAACATTTTTATTCCATCCAGGATCACTTGGACAAGCTATTCAATATTGAACATTTTTTAAAATGCAGATGATGTAGTTGTAGATTTTAGGATAAAGGAGAATTGACAGAACGTGAGTGCCGAACGGATTTGTCTAATCGACATGCTTGGTCGCTGATAAATGCAATTAGTCCCAACATTGTTCTCGTGTTTGGTGGTTATGTCGGCTCGTAATAATCGACATTGTAAGGGAATGGGGGTGTAGGACATGGGATATATATTTATTTGTATATATGTATTAGAGGAGTACATAATATATATATATAGATTTCAAACGGAAACGTATCGGTTGTTGCGCCGCATGGTTGCACGCGTTTGGCGATGTATATTCACAAGTACGAAGGAGCCAACAAAAGGGAAAGGAAGATGGAAAGGGGAGGAACGATAATGGCTCAAGGAATTCGAGGGTGACGCTACGGGAACAAGCTTGTGAAGGTTATTGGGAGGCTGGTTAGTGGCTTAGGGGTAAAAATATTGGCAACATATGTGGTATATATGAGGATAAAAATCCTCAAGTTCTCTTTCTTTTCTACCGTCATTACTCTCTATCCTACTACCTACCTCTTTGGTATATTCCAAAGAAGCAAATGGACCATCGACAGTTGAGAGACTGAAGAGAGAGAGAAAGAGAAAACCATCTATTAGGAAATGCTTTTAGGCTTGTCTCACACCCTGAATCTTGTAATCAAATTATCAATTGCTCTTTGAGATACCTTTGATTACCACAGTTATCCAACATCACCATTTTCAGTGATGACTTTTTTTTTCATCAGTAATGAATGCTAATTTATTTAGATAAACGTCTAGATTGAATTTCCGCGTCAATCTTGATGAAATCCCTCGAGTTATTTGATTGTATACTTGAAACAATATGCATTAAATATCAATTTTCTGATTTTTCATTAATGATAAGACAGTTTGAAAGAGTTGGAAGGGTGCTAGGGGATACTTTCCCCAATGTTTTTTGTGTTACAGCGGCTTTCAGACACGGTCACGTGCGCATGCAAATGAAGCGTAATTCAATAGGAGCTTTTAGAAAGCCGGTAGAGCAAACTGGATGCTATGTTCGGTTAGTGATCCAAACGAGAGGGACATGACTAGGAGGGGGATAAATAAGCCCCCCGGATTCACCACCCTCGAAGTTAGTATACATCGGCGTAAGGCCGCGAGACAACGGGGAAAGAGATAAATCGAGCGCAGGTGCATTCGCCAAGACATAAATGAGGGTGCAGGGCTTTTGACGCGGACATGTTTTGACTGGTTTCCTTTGCGCCCCGCGGCGGTATAGAATACGAGGGTGGGATTATGGTCAGGATGGAGAGAATCGGAATGCAGAGGAACATAAACCTACGGACGAGATCGATCGTCGAGGTACCGCCGCGTGCGCACGCCAACGATGGAAAGTTATTCAATTCGCACAAGTCGTTTATTCTGTTAGAGTATCCTCTTACATTTGGCGGTAAGACGTGATGGATTCTGAATAGACCAGAGGGGGTTAAGAAGAGGGAAGGGGAGTTATCAATGATGGCAAAGGAGTCTCTATAAAGAGATAACAAGCAGCATAATATGTATAGATAACTGAGGGTCCAAGGTGCGTGCGCACTACCATCAGGATGGTCTTACTGAATATGTAGATTTCCGCAGCGAGCCGAAATTAACTCGGTTACGACAGATTGCCCGTGAATAATTTCATCGCCTATTCAACGCCGCGATAACTTTGTTGGCATACGCTCATTGTTCACCACCCTCTCATTTATACCTGGTCCCATCTCGGCCTAGCTTTACTCTATATTATACTCATACGACGTCACTCTCTTTTATATCATTCTCGAGTGACTGTTTTAAGGCTTGATGAAACAAGAGAGACAGTACTTTTGTGTCATTAAATTCTTCAATTTCCATTTCTTTGATACACACGAAACCTCTTCTATGTTTTTCCCTCTTATACTCACCACCTCTTTACACGTCCTTTTTTCTTGTCCCTTTTTTTGCTCAGTACCCCAAGCTTAATTTATATTTCAAAGCTTGAAAAAGTTTTTACATTTTTTATCGACTTGAAGGTTGTTCGATTTTAAAATTCGATGGTGAGCGTCTGCGCAACATTTGGAAAATCGGAAATCGTTAGGCTTAGTTGGCGATCATCCTCATGAGGAAGAAACTTTCAACAAGTTTGGGTTGGAAGGATAGAGGACAAAAACGAGGATGATGATTATAGATCAAGTGTCAGTAAGAATGAATAAAAAGGTCAAATGTAGCAAAGGGTTAATCAAAAGTATCTTGTGAATGTTGCGTTCGTGGACACCAAGTATATATTGCGTATTGATCGTTCGTTTACTTGTTGCGCAGAGCAAATGCTGGGTTGCTTGCTCCCTGCCTGCTGTGCATGGCTGACTCTGCCGTCGTTGGTTACTCTCTGGAGCCAACCAACGAGCCAGCTAGCAAACTTTTCTCCCTCTTTCTCACCAAGTATATCTCACTACTCAGCTTTTTCGCACATGCACAAAGCCCTTTCACAACTATAATTAATGCCCAAATACTCAGTAAAAAAAAAACGTCAAAGAAAAAAAAGATAAAGCAACACCTAAAAGCGAAAAATTTCATTGGCATTCGGTCATTAATTCCATCAACTTTACCATTCAATTCATCTTTTGAATTTTTCTCCTCTTGTCTCCTTTACACTTTTGATTCGTACTAAAAGCAAAGTTTGAGCATTATCCTCTAGCAGAGATCGTTATATAGGTATGCCCTTTGGCTATTTACACTTGGCTGTCATCTACTAGGAAGTTGAACTAAAACAAATGGAAGTGGAGAATTGGTAAAGGCAAAAGGAACAAGAGGGGATTTGAATCAAAGGGTAAAATACAGTTTTTGTATAGAATCTCATTAAACTTCCGACTGCTCAGCATTTGTCGAGTGACTGGACAATGAAGGGTTCAAGTGGCTTAGTGTAGTAGAACGATCTTTAGCAATGATAAACGTAGTTTCTCTGTCTTCATTTCCTCTCAGTCTCCTTGTCAACTTGGTCCCGTGTTTCTACTCATCCCCCAAGCTTTCATTTCCGCGTCTTCCTCTCTGGCCAATTATCTCATCGGCGTGTGCCCGTTCAAGGGACGACCAACGGAACAATTAACAGTTCTGCTCATTCCACAATGTTTCTGTCTTTATCTGTTTCAGTGTAAAATGTGATGACATGAGAGACTGGCGAGCAGGCCTGCGATGAGTTTGCAATGGCCGGGCGACGTAGATACTAAACATTATCAGTGTGTTGACATATCATGAGTAACGCACTCAATCTACTTGTGAAAATTGTCGTCGTTGTGTCGACGCTTCACTGCTACCTGGCACAGCAGCAGATTAAGAATGCTTCCGGTGAGTAGTATGAATAATCTACGGACACGAGAACGTTGCTCCGGAAATTTGTTCCTTCTTACTCTCAGCTCACGTTATACAGTTAACTGAGTGCCCGGGGGACCTACGTCGAGCGTTGTACGGAGAAGCTACGGGAAACGAGCTCTCGTCCAACTTGATGCCTTTTCATTATTAAACATCGCCACACCAACCCAACCAGCGTTACCTTCTGTGCGATTGTTTCATTCTCTCCTCTTGCACCCCGCATACCTCTTCTATGTTCCCTCTGGTGAATACCCGATGTGTTCACTTTCCTCACTACCTCATCCTAGTTCTATCTGATGAATTACTAATTTATTATATTTTTCAGCCCAATGTGTCCTCCCTTTGGGTATGGAAGAGGGAAAAATTCCCGATGATGCCATTTCTGCGTCTTCTAGTTATGAAACCAAATCTGTTGGCCCTCAGAATGCCAGGTAAATCAATTAAGTTGCTCTGAAATATACCACAAGATTTCATTTAAAATTTATTCACTACTGTTTTGTGATTTATTATTTTTTGGTTTTTCATAATTTTGCATGATTTAATTTCAATAAACGCTTCAACTGTACAAAATATTGTTTGAATATTATTTTTTGCTTGAAAATAGAACAAAATATTGCTATTATCATCTTGGTATCTAGGGTAATCAAACCAGTGGATAAACTTTCATTTATAAATAAAAAATATTCTTTCTTCATAAAAATTGAAACAAATTTTTCTTTATTATAAACTGTAAACTAAGCTTACATTTTTTATATGAGAGCAAATATTGAAATAAATTCAGCAATAATAATTCATTTATTGATCTTGACTGTTCGTCTATTGGTCTTCTTATTCTAGATAAACAACGTTTGGCTGCGAGAGCTAAACTGTTCTGCTATCGCTGCAATATTTTTCCCACGTAATGTTATCTACTTTGTAGTAAATATCGATGGGTTTGAATAGATTGACAGAAATCTTTGTATTGTTATGTGAACTGAAATTATTTAGAGGAACACTGTTCATTTATAATAGTTATTGATATCTATAGATATCTTTTTTTTTTTCAATTTTGCAAGTTTATTAACCTACATCTCGTGAACGAAATCGTTGTGTTGTCATTGCATATCTGGTAACAATAGATAACAATCTGTTTGGAAGATTTATTATCGATTTATTTTAAAAAAATATCTGCCAAGTAATGGCACGTCGCTTCCTCGCTAACAATCATTCTATTGCAACACTCGTATTGACCTTTACTATAGAAAATTGAATACTCTTGGGGGAAAAAAATTTATTCAATTTTCTGTATATCATATGTCATTTTTGAATTATAAAAAAAACATGTTTTTGAAGATTTTTGAAATATTACTCTTTACTTCATCCGACATCGGTGATTTATATATAAAACCATTTACATCCTAGACCCAGTCTACAAAGGATGAATTGTCGAATATGGAATGGAGAAGTGATAACATAAAAGACACAAATCGAGTTTAAAACATTTAAATCACAATAAATCTTTTGAGTATTTTTGTTTTTTTTTTTTTTTAAAGAAACTATTAACCCGATGCTAATTTTAAATGAATGAATAGATTAGATTTAAATTTTCTGCAAGCTTTGGATTAAATTTTTGTTCAGTTTTTAAACTTTAAGAGAAAAATTTTTTGTTTGTGGTTAACATAGCTTTGCGGTCATTACCGAGATAAAATTTGATTTTCTAGTGGGATCGAAATATTTTTATTGCTTCTTTAAAATTATTTAACTAGTGTGATATTTTTTATTTATTTATTTTTTTCTGATATTATAATTCTTGTTATTGACTAAATCAAAAAGTGTGTTAGATGTTCGTATGTTAAAGTATAAAAGAAAGTAATTTAGAAAGTAAAAAGAATAAAGTGTTGAAATGTAAAAAGCATCGCGAAAGTCAAGTTTTGACCTGAATTTGACATTTTTAAAAAATTCCTACTCTAACTGCACATTCAACAAACTTTTTTTTCATGAAGGTACGGGTCAGCTTTTTGATGAATGATAATGAAATAATTTATGAATAGTAATGAGATTTTTAAAGTTTTATTTGTACTAAAAAATTTTAATTAATGATATAAATAAACTTTTAATTTATATATCTAATAACGGATATTGGATTTATTATTAAAAAAAACTTGTAAATTTTGTCTACTAAAATTATTTCAAACAACAAAAGGGAAACAGCATTTAATTTACATGTATTAAAATATAAAATAATTTTAGTTTTGAAAATATATTTAAAAATTCATGTTATCGATTTCCTATCATTTGTCATTATTAATGACATAAGCCAACCGGATTGATGGTCCAGATTTTAATATACTATTTTAAAATAATCAAAAGCCTTTACTTACAAATAAAATGAATTTTTTGTTTGTCTAAATGTCATATAATATTGCATATTACAAGCTCGTTTATTGTTGAAACAGAATACGTCAAGAAAAAAATGGTGGAGCTTGGTGTCCAAAAGCACAGATTAGCAATGACATACGAGAATATTTGGAAATTGATTTAACCAAGGACCACTTGATTACATGGACCGAGACACAAGGACGTTTCGGAAATGGTCAGGGTCAAGAGTACGCAGAAGCATTCTTTCTTGAGTATTGGAGGGATTCAAAGTGGCATCAATACAAGACTTTGAAAGGTGATAGAATTTTACGAGGAAATAGTAACACGTACCTGGTGGAGCGGCAAAAACTAGAGCTGCCTTTTGTAGCAAGTAGGGTACGCTTTGTACCTTATAGCCAGCATCCACGAACCGTATGTATGAGGGTAGAGATATATGGCTGCATTTGGGAACAACGAATTATAAAGTACAAGATACCTAGACCAGCATCGTATGGTCCAGGAGGTTCAAATGTTGAAGATATGTCTTATGATGGTCGAGAAGAAGTGGGTGATGGATATTTGAGTGGTGGTCTAGGTCAATTAATTGATGGAATGCTTGGTGAAGATCCACGTGTATCATCAAGTCTAGCTCATTGGGTAGGATGGAGTGATTTAAATCCAGTTCCAATTGAATTTGAGTTTGCTGAGGAACGAGAGTTCAATGTTTGTGTGATATATGCAGCAAATGCCCCAGTACGTGGCATTGAAGTCTTTAAAAACGTAAAAGTTTGGTTCTCAGAAGATGGAGAAACGTACGAATCATATCCAGTTGAGCTAAGTATTGAAGAAAAATCAACTTATTCACCAGGGATTATTCCAATCATCATTCCTCTACGATCGCGAAGTGGTAGATTCGTCAAACTGGAACTCGAGCCGCGTTCCAAGTGGCTTCTCATCAGTGAGATTTCCTTCGAGAGCCGTAAGTTCATCAGTTAGTAACAGAAAACTCCAAGATAACGAGTTTTAATTCTAATCTATACCAGTTACAGGATCTAGGTCGAGTAATTCGAGCGAGGACTCAAAGCAATTGGATTCTCCTGTTGGCAGAAACGATTCATTACCGGTGGTGGACTCAATCCAACCACGAAACACGAATACCAACTTCAGCAATGTGGAAATCAATACCAACCAAACTCCAGACGCATTTCCGGTTGGTCCACGATGGTCGCAGACGTACATCGGTTTGGTGTCCGGTGCTCTTACAGTTTTGGCTCTACTTCTCACCTGCACGGTCTTTCTGATGAAACTTCGTGGACGAAATAAGGTAGCTCTACTTCAAAAACACACGGCCCTGCTATGTGGTACAAGTGCTCCAGGTATAACAATCAATGTCAAGGACATGAAGCTGCCAACGCCGATAGTTGTCAATGGGACACAATCAAGACCAACTGGAAGCCTAAAATCATCGGGCAAAGGGCGATCTGGGTCAGTATCTAGTTACGACATTGCCACGCTGATGAGAGAGCAGACATCCAATCAACAACATCAAGCCTGTGATGTCAGCAGTGAATATGAACATCGTAGTGTCTACGCCGAGAGCACCTACAAACTTCTCTTTCCAGAGGAGCGCTTCTCAGGATGTAAAACAGACTACGCAGACGTAACAGACTTCACAAGCGAGACAGTAGCAGTGCCTGAGGGTGAGTCAAATGAGCGACCACAACCACAGACTCCCTATGCCCACAGGTCATCCAAGCATCATGGATATTCATCCAAGGGTCATAAGGTCTACGAGGGATACTATGCCGCTACTGATATTCTCACGGTTTGTAGATGTTTTTATAAAATAAAACATTCATTTGCTTTGCTAATACTTTTTTCTGCTTCCAGCAATGTAATTATATTTGTTTGATGTAAAGAGTGCTTTTCAGATTAAAAAAAGGGAGCAGCATACTGGTGCTAGCCTTTTTACGTCGCTTCTTATTCAAGATCGTGATTCGGTTGAGACTTTTGATATTCAACATATATCTAGACATCGATTAAGAATCTTGGATAAGGTTGGCGAGGGGAGCTTTGGATTTGTTCATCTTTGTGAAGCTAAAGGAATTCATAGTCCAGATTTGGGAACTACTCGCAATCGTCAATTGGTTATTGTTCGATCACTTTGGCGTGGAGTTACTGACTCTTTAAAGTAATTTTTTTCTTCAAATTTATTCACTGTCATATTTTTTTTTGTTTGAAATTCATATTACAATTTATGAGGCACAAGATACTATTTCAAATATTATTTTTCAATTACGTCAAATTTAAATATGAATGAGCTTCAGTCTTTTAGAATTCACGTAGTTTCATTTTTTATGGAAAACGTAGAGTCTCGAAAAACACATTCTTTTTACTCGAAGTTATTTTTGTATTCTGTTTTTTTCTTTTTAAACATAGAGTAGCAGAAAAATTTTAATTTCGTTGTTGTACGATATTAGGTAAGTGATACTGAAATTTTTAAGAACTAAAACCAAGTTTTCATGTCCAATAGTTTCTGATAGAAATATATTGAAAACTTTATTATTGATTTTTGAAATGAAATTGTAGAAGTAACTTTAACTGACGATAAAATACAAAAAAAAAAAACATGCATAAGGAAGATGCATCACCGTTCAAAACCTACTGAAATATCTAAACTTTCAAACGCATACATTAATAAATTTTTAAACTTGTATGATACCTCAAAAAACCTTCCACCATGATATTGTTTTTGACATCAAATCAACGAGTTCCAATAAGTCATTCACACATATTTAAAATTGAAAGTTTTCGAATACTCAGAAGTCGTGAAATATCAAGTACTTTAGAAAATAAATTTTAGATCAAGTATCTCCACTAAAATATTAAAGCACATTGACACTTGAAAAGAGAAAAATTTTTTCGTAATGCATATTCTAAATATTTTTTCTGCTCTAAAAAATATTTTTCATCTTTTTCTTTTTAGAAAAGACTTTATGCGAGATATGTACATCTTAGCTCAAATTCGCGATCCAAATCTGACAAGAATTGTTGCTCTTGTGGAAGAGGAACCTTTTGGAGCAGTCTTCGAATATGGGGAACTCGGAGATTTGCCTAATTTTATTCGCAGTAATGCAAAGTCAGACAACGAAACGTTATTAAGGTTTGATTATGAATTTAAATTATTGAAATTATTCAACTTCATATTCATATTAAGCTCTTAAGCTTTATATTATGATAATTGATAGAATAGAAAATGGTAATTCTGAGTAATGTCATTACAATTCAATTATCTTTCTTAATTACAGTTACAATCGATTATTAAAATTTATCACTCATATTGCCTCTGGCATGAGATACTTGGAGAGTTTGAATATAGCTCATTGTGATTTGGCTGCAAGAAATTGCGTGGTGAGTAAGAATCTAACCATAAAGGTGTCAGATCATGCCATGTATTGCAGCAAATATGATGGTGAGTATTACGTGAACGAGTGCTACACTAAGATACCTCTACGATGGATGGCATGGGAGGCAGTATTGCTGGTGAGTTTTTATGCTAATTAACTAGATAAATTGATTAAAGTAAAAACAAAGTTTAGTTATTCTGCTCTTAAATGCCAGATCCAGAATATCTCTTCTCTTAAATTTCCGTAAAGTTCTTTGAATAAAAACTTTAGAATTGTTTAATAGATTTAGCTTACAATATAATCTATCTCAAGTTATTTTCAAGATGTATTGATTGATCACTCAGTTACTAGAATATTATACTTAATAAGATATTGTTAGACCAAGTTCTAATCTTATTCACCCACCAACATCTTGATAAATTATTGACAAGTAATTGAACAGGCTTATTCCTTCAATATAAAACCAGTTATTATTATTTCTTTAATACTGCTGGATAATATAAACTGTCAATATAAAATGAGTAAAAATCTTTTGAAGGGTAAAAGAAGCTGTCAAGCAGACGTTTGGTCTTACGCAACAACAATTTGGGAAATTTTCACGTACTGCGAAGACATGCCATTCTCTGATATGACATCAGAACAAGTGCTAGAAAATTGTGGAAATTGGTATCACTCATCATCACAAGAGAAAACACGCATGTTACCGCAGCCAGCACTTTGCTCCAGAGATCTTTATCGTATGATGACAAAGTGTTGGAGTAAACGCGCCGAAGATCGGCCAAGTTTTGAAGACATTTATGTCTTTCTCAAGCGACTAACACTAAATGAGTAAGCAGATAAGAGTCTTACTTGGCATGTAGCAGGACCAAAATAACTTGACACAATCAGCTATGAAGCATTCACCTCTTTCTACAATTATCCACCCGTCGAGGGATGCTCTGGCCACTAACTTATGCTCAACTAGGTTTATCTTCATCCTGTAAGCATAATCATAAATTAATATTAATTTTAAGCATCTATATAGATAAAAACTTTTTATAATTGATCTCAAATGCTAATTTTCTTCCATCAACAAAAAAAACTCCCCAAATGTGATTTTACATACCAAATGGATTTCAAAATTAAATATTTTATAAGCACCCATTAAAAATTGATAAATAGATTTTGAATATTTAGTTTCAAATATAAAATACATAGGAATAATTTGATATCATTAATAAGCAGTATTGATAGGGAAAGAGGAATTACAAATTGCTATTAAAAATTTATCCAATTAATTGGAATTCTATAAAATAATGAGGATAATTAAGAATCCTAATGTCGTATCAATCTCCTCTCTTCTCTGTGCATCTTCCTATTAGAGTCATTAGAATCAGTCAATATGATAGATAATAATGATAAATAATAATAACATGAAATATAATAATAATATTGGGACGTGGAGTTTATATATAAAATCTCGTTACTTTAATATAATTTAATACAACACATGAATAAGTAATAATAAATGCAACTATCAACAACGATAAATCTAAGATATATCAGCGCTTCTGAGTAAGATATTCAGGTCGCAGTCACATATCCTTTAGTTTCAATTATGAAGAGATAGATAAACAAAAATGTATGGTAAAAATAATCGTGATGATCACATTGAAGAATAATTAATGTTCAATTGATTATACAAAACTTGTTTCTAAGAGTATTTTAAGGCTTTAAGATGTATGTATGTGTGTAGTTGAGTGGAAACTTGTTGTAAATTATATATCTCTCCTCTCTTCTACCCATCAATCTTACTATCAACTTTATCATCATGAAAAATCACGAAACACTGCTCATGTTGACAACAAATTCCTCAAATATTACGTGTTTCCTTTACTATATCCAAGTAAATATTATATTGATTCATTTATGTTACATGGTAATATATACCTACATAAACTGCGATGTTAGGAATCGATTATAATTGTGAAAAGATAAGTTGAATGCTTTTTCACATATAAGTATTGAGATTTTTATGATTAAAAGATAAGTTAATTGAGTAAAGAATTTTCTCAAAGTTACCGTTCCATAATTTTTGGCAAAAAAAATTATAAATGAATAATTGATAATTGATGATGAAAATTTATTTCGCAGTTTATGATGTTGTTATAAAATTATTGAATCAATTATACGTGCATAAATAGGATTTATTAATAATAATTTGTGGTAATCATTGAATCGTGATATATACATGTCATGTAACACAAATGTGCAAATCCTCTTTCGGATTATTCATTTATAATATTTGGATTATATCAATTTAATGGTAACATATAATGAACAGAAAATAATCAATTAAATTTAGTATTACATTTAAAAGTGACACAATGAGAGGAAAAATTATTTTTATCGATAAAGAAAATCCTTCAACAAGCAAATCATTTTTTTTTGGGAAAAAACTCCATAATTACTATTTTATAATCGTACTATTTACAGTTAATATTATCATCATTGTTATTATTAATGTTATTATATTTTTTATAAATGAAAAAACAATATTTTTGCATGAATAATTAGACTTAAAAACTATAAAAATTTCTTAATTATTATGGATTTGTTTGTTAAACAATTTTTCTATTATTTTTAAAAATCATTTTTTCATCTCAAAATTATGAATAATTTATTTATGAGGAATGACAATTTATATGACAATCAATTTTTGGTAGTTACATCACACTGGGTGTAGCGAAAATAGGTAATGCGCTATTAAATAAAAAAAAGTTGTTTGTTATCGCAGTATTTGCTTTGTTATAATAAAGGTAATAAAAGAATAACCTAATTTGTAGTTTGTACATATTTCAATTTCTACAGTATTAACTTTGGTAATATTACAAAAAACTTTAATAATAATTTAACAAGGTTTAATATTAAATGATAATTAATTGTAATACTAACAATAAATTCAAAATAATCTATAGGTTTTATTATAAATAATCAGTAGGTTTACTAATATTATAATGAATAATATTAATATTAATACATAAATATATGATAAATTATAAATAATATATAAATATATATATTGACCGCAATACAAATGAAAAAAATTTTGTAATATGGATGATTATTATCGCACTCCATTGAAAATTATATTCTTAATATTTCCAGTGTTACAATTAATAAAAAAAATTGTTATACTGTGTACTTACTATTGTTTGTGAAAATTATTTTCTCCATCTTCAGCTATGTTTTTTTACTAAATACAAGTGTTTTTCAACTATGATTACACGAGTCGTTGAATCTTCATTTCTTTGTGAAAGTCATCAAGCGGTTGCTCCCAACGTTCTTCAAAGTATATACTCAGTAAAAAGCCAGAATTTTTTCCAATATTTATAGCCCAAGGTAAATGATATTCGTAATATAATTTTCTCTGTCTATAAAAATATTACAACGTTAGTTCAATCAATGAATAGTTCAATTCATTGAATACAGTTTTATATATTAAGAAATTTTTTTCAATAAAAATCAAATTAATGATGCTCATAAACATTTTTAAAATATCCATGATTATTTTGATTACTTTGAACGCAAACGTGCAGCACCAAATAGTGCAGCTCCAATACACATAGGCAACCTGGTTTGAAAAGCTTCGACCCACTTTACAGCTACCTCACCAAGCATCGTCGTCGGCATCAACAGGACAGCATGGAAAATATCATGTACTTCACGATATCGCTGCATAACATAGGCCAGTTCAACATTATCGACAAATTTTACATGGTCCCTGGAGTCTGGGCTAACATCCTGAAAACAAAAAAACATGTTGTCATTAATTAAAACTGATGGAAATGAATTTATCAAACTTTTATTTAATTAAAAAAAAACTTTTCTTCCTTCTAACACATTAAATACTGTGTGTACTCTATGGAATAGCTATAAATTAAATTAAAGAATTTTATCACAATGGCTTTTGATCATCTTTTTATATAGTAATAAATTTTTTATTCGGTTCACAATCAATTTACTCACATTGGCTTTTAAAAAATCGTAATAAATTTTCCCAAGACATCCTTCAGGCATTTGCTCTAATTTCTGTATATCAAGAGTTGATGTATTAATTCGTGGTTGTTCAGCAAGAATTCTCCGTCCTTCTGCTGATGACTGCATTCGTTCGTAACAATATTCCAATGCTCGGTTTCCTGTTGTTTCTCCAAGACATGCAATCATATCTCCTCGGAATGGATCGACAAGTGAAACAATAGCTGAACCCCCCGTGAGAACTAAACGCTGTAAAGGTGTCAGTTCTATGTGATGCTTTTCAAAACTAACAATAAATTCGCTTTTTCTATCATTCTCATCACTTTTCTGAGCTTTTCTAGGTACGCTTGTTGATACATATCTGCGGATTAATATTTTACCTGGAACATAAAAATTTGATATATGTATTCATCTATTGATTTATCAATGCCTTCATTAATTATTCTACGTAAATATTTTAATGATGTCATTAAATTTTAATCAGCGAAAAAATATAAAATTTATGTAGATGTTTCATCGTTATTTTTTTAATTTTTTTTAGTTTTAATTTAAATATAGCATGACATGAAATTCATATTAAGGGCAATAAATGTAAGTTGAAATTACTAATTAGTTAAACAAATATTTATTTCAAGTGCTTACATTGATTACTTTACATAATTATACACTATTTTATGAATTAACTTTATTCCTGAGTACAAAATTATAATTTATCTATGTAATATGTAATACGTTTACTTTGGTTTTAACAAAAATGAAGGATTAAATTCTTCTGAATTATATATTACATGAATGTATGAAAACTTTATTATTTTTGTGATAAAAATTTGGAATAAAAAATTACTTATATATATTTATGAAAATTTTTATTAACAAGTAGATGAATTTTTCCTTCATTTTAAAGTACGAAAATGAATTCTATTATCTATTAATAATTAACTGATATTTAAATCCTATTTATTACAAGGATCTATATATACAAAAATATACATAGTTGAAAGAATGTACATAACTAACGATAAATGGCACGCTCATCGTATTATTCTCGAATCCAGCGAGACATTAAAATTACTGGAGACAATAATATATCACTATCGTAGCAAAAAGATATTAAACATGATTTTAGAGATATTAAAAAAAAAATCATTACTATTTATTTAATTGAAAAAATACTGTTTATAATGAAAAAAATATTATATAACTTCAACTTTAGTTGGTGAAGAAATTAATGGAGAATATTTTGGAGCAACATTATCTTTGGGCATAAATGTAACCCACGTATAAATTAAACTACCTGAAACACTTAAATTAAGTCCAGCAAAATTTAACCATGAAAAAACATAATCTCCACCAACAACCATGCCCAAATAAGTAACTGTGATATTCTTTAAACAACCAATAATTGTAGTTGTAAGTGCTGAATTATAATGTGTACATAAAAGTACACTGTACAATAACACGAAACCCATGATGCACGAGAGAATGAACTGACAAATGAAAAAAAAGTTCGTCCAATTATCATATTCCATTATTTTGTCAATATCACCAGTCCACCAGGCTATTAGAGTTGACGGTATAATCATGATGAGTGAGTTGTAGTACATTAAACCATACTTCCCAAGCTCTTTAGAATTTAATTTTTTCTTCGTATAAACACCATTTGCAGCCGTAAAAATATCATTCAAAAATATAAAGATATAGCCTTGAAGATTGAATGCAAGATCATCAAATGCCGCTATCATTGCACCGAAAACCATTATGTAAACACTCAATTGAACTGATGTTTTTGGTTTTACTCCTAGCATATAATATTCTGCAGCCATTGTCATCAAAATACTAAATCTTCTTAGTGCAGTAAACATGGGTAAACTCAATTGTTTAGTTCCGCCAAGGCCGAAAACCATGTTTCCAATGTAGATCAGTGGTAAAGGAAATATTTTTACAATTGTAGATAAATCTAAGTTGGGGAAGTCGATGTAGTTGATTTTCTTAGCAACATATAAAATAACTATTGTTGCTATCATTTGCCCTATTCCAAGAATTTGGAATGATGGAAATTTGTAAGTAGTTAATACTGTCTTATTAACTACAGTGATTAAAAATGATGATATTCCATAAAAAATTGCTGAAGCAATCCGGAACCACATCGCATTCTGTTCTGTCACTGGCATTTTGAGAACTGAGGTTAGCTTAATGTATTTCCTTGATAATTTATTTGATCATATTTGATAATAAAATCGAATAATAGTGATGTTCTCATATTGATAAAACAGAGAGCACAAAAGAGAAGAATGTCAATGTTAATAGAAATAATGATAAGACAACATACTTGGTAACCTTATCATCTTGCCAACAGTAATTTGATAATTCTTTACGTATTTATGTTATGGCAGTAATATGTTCTATAACTATAAAGTTAGATGATTGATAAATGTTATAGTTTTCCCACTAATATAACTTTGTTTATGTTTTGATAACAATTTTAACTATTATTTAATTACTTTTTGTCATAAACGTCTTTTTATTGTCGGCCTATGGCGGCCATACTGAATTTTCCGCCATATAGCGGCGTTGTTGCTAACTTCTAATTAATTTCTAGCGGGAAAATAAATTAAACACACTTCAATTAAGTAAAAAATGTAAATGTATTTGATATCAAACTAAAAAATTATCTTTTATCCACAACATCACATTCTTAAATAGTAGCATTTCAATTATCACTAAACATTTGACTGAGATTTGTTTCATTTACATGAATAGAATAATCAGCAGCTGAAAGTTTTAAAGATAAAAATCCTCCACTTCCATTGTAGTTCTTATAAAAAATTCCAACTCCACCAATAGGTATTGGTGGATCAGAAAATATTGCTTGTGAATCTATGTAAGGAACTAATGTTTGACTAGCATCTTTATTCCAATCTGTCAACTGGAATTTTACAAACTGTTCTCCAGGTTGACTAACTTCAACATTTACTTTATTTTCCCTGTCTGGAATGTCAGCTTGAACTAACTCAAGTTCAGTTCTACACAAATAAACAATTATGATCAAAATACTTTTTTATAAAAAGTACAAAATAATAATTGAGTAATAAATTAATTACCTGGGTAATTGATTTGGCCAGTACCATTGCATATATGTGGGAGTTATAATTTCTCCTGCTTCATCAAAAATTTGTGTTCCAGCCACTACCAATGTTATTCTATTTCTAAGTAATGCAAATCTAACACCTAGAATAATAAAAATAATTAAAAATATAAGATTACATTTTTAGAAATAAAATAAAACCATTTTCGGTTAGAAACCTGTTACAGCATATCCTGGTGGAAGTACAATATTATCCAAGTTTACTGAACGCATATTATAATTCAGTTGAACAACTTCAGAACCTCTTTGAGGTAAATAGCTAGCATTTGGATTCCACATAACAGTACTTGGATCAATGGATCCATTGACTAGTTTTCCTTCTTGAATTTCTAAATGGATTACTTTGTCAACTACTTTTACACGAATTCCCGTAACAATTCTGATGATAATAACGGATATAACAATTAATATTCAATTGAAAAGTTTCTGTCAGTACAAATGACAAGTAAAATAGAGCATACCTTCCATCGCGGAAATCAGTATATTGTTCTCTAAGACTAAAAGACCGAATGCTTTCAGAATTTGCCCATTCATCACAAGTGCACGCACAAATATTACAAAGTGGGTCATTATTTATAAAATCGAATGCTGAAATTTTTTCTTTGTAACATCTTTCACTCCAAATACCCCTTCGATGGTGTTCATATAAATTAAACAATCCATAATTTTCTGTTAAAGCTTCAAATCGTCGGCCACTACCAGGATTCTATAAATTAATAATAAAAATTATTACCACAATTATACACAAATTAATCATTCATAATATCATTACTTACAGCTAAACATATTTGAGTTACACTAGTTTTCCAGCAGTTATAAGCAGATCCGGTACATTGAAATTGAGAAAGTCTGTTTTTATTTGTAAAAATGCTACCTAATTTTTTATAGCTACTGCAGCTACCGGTACACGAAAAATCAGAACTCATCGAGGTTTGAGTAGTTAAAATAATTGATAAAAAGTTCTTCAAGCTTATATAATTAGAACCTGTTGAATAAAAATAAATTTATGTACATCTAATAATTAAACTATGAAATGATTCTAAGACTTTACTGTTGATATATTTAATTACCTTCTACAAGCTCATTAGGATCACAACGACGGATTTCTTTAGAAGCTTCATTCATTGCTCGACGTGCTATAGGAGCTATCTGCATTAATGCTTCTTTGAATTCATTTACAGCATCATTAATTTCAGAATTCCATGCATCTTTGAAACATATTACAAACAAATTTAATTAAAATGAATTAAATAGCCAGTAAAAAAATGAATATTTTGAAAAAAATTTCATTAATTAAAAATATTACTAGGATTCGGCTGTGCTAGTTGTCGATATTTGTAAGCATGAACTACCATAGTATATCCGCGAACCAGTGTATGAACTGCTAAATTATATACAGCGAATAAGTGTTGATGATGAGAAGATCCTTCATTGCAATCTCGATGATGATTCATCTGAAAATAAATAATAAATGTTGATACATTAGAATTTAAACTAAATTATATAGCTTTTTTTATTTACATTATTCTTTAATTACCTTTATTTTTTGATAATCGAGTAAAATATCAAATAATCTTTTATCAGGAACATGATTTAAATAATTGCGAGGAATAATATAGGAATTGAGTGAATGCAAAATTCTTTGGAAACCAGATTCACTTATTGTTTCATTAATAAAGCTTTGAATTGTTTCCACTTGATAAGAATTGTCTTCCACAAAATATTTTATAAATTTTTTTTCAAATCTTTCATTTATTGAATGCACAACTCTTGTGAAATCGTGAACAGCTTGCATGTCAATTTTGACGGACAACTCTTCAATCACTCTATCAGCTTCTTCTGTTAACAGTGATTCAATTCTCCGAGTGCTGTTAACAATTTCTGCTAATGATTCTGTTACTTTTTGCTTCCACATGCGATCGTTATGAGCTTTCTTCAAATCCATTAATGCTTTTATTCCATCATATCCATATTTAGCAATGTCTTTTGCAGTAGATAGCGTGAAAATAAATGAACATGTCGAAGAAAAATTAAAAACTATTATTGATAAAAGAAAAAAATTTCTCAGGTACCGAAATTTCATGATTAATAATAAACGAGTGATTCTACTCGTTAATCAATAAATATAATGAAAAGTTAAAATGCACTGAAATTCGTAATTATGACTTTTTGTTTTTATAAAGCGGTAATGATTTGTCCAAGTGTTTTTTTGCGAATTAAATGATATTTTTTATTTACAATATAAACAAGTTATAAATTGTCTGACCCTCAAAGATCAATGATAGATAATCAGATTATAATTTTTATAATAAATTACTTTAATGAGTATTTCCTGATATTGGATATCTTCCTGATATGTGTAAAAATTTGATATAGATGAGTTATGACCATAAATATCATTAAAATGACATTCAAGATATTACATAAAATAAATGTAATTATATACTTTCTGACCCCACTTGCCCTACCCCGTCTACACAGTTTCGTACAGGCACGCTTTTTTTAAAAAAAAAAAATTTTTCTTGCAACCAGGACTCGAACCTGGATTCCCCAAAATTTGTGCGTTAGGTGCTTTGCCACTTATCGCTATACATTAATTTCTATTTTCCTATATGTACCCATACTCATCGTGATCTGATGAGAACTCCACCGTCCTCTTACGGCTTTAAATTTAAGTAAATTAAATAAATCGCTAAATTAGCATATAGGGCCTAAGGTCATTAAATATATAATTACCAAAATTAAAATTAAAAAGCCAAAGAAAACAATGATTTAAACGTCAATCGATTATCAATATTTATTGACAAAATAATAAAATTATAATAATTGTAGGTGATTTTACTTTATCTTAATCACACATTTACCAACTGTATCAATAAAATTCATCAATTTTATCCGTAGTGAAATAATAATTGTTTACAATATTTATCTTGTCAATCATGAATGAAAAACCATTGTCTTATTACTAGCAGTCAACGATATGATTCTGTTTTTTTTTTATCAAGTACAATTTCCTATCGTAATTCAATTGCACTGACAATTGTCTGTTTTCCTATCTTTGTAACATTTGTCACGGTAGAAGCTTGCAAATTATTTCAGAATCATACGTAATCACGGGTAACAAGCGGTAAGGACCAAGTGGAGCATCTCTTCAGCATGCGCGATAATTTATTCGCAATTTATAAAAGAAAATAAGGTCAAGTTTGTTAGTAAACTTGAGTTAGTTCTCATCAGAGAATGTAAAATCATGGACTCTGAATTCTATAGATAAACTGTGAAATCTGCTAATGATGTTTATCGTAAAACTATTTTTAATTCTCAGTATATTATTTATTATGATCCACGGTGATTCTTCATATGATTATCAGAATTCACCAGATAATTTTCAATCAATTATTGGTGTTTCAAAAAGTATGAGATCAAATTGTCAAAATGTGTATCTTTGTCACTTGATGAAAGGTTTCAACTACGATTCAATTAACAACATGCCTCATTTTATTTCTCCGGTATCCTCTCTAGGATACCGAAGACAAACGTTAAAAACGACTGCTATGCAGCCACGAAGTTATTACGGCTATGGTACGAATGCTGCTCCAGCATATTATCCGTAAGTAAAAAAACTTTGATTAATTACTTTTAATTAAATGTAATTCAACTTAAAATCTTAGTAACTTACTTTAAAATATTAATTGTCACAACGATGATTTTCAGAACATTTGATCCAATAAGCATACTTGCATCTCTGGCATTTTTAGCATTTCTCTTGCAATCTTTTGTATCTCTATTCGATCGAAGCCGATCAATAATCCCGGCAGTAGTCAGCAGTCGAGATTCCACTTTACAGCATCAAATTCCTGATCCTATACAGCTAATAATGCGTGCAATCGACGAATATGTACGTATTGTATATATTGATATGAGATTCTTCAGAAAATGATGAAATTAATTAATACTTATGAAAAAAAATTTTTCAGGCTACTTTCAATCATTCTATAAAACTTTTGGATGAAACAAATTCTCGAAAAAAATTATCTTGATATTGTTAATGATTAAATAATTATTTAAATAATGTAAAATTTAGATTTAGCTCTAATTATTTTTATTATAATTAAATATAAATTTGTATTCATTAAAATATGACTTATTTTAATTTGCTCTAGCATCTTTTTTTAAATGTAATATATTTTTAACAGCTTCGCGATATTTATTCACTGTAAAATGATCTTCCCCGGTATTAATAAGATCACTCACGGCTATTTTATATTCGGTCACATTAGGAATAGTATCATAATCCAAATCTTCAGGTGGATCTGATGGCCATGCATGAATCTTCACTAAAGTTTCTCTACTTTTATTCCTATCCCATTCATAATATTCCATATCAGCTAATGACTTCGCCGCTTCCCAAGGCTCCACATTCTGAAATAATTTTTTGGTCAGTTATGGATAAAAAAAAATATAGTAACAATAATAAAAATTGTTTAATAAATAAATGATCAATAAAATTTACCCAGGATTCATAAAATACAGCAGTCATCAAATAATTGGCGTAATCTAAGTTTTGTTTTCTTGTAGGACATCTATCAGCTACAATAGTCACTGTATCTGTTTCTGGATTGTATCTGTGTTTTACGAGACGCAAAAATTTATCTTTAGCGTGAGAATCAAGTTTTAAACTTGATAATTTAAAGCTAAGTGTTACAATCCTTGCAAGAGGCTCTCTGATCGTTGGAGATGAATAACAATAATCAGAATAAGAATATGTAATTGGAAAATGTTTCTCACATTTCTCTTCAGTTTCTAATCCTACTGGCCATTCAGTACAAAATTGTTTTAATGCTTCACAGTGTCTTTTTATAGCTGGTGGTGTAAGATGAAGGAAATTTGGAATTTTCATGAGCTCTGCATTACCAAATTTACTTGGAGGAGCTTTCTTTTTTGCGTATCCTTGACGAATAGGTAATGGTACAACAGCTGGATGAAAAGTCCTTGGACCAGGCCAAACTGATGGCCAATCCTGATCTGTAGGCATTTCTTTATATCTTGGAGGTAAAGCCGGACGTTTTCCGTCTGACCGAACTTGCTTGGTCTCAGGTGGAGGACGTATTTGAAGAACTCGGAATTCTTCTACATTAGGTAGCAATAAAGTCAAATGTAAATCGAGACAAAGTGTAAACATCATAAATGAATGATTTAAATGATTAAAAATTACTAACAAATAAAAAAGATGTTTGGGAGGTTATACTACTTACGATCATACTTTGGTGAAGATGTTGATGATGTTGAAGAATATAAAACATTTGGTAATTTGGTCAACGTTGATAATGAGTTATGTTTACCAGAGCGAAATATTAGTGACATTTTGATATTAAATGAATACTATTCTTTTCCAGTTCACGGGTAAATATTCATGCGTATACCATTTTAAAAATTACACAGAAAAATTACACATGTTATGAGATGTTTCACAGTGTTATTAGTGAGCAATGCAACTATGTGAAGCGCTACGGTCTACCCAATTTAAGATATTTGGTGATCACTATTTTATTCGCGTTTGATAAGTTAGTACTGATTAAAAACTACAGTTGGTAAAAAAACACATGTAACCTTACAGCGGATGGATCCTTTCATTTTTTTCTGTACACAACAAAGTCACATGGTTTTGTCAATCGTTTCATTTCTTGTTTATAATATGTACGAATGAAATTGTAAAGTAATTGGAGCTAAAAAAGAGAGTGATTATGAATAGTAATTATTTGAGGTTTTAGTTATCATTTGTTATGATGCAACAATAATAATAATGGACAGTTTAATAAATATCCACTGGTTTCCTTTGACATCTCAAGGGAACGTGTATTCAATGTCAAAATTATGCTCTCCATACAGTACAAATAAAATATTAGTGGCTTCTTTAAAAAGAAAAATATTTTCTTGTGGATACCAAAAAACTAACGATAAAATTCTGAAGCCTATTGTCAAAGAATTACTATTCACGTATATTCCAAGTAAGACTCAATCTCCAAAATTATTTCTTACTCACGTGTTCATTGTTTATTTTTACTATCGAATAAAATAAGGTTAAAAGTCTTAAAAATTTTTAAATATTTAAATTCAATTTAGGTGGTGCAGAGATTATTTCTGTTGATGGCTACAATAAATACCAATTCGACGAAGAATTCGTCATAGGAATAACAATTATTAAGCCAACTAATGAAGGGAGTGTGGAAAGATATTTAAATATTTATTCAGAAAGTGCAGGAGATGGAGAGAATTCTGAAACTTCTATAGAAACGATTGCACAAAATTGTCTCACAGTAGAATTAACTTATACTCCATATTTATTATATCATACTACAATTATAAATGAAGAAAATGAGAAAGAAGTAAAATTTCATGTTTTGTTTATTAATTAGTTAAAAAAAAAAAAACTTGATATATTTTTGGATTAATTTTATAATAATTTTGTTATGTTTAGGTTGTTTGGCTCATTTCTGGGAGTGACAATCAATTACATATGATTAGAGAAGATAAATTCACTCATGGATATGTTGAATTCCCCCTGGATAAATACTTTCCGGAATTGCTTAGTCTACAAACACTTGTGTTATGGATTAACGTGCACTATTATAACAATCATACCCGGTAACTTATTATTTCTACTTTTGGAGATAATAAAGAATTATTTTGAATTCGTTTTCCAGAAGGCTAACAGTTGTTTCTTGTGAATCTGGATTAGTTAAAGTAACACTAGTAAATATTGAAAAACTTGAAATAATCAAAGAATGGATACTCCATTATGACCAACCTGTACCCAGTGTACGAATTTTTTCTCAAGAAAATGAATCACCTAATTTAATTCCTAATGCTGATGGTATGAAATACTATTATCAACGATTTAAAAAATGTGTCAATAATTAGTCACTAATTTTTGCAGAACCTGAAAATAGTAATGAAACTAGTACTCAACCTATCTTAAATATATTAATAGTTAATGCTCTAGATCCTTCTGTTGTTTTTATGTAAGTAGGCGATATGTAGCTTTAAAATGAGCAGTTATGATTGTTATGGATGATTAAATCATATTTATAATGGTTAAAATTTTTTAGGGATGTTTTAAAATATGGAATGAAAAAGGAAGTAATACTACAAACAAATGATACTTCCGATGGAATATTATCATCTTGTATTGCTGATATCAATATGGATGGGAAAAATGAAATATTATTGGGAACATACAGTCATGAAGTATTTGTCTTCACTCTAGATAACAATGAATGGAAGTTGACGAGCAAAAGAAAGTTCGATTCGCCTGTTTATTCTATGTGTTATCTAGACTTGACTGGTGATGGTGTAAAAGAGTTAGTTGTATTAACTCAACGTGGAGTATATATTTTACAAGTAAGTTTTTTATTTGGATAATCATGTTTATGAATATAATCATATTATAAATTCATTTTTAGCACAATCCAAGTATTGTGAGTCAAATATGGAAAAGACGTATAGAAAAGTTAATGGTTCAATCTGTCGATGATGCAATAAAAAAGTTACAAATTAAGAATTTCAACATGTAAATATAATTAATCATGTGATTATAAATTAATTTAATAATTTCATAAAAGTTGGTGTATTAAAAAGTTTTATATTTTACAAAAAACTTAATTTAAACAAATTTATACAAACAAAATGACTTCTTACACTTATTTTTTATTTTTCTACTTACATTATTAAATATTAAACTACCCGTCTTACTTCAAAGAACCGTTTGAGGTAAAATATTTGACCGAAGGTCATTGAAACTAATACAGAAGCTTCGAAAATTGACCATAATACCACTCGGAAGTTTGTACTTTCATTGATAGCGCGGTGATTTCGATCACGTACCTTTTAAAAAAGTAATTTAATTAGCTCATTTTAATGTCACGACTATAAATAGTCATTAAGCAAATTCACAATAATAAACTTGAGGCGAATTTGCTAATCATTGTTAAATATTTCAAGAGGGAAAATGTACTCACCTGCATGTATTCCTGTTCATTCTTTACACCTGATAGACTTTTACTTAAATCCGAGATCATATCATCTAATTTTCTGTGATTAACTCCATCATCACCCTCAGTATTGTGCTCATCTGTAGCTTTAGAGGGCTCACTTACTTCCATATTAAACATAACTACTTTGGACGTTAATGTGCTTTTTTGATTGCTAAAGCAATAAGTGTATACACCAGGCGCATATGCAGCAAACGTATATTTTCCTCCACCTTCTCGTTCTCCATTATGAATAACTTTACCATCTGGTCCTACAATTTTTAGATCTATGTCCAAAAATCCACCTTCTGCTATTTCAAATGTAAGACCTGAAAATAAAAAAAGTTTATATTTAATAATAACATTAATATAAAACTTTTGTTTCTTATATCTAATAGAGAAAAGAAAGTGAAAATAGTTTAAAGTTTGTTAAAACTCACCCATTTTAGTATCTTTTTCAACTCTTTCATAAAAGCATTCTTCTGTATGTGCATCCACGGTGATAAAATATGCATGTGTATTATAGATAAGACAAGTAATAATTAGTAATCCGTTTATAAGCTTCATTTTTATAATATATTCTTAATTTTATTCAATTGTCACTGTTTTATTTTTGTTTGCCGGAATTACTTTCTAGTGCCACGTATTTCTCAAGTAAGGTTATAATGGTCGTTTGTGTGAATGTTTTTATTTTATACAGTTGTCAATACTTGTTTTTATGTGTGATACGTTGGTATACTTGTTTCCCCGGGATTATTCGTTTTAGATTCAAAACATTTTGGAGATTATTTTTTGAATATTATGTCATGGAATATCAATTCAATAGGAGTTGATTTCGTAATTCATAAGTAATATTATTATTCCATGAAAATATGAATATAAAGTTTGCTATATAAAATTCTAATTTTATTCAACTTTACATAACAATGAAATTGTTATGATGAAAAATAGAAGTTTTAGCCAAACGGGGTAAATTTACTAAGAAAAAAGAATAAAAACTCGACAATATGATCAATTTTACATCTCGTCGTCAGATGTTTCATTGTATTGACAGTATAAAATACCATACAAATTTAATAGAATTTGAAATTAAAAGCAGATAAATACAAAGTTAAATAGTTTACTGGTAATAAATTTTCTTTTCCGGATGTGAAAAATAAAGGAAAAAAGTAAGCGTGCTCATAGGAAAAAAAATAATAATTCCATTTCTTCGTGACAGTGCATAATCGGAGAATAAAAGAGAAGTCGTTGGGTCATAAAGAAAATAACAAAACGATCTGACAGGCTTCTACTCTTGGAAACCAGAAAAAAAATCATAATCGGATCATGTCAGGCACAATGCAGAATAAAAGAATATATTTATGACAATGGTGCAACACAAAAGCAGTTGAAAAGGCGACGGTGGGTCTTGTATCTAACCGTTGACTTGATATTATTGAATAGCTACGAATAGAATAGCCAGCTATGGTATCCTAGTAATAGGCCTTACCCCTCAGCATGACTTGAACATTAAATTTAACAGTATCAAAGTTTTCATCTGCGTCAAATTAAAGAAGAAATTATTTTGCGTGAAAAAAGGGCACGCCTTAAATTGTTCGTCATCATGCTTCTAGACCCCACCTGCGTGAGCCGCTATTTCCCTTGCGATAATTAACATCATAGCTCTCGCGCTGTGTCAAGTCTCGTCATCATCCCCTAAATCCAAAAGGCGAAAAGAAAATCAATAAAATCCTGCGTCAACTGCCGACTAGACCACATACGTTAGCTGTCTCGTATCTACAACATATTTTGCGACCCCTCAACTCAATTGTTATACTACAACCCCTCGTGGTCTTGGTTCAAGAGCGAAAAAGCAAGAAAGAGATAGCTAACTGTTGTTATATCGTCATTCTATACTACCCCTTCATATGTGTTTTGACCCTACGCTCACATGGTGTGTATCAGACCCTTGGCCACTCTTGCAATTATGTGTAACATCTCCCATTTATATTCGCTGAGGGTAGGTGTTCTTTGTAAACAACCGTAGGTGGCGTTTAAACACGCGGGCAATTTTGAATACTGAAATATTACAAAAGTTTCCTCTTTTTGATATAATAAATAGTATAATTTTAATGTTAATAATTAATTGCAATTATTTTTATTTTACTTTACATATGTAAGCCTATTTTTCATGCCGAAAAATCTAAAAACTAATAATAGATATGATTGTTACCGACTGAGCAACAGCTTTTAATACTCACCAGTAGACGGCGATTTACTGGCCGAATAACATTTCGGAGCGGATCGAACTACCGTGACCCTTCCCCTATGGATTTCCCCCATCTCCAACCGGCTCTATACACCAAGTGTAACACACACTTCTGACTCGCGATCATACACTACTGTCAGTTAGTGCCGCGCCGCGGTCACGAAACACTGTTTTTAATTTAATTAATAACATAAATTAAACGCACAAATTATTTATTAATCAATAACTGTTACAGTTACATTTTATAATAATTAGCATAATTAATCAATGTCATGGGTAATACCTGATATTCTGTGTATCTTCAAGGTCATTTACAATCATAACAATGTGAATTTAATGTAGTGACTGTGATTATGCTTTGTGATTGAAAGAGAGATCTCCCTGATGCATTTATTTAAAAAAGTGAAATGATGATGACTGAATTATAAATAATTTGTAGTGAATATTAATGGCATTCATTGTGAATTTATGGGATATCTCATTTTATTGGTCGATTCTTTCGGATATTACCCACAGAGAAAGGTAAGAAAAAAGGATTAATAAAAATGTCAATAAATGAGAAAAAGGGACTAGCGTCTGTAATTAATTTGTATGAATATTTCAGGTATTTAATAATTAATTTAATAAATGAAATGTTTCAAGCTGAAATTTCGAAATTTATTACTTGTCCATGTTGAGTTGAATTGGAAATAACACAAGAGATTTTTGATAAAGCGCCTAAATCCTAGAGGAATAAATTAACCAGTTAATTAATGGCGTATAACATTTTTTTTCTCTTTATTTCTCATTCCCTGATGGGAATGGAGCGGAAACACACAGAGAGAAGAAAGAATTCTGCGTATGTGGTTCGTTAAAAATGTAAATGCGTACCAGCAGCTATGGAGAACGATGTTATAGTTGTTGAAATATTATAGTAAAGTCATGGATATAGATGGATAGATATTCTCTTATGTCTTTTTACTTTTTCTCTACTTTTTCTTCTTATTTCAATCTGAGACCTTATAGTCACAGTCCAATAAGAGCCAATGCCGCCAGAGTCTTGCTTCTAATATCGACTTGACGCTGGCTGCCTGCTAACAGGTCGATATCGCGTGTAGTGTGCCTCCTCTAGGTTGATGACTTCAGTCTAGAGAATATTATATTATATCGGGGTTGTTTCAGACCAATGGGTCATCAGAATTTCATGCTACTATTTCACTACTCTACTTCATCATTTTCGCTAATTTATTCAATTCAAAGCACACGTTATTTTACATTTGAAATATCTATAACTCATTTATGAATATTTATTTGTACTGCCAAATCTATTCATAATGTATTACTTAAATGTTACTGATTACTTCGTAATTGGATTTTTGATAATAGCTTTTATATTGCTGCTATGTTGAATATTCTTTAATTACTAATACTCACGACAATTTTCTTCATGCATTTTTCTATCTAAATTATTGGGTATATTAATCATTTGCATCAATTGTTGTTAGTCGATTGTTGAAAGAACAAAAAAAAAGAGTGTTTTATTTACCAAAGGAAAATATTGATTAATTAATGACAGCTATTTATTAATGTCAAGTATTATTTGATATAAATAATAAATGGAATAAGATAGATTATGATCATTATTAGATTTCCTTCAATGCATTATTCGTAATCATGAAAAGATATCAGACTTCTGTATTGATTTTATTTATAGATAAAACCAAGCTTAGAACTATTCTTCAAACATTGAACAAAGACTATTGTAAAAGGATTATGCATAATTTTAATTAATAATTCATAATTAATCAATGAATACAATAAAATGGTTACTCCATTGTGAGAAAAATAAAATACAAAAGAATAGTTGAATCGGTGCGCAAGCGCGTATTCCTGGCCACGAGCGTTCGAATCAATTTAATAACATTTTATGTCATTCATCAGTCGAATGGATACATTTGGAATTTTATTGTGGCGAAAATTCATCTCTTGGGCGAAATTTATTTATGAGATTGTATTAAAACGTATGATGAATAATCTACAAGTAAATTAGCTTACCATCTATCTTACTTAAATTTTCATATTTCCCACATCAGACTGAATGTAGTTGAGGTAAGGGTGGGTATTGAGTCTAAAACCTCTGTCGCTTTGTGATTAATGTTCATATAGAGCCCTCGATAAATTGGCCTTTGCTATACAAGCAAAGTGCAAGAATAAATGCGACTCACGTGCCAAGAGGACGTGCGTACGTATATTGATGAAATGAGATGGGGATGGGGGGATAGATTCACAGTCTTATACACCAAGTTTGCAACGTGCTAAAAGAATACGTACATATATATGATATATATGAAGCCGACAGCGCGCAATGAAGAAGAACAAAGTGACTGAGGTGGAAAACGAGACATGTGCATTTTGACGGGTGGAAGAGAGAGAGAGGAGAAAAGTAACAAGAAGAGTTTACGTGTCCGATAAACGTCGCCGGTGTCTGGGACATCCGGTTTAAGATGATGTCTTGAATCATCGACACGGATGTACGTGAAGATTTGCAATCATTCCTACAACTAATTTAATCACTTCCTTTCGCAAAAAGTTTAACAACTAAGTAATGGAATAGACGAACCGAAGTTGAATAATTTTCACTGTCACTGCCGCTGCTAAAATTATATCTCCAAGACTTTGAAGACATGTGCACTCGTAATGAGAGAACAAATCATCGTACGAACTGTCCAAAAGATAATTTGGAGCGAAATATATGTTTATATATAAATGGGTAATGATTCGCTGAATAGCTTTTGAAAAGTCTCGAAAATTTTGTTGAATAAAATCTAGTTGGGAGGTGTACTTAAAAATAAAAATTCTTATTCTTGGAAGAATTATTTTTTACAAATTATTTTTCTATTTGGGCTTGGAAAAATTCACTTCTCTAGCTCTAGTTTTGGAGCACTTTTTTTCCTCTAATAATTACTCCAAAAATTTCTTATCAATTTCTACTAAATTTATTCCACTTTAATTAATTATTATAAATCCATGCTGCTAATTCATTATAAAATTACTGAATAAATAAATAAAAGTTTTGAAAGTAATTGAAATGTACTTTCCAACAAACTAAAGTTGTTTATTATTCATTCTTAATAAAGTAATTGATAAAATTTATTGCAGAATAATTTCATGAGCATTCTTAAGGAGTCTTTGACTCGGCATATGTCATAAACAAAAAAAGGGGAATTTCTGAGAATTTTACCCTCTAATAGTTGCTTAACTCAGTAAATTTCAGTGTTAATGGAAAAAGAAAAAGAGGAAAAGAGCAAACGAGAAAACGAGAAATAGAAAAGAAAAAAAATCGATTTATGTGACTCGAAAGAGTATGAGAGTTTGGGGGCGTAGTGAAATCCTCCTTGTTTGTGCTTGAAGTCGATTTACGAGCGAGAGCGAGACATGTTGGCTTTGGCTACCAGATGGTATATGCACACGAAACTGAGGGCTAGATTTCCCTGTAGACGTAATAAAAATACAAGGGCGCTGGGTAGTCCAAACGACGTTCGAGTTAACAAACGATATTGGATTATGCAGATATCCCTGAGGGTAAGGTGAATTCAAGAGCACTCATATCGAGACTGATACACCCAACCATCTCTCCACTGATCCCATCCGTATATCTGTACCACATACGTATCTATCTACCTTCCACCATATATCTAGGCCATTTTTACGCGTGCCATTAAATTAATATTCACACTTTCTTCACTTTAACGAACACTAAATGGATATTATTATCGTTCATGCAGTCATATCAATTGATTTTTTTTCTCCATATCAGTGCAATGTACTATAAAGTAATTGTGCTGAAGATATTATCAACCATCATCAGCTATTAAAGACTCCATATGTACATAATAAAGATGAAACCTACTTGTGCATTATATTTTTTTTTATTATGCCATCAAAGAATTATTTTTTATTGAATCTTAAACTAAACTATATAATAAATTGATTAAAGTAGAACAATTTTTTTTCTGCTAGTGTAAAAAAATATCCGATAGTATAAATGATGAACATTTTATTGATTTTAAATCAATAAAAATTCATCCACATCCAAAAAGACTAGTTTATGAATAATGAAAAAAGTTATTCATTAATTATTGAAAAAACAAAAAAAATCTGAGGTTTTGATAGTCCAGTGATATTTTTTGTTTTTATTTAAACTTTTTTAATTAGATAAAAACACAACTAAATGTGCTGTTCAATTATTGGCTTCTCTCCGTTATTTTTTCGCCTGAGAGAAAAAACCATTAATATTATTCATGACTGAAATGATAGTCTGACATTCTAATTAAAATTTGAAATCACTCAACAAATAAAACAAAATAACTCATGACAGAACATCCGTAATTTTGTCGAGAAATTGGAAAGCAAAAGTAGTTGGCAACAATCATCAATTATTATTGTCGTTATTGTTCTTATTCTTGAGTGTGACATAATACAAAGAGGGATGGCTTTTTTTTATGTGGTACGTTGTGTCGATCGATAGAAGAATGGGATGAGCAACGACGTTGCGCGGTATATAAGAGTAATGTAACGTAGCAAGTGAATAAGTGCAAGGGAGATCGCAATGAAAAAGAAATAAAAAAGCCAAAAAAAAAAAGAAAAAACAAGAAACAAAAAAAAAAATAAAAAGGAGGGCGTCGTTACAAAGATGCAGGCTTTTTGCTTCTTTCAAACGTGACTGGCCTCTGTGTTTCACTACTCATGATAGTCACGAGTTATTTATTCTTCTTTATTTTTTCAATCTTCTCCCCAAACCTCAAAGTTAAGTATTTCTTTTTCCTAGTAATTTTTCAATGTTTATGTTTATAATAAGGATGTTATTTTTTTAGTAAATTAGTGGCAAAGGGTTGATGCTTATGCAGTCTATGGGTGGGTGGACAGCAGGGAGAGAGAAAGATGAGAGAAGAGTGACGAAGAGTAATCTAAATATAAAGCATACTTTATCTGGTTTGTTGTGTCGGAAAGTGGAGGAAAAGGAGTAAAATAAATATACTCGTTTCCCTCTTTGCAGACGACGGCTCGCAGGAGTCGAGAAACGAGTATGAACAGATGGTACATGAGAAAAGTGAAGAAATACAGAGAAATAAATGCACCTGCATGCGTGTGTTTCACACTGGCAGTGCCAGCAATGAAGAGAATAAGAGAGAGAAAAGTCTTTTTGCCAAGTTAATTGGTTGGGCATATACGAGTGTCAGTGCTTAATGACCATCAATAAATCAATGCTAGCACGTGTATTCATGGAACAACTAGACTACGAGGGAGTAGTGTATTCAATTGAGGAACACCCTGATGCTATAATTCTATAAAGAGTTAAACTTTAAACTTAACATATACATACACACACCTACACCGGAAGTATGAGACTAATTTATTCAAATTTATTACTTTCGTCTTCATAGAGGCTACTCAAACCTTAAACACTTCTCACGTTTAACTCACCATCATTTTTTTATTATCTCATTCTTTCGTCTTTATTAATAACTGGATCATTTGCTCCCTTATTTCCTTCCTATTATAATACTATCATTAATTCTTATGCTAACGACGTGTGTGTCACTGGACCCTTGACAGTCAGAATTATAACTTTGTTTTTTTCTTAACTTGCACTGTGGATATTTTCTTATTACATTTTATAGCAGTTTGCAATGTATTTAGTTGAATCATCTTTCTGGAATTGAAGGAAAAACATTATTTTTGATAAACGACTTTTGTTAGTTTAATGCAGATGGAAAATTATGTGGTTATTTGATTGAAGTGGTTTCAGTCAATAAAATTAATTTTAGTCTTATTTTCTATTGCTACAGCTGCTGATCGTTGAGAAAAAATGATGAGAATTTTCTTAATACTACAATAGAGCCCCAAAGTCTGGAGATTTGTTAAAAATTTCATTCAGATTTATTTCAACAAACTCTCCCTATTTTTTGGAATCAGGGGAATGTCTAATGTGCTACTAATGTTGTTGATATAGAACCTATTATGAATAATTTATTGGACAAATAATATAAGATTTTAAGTATATAAATAAATAACAATTCAATTGTCATGAATTAATTTTTGAGTTTGAGTAGAATGGACTAAAAATGGATTGAATTGAAGATACATACCTTTATTGAAGAACAATAGGTCGATTCAATGGCTTACCATGCAAAGTCCCGAAGGCACAACCGTCTACCATGAATGACAGGCATCCAAGTCCGAATGGGAGCAATCAGTCTGATTGGCCAACTGGTATTTACATTTCTGTGGCTATGTACCAGTCGACCAAGTATTACTGTTCCTGCTCTTGACTGCTGTTCCTTTAGCTTTCTATCCCTTTCTCTCTTGCTCAGGCTTGTTTTAAGCTTCTCTCTCTTGCCATTTACTCTACATCTACACCAATTCTATCACTATATATTCACTCCCTCGGTACTCTCTCACTCTCTCCCTCATCCCACTTATTTCATCGACCAAAGCGAAAGCTCCTCGCGACGGAAACAACGAATGTGGAAATCGTAAACGCGACGAGAGCACCAGGTGGGCTTTTCGAAATTGTAATCCCGGATTCGAGTTATTTCCTAAAATGCTTTATTGGCACAAAGTTGCACCTGATTAAAATTTACAGTGGTGTTTTTATTTTGTTTTATTAACTTCCCGATATATATATATATAGTGAAGTTGTCATGGGGGTTAAAATCGACATTGCGAATTAGGAGTTTTAATTATAGAATGGGGAACGAAATTGTGGACGATTAAAATTTTTTTTTAGAAGGAGTGTTTGTCACATGTGAGGTAAATTTTACTGGAATGAATTATTTTTTTCGTGAGTGTTCCATAAAAAGTTATTAATTTTTTTATTCAACAAATATTGATTATGAGATAAATTTTTTTTTATTTTACATTAAAAGAATTATTTTTTAAGAAAGTAAAATACTACATTCGAAAATTAATTTTCTCAATCCAAAATTATGTTTATTATTCTTAAATTAATATTTTGCATTTATACTCTTGTTCGTATTCCCCTTTTACGAGATGTCTCATAAACTACGACTTATTTTAGCAATATTTAACTCTCTGTAATTGATGAACCCTCCTAACAAAAAATTTTATTGAATATTTTTTTAATTAATTAAAACACTGTTCATGTTTTATAACACCAAATTCATTTGTGTCTCATTATAAAGAAGAAAATTCATTTGTGTTCGGGGAAATGAAACACGTGACCAACTGTAGTCTAAAAATATTGATCCTATTTTTTTTTGGAGTAATTTTCTTTTTTTTCACCTCTAGTAAACGTAAAGTATTCTTTTGGAATACTCATAATTTAAAATGACTCTTCTCTCAGATTTTTAAAAATAATAATGTTGAAAATATTTAAATTAATATTATATTAGAAATATCAAATAAATCCATCAAGTTTAATATTAAATTGTGAATTAATGATGAATTTAGATATCCCAAAACAAATATTAATACAACCTTAATAAATATTTGAACTTGACATTCAAATGTTACTAATATTTGTTAACACTTATCTGATGTATTTTTGGAAAATCAATATTCCTCGACTGTTAACAAATTAACCTTCCAGAGTAAGCTAATATCATATTCTCCACCAACTGAAAACTTGTACAAACTAAAGCAATTTTTTGTTTCAAACTGTCTCAGTTTGACATAACTATATAGTATCTAATTACAGTGTATCAACTAACTAGTGTACTGTAATTAAAATTTATAGAGATCGTTTATTTGTTTAGATATTTAGTCTTCAGTAATTGATGAACTCTCAGAAAAGTTTTATTAGATATTCTTAATTAATTAAAAAATACAGCGCAACATGTTCTAGTGTAATAAATTTCCTTAGAAAAACTCTAATATATTAGTTATCAATAAATTAGCTATTTAAAATGATTCAATATTTTTTAATATATTCAAATTAATATAAACAGCGGTAATATCTTATTTGTGAATGTCTCGGTTCATAATACTGTCTGCAGTACCTATGGCTGGCTCGGCTATTGAATTATTCAATTGAGTAATCATAACATATTTTATTAGATAATTTTATAAATGGCTGTATAAGTAGGTATAATTAATTATTATAGAGAAGTGAGTTAGTTGGAAATATTTGAGGAAAATAATAAAAAAATTAATCAAATCATAAAATAAATGAAAATAAATCCATTTTTCATCTCTAATTAAATATTTCAAACATGAAACATCAATCAATTTTCTCTTTTATTTTATGATTTTTTTTCTCTCTAGTTTTCAATTTTATTGGAAACAATAAAATAATTGATATTCCATCATTTATAAGCAAATGGACATAGAATTAAGTTTTATAACAAAGTGAATTTTTTATTGAAATAATATTTTTCGTCAGACAATAACTAGAGCATTGTACAAAGTCCAATTACACGTTGCAATTTGTCTAATTGAAATAATTTAAAATTTTGTATTATTCAATTTAATATTTCTGTCTTCTTTTATCTCTTCATCACGTTTATCAAGTTGATCTTCTTTCTCTAAATGAAAGTATTTCTTTTGAGAATCAACATAGTGAAGATGCAAGAGAAGAATCGTAAGACGAGTCAGTGGTCGCATAAACGATGTTTGAAATAAAAAAAAAAAATACTCGATTAGCCCCAAGTTTATACCAACGTAGAGAGAAAGAGTAAGAAGCAGCATCTGCTTAGCACTCTTATTCTTATATACTATATACACGAGTCAACTTCTCTTTCAATTTCGTTCACTCTTCACGAGCCTGATCATAATCTTGGTAATGATGCATAATGGCTGCTAGCGTGAATGTCGCTCTTTGTCCGTCGTTTTCAGCCAGTCTCAACCAACACGAATCACTGGGGCTAACAAAGACCAGAGGAGGGATAGTTAACTTACTACCTATGTATTATTTTTCCACTTCACTAACTTTTTTAATAAGAGATAAGAGTAATTATTATACATTGTGAACTAAAAAAAAGAAAGAAAGAATTACTTTAGTAGTATTATGCCAATTTTAGACAGAGTTACTTTATTTTAACTATTATTTCTATTATTTTTTAGCTCAACTTTTTTTTAGAGACGTAAGTTCAAGTGGATTATTGATTTTTTAGACTCAACTCTAATTATATTTGATAAGAATTTTTGTTTTAGAAGTTTTTTGTATGATTGAAGAGTAATTTTTTATCGTCTAATGGATACTTTGATGACACGAAACGAAAAAATGATGTGATTAAAAATGGAATGAAAATTATTCAGAGAGATTATCAGAATATATTTTTACTTATTTTCAATATATACTATGGACTTTTATTATTGATCCTACATATATTTTAATATTTAATTTTTTGCATAAATAATGTTTTCAATACTAAAAATATTTTGCAAACATTAAATTAATTTAATTTGAATTAATAAACGAAAGTTAAAATGTGATGAATAATGATTATATCTCAATGAAAAATATTCCTTCAGCATATTTCTCTAAGACAATTTTTTTATTTGTTCCAGATTGATAAGAGAAAGTGTGACTATGCGATTCGAGTAGTTATCGTAGAAAATAATCGACAAAAAAAACATCTGTCGTAATGAGTAACCTGGGGGTGTTTTATCTTTTTTACCTTTTAACACTCTGTCTTCACAATGGAGACGCTATAGACATATGTAAGTAGAAAAAAAAATAATAAATATAGATATATGTATATACATGTTTGTTTGTATTTGTGTGTGTGTGTGTGTGTGTGGATGAAAAATAGATAATACAATCAGTAAAAAAATTTTTCTCAGGCAAATTCACACAGGGAGATATTTATGTACACATCACGCACCCCTTGTGGGTTCATTCCATGCTCATTAGATTCCTTTTAAATGTACTAGTGGTAAAAATAAAACTTTTTTTTGTTTTCATATGGTGAAGAGTAACTAATATAAAATTTCATGCTGTCAATAATAGAAGATATGTGTCATAAACATGAGTAACATTTCAAAGATTTTGTTATTTCATATGTCGAAATAAAAATTATTTTTAATGAAAAAAAAAAAAAATTTTATTTTTGTTTTATAAAATAATTGGAGTAAAATATTTTAATATTCGATAAATTCCATTAGTTTTCAATATGTTTGAAGTAAATATCAATTTCAGTAAATAATAATTCATTAAAATGACGAAAAAAACATTCTTCATCCATTTAAATGAATTTTTTTCCCAGTCACTACATTAGACAAAAAATATTTATCAGCATTTTAAAATGACCGTAATTTTCATTCGGAAGGATGTCTATTTATAATATGACACACATGCGATATAAAGGTACAGTCACATCAAAGTGCAACGCACTTTCGTTACAGATATCCTGTTAATGCTATTAATTTACTTTTTTTCACTCGTCCAAGTCCAAATAAGAAAAGTCTTATGAAAGTTGATGAGATATTTCAATAATACTTTATTCATAAATAAAGGGGAAAAAAAAATTTCCACCTCAAACTTTTCATTTCTGAAAGCATTTCTTCGTTTTTATCAGAGCTATAGGTATAGGACTCCAGGTAGGTGGAGTGAAAAGTTAGAAAGCACGCTTTTGTGTGACTGAAGAGTCCGAGCAAATGGATGGAGAATGGGAGCTCGTCGGAGTCGCGCTCGAGCTACAGACTTGGAATGAATATGTAATGGCTTGCATATCGAATTCTTTTTTTCTGCTTGCAGCACAATGCATCTCCCCTTTGGGAATGGAAGCAGGAATCATTCCAGACGCCGACATCACAGCAAGCTCGAGCTTTGACAGTGGCAACGTTGGACCACAACATGCACGGTAAGATAGTCAAGAGAATTGAAGTAGTAATAAGAGACACTGAGAGATGACTTTCTCCGCTTATTCATCTCAAAAAGCTACATATCTATCTCTTAAGCTACTACTGAACCTGTCGTCCTGACATTTACTATGTGATTTGGTACTTGACACTTAAACTGCCGCAGCAGCCGGTTGGGTTCGTTGCCTCTACCGCTTTTCTTTGATGTTAAATGTCTCGAAAATATATCTATACCATACCTATCATACTCCTATATAATCTAACGCCTACCTACCATATCTCTATCAAGAATCAAGATATAAAGATCCTGATACTGTGGTAGGCTTCACCCATACACCTTTTTCAATATCAAAGCCTAACATAACATATTTCTTCATCAACTCAGAACAAAAAGACGTATTTTCGTAGCCTCTCAAATCTTCAGGGACAACCCAACGTTAGAGAGTCTCCTGGGAGATGATGACCCACCTTAGAAAAAATGCAAAAATTGATTTTAAAAATTCTTTTAGGCTGAGCATCGAACAATAGGGGCGTTTATTATAAACCATATATTCTTTTTAATGGAGTAAAAGTAAATATATGATAAATTTTCAGTTTTCACTGGGCGTAAATGATAAAAAAATATTTCTAGATTAAAGAGGATAAAATTTAGCAATAAATTTCTTGAGTAAATCGATAATATCTTGGAGGGATCTTTTCACTCCAGTTTCCCCTATTTTTGAAGAAAAAGAAAAAAATAATAACAGCAGCCATCAAGATTTATTCTAATTTATCACATTTTACAAAATATTCTCTTAACATGAAAGTAAAAAAATGTCATGAATTTTCTCTCGTCTTATGAATATTAAAATCACAATTTTTCAATCGTTAATTACTCATTAAAAAGGTCAATAAATATTCCAGTAATTGACAGCGGTGTAATTTAAATGTTTATCTTGAAAGGTCACAAAGCAAATTTATGATTAACCTTATTTTTTTTATTGATAATTTATTCTGTAAAGAATTATAATGGATTAGGGAGAGAAATAAGTATATAAGCCATTAAAAGTATTCGATAGAATCATTTTATTCTTTTTTCTGAATAATTTTTTACCTTTGGTTATACAGCATCGACCCATTTTCCTTTTATTATTTCCTTTTACCTAATATGCCTACTCAATTTCGTGGATCATATCAGCTGCTGATGGACTTGAATTTAAAACTTGCTATATAATGTTCACCAACCCGCCCTCAACTCTGTATCTATTATACTTATATATAATAGTGGTTCATAGTCGTATTTGTGACGCATGCTCCGCGTGAAACGACACTTGGGTTCGGGTCGAACTGAGTGCCAGAGAAACAGGGGGAGATGCCTGAGAAATGGGGGGATACACGATTCATTAAATTACTGAGCAACTTGAGAAATGGCGAGTTAAGTTGTGGAAACGTGTAATATATTCTTTTTACTTCCTCTAAAAATGCTTGTAATATCTGTGTTTTTTAACAGTACATATTAATATATTTCATAGACACTTTTTTTCTCTGACATGTGCTTTTTCTCATGCATTTTTTTTTCACCAGTCCAATATCAAATTTTTTAAATTTCATCCTTTATTTGCGATAGAAAACTTTTCTACTTTTTATTGGAAAGATTATTCTATAGCACACTAGTCGAATAGTATCTGGAGAAAAATTCTTCTCAATAGAAGTATGCATAAATATCGATAAAATTGAAAAATGGTGATATTAATAGTAGCTATATGCTGCTTCAGGATCAATAAATCTATAAATTCTAGGCTTAATGAATTTTTAAATATTACATGAACCATGATGAAATACATTATCGAAACGAGAGGGTGGAGTTTACATGGATAGGTCTTGTATAGAGATCATAGAAGCTACAACAAAGGACATTGTGTTTAGCAGTTAAGCTACTGATCGATGATCAGAAGTTTTACTCGGCAATCTTTTGTGCAGTTCTCCATTTTTTTCTAGGAATTTTTATGACAGAAAATTATCGAGTATTTATGATGTTTATTTTTAAACTAATGATTAAGTTTTACATTAAAAAAAAAAAAAAATTTAATAAATTAAAATTTATGTTTTTAATTAAAATATCAGATTCAAGATAAGTTTATTTAATGAAATAATTTTTTTTTCAAAGAGATCTTTAATCTCGGAGTGTAATGTTGAAAATTTTTTTTAGTATAATTAACGTTAAGACATTACTATATTTCATTGAATGATTTTCGCCAAATTAATTCTGCACTTGCACCCTTTGAAATCATAATTTGACAAAAAAAAAAATATTTTTCATTTGCGTAACAAAATCCGGTCCTAAAATCTGGGTTAATTCAAACCAGTTTTATTAAATCATTTCGCTTGTAAATTATAATTTAACAGAATACAAACTCCTGGATTTAAAAAGTAAAGTTAATTAAAAAATGAGAACAAAATATAGAAAAAAAAGGTTCCTTCATTTCAGCTGGAATAAGCAGTTTTTCCTTGCGGTAAATTTATTTTTTGCTCTCTTTTTTTTAGATACTTCTATGGCATAACTGTTTTGCTCAATGTCTTTGAAAAAATCTCGTAGTGCATATTTTTTTAAAAATAAACCACGTTATCATTAATTCAAATTTTTTTCCCCTCTTTTATAAGTTCAGTTTTATCATTTTACTGTGAACTTAAATACTAGAATTTGAAAGATAAAGTAATATGCACTGAAAATGAGAGCAGTGAGGAAGAAATGTGGAGAAAGAGGAGGAGAAGGAGGGAGGTTCACTCATTCCAGTTAGAAAAACCAGTTTTTCGCAGCGGTAGATACACTTTTTCTCCCTTTTCTATTGTAGTTATATCTTTTTTTCGTAGACAAACAATTCTTTACACATTGAATTTTGACATAAAAAAGTACAATTTCCTATTTGCTCGTTTTACAAAAAATCAAAAAATAAACAACTATTGTGTTTACAAAGCAGTTATATCTAGTTTTATGCTTACCTTGCCATAAAAATTTTGTCAGTACTTTTTTTCATTTTCAACAAGTAATGATTAAATATTGACCCATGAAAATGCTTCTGCAGCATCATATTATAGCTGTCATTTGTACAAAGTGAAAAACATCTGATAAAATTGATTTGAAATTGAACCTGTAGACTAACAATTAAATACAGTAACGAGCTCTAATATTCCTTATCTTTCAAGATAAGTCAAATCTTTATTTTTTAAGAAGAAAATAAAATAAGTTTTGTCATTAAAATTAAATGAGAAAAATATAAAGTTTTATTAATTGAAAATCTGGATTAAAATCTTGACAAACAATTTATCTTTTATCCCCTTTCGACGCTAACGTACCAGATAATAATCTTGCCCTGATTAAGGATTATTGAATACTCCAAGAAAAGAATTCATTTATATTTGAATTATTTCCAACTATTTCGTGAAAATTTATCATTAAAAATATTTCAATAATTAATCAAGTTCATCAGAATATAAATAAGTTGGTAATCATACATACTTTTAATTCATTTAGGTATAAAATATGGTAATTATTCATATGAAAATGATGTTTTAGCTTGAAGCAAGAACGTAATGGTGGTGCATGGTGTCCAAAAGAGCAAGTTACAACAGAGCCACATGAGTGGCTAGAAATCAATTTGCACACGATGCATGTTATAACTGCAACTGCAACTCAAGGACGTTTTGGAAATGGCCAAGGGGTGGAATATGCAGAGGCATACATTCTTGAGTACTGGAGACCGAAGCTCGGCAAATGGGTTCGATATCGGGATGTTAGTGGAGAAGAGGTGAGTTAGCACATTTAGATTCCACACTAACTATTATAAGTATTCCACCTCACTATTGTAATATTAACAATTAAAACTTTGCTCCATCGTTAATCTTTTTTTTCCCCTCTATTCTAGACATTTTGTAATAACGTTTCCCACTATGTATTAATAATTTTCAGATCATTTTTCAATAATGATCTGGTTGTGATGTTGCACTCAAATAATAATAGTTATTTTGGTAACTACAAATTGCTTTTTTTCTTCTTTTCAGGTAATTAATGGCAATAAAAATACATATCTTGAATCGAAACATGAGCTCAACCCAGCAATATGGGCAACGAAAATTCGATTTCTACCGTACAGTTATCACCGTCGTACCGTGTGTATGCGTGTTGAATTGTATGGCTGCTCTTGGAACGATGGTATCGTATCTTATTCGATGCCACAGGGCGACAAACGCGGCAACTGGGAATTCTTTGATGCCACATATGATGGCTTCTGGGACGGTGAATTACAACATGGCTTAGGACAACTTACGGATGGTAAAACTGCGCCAGATGATTTCAAAATGGGATATTACGATTATGATCGTAGTCAAGGATGGGTGGGTTGGAAGAATGACACTCGTCCCGACCATCCTCTTGATGTCAAGTTTGAATTTGATCGAGTTCGTGAATTCTCTGCTGTTCATATTTTTTGCAATAATCAATTTACTAAAGATGTACAGGTAAATATGACTATAGTTTTCTATTAAAATAATTTTAAAAAAATATATATGTATTGAGAATTTTTATATCAATGAAATTTTAATTTTCAGGTATTTTCTGAAGTTCATATTTTATTCAGTATTGGAGGAAAATGGTATATTGGTGATCCAATAATATACGCTTATATGGAAGACCGGATATTTGAAACAGCTCGTAATGTTTCGATAAAACTTCATCATAGAATTGGGCGATTTATCAAATTAAGATTTACGTTTGCTGCCAAGTGGCTCATGATTAGCGAGATTACTTTTGAGTCTGGTGAGTCATATTGTCCAATTGATATGATACTTTATCAATGTAAAGTTTGTTTTAAAAGCTTAAGAGAATAAAACGGAACATATATATATATATATATATATATCGTGAATAAATACACAGGATGGATAAAAAAGAAATATAATAGCTGTTTTTTGTTCTGAGAAATACGAAAAGCCAGTAAAAAAAAAGTAATAATACTCAGATATACTGATGAATGTATTTGATATTTTTATTATTGTGAGTCATTGGTTAAATTATCAACAATCACTATCATAATGACCGAATAATTTATATCATTAATAACAACATTGATGTTTGGTTCTGACATAATAATTTAGAATAGTTTTGATTAATTAAGAAGTTTACCAGCAATATTGTGTGAGTAAAATTTAATATAAAACGTGTTATCAGTAGCTTAGAGTCGTTTAGATAATTTTGGCCATGGCTGTCTATTTTTTTCATACTGTGTCTATATAAAATACGTACAAATATATCAGTACATATATGTATTAAATAATCCCACTCATGTTTTATCGTATCACTGTTGACAGACATAGCCCATGGGAATTTCACTCCGGAGTCACCCCCCTCGACTGAGTCTCCTCGTACAAAGAACCAAAGTACCTCAAAAGATATACCACTACAAGCGGAAATTCCTATCTCAACAGCGAAACAAGACGATCCAACATATATGGCTGTCATAATCGGTGTTCTCACGGCTGTCATACTTTTGCTAGCCGTCGCAATATTTTTCATCGTATCACGACATCGACAGAGAAAGAATTTTGCTAGTTCCCTTGACACCAAGGATTCATTACCTTCTGGTAATCATCAACACCTTTCGCCTGAGTCAACGTATGGTATGACTGGTGAAAAGGATTCTTCACTGATGACATATCGTGTTGAAGATTATGATGACCGATATGCTGGAGCTAAATTGACAACTCTTCCGCGAGATTTAAATGATCGTTTACTGGGTGATGTCAGATTAGACGAGTACCAAGAACCGTTTCATGAAAACAAGTATAGAGAACCATCGCAAGCTACTTACTATGGATATAGTACGGTTGTTATCGACAATAAGGATTTACATGATAACATTGAATGTTCAGGTAATTATTTTTTTTTTAATAAATAAAATCGAAATAAAACATGTATTCCAGTCTTGAATAATACTGAATATTTAATGATTTGTATATTTAAATGCTCTTGTATAGATCCAACGTATGATTATGCAGTTCCAATACCAGTACCTAGTACAAGCAGTGAGCATGAGAGTGTATTCTCTAAAACATCATCGAGAGGTAGTGCTAAGGTAAAGATTATAAAATATTAGAATTACTTTTATAATTGATTTCATGACTTATCTAATATTTTTTATGCTAATCTACTTACCCAATTTACATCATATTTTTTTTCTTTAACTTTAATAAAGGAATCTTTATAGCTATTTATATACATATAGGAAATCTCAGCAAGATTTAAACGACAGTAAATTAAATAAATTGGTATTCCAGGCATGTTTGCAGAGTTTTTTTCCACCGCCACCGCCACCGATAAGCGTCCCATCGACTCGGGGCTCCAACAACGTAGTCTATTCAAGCCCTCCAAGTCCTCAACTAATCTCTGAACGCGAACGGAGAGGAAGTAAACGTCGGGAGCACACGCACAATAGATATGCGTAAGGATCTACTCTCTCTCACTCTCTTTTATTCTCTTTCTTTCTTATTCTGTCTTTCTCACGAGTCACACATATTCTGGTGAATATGATAAGCAAATATTTTAATGTAATGTTCAACAATCATTTACGAATGCATATAATAATCAGTAAGAATGATGAACATTTGCATTTAGGTTTCATACAAGTGATTTCTGTCTATGCAAAAAAAAAAAAAAAGAATTTTAAAGTGAATTAAAGATAGTGTCAGTTCATGTCAAATAAATATCTTGTAAAACATACATTATATATTACAATTAGGACGATCGATTCGTAGTATTTCCCGCATTTAATTGAGAGAAAAAATTCATTGAGTTATTTTATTATTCTTAAGCAATGAAATTAACGAAAAATTGAAGAACTCATTCAGTATGCTTAAGTTTTAATCGTTACACAGGTCAAAAAAAATATTTTAAAAAATTCTATTACGTTCAAATTTTTTATAATAATTGTTGAAACCGCAGCAGGCCTGTGTCACAGTAATTATGAGATAATTTATTTATTTAAAAATTGAGAATTTTAGAAACAAAAAAAAAAATGATTTTTATTCTCTCAGTGATGTGATGACGAATCGACTGCCACGCTATAAGACTGAAACTATTTGCAAACTGAAAATAATATACGTGTTTGGCTTTATATAACTTTTGTGCTCCCAAAACAACCAAACAAACACGTTGATGTATTTTTTTTATTTAATTAATGATTAATTAATTGATTAGTTATTTTCTATCAGCGATATCAGTAATTAATATAAGTCATACGAACGTACATATTTATAAACAATTATTATTAATAGAATTTAATGACCAATTGTAGCCATTAAGTCTGATTGAAATAGCGAAATCTTGTATATTATTTCTCTATTTCTAAACCGACATCGCCTTCAACGCAACGAGTAAAAACTAAAAAAAAATAAAATAAATGAATAATTAATTAAATAAATCAATAAAAATATAATGATGACGAAAGAAGAACGAACATTGAAATAAAACATAATTTTTATGAGTATTGACAATACAGGGATAATCCAACAATAAATATCATGTATGTAAATCCGATGATGAATGTGATATAAGTAACAAAAAATAAATGAGAATACAAAACAAAAATAATTACTTAACTTAATGTTAAATAAAAAGTTATAACAACATTGCAAATCATACAAAAAGGTATAGATAATGAAATTCTTATACGTGATTAAATTCTCGATACTCGGTTCATCGAAGCTTTGTTGGCTAACTTTTTAAATTATACATGTAACATTTTTTTTATATATACAAAAATATATATATAAAGAAAAACTTAAAAAATGCGTTTATCGTTGATTTCATTGATTATTCTTTATATCGCTAGCTACTGAAAAATGGCGATGTTAAAAAAAAAAGCTTTTACTGTTGCGTAACTTTGTGAATGAAAAGAGTTCAAGTGACGGAAGTTACTACTTTTAGGGTGGTACATAACTTTCAAGTATTGTATAGAAAGGGCATAGAATATTGTTGTTAAATAGGAACTTTCATTTGCAAAGTACGCAATGATGTACTCGTTAATGAGAAAATGCATTATTTTATGAAAAAATAAAACGATAATAATAAAAGGAAAGAGAAGTAGAAAAAAGTTAAATAATATGTCTTAGGGTCTTCTTCGAATATTAAATAGCAAATAATTATTGCAATAATACCTTTGCCTCTTTTACTATCACTTTTTTTCAATATTTATATACTCATATATTTTACCGTAAAAACATTTACAACTACTTTTTACATATTTTTGTCATCTTTAATTTAAAAAAAAAATTATACAGGTTGATTCGCATTAATGTTTAATATGAAAAAAGGTGAGACTTAATTTATGAAATTCAATTATATTTGAAGGCAGAAGAAGTTATCATAAAATAATAATTATTATAATTTAGAAAGATAATAATTAATGAAAATAAATTTATTAGACTGAACGATAAAAATTCAGAAACGATAAAAAAAAAGAAATTGAAAAGTGGTTGGAAAATATTGGTGCGGTAATAATATACGTAAATATATAAATATTAATATAAATTAGTAGTTTTTAAAAACGACAAATGTCAATTTATCCGATGCGTACTGGACGATCAAATATTTTTTATGTAATCTTATCGTAATAAAGATTACTGATGATGAATAATTTAGGATTGTAGAACAAATCTGTACTCTATGATAATGGTTTATTGATATGAAATTTTGGCTGAATTTTTTTTTCAATAACTATATTATACGAGAATCTGGTGAGGATCTGTACCTGTTCAGAACATTATATTCAAAATCACATATTAATAATTGCATTTGCCTTTAGAGAATTTTTTTTTCTATTTGTCTGCGCTTTTAACAATGAAATTATTTCTGCACTTCTATTGAACGAATTAATTAGGTTTTTTTATAAACAAAATAAAATTTAATTTTAAAAAATCTCGATATGAATTAAAGGTTTGACAGTATTGAGTCAAAAGATGAATAATTGATGAAAATATTAGTTGCTTTTAGTAGAAACATTTGTAAGCTTTTGATAAGCTTTTATTACTGTTCAAGCGTAATCCAGCTTGCGTATAATCACATTGTGAAATTTTTCATGTCATTTTCAGAATGAATTTCCCGCAAAAAATTGCTTTGCTTAAACTATTAAAAATGTAGAAAGGATTTAATAATATTAGAAAAGTTTAATGCTGATGTTGATTGAGTATAAATTAGAGTAACAGTCTTACCAATACAAATGTTTAGAATTTTTTCTGTCATTAATTTTATTGGCTGATGTAGCATGTATTTAAACATAAAATTACTAAACCAAACGAAAATAATTGTACTCACAAAAGTATAAACTATTTTATCATTACAAAAATTAAATGAACATTAATTGATTTCAATATCATAGAATGTCAATATTACTGAAGAATAATATTGTTCATTTCACAATGAAATTTAACATTATATTAATTAAATCAATAATTGTTCATTTTTGGCCTATTCCATATTAATGTAATCAATGATTAAAAATAGAGAATTTTAGATTGATAAAATCTTAAATTATTCAATTGTTTTAAAAAGAACTCAAGATTAAACTAATTCATTTGAGAATAATAAATATTTATAGCACGATTTTAATTAATAAAATAAGTAGAACAACCCAGTAGACGGTACTCGGAAAAATTTTCTAAAATAAAATATAAATAAAAAATGTATAATGAAAATTTTTTACAAGTTCTGCCTTGTATTTATTCTGGACTGGATCGTCCCGCCTGTAAATCTCAAACTTGACAGGATTTTAACAGATTTTAGCGTTGTAGTTAATCAATGATTCTTAATAAAAATAAACGAAAAGAAGAAGCAAAAAAGAGTAAAACTAAACAATGAAATTATGATAAAAAATTATAACAAAATACGAAAAATTCATTACGTAATATTGTACGAGTTATATAGTGTACGAATTTTTTAAAAACAAGGTTATTTATTTTATGTACATAAACAATGTAATTTATATAAATATATATATACTCAAATGATGATAAAAAAATCAACACCCTGTAAATAGATGTAACATAAATGATATATTGAGTACCACCAAGTGTAATTAATTATGGTGCCCCACATGAATAAATGAAACTATTATAATTATTATTTCTTTATAAAATAAAATAAATGTTAATTTTAGAATGATAAATAATTTATGCAATATGTAATGATAAAGTTAAAATATGGTAATTTTCATTTTCATACTGTTCTTAAGTGAGAAAGATTTTTTTATTTTCTACTGTCATTGTACAATATCTTGATTCATAAGATAATCATAGTTGAACTTGATATCTAAATAGCATATGTACTGTAACGAATGAATAATTGATTCACAATTATTTCTACTGTTCCAAAAAATATCTTGAACAAGACTATAAATAAAATGATATTATTTAAATTTGTAACAATAATAAACATAGTCAAAAGAATGTAATAATAATGAATAATAATAAATTTTTTGTAAAACTCAAATTAATTAATTTACTTTGACTTTATCAATGAACATCTTATATTACATTACAACACAAAATGAAAAAAAATGCATTGTAAATCATAATAAAAATACTTAGGATTTATAAAAAAGGATTGTTTTATTTATTCTATCAATTTTTATCAAGAATCCTGCACGCCTAGCTAATAAAAATTCACAAAACTGTAACTGGGTTTAAAATTGCTACATCCTTCGATTTTTCCATTTCAGTTGATCCTGAAAAAATAATCCCTACATATGAAATTGAATTTTTGAGAAAACCTCTAGTTAATTCATGAAATCAAATTCGCTTGCAATGAGAAATGTTTAATAAATGTTTAAATTATTCGCAATCTCACGAGAAGGTTGTGCACGAGAGTACCTGAGCTATATATCTATCACCCTATCCCTATGACATCCACAAGGCATTATATATGTAAAAGAGACAAAAAAAAAAGCAGCCAACATAAAATCAGTGAATTGAAATGAAACATAAAAGAGAATTATGTTTGTTCGATGAAATCGATCCGTTGAAGAGGAATGAAGGGGAATCACAATAAGAAATAAAAAATATAATATAAGAGAAGAAAGAATAAAAGGAAAGTATGTCGGCGGAAAAAGATCGACATCTGGCGTTGGTGTTTCCTTGTGTCGCCACAGGTCATGGTGGCGTCGAGTACGCCTATCCCTCAGAGGGTTGTTTCAACCCTCAGCACCCTCAGTTTGTCTTGGGGTTGCGAATAGTATGCATTGTTACAAATAATTTTATCGATCGAATTAATATACATTTTACAGTACTTAGCAGTAAGAAAATTCCCGCGTAACGATCGCCCAAGTGTCACAATGGACTATAATGATATTTTAATTAATAGGAATAATTATAATATTAATCATAACAATAAAAAAGTTGTTAACACTGATAATTGTTTTAAAAAAAATCATAATAAATTATCCAAATTAACAATTAATCCAATTTTTAATGCTTCTTTTTCTTCAATTTATACGATTATTGAAAAAAGTTACCAGCAATTCGTCACCAAAAATCTATCGATTAAGGAACCAATAATTTTTCATCTAACAACGATTCTTCCATCATTAGATGAAGAAAACTGGGGCATGCAAATTCAATAATGGAAGCTTATTAAATAAGTAAGCTCATTAAAACGATACCCATTTTAATTAAAATTTATTAACAACTCATTTATTTTTATATTATATTTCATTTAATGTATATGATATTATGTTACGTGTACGAGTGCTTCAAAAAATGAACGAGTCATTTTTTAATTAAAATAATTATACAAAAGTTGAATAGAAAAAATAAGTTATTACCATTAGATAAAATTATAAACTTATGATCTCATAAGTGGCTATTCATCTTTTTTTTCTTTGGAATATTTACCCTTTTTTCAGATAGGGCGATAATGAAGTAGACTGAACGTCACCGAGAAAGGGTCTAAGTGAGACCCGTAGAACGGAACTATGATGAAAATCTCACGCTTCTGTGACGTTGTCTCATTAATTATTCAGCGATTTTTCATATGTATTTTTTGTATTGCTTCAACAGCACGCAGTATAGATCTTTGTAAGTGGCATATTTTATTTTTATTTCAAAAATGTTTTATGTCTAATCATCATGTATATTTATTTATTGAAAAAGGAATATCTATGTTTCAATTGCTTGACAGAAGTTTACAAACATTTTTTTTTTCGAATTGAAAGAAGAATTAGGTAGCTAGGGAAAGCATGGGAATAGATAAATATAAAAAGCTAGCGATGTATAGGGAGGGAGAGAGCCTTTTAAAAATAATTTTTTACATTTTATCGAGAGAAAACAGAGGTTCAAAAAAATAACATAAACATTACTTTCGTGGAATAAATATTCATTTCTTCCCAACTTTAGGTAATTTTTTGGCTAAAATTTATCAATGAATAATAAACTTTGAATTTTAATATTCAACTGTCGAAAAAGATATTACTTATTTATCTTACAAAATAAATGAATAAATTTTTGGGAACAGTAAATCTTAATTATCAAAACACAGACAGAAAAAAATGTGCCATTGAAACAAATATTCCTTTCAGAGAATCTCAATGTCTATTTTTATTTCAATGAATTGAGTACAATATTAAATGTATAACATATTTTTAGCACAATGCAACAGTCCATTAGGAATGGAATCTGGAGCAATTCCAGACTCAGATATCACTGCAAGTTCGAGCTTCGATAGTGGAAATGTCGGTCCACATCAGTCTAGGTAGGTGTGATTGTGTAAAAAGTTATTTTCTGTGTCAATTAATCGAACAATTTCTAGGTTGAGAACAGAAAATCATGGTGGTGCATGGTGTCCTAAAGCTCAAATCACCAGTGAGCCTCGTGAATGGCTTGAAATCGATTTACATTCAGTTCATATGATCACTGGTACCAATACTCAAGGCCGTTTTGGAAATGGAGTGGGAGTTGAGTACGCAGAGGGTTATTTGTTGGAATATTGGCGCCCGCGGTTAGGTAAATGGGTACGGTACAGAGACATCAAAGGAAAGGAGGTAAAAGCCTCAATAAATCTTCTCTGTAAATACCTACTTATCTATTTGAAGCATTTCTTCCATTTACTCCACTTCACTAATACCCTTTATTCAGCTTTTATGTCTTTAATAATATTTCTTTAACCATTATTATTATTATTATTGTTATAATACGTATATTGTGAAAGCTTGTTTAATAATTAAATAAAATGTCGTAGATTCTCAAAGGAAATACTAATACCTATTTGGAGAATAAGCATGAATTGGATCCTGCATTCTGGGCTAGTAAAATACGTTTTTTACCCTACAGTAGTCATCGAAGAACTGTTTGTATGCGAGTTGAATTGTATGGCTGCCTTTGGACTGGTAAATATCCCATTTAAATTATTAGATAATCATTCATTTTTATTCTTTTTAATCAATCAAAAGTTCATTGTCTTATTTATCTGTTCAATATGTTGACTTTAAAACTCATTTTATTAAAAAACTCCAAAAAGTGTTGATGAAAAATTAAATACTATAAAATATTTAACTATTTCATGGAGATTAATCATTGCATTTATTGTGATAAAAGCATGTTAAATATTCAAATTTAAAATAAGTTAATTATCAAATTTTGTACAATAGCTTGAAATAATTTTTTTCAATATAGTTTTAATATTTTAATCTTTTTTTATTTAATATTTTAGATTATTTATTTATTATTCTTTTGCATGCTTATCAAAATAAAATCATTGTAAGTTTTTTATTTTTTGGTATAGAAAAAAAAATTGTTCTCCAACATTTTAAAAGTGTTTATACATCCAACAATAGCAATGCAAAATATTCTATACTAGAATTTAAATATTGATCAACACATTGGGTATTCATGTATTACAGTATTGAAAAGTGATTTTTAATTTTCTCACGTAAAACTAAAACTGGAACTAATAGAGGTAATAAAAGTGTAGCCCTTGAGCTGTATTATTATACTTTTAGCTTGAAAAAAAAAATGTTCAACAAACATTTATTGATTTTTCATTATTCGCAAATAATGGTTATATGCGTGTCGGATGGTATAGATATTAAAGATACACTATTTTTATATTTTACAAACATAAATGAACTTTAATACATACTTGTAAATTAAATAGAGCTCGTTGTTAGCCAAATACAATGGTATTCTATTTTATAAGCCTGTTCTATTTAATATAAATTGCCCTAAATATTATTTTTTAAAGCTTGCAACAGTAAAAATTATATTGATTACTAAATTTTTTGTGCAAATACTGTCATTATTTTGGAGGAACAAAATTAGAGAAGGTTTAAAAATAATTTTTAAAAAATTATTGATTAATCGTTAAAATGATAACATGTTTGTATGCAAAAAATATCTTGCAAATAATTTTTTATCTTTATTATTCCAGTAAAATTTTAAAAAGAGATTATTCAACTCTATAGGCTCACCAAGCCCCACCTTCATTTTCAATTCGATCTCGTTACAAATATTTACAATAATAATAATAACCATTGAATGCCATTCAAATATAATTCATTTACACGTATTACCAACCATTGTGATGAATTAATAATTGATACAATGAAAACATTTATAGATGGAATTGTGGCTTATTCGATGCCTCAAGGCGACACTAGAGGCAATGAATGGGATTTCTTTGATGCAACATATGATGGTCATTGGGATGGTGAATTACGTCGTGGACTGGGACAATTAGTTGATGGCAAAATTGGACCGGATAACTTTAAAATGGGCTATTATGATTCTATTCGCAGCCAAGGCTGGGTTGCATGGAGAAATGATACTCGTGCTAATGAGCCCATTGAAATAAAGTTTGAATTTGATAAGGTTCGAGAATTTGCAGCAGTTCATCTTTATTGTAATAATCAATTCAGTAAAGACGTTCAAGTATGTATAATTTATTCATCTTTATGTCAATACCATTTTGATAAAACTGTCATTCTTGTTATACTTATTGTACATCCTGTGAAAATGAATCATTTGATGGTTTTAGGTATTCTCTCAAGTGGATGTATTGTTTAGTATTGGTGGCCAATATTTCAGTGGTGAACCAATAGTTTATACATACATGGAAGACAAGATATTTGAAACGTCACGGAATATCACAATTAAACTTCATCATAGAATAGGAAGATTTGTAATACTACGACTTCACTTTTCATCAAAATGGATAATGCTTAGTGAAGTCATTTTCAATTCCGGTAAATAACAATACTATTACTTTTATTGCTTTATACGATAAGGTTTCCAAACATCATTGATAGTCATTATGATACATCAATATTTGATCAAAAAATCTTCATTGAAGTCAAGTATTTTCTTTTATTGCCAAACCATTACGACGTATGAGATAAAAGTTATTATTTCTGCAACTAGCTATTTTATTTTTAAGTTTATAAACGTTTTTATTATCAAGTATTGAATAAAAAGTTAAAATAAATTATCGATTCTAATAAAAAAAAAAACTTTCAGATATTACTCACGGTAATTTCACGCCAGAAGAATTTTTAACAACAGATACATCATTACCTGAAGATTTTTTCACAAATAATAAAAATCCAGTGTCAGACAGTGAACTACCAGTACTTACAGCTCAACATGATGATCCCACTTATATGGCAATAGTGATTGGTGTACTAACGGCAATCATTTTACTTCTGGCAATTGCAATATTCTTCATAGTATCTCGTCACAGACATCGTAAATGTTTTGCTAGCCCTGTGGCAGTTAAAGTGCCGTCTCATCTGAGTTCAACGTGTGCTACAGTGGAGAAAGGAGCGGCGCTTATGGCTTACACATTAGAGGATGACGAAGGGTTATTTAAATTAATATATCTTATCTCTACTTTATGCTGATAGTTAATTTAAAGAATGGGCTAAAAAGTACTATGCTATTCTTTAGTATTTGCAGATAATAGTAATTTTTCTTATCATCTATACTTTGACTTTTCTATTTATTCTTTAAACAAGAACCTCAAATATTTGTTATCAGCATATTAAAAATGTTATTTATCTAAAAAATTCTTTTACTTAGTGGCTCAAAATTAGTTTGAAAAAGAGAATGTAAAAAATTGTGGCCCATTTTTGAACGTGCTAAGTGATATTCTTTAAAATATTGAATTAAAACATGTTTTCTAATGGAATATTTACTCCAACAGCCGGTATGCTGGTGGAGCACCTTCAACACTGCCTCGTGAACTTGACAATCGTCTCTTAGATCTCGTGAAATTAGATGAGTACCAAGAGCCTTATCAAGCTCTTAAATATGCTCCATATTATAGCTATAGTACTATTATTATGGAAATGAAGGACATGATGTTGAACAATATGGGTACCGGTATCAATTATGCTGCTGGTGAGTGTCGGTACTGAGTGTTTGTGACCCAAACAGATGTGATAAGCAATGAAATTAATTAATTGTATAATTATTCAGTTCCAGAGGTCGTTACGGCACCACTTCTAAATCCCGAGGGTACTTTCTCAACTCATGAAATAGCTTCCAGTTCAATCTCAAGTGCTAGTGCGAGTGATGATCAAGAAAGTATTTTTTCTAAAACATCTTCACGCAATAGTCGTATTGATGATAAAAAAGTAATTAAATCTTGTCAAGTTGATAACGATTATTTCTCTCATTATTATTAATTAAGACTTTTATTAATTGTTCATTCTAATGATATCTATTTTTGGTTAACAGTCTCCTACACAACAAGAGGTTCTTGCAGCTTTGAAAAAACGATTGGAGCAGTCAACAGTACCGCTCTTTCCACGCCACAGACTTCGCATGCTTTCAAAACTTGCTGAAGGAGCATTTGGTTCGGTAAAAGTTAATTAGTAATACGTAATTTGAATGAACTTTAACTCAAGAAATGATCAAAGTCTTAAGTAATTTGTTAAAAATAACTATGAACAGTATAACCCATAAAAATAGCCTTTAAATCCAATTATCTGAGATAAAAATAGCTCTTGAAAAACTTACAAATGGGGTTACTTTTTCACAAAGAATTTTTTTGTATGGTAATATTTATGATCGTTATATGAACACATTTTAAAAATGATTCTTTAATACATAACTTTTATGTTGGTCCTAAAACTATTTTATAATATAATTAAATAAAATAGACATAAAAAATATTAAAATTGAAAAATAATTTACCAAAAATACTTCTATTCATATTTTTTTCATCACAGGTATATGTAGCAGAAGCTGAAGGAATTCCAGAATATGGGACGAGTACCAATACTCTAGGAAAAAGGCTTGTAGCTGTTAAATTTTTACTGCCAGATGCCAGTGAAAAAGAAAAGTAAATGAAACATAAATTTAAAGTTTTAGATAAAAGAAATATAAAAAAATTTTTCTTTAATCAATTTTTGGTGTTTTCATGATTTTTAGATTAGACTTCCAGCGAGATGTAAGAATTCTAGCAGCTCTGGAAGACATTAATATAGCAAGAGTACTAGGCGTTTGTTGTCGAGAAGAACCTTATTGTGTTGTAATGGAATATTTGGAGCATGGTGATCTTTGTCAATTTTTAAAGACTCATATCACTGTTGATGACGCACATTCAATGCCTATGGGAGTCAAGACACTTAGTTTTAATTGTCTAATTTACATGGCAGCTCAAATAGCGTCAGGAATGCGATATTTAGAGAATTTAAATTTTGTTCATCGAGATTTAGCAACTAGGTAATTTTTCAACTATTCTACCACAATAAATTTCTATCAAATACTTGACATTATTATAAATTTAGTGTTCAAGAATGTCAAAGTTTACGAGAAACTCATAATAAAATTTTGTTTGAATATTTTCAGGAATTGTTTAGTAGGTAAGGCATATTTAATAAAAATCTCAGATTTTGGCACTGACAATGAGCTCTATGCAAGTGATTATTATCGAGTTAATGATGGTGCATTACTTCCTGTTCGTTGGATGGCTTGGGAATGTGTTTTTCTGGTAAAAAAATCAATTCAAAAAATTAAAAATAATTTTCTTCCAAATAAACACAAATATTAATAGTTATTATTATTGATATAGAGAAAATATACAACAAAGAGTGACGTATGGGCATTTGCTGTTACACTTTGGGAAATTTTAAATCTTGGCCGGCATGTGCCTTATGAAGATTTAACTGATGAAGAAGTAGTTGAGAATCTTGAACAACTTCACAATGAACACAATGAACGCAATAATGGTCGGAATGATGGTGAAAAGAAAATGCGAATACTCTTTGAGTATTTACCAAAACCAAAGACATCGAGTAAGGATATATATGATCTTATGTTGGAATGTTGGAGACACGATGAAAATACACGACCAACATTCCGTGAAATATCACTATTTCTACAAAGAAAGAATCTTGGATATGCACCTACTTGTTAAATACCTACGAACGTTCGATAAAATGCACATTGAGTTATCACATGGCTGCATGATTAGATATGTTATGATTAATCATATTAATAATAAATAAGATATTAATATAATTATTGCAAACTGAAATATGCAGATATTATATTAAAATAAAGGTAGATAATAATATTATCACCGAATATATAGTCGTCGACTTTTTATTATTGAAAAATTTTTTAAGAAATGTGGTGTAAAACTTTAAAGTGTATTTAACGGATAAATTACAAATCAGTTTACATATCTTGAATTATAATTCAAATAAATTTTTTTTACCATTTTTTTATAATTATATATCGGAGTAATCGTTATGAATAAAGAAAAAAAAACAAATTAATGAGAAGTAATTTTGGCAATGTGAATAAAAGTGCAAAATAGTTGCAATTAATTAATTTAATTTGTGAATAAGTATATAAGAATGTGTTTTGACAAATAATCGTCAAGAAAAATAGCGCGAAGATCATGAAAAAACATTTACTCTCTTTCACTGTGGAAAAGAATATCATCATTGACACGATAATGATACAAATATCATCAATAAAACCACATTATATAATACATACAATGTTATACGGATATTTGCGTTATCAGAAATGAAATTGTTGTATATAAATATACATATTATATGTATTAGTAGAGGGGATCAATGACGCATATAATGTACCTTATGTGAACGTAAATTTAGAAGTGTGTCTGTAATAATACCATCATCATTATCATCATATCATAGAACAACGAAACATTACATAAATATTTTCATTTGACATAAATTCTTCTTTCATTAATATATTGTTATAAAATATTCGAGCAAAATGTATATCTTCAAATTCCGTTAAAATGCGAATAATATTTCAAATATATCTTCCATAAGTTCCAATGATTGTCAATAAATTATCATTTGTTAATTATTGTAATTGAAAGCTTTTATATGTAGGATTTATAATTTATTATTTATTGAGCTTATTAGCAATACACTTATAACTTTCTAAATAATTATTTTTTAAACATTGTAAAAATCGCGTTTAAATGGAGAAATATACGATAATTATTACGAATAACTGGAATGTTATTGACTATGCTTTTTAATTTTTACTTGTATATAAAATACACGCTCTGAGTACAAACAAAAATAAAAATAAATATTGTCATGTAAACTTTGTATTCCCTCAAAGTGACCCAAAAACGTGGGAAGGTAATATGGACTTGAATTCTAGAAAATTATTGTGTATTTGGCTATCAGCATGATTGGGTAATTTTATTTAGTTTTAACGTTATTTTTAAAAAAAGTTTTGCATGCAAACATACCTGTTTACGATCTGCTCAAGAATAGGATTCTTTTAAATTGAAAAAAAAAACAATTAAAATAATCATTTTTGTCATAGTGTTAGTGCAAACGTTTGACGCTACTGTAATATAGTATTTTTAGTTTATTAATTTACTAGACTGATGAACCGTTATTTAGGTTGGCTAAATTGAATGATTCAATTTTAAAATCATTGACCGAAAAATATGAAAATACTAATAAAGTAAGTTTTGAATAGTTATTAAGTTTATTCCTACGGTAAATTTTTTTTATTCCAAATTTTACTTCAAAAAATCTGAAATAATCACATGTTAATTTTAAATATTTATTCAAATGACAGAAAAGTGTGTACTATATACAAATTAAATTATTCTTACAGTATTCACTTAGATATATCTCACTAGAGTTATTATACAATAATTACGATGATATTACCATATTGATTTGCAATAGTAATTATAATGAAATTACGACAAATATATCATTTTAATTCAATCATTTACACACTTTAATATCCAAAAATTTTACTTTCCATCGTTCTTTCGTTTCCAATAATTCGATGTGTAAGAAAAAAAAATAACAATTTTTCGAAATTATTTTAAGATACTATAAATAATCAAGAGTACGGGAAATAGTGATGAATAAAATATAATAATAATGACTGATGACGGAATTATGATAAAGAAAAAATATTGTTTACTAGCGGTTGAATTTAAAGCATAATTACAAAATCATCTGTATCAGAAAGTGAATAATCTGGTGAATTTCCATCAAAATCAAGACTGTCATTAACAGATTCATCTCCATCTAAGCTGTCATCATCATCATCATCATCGTCATCATCGTCATCTTCATCTTCACCTTCATTTAAGTTAGGTCCATCACCATTATCTTCACCAGCTGCATCTGCATTATCTGCTGTAAAATATTTTTGTAATTATTATTTTTGTTATAAAAGTATACAAACTTTTAAAATCTACCTAATAATTAGAGAATAAATATTCTTATTCACCATCATTATTATCATCGTCTGAATCAGAATTGGAACCATCATCATCACTGGCATCCATATCTTCTTCATCATCATCTTCATCAGCTTCATCTTCATCATCTCTTCGTCTTCCAACATCATACAATCTGACACAAGACTCTTGCACGCTATCGAAATCGCCTTGATTTTCTACAATTGCAATCTGAGTATCATACTTGTTACAGGCTAGACTGTAAATGCCTCTTTTTACATCATAAGTTGCTATACTACTATAATCTAATGCATCTAAAGTTTTAAAGGATGTTATATTAGGGGATTCATCATCATTTTCCTGTTCTAATGACACTGCATAAATAATATGATTAATGGGTGAAAAAACAACTTCCATTTGATCTAACGCTGGTACTGTATTCAATAAATGAAACGTCCTGAGATCCCACACTTCTGTGTTTGATACAACTTCAGTACCATTAGGATGAAACACGCCATTAAGTGATTGATTTAATTTATCGAACTTGTGAATTTCCTTTCCCGAATTTAAATCCCATAAAATACCGTCACTTAGCACTAGTTCATCATTCATACTAAATGTTGCACGATTTTTATTGTATTGATTGGATACAGATGGTTTAAGAGTCTTTATAAGTTTGCCTGTAGCAACATCATAGATTTTAGCTGTTTCATTTAAAGTACCAATAATTTTATCTTGCAATTTACTGAATTCTACATAGTCTTCATTATCTATTGGTAGCTTCATATCAAACGACTGTCCAATACTCCATAAAGCAGAAGAAGGCCGCCTCCATACAGTAGATGTTAATAACAGATCTCCTTTCTTATTGCACTGAATATGATATACGTATGATTCATGGCATTGATAAGTAGTTTCTTCAGTTCCAGTATGTAAATTGAATATCTTGACATCTCCAGAGTAAGTACCGAGCATTAGATATTGTTGACAAGGTGAAAAAACACAGCAAGTGAAGGTGCCATCGACGTCTGCAGGACGGAAAGTTTTAATTGGGCAAAACTTGCTGTAAATGTGTCGTCTGTCAAGTTTCGTACTATCTAAACCAAAAGGTCTTCTTGTTACTCGTACAGTTACATTAGTGGCAGCTGAATTTTTCGGTCGTGGATCAGGACACTTATGAGGCTGGAATAAATTAAATTTCGGACACGTAACCATAGGATTCTTACACAAAGAATGCTGATTAGTCAGGTACTCAGTAACTATTGATTCTAATTGAGATTTAGTAGGGACTAAAGGAGTTGCTATTCCTGAAACATTGCCAATTTCAACACCACCAGCATCCCAGGATATTTGTTTCTGAAGTGATCGTGACATGCAAGAGATTGGGCTCATTTGGTAATGGCTTGTAGATCCAGCAGATGATGCATTCTTATCTTGTAAATTTGTTTTTCTGCTATTAATTTGAAGCTTTATTGGTTGGTTTGTTTGGCCACTCATTGAAGGTAATGATTGATTCAAATTATCAGATTGTTTGTGTCTGGATGAAATAGAGCTTGAGATAGGAGAAAAATTACTTGGTGGATAATTATTAAATCGTGGTGATGAAAGTGCAACAGATTGTATCATGTTATGTCGGCTAAAGTTATCGCGTTGATTACATCTATTAGTATTATACAAACTAATAGGGGTTCCAGGGCTTAAACTACGAATTCCGGATGTACTAGGATTGCTATATGTAAATGGTTGACAGGAAGTTATTGGCTTCATGATTGCTGAATTATCTAAATTGACAGCTTTCTGTAGATCTAAAGCAATTTTATCTAATCCTTTGAGCATAAGATGTTGGCAAATTATTTGATACAATTGTTGATCATCGTACTGTATACGAGTTTGTGCTATGACATTAGCTCGATGTAAACTCGCTAATGACATTTCATATTCATTACCAGCTGGTTTTGCTTTACCTGAAACACGCTCCATTAATTCGAGTGCGTATTTTTGGAACATTACATGTTCCTGACGCTTCTCATTATGAATTGGATTCTTCATCAGCGACTGTATTTGTCCATCAGTAAACATCGGTAGTTTACTAATAATTTGGCGAACTTTTTCACTTCGCGCTAGACCAGCTAACGCTCGACATGCAAGTGCTCGTATGCTATCAGCATCCGTAATAGGAGTTTTTACCATCATTAATTGCAATAAAACCATTATTCCATTATTAGATCTTACACTAGACCAAACTTTTTGAATTAACTCTTCATTTTTATGAGTATTAGTTTTCTTCTTAGCCGATCCAGCCGATGAGTATCTGTAAACTGTTCCAACAACTCTGTTGATTGGTGCACAAACACAATTAACGATGGCTCTTAATGCTGCTCGTTGAACATCTGGATCCGGAACAATTTCTCCTTCTGCCGCTGCTAATAATAAATTGATTGCTGTAGTGATAGTTGCATCAGATATATGTAATCTGTCACAAAGTAACATCATAACTTTTGGAACAACAGAACAAATAGAAATTACATCAAGACACGATCGAACAGTTTCTGCACTAGATGATGTATAAGCCCGATTGTTAAAAATCCATTCACGAGCAAATGCTACTATTTGTAATAAAAGAGTTATTGCACCAAGCCTATAGAGTTCTTCAACAGGTGACCAAACAGCACGGATACTCATTAGTTTATGAAGTACTTCTACTTTTTCTTGAACTTCTTCTTCGTTTTTAAATTTACATGGCTTATGTGGTAATAGTGAAGGTTGACAATTTTCACTTTCTGTTCTAGCATTTTCCATTCGTAATAGTTGCTCTGCCTTCCAATATAAGTGAACTTCCATATATTTCTTTAAAGCAACAGCAACATGTCGAACTATTTGTCTAGATGCACACTCTACATCATCATTTAGAGTAGGGCCTTCTTCGACGTTTAAAATGGGTAAAGTTGAGATAACATTGAATAGTTTTCGTAATCCATCTTGAGCATCAAATTCTTCAAGAATAACTTTGAATGGAAACGAACAGCCGAAGAACATTGTAGCATGGCATCTACCGGAGTCATGACTTCTTTCTAGTAACCACAAGGCATATGTTACTAGATCTGCAATCATTACCTTTGATTGTACACATACACGTTCCAATGCATCTTCACAGTACGCTAAATAATATAGACAAATAGAAACACCAGTAGCTGCAACACTTGGCCTCGGGACATCGAGTAATTTTTGTAATCCTCCCATATTTAAAAATTCTATAGAAAATTTTTTGTGACACAATAATGATGCCAAGTATTTTAGAGCTTCAAAAGCAAGTCTACTGTCTTTAGTTTCACGAACGTTAATATATTTGAATATCAATTCCAAAGCTTTTTGTTCGAAAATGTGACCTAAAAATTCCTGATATTCACCCATAGGTGTGAGATAACGAAGAATAAGCATCTGTCGAGTTGCCAATGTTGGTGGATGTATTTGTATATTACCAATAACATAAGATTCTAATTCTGCCCAAGATGAATTTGAATTTCCTTCCACTAATAGAGTAGGCGTGTTACCACTTTGCGATAAATTTCGTACCGCATTAGGTTTGGCAGGTATTGTTCCAGATTTTGGCGGAGTGGCTCTAGTATTTGGACTTTTCAACGGAGTTACTTGAGAACTAGAATGATTGGAGACTTTGGACACTGAAATTGGCGGTGACATAATTTCAGAATATTGTTCAGTTGATTTCAAAGGAGTTAATTGTTCTTTTTCACCGACTCGCATTTTTTTATTTGGCAACATTTCATCAGCACTTGGTACTTCCTCATCATCTGAATAAAATAACATGCTAGGACTTTTTACTACTCCATTTCCACGTTTTTTATCTCTTGCTTTTCTTTTACCATATACACCTGTATTCTCTGTATCATTAAACCCGTTACTTCCACCAAAGTGTGCAAATGGCCGGTTGTTTATTGATGATGCATGACGATCTTCTTGAGCTTTTTCTTGAAGTTTATGGAGTCTCTGAAGCATTAATGGTACTAATTTACCATTTTGTTCACGGAAACTTGTGGCAATTTCTTGAACTTCCATTGCAGCGGCTAAAAGGCCTGTGGCATAACTTTGAAGTGGTTCAACACTTTTTTCAGCCCATGAAAATAGTCTATGTATTAAACTATCATTATCTGGTTGAAATACGGCTGAAGTTTCTAAGCCTGGAAGAATGTCTAACATCAATCGACAAGCTGCTATGTTTAATTTTCTTACATCACGGCCTGTAATTCCACTTCTAGAATAATAAGTGTCTCTCAGATAATCGTTGATTAACTGTGAAACAATAAAAAATAAATATAATAATTGATAAAAAATTAATGATTAGATATATTGAAGAGAAAATAGTGAAAATCATATACCTTGGTCATAAAATTATCTTTTCTGAACAAAACTTTGAGAATATGACCAAAATTACATTCTGGATCCGTTCTCGAAGGATGCCTCTCATCAAATGGATCTGGATCCATTTTCAGATAATTTTCTGTTTCGACTTCTATTATTTCTGCCAACCTTTGTAATGTAGGAATAGGGTCGTATGATGATGATGTGTGTTCATCTTCCCATTGCCGAAGAATTTGGACAACGTCTGTTGTTTCTGCTAATGATTCCGTTGTAACCATTTTTAATAATCTGAAATATATATGTATAAATAAATGAAGCAATAAAATTGAATACAATATTAAAAATATTCTCAAGAGATATTTCAACATTTGAGTTAATAACTTATACAAAATTGTTCGTTATCATATTCATCAAGTAATTGAATCATCAATTTATAAATAAAGTTTGACTTTATAATAATAAAAATTATCAAAATTATTTATTGCTCACTCTTCTGACAACTGCTTAACCTAAAAATATTAATATACTATTTAAAATGCTCAGATGATAATATTTGCATGAAAAAAATATTAAATTACGTGGAAAAAAAATTATAGTATATTTTGTAATCAATTTCTATGTCATTATTAAGTTTAAATGGTATATTAACGTGGACGTAAAAATCGTCGTACTAAACGTGTTATTTGTTCTTTGTTAGGTTAGAATTGTCATCAATACTAATTATTTCTTGTTTTTATGCTTAATTTAATATAAACTTGGTATTTGATGTCAAGTTATAGGTAATAAATGTTCATAAAGATCATTACAATACCTTTTAATTTATTAAAATGTGTGAAAACTTTATTACTTTTGTTCTAATAATACAAAATAACACTCTTTGAGCAATCTACGGAGCAAATTGTAACATGAAAGTCGCCATGTTGCTGGTGGGTGAGCAACAATGCGTTTTGATATCGCTGTGGCTGGTTGATTAAATATTTTTTTCCGCCAATCATAAATATCATTTAATAGCGGGATATTTCAAAGATTTCATATTATTTTAGTATAAAATGATATCAAACATTGCATAAGATTTTTTTAGTTTGGTTCATACATTATATGCACAAATGATGAATGCAAATTGTTTTTTGTGCGAATCAAGTTTTTATTGTTAAAAAATATTCAAGAATTAAAAATAATTTATCACTTAATGTTTCTTAAATTAAGTGATAAGAAAATTAATTAGTTAATCAAAAGATATAAATGACTATTCATAATGTTTTTTAACGGTATTAACAATTATGTATTTCTATCATAAAACACAATAATAACAGAAATAAAATAGCATAGTAATGTATTACAATTCATAATAAAAAGTACATACGAATATTTGTGTTGACAATATTAGATCTTATTATTTATAAAGTATTAACAGAATATTTCATCATAATCATACATTTGATTTAATGAGCTTACAATTTATTCATAAACCTAATATTATGTATTCTACATAAAATAAAAGTATAAAAAATCTGTTACAATTTCTATTACTCATTACAAATTATTTTTCATATGTACACGTACAGTTAATTATAAATTTTAATCGTTAATGTTCTTATAATTTTTATTTTTCTTTAAAAGAAAATAGTAAACATTTTCCATATCAAATACAAAACCAGCAAATACGTGAATATCTGAACTCCTATATGAATTAAATGTAATCTGAAAAATAAAAAAATCAATTTACTAGCTATTTATTCTTTTAAATTGCTATTATTTTAAATAATAATTCTTAGCAGACAATATTACCTGTTTAATCGCTTCCGTGCGACTTCTAAAGTGCTCAGATCTTCTTTAAATAAATAAAGTCTGACTCCAAGGATGTGATTCCTCAAATAATGCTTCCAATCGAAATGACTGAGAGAAAATTTAAAATTCTTCTTGTCTTCTTGTTCTAACTGTTTCCATAATGCTTGAATATTTTTATTATCAAAAGTCCAATTTTTTAATGAAAATGGTTGTATAACACTTAAAAATTTTTGTACTTTAGTTACAGCTTTAACCATTCTAGGTTTATGTCCACTACAAATAGCAGCTATATCTACTAAAACGGCAGGAAATAGATGCAAAAGAATATGTGCTAAAAAACTTAGTATTTTATTTTGATAACCAGTCATTGACAAATACCAAACTGATTGCTTTAAGGGGAATTCACGACCAGCTGAAAGTCCATGATCCATATAATCACCCCAAGTTATAGGTGCTTCAACAGTGGAAACATAATTATATATTGGAAGATTCTCTCCTCTTTTGTCTGTTTGAATAGCAACATCCCAAGCACTGGCCAAGATTGCATTAACAGTGTAATCAACAGGAACCATATTAGCATAAGCTTTTTTATCAAAACGCATAAACCTAAGAAACCCTGTTATAGCTGCAGCAGCTACTCCTGTTGGTCCATAGTAATTATCAATCCATCCTGGTACAGGTTCTTCAGCACAAGATATAACTGCAAAAGAATTTTAGTTGAGAAAATTTCAGTTTCATAAGTAAAGAGAAAAACTAATTTTACTTTTACAATCTAGATGTTTATTAAAGGAACTTTCTTGAATAATCAAGTGTCTTATCTAATATTTGCTTCATTAGGGAAAAGAACATCGACAGATCTATTCACTAATTCCAAGGTTCCCCTATTCCGGAGTAACTTTTCAATAGAGGAGCCAGAAGTTTCTGGTAATTCTGACACAAAAGATGATTCATTATCTTCGTGACTGTTTTTATGTTGTGCTGTTATTTCATGATTATTTTCAGTATTCAATAGATTTATTTCATCTAGACTCCCTATTGTTATTGAAGATATACGACGTGCTAGTTCTGGGTCATTTTCAATATTATATTCTGGGTACATTGTTTCAAAATTATTGGAAAGCAGAGAATTAGAACTACTGAATATGCTGATTGGACATGGTATGGTATATAATAGAGTGAGAATAAACAGAAAAGCTTCGGCAAAAATTGTTAGGAAAAATAATCCTAATGTTAAGATAATTTGATAAAAAATTGTGATAATTCCTGAGATCAGATACATTGCTATTGCTAAACACATTTTTTGTTTTTCAATGATGTAAATTACTAGAATTAATTTGAATAATGAACTGATAATGAAATGAATCTAAAATTAAATTAAGAATGATTGATAAATATGAAGTTTGCTTTTTATTATGACTTAAATCATTAGTTGATTTTCACTTACTTATTGCAGGACGGAAAATTCCAACTGGCATATTCTGACAGTTTTCTCTAATAACCTTTTCTGCAAGAGCTTTGGTGAATGTATAAGTATTTGGCCATCCTTGAAGGATACTGAAATTTATTTAAATATTGTAGTGATGAACCAACTCATTGAGAGTTTTTTCATTAATATATTCTTCAATTACATCATTTAATAGTTTATTAATAATAAAAAAAAATCTTTTTTACCGCGGTAATATGTCATTCACTGCATCTTCTGGAAGAGTATTGACTAAAACTTGTACTTCTTCATAACTCGAAGGATGAGGGTAAAACTTTTCTTCAATAACATCAAGGTGACAATTTGCATAAGCAGTTGACACATGAATCATTGCCTACAGAAAAAAAAAATATGTAAAAAAGAAAAAAAATTAAAAGTGGTTTTTTAGAATTTTTAAGAGTATATTGACTTCATTTTTTTTTAAGTTAATGCTTGAGTTCATTATGAAAAAAAAAACAAAAGTAAATAAGAATCGTAATAGTTATGAGTAATGTTCTTTTCTTTAAATAATATTGAAGGCTAACAAACTCAGCATAAAAAAATAAAATCATTATGTTGAAAAAAATACAATGATGTAGAAATTCAGGAGTAATGAATTAACACTGTTGCTAATTTTTCAATTGCATTTCAAGGTGAAGATAAATAAATCACGTCATGGTTAAGTCAAAGATTGTGCAAACATTTACTACACCATGTCCATTATTTGTATTAACAATCAGAAATTTTTTTATTTTCTTTATTTGTTTTCCTGGAATTTCTTGTAGATTTGTATTATTATCCCTAGATGATAATGAACTTATAAGAAAGATGAGATATAACACTTTCAATTTAATATTTATAATAACAAAATATATGAAAACTGTAATAAGGTACATAGTAATCAACATAATTTTTATATGCATTGTAATTAAAATACTTTCTTTTATCTTCTTGGCCCTGACTTGAATTGCATTGCATGTATTATTTAGTGATGTAATAATTGTATATAACCAGTGCGTTCATTGGTTGCGATAATAATAATTGCAATAACAGAGGAGAAAATTTGGTACTGACCCCATTTTATGGAGACTCGATTATGAAATGCTATTACACATTGGAAGTACATTAAATCTTAAACTTTAAAGAAAATTTATATATTACCTTCAATTTCTTCATCTCTTTGCAAAGATTCATTACAGCTAATGCACCCCCTGCATTAATTGCGGTTGCAGTTTTGAGTGTTTCATCGAACTTGACAGTTGCTGCATTGTGGAAAACTATTGAAACTTCTTTAATGAGAACATTACGATCTTCCAGTGATAATCCCAAGCCAGGGAGAGTACAGTCTCCTGAGACAGCGACAATTTTATGACGTAATTTTGGAGAGTCTTTCTTCAATTGCTCGAAGATCTGCAACGGTAAAAAAGAAAAATACAACATAGGTAGATGAAGATAATTTACAAGTAATAATTACTCGATAAATTATTATATCTTTTAAAAAATATGTGACAATTAAATGCAATAAAAAAAATTATAATTCAAAAGATATAAAAGAAACAAATTAATATCACCCGTTTATGTATAAACTGATTTTCTACAAAAAATATTAATTTATGAACAATATTCTTCATTTTCCAATGAATTACTGATGCTAATGAACTTATTATTCAATTGAATTTTTTAATATTACAGATTTGCTTTTTGCTATAAAATGTTTTTAAATAATTCAAAGTTATCTTGAGTGATTGAATAACACTTGCGATATAAAAAAATATCCAGTTTTATCTTGTATACTTAGTATCGTTATGAATAAATTAGATGCTTTTACATTTTCAAATAATTATTTAGCATAGTCTTAAAGATTTATAAAGTCAAGTAATTTTTTATGATGTGATTTAATACTCACCGGTTCGTTAAAAATATCTTCAACTCTGTCATTAATGTTACTATTTTTTTTAGGTCGAATCAGTAGATAAATCGTTGATAGATCTGGACAAGTTCTGAGCAATTTTTCGATCATAGATTTACCGAGAAAGCCCGTAGCACCTGAAAATAGTATTTGTACTTTTACGCATGATTATTAAATTGAGAGAAAGTGCTGAGTAATATCTTATAATAGAGTTATAATAGTATCTGAAGCTATTCTGAATATTACTTAATAATTTAACAATAACCTGTCATGAAAATATTCTGGCCGGCGTAAAAGTCTTGAATTGGTGTCCTTTTTATTATGTCATCAGTGTTGATTGTATTTGAAACATTATTATTGTGCTCATTCATGTTTATATGGTTTTTATAAACATTCATTGCCTAAAAATATTTACAAATATCAATGAAATATTTATCATAAAAAAAACAAAAAAATTAATTTATTATATGACCAATTAAATTGTTATAAAAACAAAAATTACAGTGAAATAATTTTAAATTTACATCACATTTTATTTTTTTTTTTCTTAGTTTTTTTACAACATTAGATAATCGAGAAGAAGAAAAGGAAAAAAGTTCAATGGCTTTAAGAGATTTGAAGTGAAGATAAACATCTTCGTTTAAAAAGGAAACTGTAAAGAAGAAGAGTTTTATCTTCGTCCTCATTTTTAATGAACGAATGAACACATTGGAATGTGCCGCGTGAGTACATTCTTTTGACGTTTACGTTATGTTATAGACCGTTATTATTAACGAAAATATTATTTATCAACAGTTATAATTAAATTATACAAAATTATTTATTACGTTCTAATTATTATTCAATTTTATGGAGGATTCCCTATAAACATTTATGGTAATTTAAATAAAACTGTCAACACAATTTAATAATGAATAATAAATTAAATTGTGACAATAATTTTAATATTTCTTTTGATAAATAATTAATTATTTAACATATCTCAATTTTATAGGCAATAAATTAAATAAAAAATTATTAATTAATTTGTTTCACAGTTAATTAACTAACTTGATCATTGTACGTAGTTATTTCGTTTTCCAGTAACATGTTGGCTTTAAATCACAACCACTTGGACAAAGTAATTTTAAAATATGAATTTAAATCGATAGAATGTATTTTTAAAAAATTGACAAAAAAATTCAATGAATTAAGATGAGTACAGGAGAGACTATTTCTCTACCTGTCTCTGGTAAAGAATTTGAAAAGTCACTCGTTTTTTTGGGGAACCACACACTTCTGTCACGATTTAAAGTACAGGTTGATTCAGAATAAAGTTAAGAAACAAACTGCTGATGATAGCTGGACAGTGAAAGACTCGAACTCTCTTCTATGGGTCCCCCAACACTCACCTCAATAGGGACTCTTTGCACCTGACTCGTCGACTTTGACAGCGTTGTTCTTTATTAAGTAGATTCCGTTCTTGTTCCTAAAAGCACCTACGTCCCACTCTCTTGTTTGCTTTTCTAACAGAACTCTGATCTATGAAATCATGGTGTTAAATACTCTGAGTGCAATTACAATTTTTTATTTACTAATTAAGATAGTAGGGGAAATCCGAACAAAGTCACTTAAGAAAAAATATGAATAATTTAGAATATATGTTTACTGATTTCATCCCTGCCATCTTTCATACTAGAACCAATAAAATATTATGCTTTCAACTTTTTTTAACTCTTTTCTTTACTTTAATGACTCGATGATAAATAATTTTTTATTTACTGTTTTATTTAATATTTAATTAATTTTTAAATAATCAAGCATCATTAAAATGATTTGAATTTTTTGGATATCTATTAAAGCCAAAGCAAAATTGATACTCATTCCGAGACCTTGAACGTGAAGAAAAACAATGAAATTGAAATTAAATGAAGTCCATAATAACATAAATGATTTCTTGGCATGAAGTGTTAGACATACTTTATAACAATGAGAAATTACGCCACGTGTCAACTTAAATTATATGACGACATTTTTTTTTCCTTGATGTCCAGGTACATTGAGGATGACAAAAATGTATTTGAGCCCCATTTTGGATTGCACGACTCATAACAACGTATGGCCTAAATTCGAAAATACGATTTGCTTGCGTAAGCTAAAGACCTATACACGTTGAATATATTGAATATGTTATACAATGAGTTTACAAGAAAGGGGGAAGAAAGACGAAACGACGACATCAACTGATGTAACAGCATGACCACCAAGACTATGGGCTAGAGAGGCGGATCCATAGATGTTTGGATATTATTTCGCAATGTGAAAGTTGAAAGATCTCTGCAAGAACTTTCTGTGTTTTTTCATTCTTAGGGCTTTATACACATAATTTATAACAAGAAAAATTTGAATAATATCTTTGGTCAATTTCGCATTTCAATCTAATTGGTTAACTTCTTCGAAAAGTAATTATTGATGAAACCACTTGTAATAAATCGTATGTTAAATCATCACTATTTGGCAAGTATGATTAATATGATAAACAATCAGTTTTTTTTGATTGATTATTGGACATTGCGTTGAGGGATTTGTCGAGGAATTTCATTCTTAATTAAAATTTTTTATTTATCAATGAATTGTCAAATAAATTTTTTGTTGAGGCTACGTGACAAATCGAAACATTTTTTTTTCTAATATTTATTGAAATACTTGTTTCTTAATCAACTCGAATTAAGAATTTCTAATTCGTGTTCTTTGCTAAAAAATGATATTCTGATTTCTCATCATGTTATTAATTAAAAGCTGCTATTAATTGAAAAATTGTTTACATGAATTTACCTAGCATTTTTTATTGTGCATTATTATTTCTTGTTTTTTACTCCTTTATCAGTTTATGAAAATCAGAGTTTAGACTTCGTGTATTTTTCTATCATTTACTTTTTTACTTCAATTTTTTTCATCTAAAGATTGAATAGGGACAAATTTATTTTATCGAAAAAATACAATCCCAAAATTTTTCTTATTAAAACCCTAAAATCTGAACTTCAAAATTAATTGAACAATTTATATTATTTGAAAAATTTTTCAATTTCCCTCTTTTTCAAATTTATAAAATCTTATGGTAAGTGGTTTCCATTATCCATATTTTATCAACAGTTGATAAAAAGTTATTATCGACCGTCAGACTTGTTGAAGATGGAGCCACATTCAAGATGCACACGTGATGATAACGATTTTGTAACTGAACCAAGAACGACAAAGCTTTATTTTCAAAATTTATATTTTTTTTTACGAAAATGTCTGTAACTACGAGAGGATTGTTATTTATGATGCGTAGTTTTAGTACAGCAGTTAAAGATATTCCTAATCTTGTAAAGGTATGTAATTGATAAAAGAAAGAAATAACATTACATTGATTTTATTATGATGGAACAAATGGCAAGGTTATACTACAAAACAGTAAGAAAGGTAATGTTTCTAAATGTTTAAATGTTTTTACAGAAAAATAAAGTAGTTGTGTTCATGAAAGGAGTCCCAGAAGCACCGAAATGTGGCTTCAGTAATGCTGTTGTTCAAATTTTTCGTATGCATGGGGTGAAATATGATGCTTATGATGTACTAGCTGATGAAGAACTTAGACAAGGTATGAAGGATAAATATTTGTTTTGAAATAAAGAACTTCTAATAATGTATTCATTTTAGGTATCAAAGATTATTCGAACTGGCCGACGATACCACAAGTTTTTATGAATGGTGAGTTCGTAGGAGGATGTGATATTTTACTTCAAATGCATCAAAACGGTGATCTGATAGAAGAGTTAAAAAAAGTTGGGATAACGAGTGCCCTTCTGAATAAAGAGACGGATGGAGTTAAAAATGAATCATCTTAAAAGTAATTTTTTTTATTTTTAGTTTTTTTACATTGTTAAATTTTTAAAAGTTAAGTGACTTATTTACTATTACTAGTCTGAATTTGTTGACTACAATTAAATCATAGAATGAAACAATTGCTGTATGACAAATGTTCATTAGATTTTTTGCAGTTCCCTTCGTAATATTTTTCCAGCGGGACTTTTAGGAATTGTATCAGTGATAGTAATGTGGCCAAGATGTTTATATTTAGCAACACGTTTTGCTACAAATTCTTTCAACTCTTGTTCGTCGATACGCATATTAGGTTTAGGAACGATGAAGGCTTTGGGTATTTCTCCGTATCGTTCGTGTGGTACTCCAATGACTGCTACGTCAGCGACTTTTTCATGACCTAGAATAACGTCTTCGAGTTCAGCAGGAGCTACCTGGTAGCCCTGAACCTTGATCAGTTCTTTAAGTCGTCCTTTTATGTACAGAAAACCTGAGTAAAGTTTTTTTATTTTAAATGAATACTCAGTGAGGACAATAATTTAGCATCAATTACCTTGATCATCAATAAGTCCCAGGTCACCAGTTTTGAACCATTCACCCTCCATACACTCTTGAGTAGCTTGTAAATTTTTATAATATCCTTTCATGACTTGTGGTCCTTTTACAAATATCTCTCCAACTTCATTTATTCCTAAATTCTTGTTTTTATCTTCATCATTGCATCCGACAATTCTCAGTTGAGTATTAGGTCTTATTAATCCTGAAGATTCATTCGGAGCTTTTACGCTAAAGGAAATGAGCGGACTAGTTTCACTCAAGCCGTATCTATTAATATCAGAAAATAGTTGTTTTTATTTATCCGTTATAAATTTTCCCAATAATTTTGATTGTATAAATAAAAAAGTAATAAATATGTAAATACCCTAAACCATAGAAAAATAATTTTCTACTTTGTTTTATTAGCTCTTCTACCATTGTTTGACTTGTTGGTGCTGCTCCTGATGACACCAATCTAATGTTTCTCATGTGTCGCGGGGTAAAGTTTTCATTGTTTATTAACAGTTGAATAATTGGTGGTACAAGCATTAAAGCTGTTGCTTCATTTGTCTCTAAAACTTGTAACAGTTTCGATGAAGAAAACTGTGGCATGAAAATTAATTTTGCTCCAATACTATTTTTATATATAAAAAAAATATACATGTACTAAGTAAAACAAGCTAAAAAAATTAGAAATAATTAATTAAGAATTCTAAGTTATTTTTCTACCTGAGATATGTATTCATTATACTCGATATTCCATAGATATGGAATAGCGGCAGAAATAATGGCACAATTTCTTGATGAGTTTTCGAAGTTAATGGAAATAAGAAATCATGTTCTGCTTTTAATTGTAAACAATTCATAATTAGGTTTCTATATGACAATAATAAATAACAGTGGTAATTATTATCATACAATTATAATAAAATAATATTGAATTAATACCAACCTTTGAGTAAGTTCAATGCATTTGGGAAGCCCTGTAGTCCCACTAGAACAAGGTAGAAGAAATGCATCCTCATTCGGATTTTGCTCTGTTTTTTGCCCCGTTTTTTCAAACTCTTCAACATTATCCGATATCAAGTCTTTGAAATTAATTGTACCTGATGGTACTGGTCCTGTTCCATCTTCAATCATTATTATTGGTAATTTAATCGATTTATTATCACTGATACTTTCTGTAACAGTTGAGTATTTGAAAGGCATGGTAATGACAGCTTTCGAATCAGAGATAACTAATTGCCTTTTTATTTCTCTCACTGTGTACAGAGGGTTTACCACAGTTAACTAAAACATTTTATGAAACAAAATAATACAGGAAAATTTTTTTATCACGATTAGATGTTACTTTTACTGTCAAAGAAAAAACTCCCACCTTTAAACCAGCTTCACTAGCTCCTAAGAAGATTATCGCATATTCAGGTACATTAGGGAGAATCGCTGCAATAGTATCACCAGGTTGGAGGTTATTTTTCCTTAGAGATGTAGCCAATCGTCCACTTAATCTCTTTAATTGTCCATAAGTATATGATCGTCCAGTCTCTGCACACTCCTATATTAAATAAAAAATTTATGAATTATTTTTTAATTTTGTTAAAATTCTAAAGTGAGTTGATTTCTTAAAATTCACTAACCAGGGCTGTTTTATCCCACCATTTTCCAGCATTTTGCCAGAGATACTCATGAAGTAACAAACCATTAGAATCCGGAATTTCACTTATATGACTTTTAAATATGTTTCCATCACTTAAACCTGATGTAGAAGAGTAATACTTTTCACAATAAATAGTTTTATGGAAAGTAGCTCGTTCTTTATACAAATTTTCTGACAGTTGAGTATGACTTCGGAAACTAGTCCCACCAAGAACGTTGCAGTAATTTTTGAACAAGTATTGATACCGAGAAGAAAAACAGAAACGTGCCATATCGGAAACACTTGAATTGTTTTCTTACTAATTTCTTCTACTGCTCAAAGACAACTGACTCCAATCAGGAGTTTAATATTTTCATTAGAGACTACTTTTTAGTCTCGTCTTCATTGGAATAACAAATATAAACCATTAAGGAAATAAAAGTTTTATCAATTTATAAAATGTCGAAACTGACAAAGTTGTATTTATATCTAATTACCATATTCAATTTTAAAAATCTATTCATCGAGTGACCTGCGGCTATAAACGATCGACAAATAAATAGATATTTATCAAAAAATAAATTTTCTTTCACATTTCATATAATAAATTATTTATTTCTTACTATTTTATAATCATTTTGTTTATCATGTAGCTATTACATCATTATTTTTTGTGTTTTATTTTCAATCATTCGTCAAATCTTCAATAGAACAGTTCTCAGCTAATTATAGTGTATAATGATACTAAATATAAATTATAGATACATTAATAAATATAAATACTGTTGAGAAACAATATTTGAATATTTCAAGTGTAATGATCAATAATTAAAATAAAACGAAGAATATTATTTGTATTTACTTTGTCTTGATATGATGAAATTTTAATTACAGTACCAGAAGACATACACAATTATCAAAAGCAAGAAGTAGTATATTATTGTTGATAAGGAATATCTGGAAGATAAAATTACAAGAAGGATTGAAAAATTAAATTGAAGGAGTTAACGTTTCACGAAAAATTATTCAAGAGGTAATGTTTTCAGATTTATTTGCATTCTATAAAAACATCAAGTCTTACAAAATTGAATACATCATCTTATATTTTATTAAACAATTTCTACTACATTTTTAACAGTTCCCTTCGTAATATTTTTCCAGCGGGACTTTTAGGAATTGTATCAGTAATAGTAATGTGGCCAAGATGTTTATATTTAGCAACACGTTTTGCTACAAATTCTTTCAACTCTTGTTCGTCGATACGCATATTAGGTTTAGGAACGATGAAGGCTTTGGGTATTTCTCCGTATCGTTCGTGTGGTACTCCAATGACTGCTACGTCAGCGACTTTTTCATGACCTAGAATAACGTCTTCGAGTTCAGCAGGAGCTACCTGGTAGCCCTGAACCTTGATCAGTTCTTTAAGTCGTCCTTTTATGTACAGAAAACCTGAGCAAAGTTTTTACATTTTAGATGAATAATCAGTGAGGGCAATAGTTTAGTATCAATTACCTTGATCATCAATAAGTCCCAGGTCACCAGTCTTGAACCATTCACCCTCCATACACTCTTGAGTAGCTTGTGGATTTTTATAATATCCTTTCATGACTTGTGGTCCTTTTACAAATATCTCTCCAACTTCATTTACTCCTAAATTCTTGTTTTTATTTTCATCATTGCATCCGACAATTCTCAGTTTTGTTTGTGGAAGAATTAGTCCTGTACTGCCCAAAGGACATTTTAAACTTTGAGCAACCACTGGTGAAGTTTCCGTTAAACCATATCTAGAAGTGTATTGATATTAATATAAATTGTAATATAACTATGCATTTTTTATATGATACAAATACCAACCCTTGGGTAAATAAAAAATGAGTTCCTGCTCGCTCGATTAATTTTTCAGCTACGGCATTACTTAACGGTGCTGCTGCAGATGCTAGAAATTCTACATTTGCTACGTGTTTTGGTGTCAATCTTTTATCATTAGCTAATAGTTGAATAATAGGTGGAACAGCATATATCGCTGTTACTTTGTTTTTTTCTAATACTTCAAATAGTGTTGATGATGAAAACTGCGGTATGCAAATTATTTTTCCTCCGCAGCTATATTAAGTATGTTGAGAAATTATTAGCTTCTTGGTTTTCATTGTTGATAATGATCAATAGTAAATAAAATTAATTTTTAATATTACCTCAAATACGTGTTCAAGATAGAAGTCAAACCATAGGCATGAAACAATGGCAAAAATAGTGGCACAATTTCTTGATTAGTTCGTAAAGCCCACGGGCATATTGCTTCCGATTCCGCTCGAATTTGAAAACAGTTCGCAACAAGATTTCTATTTTAAGAAATGATTGAAATTTAGGAAGTATCCATAATGCGATGAACTAAAAAAACGACAAATAAGCAATATTTTTACCTATGGGTCAATGAAACACTTTTAGGGGGTCCTGTAGTTCCACTGGAATAAGGTAGCACGAAGGTATCCTCATTCGGATTTCGCTCTGTTTTTTGCCCCGTTTTTTCGAACTCTTCAACACTATCCGATATCAAGTCTTTGAAATTAATTGTACCTGATGGTATTGATCCTGTTCCATCTTCAACGATTATTACTGGTAATTTGATTGATGTATTATTACTGATACTGTCTTGGATGATTGGATATTTCCATGATGCAGTAATAACAGCTGAAGTTTCAGAGTTGATAAGCTGTTTTCTTATTTCTTCTGCTGTCGCAAGCGGATTTACTAGAGTTACCTGAAAAATAACAATTTTTATCATCAAAAATTAATTCAGTTTCTGTTATCAAAAATATATATATCTTACTCGAAGACCAGCTTCACTAGCTCCTAATAAAAGTATTCCATATTCAATCACGTTAGGAAGAATTATAGCAATGGTGTCACCAGGTCGGAGCTTACTTTTCCTTAAAGATGTTGCTAATCGGCCACTTAATCTCTTTAATTGTTCATAAGTGTACGATCTTCCTGTCATTGCACATTCCTGTATACATTTACAAATCAAAGAATTGTTATAAAGTTTTTTTTTAATATAAAGTGACGTAATTTATTATAATTTGTTTACCAGAGCTGTTCTATCCCACCATTTTTCAATATCTCTCCAAATATACTCATGGAGAAACATTCCATTATAATCAGGGATGTCTGGAAGGCGACTAGTGAAAACTTTTTCGTTGTTTAAATTTGATGTTGATGAATAGTGCTGGGCATGTTTTGAATTAATAGTATCATGATTACAAATCCACTTGATATGAGATGTTCCAAAACTTTCAGTCTTAGCGGACGATAATGTAAAAACATTACGTGAGAATCGTAGATCACGGTTGGCAAAGTTTTTACACGTGAAATGTTTATATCGTAAAAGCAAACTTTGACGAGCCATTGGAGACAATGGTGAAGTTTTACAGTGTCTTGATTCTTTAGAAGCTGAAACTAAACTAAACTGTAATTATCAGTTTTACGATGTGTGATTTATTGCGCTCTTTGTTTTTATTTAAAAATTTATTCTTCGTTGTAAAAATTATACGATTAATTATTCAGGAAAATTTATCACCTTAGACTAATAATTATCTGATAAAAGTAAATAATGTATTACTTATTATCAAATTAGGAAATTCATTATGAAGGCTATTTCTTCAAGTAATTTTGTATACTCAAGGTCAGTGACATTGAAGACTTATTTTATTGAGGTTGGTCTACTGTCATAAGTTTCTGAGACTGCCGTATCCCTTCTCTAATTTTAGGTAGAAATCTCTAGATATTTAAAATATTTTACTTGTGGATGTGTTTAGTGGAAATGGAAAAATTAATGTAACAGACTACTGACTGTCAATTTCTTTTTACAGGAAATTGTGATCACTGATTATTTCTACACTGGTTTAATGAATGGAATTAATAAAAATGCATATTGGATTTAATCGTACAAGAAAAGGTAACGGAAATTAATGAAAATGCATGAAAATTGACCATTAATATGTAAATATATTTTTTTCATTAAAAACTGCGTTGTAATCATTTAATGAAATAAAGAGTTCGTTATGTAATTTTACGTAAAAACGAGTATTCATAACAGTTTACTTATATTAACAGAGTATTATTTATATATATATATATATATATAACGATAGGTAAAGTTGTAATATAGCATAAAAATATTTATGTATAAAAAATAGATATGTGTGTTGTAAAATCTTACAAAAATAGTTTAATTTTAATTTCAGATATCGGAAATGATCAACCAGGTCTTTACAAGATCGAAGGATTCATCGTATCTTTGTGTAAATAAAGATAACTACATCTGTTGCAATATACGTCGAAGAATTTTTCCAGCTGGACTTTTAGGAATTTTATCGATGATAGCAACGTTGCCAAGATTTTTATATTTAGCAACACGTTTTGCTACAAATTCTTTCAACTCTTGTTCGTCGATACGCATATTAGGTTTAGGAACGATAAAGGCTTTGGGTATTTCTCCGTATCGTTCGTGTGGTACTCCAATGACTGCTACGTCAGCAACTTTTTCATGACCTAGAATAACGTCTTCGAGTTCAGCAGGAGCTACCTGGTAGCCCTGAACCTTGATCAGTTCTTTAAGTCGTCCTTTTATGTACAGAAAACCTGAGTAAAGTTTTTTTATTTTAAATGAATATTCAGTGAGGACAATAATTTAGCATCAATTACCTTGATCATCAATAAGTCCCAGGTCACCAGTTTTGAACCATTCACCCTCCATACACTCTTGAGTAGCTTGTGGATTTTTATAATATCCTTTCATGACTTGTGGTCCTTTTACAAATATCTCTCCAACTTCATTTACTCCTAAATTCTTGTTTTTATTTTCATCATCACAACCAACAATTCTAAGCTCTGTATTCGAGAGTATTAACCCTGAGGATGCTAAAGGAGCTTTCTTACTCTTAGAAATTACAGGTGAAGTCTCAGTCAACCCATACCTATTCATGAATCATAACGGTTCATTTAATGCTATATTTTTCTAAAATTTGTAGAAAATCTGTCGAATAAGTTTCTTCTTTTTTTATTAAAATTTATATTTAACTGTTTCATACCCTTGTACTATCTCGATTGGAATTTTACACTTTGTTCGAAATTTATCAATCATTTCTTCACCCATTGGGGCTGCTCCAGACATCAAAAGTTTGACGTTTTCGATATGACTAGTCGTAAATCTTTCTTCATTTACTAACAGTTGAATTATTGGTGGAGCTACGTACAGAAGCGTCGTTTTATTTTTTTCTAATACCTCTAGAAGAGCTGTCGATGAAAATTGAGGCATGCAAATAATTTTTGCTCCAATACTGTAATTGTTAAAAAAACCTTGACATTATTCATTCATAGAGTTACATTTCTTCTTGAAGCATAAAAAATTACCTAAGATAATAGTATAATATACAAACAAGACCATAGATATGATATATTGGTAAAAATAATGGTACAATTTCCTGATGATTTCCAATAGCTTCTCCAGATATATTGACTTCTTTTGCTCCAAATTGATAAAGATTTGCAACAATATTCCTGGATGTTAAAATTCTCATTGATTCTTTTAATATTTATTTAGGTCATAGCAGTTTTTTAAAATGAAATTGATGTAATGATTCAGGCATAATAATAATTTTAACCTGTGAGTGAGTTCGACACCTTTAGGAAGTCCTGTAGTTCCACTAGAATAAGGTAGCACTAAGGTATCTTCATTAGGATTTTGTTCAGTCTTTTGTCCAGTTTTTTCGAATTCTTCAACACTCCCAGAAATTAAGTCATTGAAATTAATCGTACCAGATGGTACAGGTCCCGTTCCATCTGCAACCACTACTGTTGGTAATCGAATAGCAGAATTATTAACAATACTTTCTGCAACAACTGGATACTTTGAAACAGTTGTAATAATAGCAACAGTTTCAGAATTGATCAATTGTTTTTCAATTTCTTTCGATGTGTAAATAGGATTTATCAGTGTCACCTGTTGTGATTACAATGTTATCTTATAAATCATTATCAAAATTTGGCAAGTGAATTAGATTCTTTTGTCTCTTACTTGAAGACCTGCTTCACTAGCTCCTAATAAGAGTATTGCATATTCAGGCACGTTAGGGAGAATTGCTGCAATAGTATCACCAGGTCGAAGGTTATGTTTTCGCAGAAATGTAGCTAATCGTCCACTTAATCTCTTCAATTGTTCATAAGTATATGATCGCCCAGTCATTGCGCATACCTACATTTATTCAATTTTAAAACTATCATTTCTATAAGTATGAATATGAGGATATTCGTGTAGAATTTTAAGATGCTTACCAATGCAGTTTTATCCCACCACTTTTGCATATTCCTCCAAATAAACTCATGAAGGAATATTCCATGATAGTTTGGAATATCAGGAATAGCGCTTTTAAATATATTTTCATGGTTTATCCGCAAAGCTGATGAATAGTGTTGAATGTTATTAAGTTGAACTTTGTTATTGTTATTCCATTTAGTGTAAACATGATTGTTGCATTTAATTTGCGTATTAAATGATTTAATCATACAATAAAAAACCGGATTTTGAGTACGAAGATTTTTCTGTATAATGCGTTGATGTCGAAAAAATAAACACAGACGTGCCATTAGTGATGTTGATTAAATGTACAGAATGTCTTGAATCTTTGACAGCACCAAAGCAACTGAATGTCTGTCAGGGTCATGATATGATGATTTTCATCAAAAAAAGATTAAAATAAAAAAATGATAAGTAATTCTATCACAATTCACTAGATGCCTCTTCTGGTCATAAAATTGCTGCAGTAGTCTAACAACCAACTCTGATGACTACAAATTACTTTTTAGCAAATATAACTGGTACATGTATATTGCATATACATAAATGATAATTGATTACTGTTAAATCAACACATTAAATATTATTATAAGATACTTTGTAAAGTGTGTTGCTCTAAACTCATACCTAAAACAAGATTTCTGTGTTAAAAAAAAAAAAAATATCAAAGATATGGAAACGATGTTTGAAAACTTTTGTTAATAATAATTTTTATTTACATTTATTCAATAGAAACATGTATGGAAATAAATTGTATTTAAAAAAACTTGATAATTGATGTCATGTCTTATATCTTTCAGAATATGAACAAAAAGTCTATTAAAAAAATTTTAATTGCGATCGAATAAAAATGAAGGATCTAAAATAGTTAGTATTAATTTTAGATTGAAACAGTCAATGTTCGGATGGTCGTTTATGACTTTTAAAAGCAGATATTGGTTTTGAATGCTGTCAGCACTGATGATGTTGATCCTCTTGCACAGTCCAGGGACTCATTTGTCACTGTACACACATGTGACTAATTAATATAGATCTATAGCAAGAGTACAGTCCGAGAGACACCACGTTACAATTACCGGAGCAAAATAACTACGATGAACGATTGGAAGAACTATCCATGTGTATTACACGTGATACATATATTTTATTGTTATAAAAATTGTACTGACCTAAAAATGTTTTAATATTTTTTTTATTTCATAAAATAACAAATTATAAATATCAGTTTTTTCATATCAATAAATTCTTAAATTTATAGATCAATTTTCTTATAATAAAAACATTTTTCTTTTGTTTAATACAAATATTCTTCGCTTATATTTTTTATTTAACACTATTAATTGTTACAAAATTTTTACAAAACATTAGAAATTGGGCAATTATTAATAATAGATTCTAAGTACATAATTGTATAAATATCGTTAGGTTTGTATGATTTTCATAAACACATTGTAAAATATTTAATGTGACTTTTATTTACTTTAGTAGGACATAATTTATATCAAATTTATTTACTGAAATTAAATATCCTTTAAAATCTATAGATAAAACATTAATTTAATTTTTAAAAAATAAATGCCAGTAATTTTGATAATTTAAAACATTTTAATTCATATTTGCTTCGCGCTACTTTTTTATTGGCTATTTAATTACGAATCAAAGGATAAGTAGGCACAAAGCGCCAAAAAGAACACCGAAGATTCCCGAAGTTTTTTCATCCAATGGTCGCGAGGGATTCGCGGCTATTTCATCTAGGTACAGCGGGCCGTTAGCATCTTTAATTGCGCATAAGTGAAAATTGTAAGTGAAAAATTAGTGGGCAATAAGGATCAACGTCTTTTTGGTAATAAATATATTATTTTTATTGTTTAATAATGTCTAAATTATTTGTATATTCTTTAATAATTAATACTAAAAAAAGTTTTCAAGATTAATACGTTAATACATTCGTGTAAAAATCGGCATCATCTTCGTAATCTTCGATGGCGTCGTTTCCTAAAAGTCGGTTTTTACGTTAAATTAACAATAAATAACCAACTTTTTATGTGTTAGTTACAAGTTGAAATATTTTTCTAAACTATTTTAATATATTTACATAAGAATATATCCTTTTATCGGTGTTTTTTTTTCTCAGTCATTTGTACATTAACACGTGCATATTTTTTATGCTAAAATAAGTTCGCTTCCGATGTGAATTTTTACTTTTCTACATTTATCAGTCTTTTTAATGAATACAGAAAACTTTATTTTATTGAACATATTTCTTTAATTGATTATTTCATGTTACATTTGAATGTTTTCTTTGTTACATTGAGACTCGCATAAACATATAATTCGAAGAAATTCTTCTGTCGCCGATCGCGTCAACTCGACTAAATAGTTCGTCTATCCTTCAGACAAAGATAAACACGAGATTACTGATCTTATTTTCTAGTCATTCTAAGAATTACACATTATCGTTTGATATTTCCGATCTTTATTTCGAATGCAATTTGTATATGTATATATATAATAAAATACCTTTGTGTTCGTATATTCATTTGTTTTGATTACGTTTAGTATGTTCGATTAGTAGTATTTATTTTGTTTTTACACAAAAGAATTTATTATTATTTTTTTTCACTTGACAAAATTATTGTTAACTGAAATTTATTATTATCTAAAAACTACTTTTGATTGATTTACTATAAAAATTTCTAATTCAATCGAGCACGTTTTCAATGAAAATTTTTTTTTTTTAATTTTTCGAATAAGAATTATTCTTATCTATTTTGATGCTAAGTTATTTCAATGTTGGATGTAGTTCTTATAATAAAAAAAAGAAACATGATTTTTCTTGTTAAACTTGATCTACTTTTAATTGAGGAATTTTTTTGAGATTTTTCTTTTCTTCAATCGAAATGTGTGATTTGTTTAGATAATTTACAACGAATATTTACTAAATAAAAGAAAACAACTAATTATTTTGTTTTATTATTCCAATTTTTATTCTTTAGTGTCACAATGGAAGGACAGCAACCACCTGGCGGAAGAGCCCGTGGTCGTGGTCGAAGTACCAGTAGACCTGATAGATCTCAGCCTCCTCAACAACAACAAGCATGGGTGCGTCCAGGAGTACCTCCTCAACAATCCGAGAGTTCATATGGGCCTCCTGTAAGTACATAATCGTAGACTTTTATTTAATAAAAAAAATAGGTTTCTACTATTAAAAGAAAAAAGTCGAAATACCATCGTTCACAGACTTCAAGAGGCGTCGTCCGAACTCCAATGCCACATCAGTCATCACAAGGGGATCGCGCTCCAGGGCAACAGCAACAGCCATCGACATCAACTTCAGTTGGTACGGGATATCGACTTTTTCATTACTTTTCCTATTAATTTTCGATATAATCGTCGAATGGATTTATTTCTGTTATGTGGACAATTATTAAATTTACTTTCTTTTATTGGAGGCGGGGGAGATGCAGCAGCAACTCGATCAATGGGTAGAGGTGCTATGAGAGGAAATAAAATGATTGTTCCTGAAATTTTCACTCGTCCTGAACATACCAGAAACTCTAAAAAGGGTATATTACAAGAGAAAAAGAAAATAGTACATTTCACACCTAGGGAGGGAAAGTAGTCTAGCTCAAACCACGTGTAAAATTACAACCCGAGCCGAAGGCGAGGGTAGTAAACACGTGGTTTAAGCTAGTCTAATTGTCTTCTCTAGGGCTGAATATGATTTTTCGTCATACCTACGTGGAAAGTTCAACCCCTCTCCAATGGAAAAGTGAACTTTCCGTGCGGGTATGACGAAAATTTCATTTTCACATTTAATATGATTTGATAATAAATAAATAATTTGACTTATAGGAACTATTGGTCAGCCAATAAATTTGGAAGCAAATTTTTTCAAGATTCTAAATGCTCCAGATTGGTGCTTATTTCAGTATCGAGTCGATTTTGCTCCTGAAGAAGATAGAAATGCAGTACGTAAAGGTCTATTACGTCTTCATAAAGATAGATTAGGAACGTATATTTTTGATGGTACAGTGATGTACACTTGCAATCGATATGCTAATGTATCCACAACTGAAGTAAGTAAAGAAAATTTGTATTTATGTCAACATCAACAATAATTTTTTATATTAATATTTACTAAAACTTTATTTAAAATATGCAGTCAATGAAGCTGACTTCTAAAAGAGAATCGGATGATGCTACAATTGAAATTAGTGTTCGACTTGTCGGCGAAATGTCCAAAGGAGATCCTCACTATCTTCAATTATATAATATTTTGTTACGTCGTGGTTTGGAACATTTACGTTTACAATTGGTTGGAAGAAATTACTTCGATGCCAGAGCGAAGGTAAAATTTAGAAATTAAATTACGTTTTTTTCTTAATTAAAATAATTAAATTAATAAAAAAAAAAAAAAATTACTAAATTCAAATTAATTATTGTTAGATTGAAATAAGAGAGTTCCGCCTGGAATTGTGGCCTGGATATCAAACTTCTATTCGTCAACATGAACGAAATATTTTAATGGGTGTTGAAATCACAAGTAAAGTTATGCGTCAAGAAACATTATTGGACATTTTGAATAATGTTCGACAAAGAGTTGATTCTGGAGATTTACAGGTAAAAATTTTAAATTATGCATTATTGAATTCATTTTCCGATTTTTATAAAATTTGTAAGATTATATAAGTTGATTTATTCTTCTTTATAATTTTTAATTCCTTTAATGTTTTAAAAACATAGGCAGCTTGTCGTGCTGAAGTGATCGGATTAACAGTCCTAACTGATTATAATAATAACACTTACCGTGTAGAAGACATTGATTTCGGTCATAATCCACAAAGCTCTTTCAAAATAACAAAAGGGGGTAAAGAAACTGAAACCACGTACATCGATTATTATAGACAAAAATATAATATTACTATAAGAAATAGATCCCAGCCTCTTTTGATCACTCGTCCATCTATCAGAGATCGTCGAGCTGGTAAAGATAAAGATCAAGATATATGTTTAATTCCTGAACTATGTAGAGCTACAGGTAAAATAGTTTATTGCAATCACTTTAAAATACAAACTGAATATTCTAATTATTAATTTACTTTTCTTTTTTACATGCTTGAATGATAAAAATTTTTTTACAATTCTAGGCTTAACCGATTCTATGAGAAGTGATTATAAACTAATGGCTGCTCTTGGAGAACATACAAGACTTAAACCAAATGGTCGGATTGATAGACTTATGGCATTTAATCGTCGTCTCCTTGCACAACCAGAAGTAGTTAAAGAATTCGATCAGTGGCAGTTGAGATTAGACACCCAGCTGGTACAAGTACCAGCAAGAGTATTACCAATTGAAAATATGTTATTTGCCAACAAAAATGAAAGTGCTGGAAGACAAGTGGAATGGGGACGATGCCTTCAAAAAGCTAAACATATTGTTAGTACTAGAATGTCGGATTGGGTGTTGGTGTTTCCAAATAGAATCCGCCGCGATGCTGATGTAATTAATTTATGAATTGAAAAATTAATATTTCCTTAACCCCACATATAAATACATTTTTTTTTTTTCAGACATTTTTCCATAACATTATGGAAGTCGCTCGCGGAATGCAATTCAGTGTTAATCAGCCTGTGATGCGCGAATTGCGAGGTGATGGTGCTCGGGATTATGTCGAAGAACTCGAGTCAATAATGAGACAAAAAAATCCGCAACTTGTTTGTTGCATTGCACCTAGACAACGAGCAGATGTATATGCAGCTATTAAACAAAAATGTTGTGTAGATCGACCAGTTCCCAGTCAAGTTGTGCTGTCAAAAAATATTTCTTCTAAAATTTCTATGTCAGTTGCCACAAAAATAGCTGTTCAAATGAGCTGTAAAATTGGAGGAGCTCCATGGTCCTTGCATTTTGGATTTAAAAATTTGGAAGGCGGTATTATGATTGTTGGATTTGATGTTTGTCATGATCCAAATCGACGTGGAACTGATTATGGTAAATTATTTTTGAAATCTTATATTCTATTGCATTATTGTTTTTATAGTTAATTTAATTATTATATTTTATATATGATACTTTGTATTTAATGAAATTATTTTTATTATTTCTTTAATTGGTTACAGGAGCCATGGTTGCTTCATTGGACCCTGGTATGAGTCGCTACTTTTCAGCTGTGACTGCACATAAAAATAATGAAGAATTGACCAACGAATTTACTTCAAACATGATTAAAGCAATTCGTAAATATGCCGAACTAAATAGTAATACATTCCCAGCTCGAATTATAATATATCGCGATGGTGTTGGAGATGGACAAATACCATATGTCGTAGATCACGAACTTAAACATTTACGAGAACATCTCGATAAATTTTATGCTCAAAATCCAGTGAAAATGGCGTTCATCATTGTAACCAAGAGAATTAACGTTCGATTGTTCTTAAACAAACGAGATAATCCACCACCAGGTACTGTCGTTGATGACGTTATTACTAATCCTTCTCGATATGATTTCTTCCTGGTTTCACAATTTGTCAGAAATGGATCTGTATCACCTTCTGCATATAATGTTATTTATGATACTGTAGGATTTGATGTATCAGCTATTCAACAGTTGACATATAGATTAACTCATATGTACTTTAATTATTGTTCAACAATTAGAGTACCTGCTCCTTGCCAGTATGCTCATAAACTGGCATTCTTAGTGGCTCAATCTATTCATAAATCACCCAGTAGCCATCTGGAAAATTTACTTTACTTTTTGTAATATTTCAACTTATTGAAAAATTTATTTTTTTATTTTTCTTGAAAAAAAATATTTTTTTATTTTATTTCTAAAAAAGTTGGGAAAAATTTTATAGAAAAACGTACATTGTTTTCAACTAATATTTTATAATTTTTTTAATACGTACTAAGTACTCAAAATTTTGAGGTTTATTTTTTATGAATTAAGTAAGTTGATAAAACTTAACAATGAGTTCAATAACATCATTTTCTAAAAAAATAATTAATATTTTTGGAAATTATTAATATATAAAAAAAAATCAATAACTACTAAAAAATCAGAAACTTCTTTTAAGTTTGTGGTACTTTCATTATTTGCTAAAAATGTTTCTTTTTCATTTTCAACTCGTAGATATATCAGAAAAGTACTTTTCTACTAATAATCATTTTGCAAACTTTGTTTTCTCATTAAAAACTACTTATAATTAAGTAATATAATCATTAAATAATCAATTTGTGTTTACTTTGAAGTAATTAGAATTAATAAATATTACTTGTACGCAAAAGTAATTGATGAATACTTCAATTGAATAACCTAATTGATCAGTTCTCCCGTAGCAAAATACTTCAAATATTATTTCCATGTAACATCCAAATGATTCCTCATCCGTACAACATACAACCTATCTAATAAAATGGTAAGTAACAAAATAAACTTTCTAGGCCATTTTAGTTTTCATCTTAACATTTTTCATTCTTTTGTTTCGAAGGTCGAGGTTAACAATATTATCAGAATCCTAAGGACTCGTCACGCGATTGTACGATTTGCCAACACGTCGTGGTATCTTACAAAATTTTTTACAGTATTTTTCAATCTCTCTTTCCTTCCTTCAGATCTGTAATATGAAGTTTTCGTAAAGAATTTAAGTAACTGATACGAACACTGTGCAACTTTATGGATATTTGTCAAGAATGTGAATGCAGAAGGTATATGATATTCATTCTAAATTCGCGTGCAAGTACATAAAAAGATTAAATATCCTTCTGTCAAATATAGGGAGCCTTGATCTACATTGTTTATATATTTTTTTTATTCCTAAATGAAGTAAATTATATAAGTTCAAAAACATCTCTACTATTTTTAGAATAATGAATGTTAATGCATAACATTTATTTAATTTTTATGCATTCGTTAGACGTGAATAATAAGACAGATTTTATTTATTATTTCATGAAAAATTTATAAAAATTTTTACTTTTTATTTTTTTGTCGTAGTAATTAGAAGTAGTCTTGTTAATTTACTTGAAAAGTAATTAGCTCAGAGCAATATATGACATTTAAATTTGATTACCTTAATTACGAAATTATTTATACCTCATAGACGATTAAATACCATGATCGTTTTGCTACGGATTCATTTACTGTTTGTATTCTAAAAGGGCCAACCTAATAACTTGTCTTACTAGCCAATGCGCTGCTATATAAGCTTAACATAGGCTTTCAACTAGTCATTACACATCAGAGTGTCATAAACACTCTGCTAATACTCCGAATCGGAGTAAATGTAAGCGTCATCTCCATTTCAAATTAACTCTTTTTCTTTTCGTTAAGTGCACTCTCATTCAGAAAATTACCAAGTGATTCTCCATTTGTTCCAAGGTCGCTCAAATTTATGTATCTAAACTACATAATTTATATATTTTTTACAATTTACTAATTTTTAAAAATCATGTAATTACTTGAAACGGTAATATAGTTAATGAATTATCTAAAATCTTTGATTCATATTGAAATTATAATTTAAAAAAAACAGATATTTTTTTTTTTCAATTACAAAAAACTATCTCTTGAATTAAGTTTTTTTTGTTATGATTCTTTAAAATAATATTGTCACATTTAAACGTGAAACCCATTCAGAAAATTACCTAATTTTTTTCAATTTCCTTCAAGATCACTTGCAAAAATTCTTTTCTCTTATTTGTAATTATTTTCAAGGAGACAATTATGAATTTTCCATGCATGAGCTTTAAAAAGTTTGCTCAAGGTCACCTACAATAAATCTTTTTTTTAAGGTATATAATTTTTATAAAATAAAACAGACAAATAATTTTATGTTGACTGTTTGAGAGTTAAGACTAATCAAATTTGTGATTGAGTTTCAGGTAACGTGAAAGACGTTTGAGCTGGAGAAGCATTAGCGATAGGTCAACACATAGTGGGGTTGATAGAGGACTAGTGGAGAAGAGGGTTGTCGGTGAGGTGGCGCCCTCCCTTATACTTTCGATCGACCCTATCGCGTTCTCAGTTATCCCTCGTCCTCTCTGGCTCCTTCCTTGCTCGCAGTGTCCATTCGTCCTCTTGAGAGCTCAGTAGTCAGCGATCCAGCGACCCGGTCAACACTAGGTGAGCTTGCAAAAGCTCTTGCACTGGGAACGTGATGCGTGCATTGCAATAATAAATTTATCGTGTGAAAAAGGGAGAATATTTAAAAATAACACAGGTATGATATTTTTAAAGAACAATTTTTATTTTTATCGATAATATTTTTTTATTAATTTTATTTATGATTTTGGTCTTGTTTATTTGATTATTTTTTTTTATTTAAAATTTTTTGTTTACAATTTTTTTTTCTTTAAATTGCGGGTTTTGTGGCAAGGAGTATCCACTAAAAAGAGGACATGTAAATTGGACAGATGACATAAAGCGTTGACAGAGTAAAGAACGAGGACCTCAATTGTATAACAATCGATCGAGTGACTCAACAAAGATCGAAATAATCGAACGGATGTGTTCCTGGGTTAAACAAGTAGCTGAGCCATTGGTTGAGGAAGTCAATAACGTATGCTCTGGCTTAAGTTTAGTCTTTGCAACGACGTAATTCTAGATCGTGAGTCTTTGAAAAAATATATTGAGGTGATAGTTATTAAAAAATATTTTCAAGAACGAAATTCAGGAAACGAAGAAGGAAAATGTGATAGTGCAGACAAAAAAGAAATACCTCCCTGGTGATATCGAACTTTTTATTTATCTTTTTTTTTTATTTCGAGAAATGCTTTGATGGCATTCTTTCAAGTGGACGAGTGAGAAATAGAACTGAAATGTTATTGTCATTTTTAACAGTGACTCGATAAAAAAATATTTAATGCAGACCGAGTATAAGGGAAAAAAAGCTTTTAAGAAATGTCTTCTTATGGTTACAAATGTGTTGTTTACTAGACACGTGTCTAATTGGATTTTTTATTGTTGGATATTAAACAATGTGCAAAAGGTATAACCTTTTATCTTCATTAATATTCATAATCTTAACATTAAAAAATTTCATTAATTTTCATCAAAATTATTTATCACGTCTCTGAAAGTATTTGTAATGATTTAAATGTTTTCCGAAGTAATGATTCAGATTAACTAATTTCCGCAATGGCGTTCTCATTCCTCATTAAATCTCCTGGTGACTATAATCATACTTTATGGAGAAACGAGTAGAGAAATTCATAAGAAGGAAATTTGAAGATATTAACCAAGAAGATATGATAAAATATTTGATTTATATTTTATGTGAAATTGAAATTTTAATTTTTTTAGTCGTGGACCATTTTTAGATGAACTTTTTATAAAATATTGAAAAAATTGATTCAAAATATTTGCTGCCTTCAAAATTTCTTATTCAATAAAGTGTTAAATGGAAGCAGTTCGATTGAATCTCATTTAACAAATATTGAAGAAAAGTGATAAATTTATATTCAAGTTAAAAAAAAATATTTTATAGTATTTGTTACCAAGCGAAAAATCAGTTTGTATAATTTTCTCGATTGTTTATATTTTCTTTTTTCTATCTAAAGGTTTTTGTAACTTAAAAAAACTAAAGAGGTCAGTGCGAAAGCGCAGAAAAGTGGAAGGAATGACGCAAATATCCGCACGATATTCTCAATCAAACGTATTCATTTGAAAATGTAGGACATGAATATTCTTTAAGCACAAAAAAATCATTTCTCTATGGATTCTCAATTCAGCAAGACATTATATTCGACATTCTAATGTAAAAGTTTTCAGTTTCTAGTACAGTTTAAGTTGTAATGTATGTCGTATTGAGAGAAGAAAAGAAGAAGAAAATGTACAGAGAAGAAAGAAAAGGAAATGGAAAAGCTAAAAAATCTTGTGCCAAAGAGAGTGGAGAGAGTCAACGAAAAATGACTGGCGCTGGAAGCTCGTTAGGTCGGGCTGTGGCTTGTACGTCACACCGAGAAATCGAGGTAACCTCTTTCGCCAGCGGAGGCTCTTACCCCACGCTATGACTCCCCCTGACCTCCGCCTGGAGGGCGATCGACGACTTCGACAACACTAAAACTGATCCCTTCACTTATTCAAGAATTATTACCTAAATTTTTAAATCCCTACATCTCGTCTGGATAAGATTAATGTTTCTAGTGATTCAGATGTTGATCTTCTACGGATATTGTGAATATAAAATAAGTCATTGATGAAAAATATTTTTACCCAAAATCGTTGCTTGAGGTTTAATTTGAAATGAAATCGACTTGATAATTCATTATTACTTTAAATATTTACTAGCTGCTTCACTCTAGGGTCTTTGACATGTCTCTAGTGCTAAGAGTTACTTCTCTCAGGCACGCCAAAGTTATCTACAGGCTTATTATTTATTCTTATTTTAATTTCTAGTTACTGTATACTTTGAACGAAAATACTTCTTTAAAATACTTTTATTATTGCCGTGAATTATAACTATACAGTATATTAGATTAATCTTGAATAGTGATTGCTTCTTTAAAATCCATTTTTCAAATCTACTTGATTGAATTGAATTACGCTTTTTTGTTTTATTACATGAATATTGATTTTAAGAGTGGCTTTAAACTATTTGTATCAAACCTTTTACATTTGACTTGTTTCGAATTCACAAATTGATTCAATTATAGAACATGAATTCATATTTATTTATCGATAGTTTTAAAAATAATTCCTTGTATTCTGTTACTTGATCTTAGTCAAACAATAGTAAATCCCGATTTAGAGATAACAGCATTTAAATTATTACTAATTACAAGTCGATATTAAAATTCATTAAGCTTAACTTTAAATTAGTAGAAGTGTTTTCTTAATTATAATTAAAAAAAAACTATTCTTCTGTGCACAACCAAGACAACTATCTGTTTCCATATGATTGATTTAACTGTTAAAGTAAGATTACCTTTGTGAAAGTCTTAAGACCTTCAACATTCGACCCTCGAGTCCAAAAATAACTGATATCCGCGTGGCTTACACGAGCTTGCTCGAAAATTACCGTCATAGGTATACATATCTACAATCATGAATTACCTCTTTTCTTGTCTTTCCCATCTTAGGCGGAAGAAGCCACGGGATTGGTTTTCCTCCGGTATGTGAATTAGGTCCAACAGTGTTATCTACTACATTCTCCATCCTTTGAATCATTCGAAGAGCACCAGAAACGAAGCTTCCGTCCCATTTGCTTTTCAATACTATTCTACTCATGTCGACACTTGATTCCTCACTTCGATTCTCTTCTTGCATTGTTCCGTCATTTATCCCTATCGATGCCCACATCTCACCTTAATTCTTATGCTAATCCTCATGCAAAAGCACAAGAAACTATCACGATTAATTTAAATGTGTCAGAACAATTTGAAATTTTAAAAAAGTTTTTATTATGATGCATTAAAATTGATCATGTGAACTTTTGTCAAAGATAATTATTAAGTACGGGAAATTTGTTGTAATTCAGCTTTTGAATGGTTGATGAATTTTTCTACTTTTATTTCGTTTTCTATTATTAAAATAAAAATTATTTTATTCACGTTGTGAAAGCTCATAACTAGCAGGTGAATAATTGTAGAAAGTTTCAAAAAGGTACTTTGAAATCTCCAAAACTCTGATCTTTTAAATGTATTCATAACTTTATGTTACCGAATATGAATGATATAATTTAAATTTAACTTTTTAATTAATATTGAGATAAATGAGTTGAGATATTAATATACTACTGTTTTCTAAAAGAGGTCTTCAAGTGTCGAAAATACTGTTGAATAATTAAATTCATTATTATAGATATTTAAAACTCTCTTGAGTATTTTTAATCATTAATATGCTCTAAGAGTAGAATTAAATGAGGGTAGATGCTTTGAAAATGTATAAACTACACGTTGTTATTTTTATTTATATAATAATTAAAAATTTATTTAAATTTATTCTCTTGAATAGCAATAAACTAATGGAGATATTAAACTCATAACTTAGAAATTATTTTGATTAAATATAAATGTAAAATTTAATAATTATACTTTTATTCTAATTGTGATTTTTTTTCAGGTATATTAGATGATCAAGAGCTCAGCACGGAATTTTTAAAGAAAAATAAGAAGTGGTGCAATAAGGATTAGTATTGGAAAAATGTAAAAACGGCGCTAAGGCGTCGAGCGATGTCTTCGTTGTTGGTAAACAACTGTACGGACGAGGAGGATTCCGAGGATGTCGAAGCAAAGCACGCAAGCTGGCGATTCAGCAGGATCATCATTAGTGACATCCGTTTATACGTGGAAGGACTGTGGTTAGATACAAATAAATAATTGAAATTAATTTGTGCGATCGCATTAGTGAATGTACTGCGATTGACATCATTTGCAACTTGACAATGATGAGGTGACAAAAAAAATTGGCCATCGTTGCCGTTTTAACATACTTTTTCATATATTATATATATATAGATATATTCTGTGGTTACCAAAGTTATCTTTGAGATAAAAAAAAATTGTGAAAATTTTCAAAGAATAAATAAAAATCTCTTTTTTAAAAAGAAAAGAAGCTGAGCGAAAAGTGGATCGTCAGTCATCTCTTTTACTCTGGGGATGGAAAATTGTCATTCACGAGTACGATTGAAAGTAGTAGGAAGTAAAGGAAGTGTTAAAAGGGGAAGTAGTCACGAAAGTGATGAAGAAGATCCTTTAAGAAGACTAGTGAAAGTGAGAGACTGTTGGATAGATCGACCAATAAAAGAACTAAAAAAAACAAAGGTGTCGAGTGCGATTTGTAGAGGTGGCTGTGACGTCACACGCTCGATGACGATGACAATGATGCTTCTAAAAACGCTGTGGAGTCGCAAGTGACATAAAAATTTCGTTTTTAGTGTGGGTGAAGTGTTGGGTGTGACGTGTTATTTATTCCCATACACGCAGCCCTCGCCTTTAAGTGCTTTGTGATATCTAGATTCTTGTTAAGAATACAAAAAAATTTCTGGAGGGAAGGAAGTAGATAATAAAGTTATACGTTTATTATCAAGCTGGCGTGACACGCCGGAGATTTTTAAAACGGTGAAAGGATGCCAGGGGGTCGTAGGGGCCTGGTAGCCCCTCAAAACACGTTCTTGGAGAACATCATTCGAAGGAGCAGCAGTCAACGTGAGTTTCATTCAATTTATTATCCAAAAATTTTTTATCAAATTCATACTGACTCTTATAAACCAAATTATTCCATTAGCAACTCATTACAAATTATTCTGAAACATTTCTGAAACACTCAAAAAGAAAAAATTCAAAAAGAGATAAAACTTGTCTAACTAGAGTTTTAGATTATTGTCAGGTTGCCAAAGTTCTCATTCGATTAAACCAAGATACACAAATATATTCTCTATCAGCTAACTGAGATATTTTTTGAAACGAATAAGTTATTTAAAGTGAGATCATTGAATGATGGTATTTATTTGACATAAATTTTATACACATTATATTAATATTAGTCACCGCTAAAATATGGTTACCACTAGAATTTAATTATCTGAATTCAATTAACTTGTCAATTTCAGTACTAGTCTTTGACATGGTTTAGAACAAAAACAAATATTGCTAATAAAAAAAACACTACAAATAGGGGCTTGGTAATAAGTGGAAATATGTAATTTATTTGCCCATCAATGGGTAGTCTACCCTAGCAAATGTCTATTCACTTACATCACACGTGGTTATACCCTGAATCCATACAAGTGTCGTGATCATGACCTACTATTATTCATGGTAAAGGTGGCTATAAAAATCTACAGACAACTGAAGCCCAAGTATACATATGACAGGTGACAATTGATGTTACAGTATCAGCATATGAATATTACTTTGATATGCTTGATCGCGTGACAGGATCTTTGACAACGACAAAACATATTCGCGTAACTTCCCACTTAACTACTGTTATTAAACATCTTTTTTTCTTCAAATACGTAATTTTTATCAATACAAGTCGATTTAATATGTTTGCATTAATATCGATTACTCTTTGATATCATTTATATATTAGCATATATCTTTAACCCTTAAATTTATGATCTAAGTCAAGCAAATGAACTGATATCAATGATTGTTACTAGTCATCCAGTCAATCTAACAAAGCGTTCATCCGAAAAATACGGGTCGAGAAATCGATCCTGAGGTTTTGTGAGTTAAGTCAAGGCTATTGCAAGTTCAATTACAAAATGTCATCTACAGAAAAATAATATTTGTTCTTAATTTTTTAACGAACGTCTTTATGTCAAGAGAAAAATTATATTAATCATGAACAATTAATTTCAAAAAACGTTTTACAGTGGAGAACATTTCTTTCTTTATTTCCTTCATTTTCTAAAGAGAGTATTTTTTTAATTTTTGCAAGAAAAAAAATACAAATGAATAAAGGATTCTCTTTAAGTTTGAAGGAGGTTCTAGTGTTTTTCTTTTTATAAAAATAATATTCATAAAGATATAATAGATTGAGAGTGAATTTTTGATCAATTTTTTCACGACATTTTTAAAAGTGCTTAGAATCTTATTACGTTACTCAATGATCTCTTTGTCACTTGAACTTTTTTTAACTCATCTTTCGTGTATAGCCCAAGGCTTGAACCACTCAGTAGGAAATTCTTGTATGTATGACAGTATAGGTGAAAGGTTGTGTTATACAAAAGAGGGGTGAGAAGATTAAGAGGGCCAACGTCCTCCCGCTGGCTATGTGGTTTTCTAGTGACTCTATCATTCTCTTGCTTTGTTCTAAAAACTCTCTTGTAGCCTCTTTTATTTGCACTCTAACATTGCTGTCTACCAAAGACTATGTCTTCTGTCTACCTTTTTACTGTTATACTCTACGTCAAAAATGTAATTAAATACTCTTTGATAGTCCATTTTCTTTTTATCCTCTCTCATTCCTACGTATTATACAATACTTGTAAATATACATTTAATCGATTCTTGAACTAGTACTTTTTCTTCTAATAATTATGCATTTAATTTGCTACCAATCCTCTTTATCCTTAGATATTCGTATATAAAAAAAAAAAAACTATTGATTTTTACAATCTACATTGCTTTTTCTAATTAAAATAAATTTTGTGAACTAGATAAATTTTTATTACCTGACTGAAAAAAATTTTTTTTAGTTTAAAATAACTTTGTTTTATTTTTATGTAGGTCAAGTTACATTGTCATTGTTTATCTTCAAATTATAATGCAAAAGATACTGCAATTCAGTAAATAGATCATAAAAATTTAATCTGCAGGACATAAAATGTGAAACAATAAACTTTACCCACATATGTACTATCTTAGATTTAATATAAAAATGAAAAGGTGTGGTAATAAAAATTATGTTAATTATATCATTTTCATAGGAATAAATGATATGTAAAAAAAAAAAAAGAATGCCATGTTGACTAAAAGTGATGATAAGCAAACTTTAATTGTTTTATTTAGTCTATGGGAAAGAGTTCAATTGAATAGTCTGCACATTGCGTTTAATGAACGTGATTAAAATAACTATTTGAATAATGAATTGCATGTCAAGTTTTCAATTTGAAAAATGGAATAGAAATACTTTGATAATCATTTACACAACAAATAATAAATAATTAATAATGACTGAAAAAGGAATGATTTTTTTTTTTGATCAATTGAATATCATTTTCAAATGAATTATTAATTCGATAGATATCAATAAAACATTTCCCAGGGTGTGGTTTTCGATTGGTGCGAGTATTGAGCTTCTGTATGAACCAGACGCCTCAACGTAGTGCATTATTCATCCGCATTATCGGCAAAGAAATTGAACCGATGGCTTCATATTATCCTAACTGTTTAATAGTCTAATTTAATCACTTCATTTATTGGAAATAAAAATATTAAAATTTTTATTGACTTCTTATGGCATCATTATTAGTTCATTGTGTTAAAATAGTTCATATTAGTATGAATGAAGAAAAAAAAATGGATAAAAAATCTTAAGATATAACATTAAGTTCAACTCTCCTTGCAAGTATCTCCTTTTATCCACAAGTGGATCTTAAATTGCTTGAAAAGCAACGAGATCTAACTTGTTTTCGTCTTTTCTTCGCTTTCCGTTTATTTCTTAACACACTTTAATTTACAGAAGCACAAATGACGGTCACCTATTTATCGCGTGGTAAAATTATACATTGTGTTCATATAACACGTACGTTTTTTCATTTAACAAGATCATACATGGACACACATACTAATGTTGCACTTTTCTCATTAAATTACAATTTCATGTTTTGTAATTTTATTGTTGTAGCAGTTTATTCGAAGGTGGTATTTCATTTAATTTATACCGAGTGATGAGAGAAACAAATTTACGAATTATTTTTTTGGAGTAACAAGAGAGGAATAAAGAAACAAATACGAGGGTTGTTTTTATTATAGTCTGGTCAATTGTAGATGTTATTGGAGATTTTTTTTTTTAATGAAATCAGGATTCAATCTCGAATTGATTTGGTTTTCAGATTTACCTTAGAAAATATTCTGCTTTTGAAAAAATAAAACTCGTGAAAGATGTCTAAGTCGTACGGTTTTTTTTTTCTTTTTTGGAAAATAAAAAATTTTATACATTGGTTACTTTTGTTCAACAACAATAGCTTAAAGTATAAAAATAAAATCTCATATGATGTGCATGGAAAATTTTATTCATAATACATTTTATTTAAAATTTATGCAGCAATGGGGGAAAAAAATTGAACATTATTTTGATTTATTTTATAAATAATTTTATATTGTATTTTATGACATTCACTATGAATATTAATGCTTTTTATTATAAAGATAATTACTTTTTTATCTCCCGTTAGTTGCCAAATTTTTTTAAAAAGTTCCTAATAAATGTAGAAAAATTTATTTATATCAAAAAACTTTATGACCCAGACACTTTTTTACATTTAATTATTTCCGAAATCAGCATATTTTTTGTATAAAAAATTCGTCAAATTCAAAGCTTAAGAAGAAATTTCGTGATACTGTTGTTTTTCGTTCTTTATTGACTGCACTATCAGTGGAGCATATCGCATCAATAAAAATAACTTTTTTGAAATTTATCTTGAAGTTATTTAAATTGATTATCAATCAAAATGTCTACAAAAAAACAAGAAGCATTTAACTTTTTATAAATATTATCATTACCATTGATTTTTATAATGCTGTTTTTATATTATTTAATTAATGATGTTTAAAATATCTGATGTTTTCTGTGCATGCATAATTAACAATAAAAAAAGAGCTTTTATTTCTTTATTACAATTTTTAGTACTGAAATTTCCTCTTTGATAACAAATAGGAGTAACTTATAATGCATTACAGCTAGAGGAAGAGTGGAATAGACACTTTGAATTACTTTCTTCCCTCAGGAAAAGAATCAGTTTATGCAGTCTCTAGTTATTTTTATATATATATGTATAGAGACGTATACTTATAAATTGAGTTTTTCTCATCTTCAAACAATTGCATTGAGATGTTTCATATCTTCTATGTAAAACATTTTATTAGGAAGGACATTTTTGCTGATTTTGTTTTTGGCAAAGATAAAGTATCATGTGAAATCTTGAAAATGAATCGAAGTAGAAACAGACATACAGAACTAGTCACTTTTTCTCTTGTCTTAATATAAAAGCAAATCGATTCTTTGAAATTTACGTAGACAATAAAAATACATGTTAAAGAAATAAAAGAATTCTATTGTACTTTATAAAATTAAATTTTTAATATTCAAGTATTTGCATTTTAAATAATGAATGAGCAAAGTGTTTTTTTAATTTTCATTTTTAATTTCTTCGAAGAAAAAATAGTCTGAAAATATAAAAGCTTATGAAAATGCATAAAATTAGACAAAAACATGGCAGATGAACTCGTTGAGTCTTTTTTTCATAACAAAATGGATTGATCTTTTTTTTATTTTCATAAAATAGAACCTTTGGTAACTATTTGAATATTTTCTTTTATATTTAAATGTCTAAAATAACAACTCTATCCATACACTTTGAATTTTGCATCTCCAAACTGACATGTGATATATGGGTTGTAGTTACTGTACCTCATATTTTTATTCCAAGGATTTATTTACTTTTAATTGAAAATAATAAATATATCTATATCAC